CGTTCGACAGTGCGTTCGACAGTGCGTTCGACAGTGCGTTCGAGAGGACGCTCGACAGTACGTTCGACAGTGCGTTCGACAGTACGTTCTAGGGGACGCTCGACAGGACGCTCGACGTAGTAGGAAGATAAATAGGCCGCTTAATACTATATACCTATATAGCACGTAGGAGGTAGAGGCGTAGAAGTCGCGTAGTTAGATAATAATTAGGAAGGTACGACGCATATAGTAGATATACGCGAACTAGCGATATACGCGATTTAAGTAAATAGAGCGGATACGGTCTTAATATGCTTAAACCCGTAAACGGTTCTAAACCAGTTTCGAACCGATTCCGAATCGTATTCGAATCGGTTTCGAACCGGGTTCGAATTGTGGTGGAACCGTATCGGATACGTATTCGATCCCCTAAACGGTTTCGAAACCGTATCGAAACCGTGTTAATACTGTATCGATCTAGGGGGGGTGGGCACCTTAGTTTTGTATCGGCTCCGAACCGACTCCGAACCGGTTTTGATTTGAGTTATTGTCCTTAAATTCATGATAAGATTAACGCGTACCAAACGATTTTCTAACCGTAATTCGATTCGAGCATTATATCTCCTTTCAAGTTTACTGCTAGTAGAACTACAGTATATTCGAAGAAATCTATACTCGCCCAATAGTACGCTCAACAGTACACTCAACTGCAAGCTCAATTATACGCTCAGCTGGGTATGCTTGGTAGGACGCTCGATAGAGCGCTCGGTACATAGGATGCTCGAGGACGCAGTAGAACGTTCGATAGAATCCTCGACAAGACGCTTGAGTACTTAGTACATACTAGTAACCTTGCGAAGTAGAACGCTCAAAAGGGCCGCTCGGTAGGACACTCGAGTAAGTCGACAGCATGCTCGACAGGCCGCTCAACGGGACGCTCGACTGGACGCTCAGGAGGGTACTCGAGTAGGACGCTTAGTAGGCCGCTCGCGAAGGTACACGCGCAGGAGGACGTGCGATAGACCGCTCGGCAGGTGTGATTAACAGAACGCTCGACGGGAGCGCAGTAAGACGCCCGAGTAGGTGCACGCGAAGAAGTACTTACTTAGTAATTAGGAGGCTCGATCGGACGCCCAACAGGACGCTTAACAGGACGCTCGACCGGACGCTCGACGAGGTGCACGCGTAGTAGGACACTCGATAGGACGATCAACACTGTTGGACACTCGACGGGACGCCTCAGTGGAGGGCATCATTGATACTTACTCATGAAGCATATTTCCAATCCGGTGCGGATTTTGACCGGGGTCGAGCCGTGGTGGATACTAGTACTTATGTGCGAAGCAGGACGCTCGAGTACTACTATTCAGCAGGACGCTAAAGCACTTAGTACTAGTAGTACCTAGGTACTTAGTAGTACAGTAATACTAAGTACTATGTAGTATGTACCTAAGAAGTAGCGTTAGAGGATGATTGGGAAGGTGCTATACACGTAGGTACACAGTATGTAATAGAATACCCGAGTAGGTATACGTGTAGCAGGATAACAGCTGAGGGAAGGTCCGTAACGTACATTACTTTATACATTACATAGTAGTATTAATCCTATAGTGGGCATTACCCTGCCGAGCCTCCCGCGAACCGTACAGTTAAAAGTACTTAGTAGAAATACTAGTACTTAGTAGTTCTACCGTTTTGAACCTCTTTTATTACCGATCTAAGCCCGCCGACTCGGAACTAATTCGAAATCGGTTCGAGAGCGCTTTGGAGCCGGTCCAAAATTGTATTAAATATATATCTGAACTACTTATGTTGATATAGTGTCAACACGGTTTTGATCTACCTTATCATAGGTATGGTCTGTATAGTACTGTTTTAATATTGTATCCCTTAAGGGGATGTGAGGTACATTATAGGCTGGCTAGACGTTCAAGAAGCCACCTCCTTCCACCGAGGCCGGGCCGTGTGTGCCTCTTGATGATCTCGTCCGGTAAGACTGAGAGAGACCCTCCGTGGCCTCCGCAGCGGTCGCCTTATCGGTGAATTTATTCTCCTTCGTTTGCTTCACCTTCCTGTTGTGGCTTCTTCTATCCAGCCAACTCGTGGACTGCAGCTGGCGCCGGCCCCTATTCGCCTTCCACAGCCACAGCCAGCGGCTTAACGATTCCCCCCTGTAACCGATCCAGACGGTCACCCCTACGACGGCACAGGTCAGCGGCACTGCAGCGGCCCAGAAGATCCATTGGCCGGAATGCAGATTGCGCAAGTCAGCCGTGTTCATGCCCAGGAAGCCCGTCACTAATGACATGGGTAGGAAGATGATCGTTACAATAGTGAAGACCAGGATGGCCTTGCCGTGGTCCTCCTGTTGGATCTCGACTGCCTGTGTCAGCTCGATGCAGAGCACGTCGGCTGCCCTAAGAAGGACGTCGGAATCGCGCTCGTCCTGCCGGTTGTCCTTCATAATCTTGTCTGCGAGACGTCGCTCAAAGTCACGGTAAAGGCTCCTGCGTGTCGTGGTAGTCTTCTTGAAGCCATTGGAAGCCAGCATCCCGGCGTAGTCCTCCACAACGCGGTAGAAATCCTCCCGGATGGTTTCTATGGCCTTGACTTCGGTCTCCAGCAGTCGGATCTCTTGAAGGAGGCGACGACGCGGGTGGTGATGAACTTCGTAAAGCTGCATCCGGGCTCAGGTCAGTACTGTATCTAATGAATTCAAGGCGAAAATATGAAGAGATCAGTGCTTACCAGCCTATTCATCTCCTTGCGATGCAACTTAGGCAGACACAGTGGGTTTCGGTTGGATCCTCTGTCCTGGAGACCAGAGAGGAGCAACAGGACCATGTACTCTGGTCCTACAGTGTCAAACTGAATGCTATTCGAGTACTCGCTGACCCGACTCATCAGCATCAAATTGCTTTTGGCTTCGTCAAACGAGCCCTCGGCTGCGTAGCCCAGTTCCACGATGTGGTTCTGGTACGTCGATTCAAAGAATCGGCGGAATCGCACAGGGGACGCGTGGTACTCGCGGACGCTGACCGAGGCTGCGTATCCAGAGTACGCCATCATAGTCAAGATACGCTCGAAGGCACGCACCAGCCCATTTGGTAACCGGTAGACGACCGAGTCGAACTTGCCACTGCCACAGACCCCTGAGATGATTTCGTCTTTCAACACTCGTAGATGAGTACAGTGGTCCAGCACTGTGTCAACCAGTCGCTTGGCGTCGCAACGCAGCTGGAACCCATCGACTTTGTCACCTTTGCGTATCCATGGCTGTAGTTGTTCATCGGTTACCTCTGTATGCTGAAAGTGGACCTTGTTAAGGTGCAAGACTATTGCGTTTATGTCGGCGTGAGCCCGTCGGCGTATGCAATCCGAACACTCCTCTACCGGGCGATCTGGGAGCTTCAGCGCTGGGTCCTGTGGATTTCGCGGCGCCAGCTCAGCATTTACCACATAAAAGGCGTCAAGGGGATACTCCAAGCGACCCCCTTGTCTGATATGGCGGGACTCTTGACCCGATTCGGCAGACACCATTTTTTCGAGTTGCTGAGCCCCAAGCGATTAGCGGCTTATCTCCAGGGGCAAAAGAATTTACGTCTGATACGTACCTGCAGCCAAAGAGCTACACCGCCCCAGAACTTCCCAAGAACGATAGATGGGTATCCATGGGGTAAGAAGAAGTCGATTAACTCTTTCAGGATCTCCAAGCACAGCCCGATCCTCTCAACAATGTCCGATGAAGCAGGATTCTGATCGGCGGCTGGCGGTGGATTCAGTCGGGAGTAGGCTGCCTCTACAGCCTCTAGCGAGGACTCCTGTATGAGCTTGTAAATGGGCGCCTCCTTCTCTTGGAGCTTCTCCACGGTGTCGACACTGATCCGGCTACCTCGGGTAAGAGACAAGTTGATCTGCGAGAGAATCAAGTTGAGCACTTGCCAGTCCTGGGGCTCCTGGATGGTCGATTTGTTGTTCTTTGGGACGCTGCCGTACTCGGCAGGAGGTGAAACGACAGGAGATTTGTCCACAGGGTTGCCGGTCTGCCATAGGAACACTGGCGGTGGCATGTTTGTTGGAGGCAGCATCTTGTGTCCTCCGGTTTTCCAGCGCGTAGTCGGTGGTTGTTGAAAAGCCTTGTCCTCGACTACCTTCGCGCTCGTCTTCGCCTCCTGAGAATGAGAGAACTCTGCCACGAGCTTGTCAGACCGGGGAGCGGGAGTTGACGCAGCGTTGATCCCAACTTCTTGATTCCTTTCTGAAACAACCTCAGAGCCTTGGCCCTCGTCAACTCCTGATCGGCCTATGGCAGAGTCAAAAACTTCTTTAGGCAAGTAAAAGATGTGGTCAGACTTTCCGGCGTGGAGCGGCTTGTTGGTGATGATGTGGGGAAGAACGTCCACTCGATAGACCGGGTTCTCGCGCCGTCGCTTGATGGACCGTTCGCGCTCCTCGTTCGACCTCGTATCTCTGTGTGTACCGGCGCGTCGGTTGCCTTCTCGGTCGTCACCAACAGCTGGGTCCACCGCTCTTAGGGAAGAGATGCGATCGAATCCTGTGCCCATTGACCTGCGAGGCATCGTCGTACTTGTCTCTCTCGCTCTACTTGCACCTTCTGTCTCGTACACGACTAGGGTGAGCGGATTTTCTCTTCGCCGGCCTGCCGAATCACTGACGTGAGTCGAGGTTCTCATAGTACGCCTCACAACTGGAGTAGATGACTCGGCAGTCGTCCCCCTGGTTCCTCTCCGACGTACAGGAGTCCGGGAGTGATGGGTCCGATGCTCGCTCGACGTCGTGTCCATGGGAGGAGGAGAGTCCGTTCGGTAGGTAGAAAGAATGCCTTTGTATTCCTCTTCTGCAGAAGTCGCCTGCATCGGCGAGGTCAACGTGGCTACATTCTCCGGGATGTCTGCGGAAGGCCTGCTAGCGGGATCGTGGTTAGGTTGCAACACACTAGCCACTTCACGTTCGATCTCCTGGTTCATCTTTTCGATCATGGCTTGTTCGGCCTCCTTATCCTCTTTGCTTCTCCTAGCCTCGATTACAACCCGTTCTCGGTGCCTGCTGTGACCCCGAGGTGACCGGCGTCTAGGCCTTCGGTAGCTCGGGCTGTCGTCCCGGCGACTGCGTATAAGGTCTCGACGACCGTAGCTACCGCTGCTCGTAATAGAGCTACGGTCGGAACCCGCAGAGAGCTGGGTAGGTGGAGGTGGTGTAGTAGAGGAAAGAGATATGCGTACAGTGGCACAAAAGCCGTCTTGACTAGTGAAGAAATGTTGCCACTCGGAAGCAGTGACTTCCACTCCATCGACGGCGGTGATGTGATAACGCTGAGGGTCATCGCCATAAACGTTCCCGCATAGACCGACAACCTTGTCCATCATGGCCTGTGAAAAGGGAGTTAGCGGAGCTATACCAGAAATAGCGCATATTGGGAATTTTTCCGTACAAACCATGTTTCACACTGTGCCGAGGGCACAAAGAATTGTCGGTCTGTCGGATCCAAGAAACGAACGAGCTGGAGTCCAGCCTTGAAAGACTGGTTTGTGATGTCTTCTATGACAACAGCCGGCCCCAGACAGTCGTCCATCCCATTGGGGGATATCGTGATGAGGGTTCCTGCGAAGACCGTCACTATGCTGCCGCCGCCGAACGCCTACAGAAGTCGAGGAGAGCAAGGGCACTACCGACCTGAACTCAACAGCAAGAGCCACAGATTATGCACATGCAGAATCTCGCCAAACTGGGAGGCCTGGCGCAGCAGCTGCTTAGTATCCAGCTCCATTGTGTTCTCTTGGTCCATGTAGTGGTACTCGAACAGCGTCCGAGAGTGGTGTGAGCCCGGGTCAACAGAGCTATCATGAGGTAGGGGAGCGGCATGGAGGTGGTGTATCGAGAGGAAGATGGCCCACTTGTCAGGCTCCGACCCTCTGTGGCCATCACAACGGTCGACCCTGTTTTCCAAGAATTTGCCCCAGGAGTGACTTTGTTCGTGATCCTCCACGGCTTTCCTCAGCAGGATGGTGGCGAGGCTGCGCTCGTCGGGATGCACGGAATCCAAAGCGGCCACAAAGTTCTGGGTTGTCTCAGTACACGGATCGAGTAATCGCCACTATGTCGCCCCAGCTTACCAGGACATCATGAAGCCGTGGATGTTTGGCTTTCAAGTGTCTGTCCCAGAGCCCAGAATGTTAGTTCTTGCAATATAGACAATAATTGCCAGAAGGAGTAAAACTGACATCCACTCAAACTCGAAATCGTCTTTTCTCCGACCTGCCGGTGATATCTGAGACGTGACCAAAGCGGTTTCCCTCCTGTCCTGGTTGACATATCTGCGAATACTCAGGATCTTGCGCCATTCGATGGCTTCAAAATGATGACGCTGACGGATAAGAGTCAGTCTATCGAGCCTATGCTCTGTGGCCTCTCGTGCCGGTGCTTTGGGATCAAAGGTCGCCCCCCCGTCAATGCTCTTGAGATCAACCTCGATGACGTTCGTTGGCTTGCGGTATCGTTCTGCCCTGGTCAATCTTCGCCTCACCCTTACAAGAGAAGATTCAGATGCGTCCGAGGAAGCATCCCTATAACCATCGTCGTAGTAATCTCTCTCCCCGTAGTCATCGTCATCGTCGTCGTAGCCCCGGCGATGAATATCATACCCATATTTGTGATCGATGTAATCCATATCGAGCCGGCGGAATTGTGACGTCCAGGTCGACGAATTTTGCCCTTTTTTCCTGTGATAATTATGAGCAGGGTGTTCTGGGCTCCCACTCGTCAGTCAAGCTTCGCAAGCTGATGTCGTATCGTCCCTCCTGTGAAGATGACACTGACGCCATATACGGTATCTTCACAATCACGCAGCACACATGGGCTCACACGTGCATCAATGGAAGCTCGAAGCAGGTAAAAAATCGCAGACAAAGAACAGCCGCAGTACTCGACCTGGGCGAGCTGCAATGGCAGCACATCTCGAGCTGAAATCTCAGGCATCCCATTATTGACTGCCCTAGTTAGTTCAGCCCCAGGCTTGACCAGGGTGTAGTAGTGTTGTTCTCAGCCTCCATTCCCACCTCTGCAGATGAGTGGTGTGAAACGATTTGTCTCCGTCTCACGACATCAGATATCCAAGAGCTAAGGCTGTTAGACTCGTCGCCTCTTCTTGGCCATTATTCGCGTTGGACTCATCAATGTCACTCGGGTGTGGTTGTGGTCAATCATGGATTTGTACGGCCTGGAAGCGCCCCTGTTGTGCCACCACTGTAGTGGTGCAGGTTCAAACTGCAGCCTGTATGCACACACAGCATGCATAAGGTAGGTAAGTAGTACGACTTGCAAATGCCAAGTACATAGCTTGAGGAGGTCGGAATCGAAAACAATTACTCCACCTGAACTGTAATACGGTTCAATTTGTTGAAGTTTGTAAAAGGTAGGGGAGCCACCGACCATGCCTACCGCCTATAACCGACGAGTAAGGTACCTAAAGGTAGGTAGGTTTAGGCTACGGAGGCCGGCTCGGGCTAAGGAAGCTAAGCCTAGGCTTAAGTGACATCTGCCTAGGTGCCCGTAGTATTGGCTTGCTTAGCCTCCTACGCCCCATTGCAAGACCCGGACCTTAGCAGTATTGCTTTTCTTCTCGTCGCAGTAGCACAAGGCTGCCAGCAAGCGGCCCAGCACCAAGGCTGAGGCTGAGAGCTGAGAACTGAGAGCTGAATGATGTTACTGCTCTCGCTCCCCCTCCTCCTGCTGTTGCTTCTTCCAGATCTATGTAGGTTTCCCAGTTGACTATGCTGACAGTGTCTTGTCTTTGTGGCCCAAGACAAACATGTCGACCTCAATATCAGGCCGTACTGATACATCGGTACCTGCGTCTTCGAGCTACGACACCACTGGTACTTCGAATGCACCTCCCTCAGAACCCCAAGATGGTGTCGGGCGGTTTGTGCCGAATGTATTCGACCTCGTCTACATTGCGCGGCGGGCCGAAATCTCTGTTGCTCGGCCGGTGATGCAGCTGTTTCTCGGAGCGCAGGCCATTGACCAGTCCACCTATCTCGGGCAAGGCGCCTCGTTCGAAGTATCCTACAAGAAGGTTCCGAAGTCAGATGGCATTGAATATGAGACAAAAGGCATAGGCTTGACGCTATCCACCAGGCAAGGACAATTTGACGAGCGGGTGCTGGTATACAAGACAGCCAAGATCGCCTTCAGTGAGCTGGGAGAGCCAATGCCAAAGGACCGCAGAGCAATGGAATCGGTCCTCATGGAGATATATGCGTTGATTCACCCGCCTCTTTACAAACATCGCAACATAGTGACGCTCCTTGCTTTGGGATGGGGGACCAATCCATATACTACATCATACAAGCTGCCGGTTGTTGTGACTGAATATGCTGACCATGGCAATCTAGCAGCTCTCCAGGCGAAGGAGATTCTCACCTCAGACATCAAAGTAAACCTCAGTCTCGACATTGGGCGAGGTCTCCAGGTGTTACATCGTTGCGGCATCATTCATGGAGATGTCAAATCGGAGAACATTCTGATATTTTCCGACCCAGACAAGAAGTATGTCGCCAAACTCGGTGACTTTGGCTTCTCGATCGTAGGCGAGCCATCTGCTGATTCGGTGCGCATTGGAGGAACGACGCCATGGAGAGCGCCAGAAACAGCTGTGGCGGTCCCCCGCCATCTTCTTGCACAAACCGATGTGTACTCGTTTGGGCTGACAATATGGCGCGTTGCAATGGACGGGCTCAACCCATTCCGTATTCTCCTTGACCCTACTAGCACTGGGAACAGCCTGGCAGAGCAGATAGAGCTCCTTAAGGATCAAGATATGCTGAAAGACAAGGCCGATCTCGAAATGTGGTATCCGCCCTTTGTACTCTCGTCGATGGAGAGGCTCGCTGATGGTTCGTTGCCTGACTTGATGCAAGTTGTCCAGATGGTACAGCAGGTACAGACAAGGCTGGCTGCGGGCGGGATGAATATGCTCCAGGCCATCGATTACTTCAAGTACATTTACTGGGTATTGCAGCAGCGTGGCATGTCCAATATGCCAGTATACGAGCAAATCAAGCAGGCTCTTCTGCAGACTGCCCTGATGGATCCCTTCTATGGCAAAGTCACTGAAGTTCTGAAAAGAACTGTCCGTCGAGATCCATTGGACCGCAACCTTGAGCAAGCCATGACGGCTCTATCTGGGACTACTGACGTCCAACAGGACACTGGGTATGTATTACCCAGGCGTTCAAGGCAGTAGCCCTCTTGCAAATATCTCCTGGCAAGAGTCAAGTTCATGAGTGGTTCTCCGATGCCTCTGGCTAATTCCTTTACCAGTGATGCAGATCGAGACATACGCCTGCAGCGAAGCTTCGACGTGAGTACCTCGAGCCAGCATGCTTCCAGTGGCTGACCACAAAACAGCATCATCTGATGTCCTGGCAAGCCATCAGAGAACTCCAACCATCTGTCCAAACCTTTCTCTTAGAGAGATTCCGTGCCCGAACAGACTCTAACGCTGCTGGAAGCAAAGTTAACCCACCAGAGTGTTTCGTCCTTGCGGCCTTCTACATGAACGGATACGGCACCCAGCCTGATGTTGAGGAAGCGCGACGTTTGATCCTCCATGCTGCACGCTATGGACACGAAGTGTCACAGGCACACGCCTGGCGTATATCCAAAGTATCAGGAAACGAGCTTTCGGTCGACGAGCAGCTGCTGAAAATGCTCGAAAACAGGGCTATGAACGGGTCGAGAGCGGCGTTGAATGACCTTGGATTGATCGCACCGGAAAAGGTTGAGAGGATCAAGAAGATTCTCAAGCTGGGATTGGCAGGAGTCGGTGCGTCGTTTTTTTGCGACGATCTCATCCATGGGTTTGGGTTCCCCCAATGGATGAACACCTTCAAGAACACAACGATACTGGTTCAAAACCTCCGAAATCTGAACGCGATAGCCGATTACCGGGTGAACAAACGTGGCGACCGCATTTTGCACATGGCAGCAAGCTGTGGCGAACCGCAAGCAATCACGGCGCTCCTGGACAACTTCCCGACGTTGACAGTAAACCAGCTGAACGATGCAGGTGAAACGCCGTTGCTTTCCGCCTGCCGCGCTGGGCAGCGGGAAGTCGTGAAACTCTTGATCGAGATCGGGGCCGATCCGACCATTGTGACAAGCTCGAAAGAGTCTCCTCTGCACTGGCTCATTTCGTTTGAGGAAGACGAAGTCGAGGAAATTGGGAATTCCCTTGTATCCAAGGGTGCCAACATACGGCTCTTGACAACTAAGCCAATCAATTACAGCAATTTTCCCTCAGGAGTCGACGCCGACACTCTACCTCCCGGCACACCTTTGACGTGGGCCGTGCATCACGACCGGGCCGACATCATCAAGTTTCTGATCCGTGCTGCTGGAACGGCTGCCATCTGTGTCGACAAATCACCCAACCAACCTTCACCGATGGAATGGGCTGCACACTATCACCACCGAGCATGCCTCGAGCGGATGATTTCGGCCATGAAAGAAGAGAAACTAGGCTATACGTACCTCCATTTTCTCCAGGCTGCTGTTCACAGTGCAGATAAGTTCTCCATGGTCTTGAGGAATGGCATCGCCTACATGGATCGATTCAAGGATACCATGGACTATCTACTAGAAGAGACTCATCGTGTGTCATTTGCTACCGGCATCGGAGCGTTCGGATACACCTTGCTCTACTACGCCGTATCCGAAGCCCACGACTTGGCGGTGGAGTATTTGCTATCTGATGAAACCGAGCAGCTCCTCCAAGCCGGCTGGGAAAAGGCGAAAGAAGCGGCAAAAGAGGATTCCGATATCCCTGTCCGTCGATACGGTACATTCAGTCGCGAGCATATCAATATCACATGTGGAGATGAACAACGCACGCCGCTGCTAGAGTGTGTGCGTTGGAATAGGTGGAAGCTCTTTGATCTGCTTGTCAGCAATGGAGCGGACGTCACTGCCAGGAGCCGAAACCCCTTTGACAATACGAAAACCGACTGGAGCGCTCTTCACACGTTCGCACACGCTGCTCATAACAGTGATGTTTCGCTAGCGGAGCGGATTATAGAGGCAGGGGTTCCAGCAGACGCTCAAATGGAAGGCAGCAGTGATCTCGAGTCACCTCTCTTGGTGGCTTTGAAAAACAATGCATACAACCTAGCAGAGTTACTACTTGGACACGGCGCCGACCTCAACAGGAAATGCATTTCGTCCGGTCTGATAGCGCTAGAACATCCCACAACGATCCTCGGTCACTTGGTGGCCTCAACGGCTCGCGAGTCCGCGTCCCGCATCCGTTTCGTTTTGAGCCGAGGTCGCCCTGCCGTCACAAACGAGAAGGAAGCTGAAGCTGTGACGACCGTTGATACCATTGTAGAGCCAGCGCGATCATTGACGGCAGTACACCGAGCCGCTTGGGCTTACAAAGGTGTCTTTGACCGTAGCCCAGATGGTGAGGTTCAGCCAGTCAAGCGGGCCAACTATGATTTTGCTCAGAATCGCGAAATCATGTACGAGTTGCTCCAGCACCTGGGTGGCTTTGGCTCGCAAAGCTACCTCAACGCCAGAACAGGTGACGCACTTTTGCGCCAAACAGCGCTTCATCTGGCAGTTGACGCGATTAATGTCAGATGTGTCGAGTTGTTGCTCGACACGGGAGCAGTAGACGTCAGCCTTGCAGATGCGCAAGGATGCACGGCGTTGGACTTGGCCATCCAGGGCGCCCGTCATGCCGGCATCAAATGCGACGGACCATGTGAGCAAGTACCCCTTCCTGGTCGGAGGTGGCATTGCATCATCTGTCCGGACCATGATCTGTGCGATACATGTCGGGGAGTGATAGAACCGACTTCTCGTGGACAACATGAGTTCAGAGAGGTGACTCTGGGTGAAACTTGCGCCGACATCTCTGCAAAGAGCAAGTGGCGGGTGCGTGTACCCGAAGAAATGGAGGACATGGCGGAGATTATTGATTTGCTGCAAGCGAGACAAGTGATCAACACGACTCAGGACGCATTTGCATCGCTGGGTGTCTCGGATCAAACAGTGAGCTGAGAAACGACTGGTTCCCTCTCCCCTCTCTGCTTCCGTGGGTTGGTCAAAGAGGAGACAAACTTGGTCACGACTACCTTTCAGTGTGCACTGCACGCAGTGGATATGATATCACACAGACTGGGAAATAAAATATTTGCACAGTGAGAGATCGTCTCTGCTTTTCTCATGTTCGGCAATTCTCCAAACTTCGAACCATATCCAGCAGATCCTGAAGCGTGTCGGGAGCAGCATCCAGCGGACTCAAGCCATGATTCAAACAAACCCCAACCTGCCTGGCATATGTATCACCCATACGATAATGAACTTGTCCATTTTTGACCTCGTGATCGATCAGGTGTTTCGGCACTTGTGCAATATCGTTCAGCGAAACACTGTATGTTGCTGTAGGCTGCTTTCGGACATCCACACAATCCTTGACTATATATTTCAACGCCTTCCATTCAGCCAGTTCGACCAAGACCAGACCGAGACTATAAAGGTCCATGTGCTTTTGGAACGAGGTGGACGGCTCGCCCAGGGCATGCGGGTGCCGGTAGATGTCGGCCTGGGGCTCGGACGAAGGCTGCTCTGAGATCTCGGCGGGCGAGTCTTGTCGCGAGAACGAGAAGCCCGTCACATACGGGACCGACCAGTCGTTGTCGAAGAAGACGACGTTTTCGGACCGGAGGTCCTTGTGCAGCCAGCCTGCGGTGTGCAGAATCAATAGCGTGTTGGCGAGCTTCGAGGCGATGTCGAGTCGCGTGGTTACGCTGGGTGATTTGAGGGTTTTGTTCTCGCGGATCAATTCGTTGAGGGATTTGGGTGGTGATCTGGTCTTGACTTGTGCAGCGTCGCTGGAATCCCCGATGGATGTTTGGGGATAACTGTATACAAAGACAAAGCGGTCGCCGTCCTCGAAGAAACCTAGACATCGCAGCGTGTGGAACGACGGGTGTTTGACTCGAGACAATAAAAATGCCAGACCCTTGACTCGCGAAAGAAGCTTTCCTTTCATCCTCTGCGGGACTTGTTTGTACTCGAGCCAGACGGGGTTCTTGTCGTAGATTCCTGTGGCGACGTTCGAGTTTGCGGTTGAAGGGACCACGTTCTCCAGTAGGCTTTTGTTGATGGGAGGCAATTGTGATTCCACTACGGCCTTTGGCGAGTTTGTTGCGGTCATAGTGTTACCTGACAGGTATCGTGGTGGGGGAGGATATTGATATTGCTGTTGTTGACCTTGGTAAGTAGGACGGTAAGGGTTGGTTTGCGTTTGCGTTTGCGTTTGCGTTTGCGACAAAAGTGATATCCCTGATATCCCTGAAATCCTATCGGTCTCCGGATCCGGGTCATTGATCTCGATCCGCGCCATCTTCAAATCTACCGCGGCAGCAACATCGCCAGAAACTCCCGTGCTACCCTGCAATGCGCGCAATTCCCCAACATCCTTGCTCAATTGGACCATACGGGCCAGAACCTCGTTCAGCAACCACGACGAGTCGCGCCGCTGGATCGGGTCGAGTAATGCCCACAGGCCGTCAACCAAGACCCGAACATCCTTGACCATGTCTTCGAATTTCTTCTTGTCCACTGCGGCCCACCATAGTCGTTTGGGGAGGTGATTGTCGTCTTGAATCAATTTGGCGCGGGCGAGGATGCGCTTGCGGAGCTTGTCTGACACGAGTCTCTGCAGGGGGGTTGGGTTATTGGTTGTACTTGTCGCTGTCGCTGTCGGTGCTCCTGTTGCAGAAGTTGTTGTGGCTGTGGTTGTAGTCGTGATGGGACTATATACCGGGGATAGGGGGTTGTCATCATCGACTTGTTTTCCCGTGGGTTGTTGGGGCTGTTCGGACAGATCAAGTTTGTACCGTTTTCGAAGCTGGTCCGTTGAAAGAAGGCGCTCCAGCTGGCCCATGAGTTCAGCAGCCAGGGCATAATTCAGCCTGGGGTCGAGGGTGGTGGTGTTGGTCTTTCGGGGAGACTTCTGGCTGACGCGGACGATGGTAGTGGTCCCGCTCCCGTCTTTGGCTTTGTTAGCGGTGCTGCTGGTAGCAGTATCAGTAGTGGACTGGGTGCCAGTGCCCGTATCCTCAGCACTGGTGGTCTGCTCTTGCTCTTGCTCTTCCTCCTCATCACTGATCAGCCCTACGGCTCTCGCCCACTGAATGAAGCGATACTCCTCCAGATTCAGCATGGTCTGTAAAAGAGATGCATCTTTGCCGAGGTTGTGTGCTCGGGAGAGCAATACAAACCCTTTCACGCAGCCGCCGAAGACTTGGAATGAGAGCGATGCAATTGCCAACACGGTGCCTGGGTCCATTATTTGTTGCTGCCCCGTGGACGTTTAGAGCCCGTGCTCGGCCTCCTTTCTCCTCGTTGTTCGCCTATGCGTCACTGGGAGTCAAATAATTAAGCGGGCCGTAGCGAACGGGTCCTTCCGAGATTCCTAAAGAGATCACACTTGGCAATGCACAACTTGAATAACACAGTCAATGTATTGTAATCCTGACGAGCGTTGACTGTTGCCGATTCTGAAAGAACAGGTGGGCATGTTCAAGAAGACAACGAGTCAGGCTGAAATATCAACGTGCCCTCCCTCGAGCTGAAACCCTCCTGCCTTAACCCGCATGCTGGCTTGCATTGAGATAGCCGGAGGCTTGCCAGGGTATCTAAAGTTGTACAGTTGTATGGCCAGTCCCAGGGGCTCCCCACAGCCACGGCGCGGCAGCTGACTTCCTCTGCCAAGCTAAGGCTGGTGGTGGTGGTACAAGTCCAGCTGAAGTTGAGGCTGTGGTTGCCTGCCGGTGGTACAGGGATGGTCCGGGAAGTCTCGTAAACCGCAAAGCCAGGAATGAGTTCATGTGACATGCCGTATACCCCAGCTGAGCCTCGGAGCTCTGGTCACGGTTCTGGTTGTGATTACGACCTATTACTAGTACCAGTATTGCACGTCCAGCCCGCAACCGGCGCTGACGTTGCAAGGCTAGCAGCTGACTAAACATCCACATGTGCGGTCGGGCAGCCTGCTATCCATTCAGCACCTTGGGAGCTTCTATCTACGACTGTAGGCATTTGACTTGACTTGTGGCAATATATACTCTCACTACGGCGTTACTTGTAACTCCGAAGGAACGTTGACTTTAACCACAACTATGTCGGGACGAGGAGCAAATGTATGAGTGGCTTGTGTCAAAAGTTTCCGATTTCATATTATCGTACAATCATGAATAGAGCAGCGGTTGCCAGCTGTGTACCTGTATTAATTCGATTGCTTTTAATTCCTTTCTTTGGCGACTTCCCCTTACAGCTTCTCTACTTTGGCATCAACAGGGACTTCGGCAATCTGATCGACACCTTCGTACAGCGGCACATCCAAACCATACTTGGAAGCCACATCGGTTGACAAGAACCTGCCACCAATAAAGTGTCTCTGGCCCTTAAAGTGTTTGACGCAAGGTTTGGCGGCGGTCAAGCTGACCAGGTATTGTGGCATGAACTCGGAACCGAGCTGACCTTGTTCTGGTGGTCCGGCCTCGACATCCCAAGACGAAGGAATGTCCACGGCGAGCACGGGCTTCTTGCTGTCGATGATGGCCGACAGGACGGTGTCGAATGGCGCTCGGACAGGCGGCTTGAAACTGAATCCGAATAGCGCGTCCACGATCAGGTCTGAGCTGTTCAGCGATGTGGTGAAATCTTCGAGGGACTTCAGGAACGGAATGTGGAGATGGTTGAGTTGTTTCTGAAGGCCATTGAAAATGGGCGCGTTCGTAGGCTTGGGATAGTAGACTTGTGGCGTATAGCCAAAGTGGTACAGGTGGCGAGCGCAGACCAGACCATCACCCCCTAGGTACTCACTGGGTCAGCTCATCGTCGTACAGGTACCTCGTCGGCATGTATGGCAATATGGACTTTGAGTGGGGCATGTGCATACCGTTGTTGCCAGGCCCCGCGGCGATTAGGATGTTCTTTCCTTTCGAAGGTGGGTGAACTCTGTACACTGTACCACAAGCCAAGTCAATCAATGCTGTCCCGAAGAAACCAATGCTCCTTTCCTTCCTTCCCATGGCCTTCAGTTCCACAGTCGGCCAGGCCGCACCACAGCGCATCTGTCAAGCATTTACTCACCGGCTTCTGCAACGCTCAAGCCCGCCAATTCCATCAATTGATCAAGACTGAAGCCTCCATCTTCGCTCATGAGATCTTTATCAAGGTCGGCTGCTTTCTTCGCACCTAGAGTCTTTCCCCACCATTTTGAAGACGTTAGTTTTGAGACACTACCTTAAGCAGGCACCTTGAGCCCTCGGCAGGGCTGTTGGACAGGACCGCACTGAACGGACCAGGCCGGATGGAGGATATGTAGAACCATCGGAGAAAGACTGACCTTCAAAGCCATCTTGGAGAATCTTCTAGCTGTGAGGACCTGCCTGACTGCTTTGTTGGGAAGAAAAGACCGAAGCATATGCCCGGAAACGGGAATCGAAGGACTTCCTGTTTGATAGCGACCAGAGTGATGATCACCGGGCGGATGGAGTGAAGTGACTCGATATAGCCGTTAGACGATCAAAGAGTCTCACTATTGGAGTAAAACTTGGATTTCCCCTAGCTCGCACTTTGCTGAAGCACAGAGAATGCAGTGTCTGTCAGGATCGGAACTTGAAGATGTTGAGCTCAAGTACAAGTATAGCGACTCGGACCACGAGCATTGCAATGCCGTCATCGCGCCGGGTCCTCTCAGAGGGCCTTCAGCGGGCACCAGCTGAGTCAGCATGGCAACCAATCACTTCGATTGACCGGAACAACGTCGGGCCGACAATTGCTCTCGTCTTTAATTCCCATCAGCAATTCTATATCAAAGGTCACTTCCAATGCGATATACCGACTGAATTGCAGCCATCCCATCCGTCCCAGTACCAACACCAGCGGCAGTCGATCGTCCAGGCGCCTCCCTTCTCACCCCTCTTCTTCAAATCCTTCGTCAAACTCAATTCAATTCAATCACCCGCCAAAATGGTCCTCCGCATCCGCCTCGCTCGATTCGGAACCACCCGCAACCCGATCTACAACATCGTTCTCGCACAAGCCAAATCCGCACGCGGCAAAAAACCCATCGAAGTCCTAGGCACATACAACCCGATCCCGCAGACACCGCTGGCCACACCACACACGCCCGAGTTCCTCGAGAACGGGGAGAAATTTGTACCGAAAAAGATCAAGGATATCAAGCTCGACACCGCGCGGACAAAGTATTGGCTTGGTGTGGGCGCGCAGCCGACGGAGCCGGTGGAAAAGTTATTAAGTTTGGTAGGTAACAACCAAACTGCCGGAGGTTCCCCTCTGATTTCCAACACCAACAATAAACCCCAAAAAAGGACAAGGGAAACAAGTCTCATACACCGTGACGTCCACATCATGATCCAGCTGACTCATTTCCTTTCCCTACCCTACAGATCGGACTAATCGAGCCGAAACCCTCATTGAAAGCAAAAAGACCGCAGCACACACCCACACCGGAGCCTACAGCGAGCTGAAGTTCCCTGCAAAAGTGACTGTTAGCGAGCTGAGCTTTTCAACAACAACTTGAATACGGAGGGCATTTCATGGCTTGGCATGATCAAAGAAAAGCATAAGCATAAGCATAAGCGTCGGCGTTTTGGTTTGGGTTTGTTCGCTTTTCCGCGGGTGATTCAATCAATCAATCTCCGCAACGTCAAAAAGAAAAACTGTACAATACATGCTAGGTTTCTCCCAGGCCCGGGGTGGAGGAAGGCGAGAAGCGTGGCATTGACCACATCTGAGAAAGTGATATACCAAGCTTCACGGACAGGCAGGCTGAATTCTAAGAAACAAACACCAGCATATTTGAGATTCGGAATTTGGCAAGGGCGATCAAAGCGGTCTATAGCCTACCTATGGGATCACCCAATGCCAGATCATCACATGCACATCTCGTTCCGTGTGATTTGGCTTGCTTTCACATTTTGTCTGCCTAGGTACCGCACCGTACCGTAGTGTGTGGCCACAGATGCTTCTATGCCTATACATTCGCCGGTGCTATGCAGATGCCAATTTGAAAGTCTTTCAATCCTTATCACGAGCGAACCCCTGTGTCACAGAATTCTCAAAGTCACTGCCAAGAGCATGGTTCCTTGCCGTACATGGCAGCTGCGTTCACCGCAATGCTGCTTGGATCTCCCCAACCACTGTTTTGAATCTCGGCTCCTCTAGGTATTTCTTGCTCCGTAATTCCCCCAAAGCCTTGGGTACATCGAAAATGTCCTTTGCTGCTGTTGCGAGGTCGGGTCGGCTCAGACCGATGAGCACCGTGCCCAAGGCGACGATGCTGCGGTAAGCTGGTTCTGTCGACTGTGCCGAAGGACTTGCTGTCGCCGTGTGGTTGACGGCAGGGAATGTAGAAAGCACCTTGGTCAGCTCCTCCACCAGGGATAGGCCATAGTTTGCGCTCGTTTCGGCATCCAGACTCTTGTCAGTGGTAATGAGGACGGAAATGTTGAGATAGAGGGTCGTCAGGGCGACGGCAACAGAGACATCAGATGATACAATGGCCGACATCGGCTTCAGGCTCTCAATGATATTGTCCAAGTGCTCCTTGACCAGGTCACGCCCGTTTGCCGATCCATACATCAGATTGGAGAAGAAGCGCATCGCTATCATTGCTAGCTTGTTGTTCGAGCGGACAAAATCAGGATCAAAAATGCCACTGCCCAGAATGCTTGCCACAATGTCCATCCCATCGGCGCTTGCGGAAGGGAATTGCTTCGCGGCAGCCGCAATGAATCGAAGTAGGTCAAGACCAGCGAGGCGGTTGGCAGGTGGTTGCCACTCAGTCACAATCTTCGTCAATACCGGAATCGCAGCTTCAAGACTTGGGGACGCTGCCAGGGATGGAGTGCTCTGGAAGTTGTATTTCTCCAACTGTTGGGTAACGGCCGTCAGGGTTTCAATCTCGTCCGACGACAGACGGCTGTCACTCTGGCCATACTCCGCGTTCTTCTTTACAATCTGTCCCATCGCTGCAGTTGGCTTGCCAATAACAACGGGTAGGTAGTCCTTTTGCGGAAGAAGTTTCTTGGCTGGAGGAGGGGCTGCTGGGTAGGATGATGTTGACACCTCGCCCGGTCTGTATCGATTCTCTGTGCCCCAAGGATCGGCACCAACAGGCTGTGACTGACCTAGTGTGGCCCCCTGAGTGTTCTTGATGATGAAGTTGGCTGTTTCTTCAAGATATGACAGCGGAAGCTCGTGGTCTTGAAGGAACTTGGTGGCAGCGTCGTATGGGTTCTGGGTGACGTTGTACGGCAGCTTCAGTGGAGGCTTGCCGTCCTCGATGTCAATATCGAAAACGTAGTCATATTCCTTTCCGTTGTAGGTAGTCTTTCCGCTTGAGCCAGCCGAATCCACAACTTGACCAATCTTAATCCATTGCTGCTGTGACATGGACCACTGGTACAAGCATGCACTGCCATCGTCTTCTTTGATAATCTGACTCTGACCTTCTTTTGTACCAGCTTTCCGTTGGAGGAACTCAGGGCCCGGGAGGTCCGTCATATTGATTGCGCCGACTTGTTGCTGTGGAATGCTTGATGCCTTGAGTGACTCTTCGAAGGATGCCAGCGTCTCTTGATCAGCCACTCTCTCCGGACTTCTGGTGAAGATTCTTGCCAGCTTGTCACTGGATCCGACAATGATATCGCCGTTAGGACAGGCAGACACACTCCAGACAGAGATTGCGGGTAATGTAATAACTTGAATGCAATTCGTGCCTTGCCATATCCGAACCGAACGATCCTCTCCGGAACTGACAATTTCGCCGGACGGCAGCACGGCCAAAGAATAGATGAATGATTCGTGTCCGAACAGTTCTGCCACAAGCTCCCCTTTCAAGGTCCATAGACGGATCACGCCGTCGTTTGACGAAGAAGCGATCTGAGCGCCAGTCGGATGTCCTTCAGGCAGCCTCGCAAGAGCGCGCACGATGTCTTTACCATCCCAGGACAGCAACATCTTGCCCCGAGTGTCAAAGACTCTAATCGCTCGGTCTGCACATCCAGTAACAATGGTATCCCGGTCATAAGCCAGCACAGCCCACACTGTAGCCGTATGGCCTGGCAAGTCCAGGGAAGCCTCCCATCTACCAATGGCCCATAACTTTGCCGTACTATCCCAACTGCCACTGACAAAGTAGCCGCCTCTTGCGCAGACATCCAAGGAACACACTTGGTTACTGTGTCCGACCATAATGGCATCTGCATTCACATCGGCGGTCAATGATGGCTGCCTGGCTTCGATGAGCGCATCTTGTCCCGAGGAGAGAATGAGACCATCCGGGTATTCCTTTTCCGGAGGGATATATGCCAGGCAGGTCTTGAATTGTGCACCCTGTGAGGATTCGGTGGGATCGTATCTGGGAGGACTGGTGGATGTCTGCTTCCATACACGGGTTGAGCCATCTCTCGAGGCAGTCACCGCAAAAGAAGGGTCTGGGAGAAGCACTGCTCGGACCTGCAGGGAGTTAACAAGGGAATCCTTTGAAAGCAGGACGCATCACATACATCGCTCTGGTGGCCACTGAGGACAGCACTCAGCTTAAAGTCTTGAGCCGCACCACTCATTTTGAGAGTTGATGTCACGATGAATGCATTTATTTGGCAGGATCAACTTAAATGAGAAGATAAATCGGGGAAAGGACGCACGATACGTCAAGTTGGAATAAACAGAGTCTCGCACCTTCAGCGTCTACGCTTCACAGCGCAAGATGATGACTGCGTTGCGGGAGATTGACATCCGCAGCCTTGTGACGTTATACGCTCAGCCTCGTGCTCCTTGGCGGGGCTGAATGGTTCCAGTTCGGCTGTAGGAGTCTTTGGACCACGCATCTCTCACCGCTCTATCTCCCTAAATACAAGTCAAGATATATCTCTGGTGATGTGAGGCAGTACACGTCCTTGTCCTTGTATGTTATGTTGTGCCTACAGACACCTGGACGATTGTGCTGTCTAATACTACGTGGCACCTCCGTCCCTGGGAATCATGGACGGTTTGACCGGAATCCTGCCTTTATTCCACGTCTTGATGTTGAGCTCAGCATACACACCCACCGATTAACAGCGCTAGCCATGTTGTTCAACCATTGTAACGATGTCTGCACAAACATACCAGAAAATACACCCTTATTTAGCCTGGCCAGCTCGGTACACTGCTGCCGTATGACAGCCGCTCTGTAGTTGTTTACCCTTATATTGTTTGATCATGTGTGCCTCAATTACTGGTCACAAGCGCCATTCTCAAGGCTGCTGGAGGCTTTACCAACAAGCGTTCGTTTATATCATTGCCTGGACAGCATGAGCGGTTCAAAGTCGACTCTTGCTAAATACGCCGAGGTAGAGAGACGCATGGCAGGAGATCACCAGAACATCGGTAACCTTCCACCAGAGGACGTGGAGATGCGGTCCTGACGAGCCCTACGCTCTATTGACTCGGAGATCAGCTCGTCGAAAAATGAAAGACTATAGAGTGGGAGAAAACAGGGTTTGCGACAGTGCCTTCGGACGGATGAGGACAGTAGGATACTCGCTGAATGATTCAATGATTGGCCTTCACACAAGGTTCATCAAGCCTTCTGGTGGTCAAACCCTACCCCTATGCTACCTAGGTAGATAGGACGGTGGCTCCATGGGCTCCGTGCCCGCTCATATCTGTGTCCCGTCACAACGCCATTGCCATGCCTGAATGTATGATATAGTACACCAATTAAGCCTTCTTCCCAGTCTTGCTCGGCTTCTTGCGAGCGATACTGTCACTTGCCCCAGTCTTCAACTTGAGCTTCAATGGTGGCTCCGAACTGGCACCTCTCGCACCTTTGGTCGGTGTCACGGAGATTGTGTCGCCATTTGCCTCCTTTAGAGGACTTGCTTCGCCCTGGTCATCCACGTTGTTGACCTCTTTCAACTTGCTCGGTCCAGAGCCTCCCTTCTTCTCGATCTTTTTGACATCGCCAGTCTTCTGTTTCTTCTTGTTGCCGCCGGGGCCATCATCATCGGCCTTCCTCTTGGTACTGTTGACGCCTGCTTTGGGCGAACTAGCTCTGGAATCCCTTGGTGTGCCACCGATCTTGGCATTTGCTTCTCGACCAGCGGCGCGATCCTTCTTAAGGTAGCAACTACCGTTCAGATGTGTCGCGAAGACGTTGACCGACTTCCAGTGATCTCCAAGGTGGGATTCTCGGTTCGGGCATTTCGCTGCAGGGAAGTCGATTTCCTTAAACTCAAACGAGTCATTGACCATTGACGAAGACGGTGTCAGCGGGTCGGAGTTCTCGGAAGCGGGCGATGCTGGATCGTTCTTCTTCTTGTTCTTGCCCTTGGCCTGTCCCTTGACCTTGACTCCTTTTCTGCGCTGTCCGTGGACGTCATGTTTGTCGAGGATGATCATCGGTTCCGTCTTGCAATACTGCTCTGTGGGATCCGGCACGGGCCGCGAGTTGAATCCTACCCGGGGATAAAGAAGGCGGCGGAGTCGGCAATTCGGACATCTGATGTGCTTGACGGTTTTCATTGGATTGCCTTTGAGCTGGACTTTGCCAGCCTTGAGAATGGCGGCTTCTGTCTCCACCGGCTCATCGTCCGCCGTAGCGTCGTCGTGAGCACTTCTAAGCTTCTCGGCTTTCTGTTCGACCTCAATAGCAGCCGTCTGCATCCGAGCAATCTTCTCTTCTTGGTGTATCTCCAGAAGCATGTCATGGAGAATGCTCTCAATGGAGCGGTCCAAGAGATATGCGAACTGTAACAGTTAGCGGGTACGGCGGCTCAGGAGCAGGGGGAACCAACTGCTTGTTCTTGGTCCGCCACCGAAAGGTCCACAGAAGGATTCGAGTCTGCTGCGGAGGAAGCCATGCTGGTAGAGTCTTTTACTGGTGGTGGTAAGTCAGCCGTGATTTCCTCGTCATTGTCGAAGCGCTTCCACAAGTCCTCGTCAACCGCGCTGTTGGACAACAGGGACGAGTATGCCCGTCTCGGAGCCATGGTGAGCAACAACGACAGGACCGTTTGAAGATATGACTGAAGACTTTGCGAGTACAGGAATGGAAGGGTATTTTTATATAGCAGAAGTTTGCAAAAGAGTTCATGGTGGACGAAGGGCAGATTTATATAGCTGGACATGATGGAACGCCAGTGACAAGACCTCAATAGCCAGATCGGGAGGCCTTGTGTTTTAAAGTGCTCTCAATGGCATATTCACTTACTATTGTTGTGTTGTGAATCGAGTCTTTGCACACGCGCTCTTCTATTCAACACCTGCAGCTGGCTGCCGTATCCGCCTGCTCTATTCACTGATATTCCATTCTTGTGTTCATCTTTTGCACCGTACAATACTACTCGAGGCCACGAGGGACGTTTCCCTTTCTAGAAGGGGAGCTGTATTGTCGCAATCAATAGGATGCCGCAATGGCCCAAGGGCTCACAAGATTCGAGGCGTGCCTTGGCGGTCGAACGGCGCTGGCGAAGGATTGTCTGAACACAGGGTGAATTGGTTGTGAGGACCAGAGAATTCACAGCACTGGCACCAGGAAGGCACCCGACAATATTTGCGTATCTGGTGTACGTCGACTGGTAACTGATTGCACAAAGTTGGGTGCGGCGAAGATGGAGAACATTCAAGTTGTGAAATGCGGGCTGGCGGCTTCAGAGAGCGCTAAGAACATTCCGGGACTAGTGCAGATCAAGCATCAATAAGCTTTGTTTTAGCGGCGGATACTCCCGTCGTCAAAAATTGCCCTGAAAGGACGTGACGCGCTTCTTACATCCCGCTACTCGACCGACATACCGTACCAAACTCAAGGTACCGGGGTACCTACCTGGTATGCGTAGAGGATACGTGATATACAGGTGTTTCATCTGAGTTCTGCGCTGGAAGCTGTCGAGTCGGGGTATAACTTTCACATTTGGGCTCCTTCCGGAGACCAGGCACACGTTGGCGGCTGAAGGCTAGCACGCATGCCAGCAGATATGCCTCAGGCCAGCCTCCTTTCGTATTTTTCGAAGCCCACTACGTCTGCCACCGAGCTACAACGGCGCAAGGTAGGGCAGAGTGTTGGAGATGATAAGCCGGTGTCTATTGGCATGCCAACAGTCCCAAGCACTCAACAAGCAGATATCCCAGGCATAGCAGAGGGAATAAATCATCGGTCGGCAAAGCAAGCAGCCACAGGTCGTACTAGTACTGAAAAAAGAGATACAAATCTTGAAGACCAGGGCACAAACGAGACCAGTTTCGAAGAGCTGCCTGACCAGTCTTTATCACGAATAATTCATGTCCCACACCTTCCGGGCGCCTTCATCACGACAATCCAGAAAGCGCATATCCCTGCAATCCAACGCCTCACCAGTACCACCTTGCCTGTTCGCTACGGCGAAAACTTTTTTACGTCCACTCTCTCCGAGCCTGTCGTCTTTCAGTTGTCCAGAGTCGTCCTCTACGGCTCCGACCCAGTTGGCTGGATACGATGCCGGCTGGAGCCATGTTCCGCCAATCACAGTGCCCCTTTATCAGAACAGGGGCCTTCGCAGATATACATTCAAGCCCTGGCACTACTGTCACCGTATCGTGGCCTTGGACTTGCGACGATCCTCCTTGACGCGGTACTGCGTTCGCCGATTGCCCAGGCCGACAGCACGGTTTGCATCTACGCGCATGTGTGGGAAAAGAACGAAGACGCTCTTGATTGGTATGCGAAACGGGGTTTCAAGCGTGTCATGCTGCTCGAGAGGTATTATAAAAGACTCAGACCCGGCGGAGCATGGATTGTGAGGAAAGAATTAGATGCGGGTTAAGAAGAGTTGCTTCGCCAGTTTTCAATCATATATCTGACCATCAAGCCGTGCCGGTCTTGTACAGGGTCAGTGACACACACAGACGGAGAGGAAACGATCTCCCGCCAATGGATAATTTGCGACGGGTGTTTACAGATCTCGGGATCTCTTGGTTCCTGGAGACATCGCCAAACGTGAGAAAGCGGCAAAGTCCTGCAGAGATGTGCAGCCCCGGACCCTGAGCCGCAATTCGACGACCAAGCCACGGTCGAAGAGCGTCTGGAAGAACGAGAAGACCCCGGTGTTCAACGCTTAGTCAACGCATATCTCACCGCGCTCTACTTCTCGAACTACCCTTGGGATTGCCATAGAGCAAATTTGCTAGCATGATGGATAGTGTTCCAGTTGGACAGCTTCACCTTTATGGTCGAAGTCCTCCGACACTACGCGATAACCGCTCGGGGATCGGACTGATCCGCCGATCACGAAGCTTCAGCGCGACTTCGGAATTGTTTTGAGGCCTGCGGCCCATGTAAGGAATATTGGATAGTGTCCTCGGAGATGCCGATCGATCCCATTCTCCTTGAGTCTAGTATATACACTCGACCGAGCCTTCGGACAGGAAGCATGAACATAATGGCGCATGCAATCAAAGCACGGATTCAACATAATTCTCCTCCATTTTCCGTACCTCGCGTTTGAAGATTTCCACCTCCTTCCAGCAGTCGAGTGGTCGTCTATCGTTTATTCTTAGGCAGTTGACCACATCTTGTCTCCTACGCAGCCGCATCACGTTAGCTCTGAATCTCCATAGACTATTTTCCACAGCTGGCGTATGGGATCGTAGACGTACGCTGATTCCACTTCCTTGGGGAGTTCCTTTAATGTTTTCCGCTGACCTAGCGTCTGCTTGAGCTTCTCGATTTCTTGTTGCACTTTCTGCGAGCTCTGGGCTCTGCGTTGCTTTTCCTCGTCGCTTTCGGAGCTGAGCAGGTTTTTCGGGGATATCGAGGGTATTTGAAGGAGTGAATCCGAAGACTTTGCCGAAGACTTTGCCGAATCCTTCTCTTCTCCTTCGGCGATCTTCTTGCGGGCCTCCTCTAGGAGAGCGGATTCATGTTTCTGTACTTTTTCTAACTCTTCGGAGACGCGTTGAGCAATGTGAAGTTCTAACGCCTTTGCGCGGGTTGAATTTGTCTGCAGTAAGCACTGTAAGTATGGTATTCTCGGGCATTACAAGATGCTAAAGACATGGCGGGCCAGAGATCGGTCATACTTCTGATGATGCTTGGAGGGAGTCGAGTAATCTGTAGAGCGGTCAGCAGGGACCCCGAGGAGCGCAGCACCCTAATGAAAGCGCGGGAGTATAATAGAACGGGCACGCACTCTTGGGAAAACTGGATAGGTGTGTCACTGGCAAAGACATGCTTGGTAGACACGTCGGGTTTGGATTGACCTGCGCCCATGTTGGGCAATGGCTGCTGCTTCTTCACTTATGAAAGGTTCCTGGTGATGGGACCTGGCATTCCCCAAGTATAGGACAAGCACACGCAGCTGAAGAGAAGATACCTAGGTAGAGAGTCTTCAGAAATGCTTTGTTATCCACCTGACACCCTCAGAAGCCAACGAATGTCGACCTCAAGCTCCCAATGCAGCCGGCGCCGGCATACGGAAAAACTTCCTTGGCACCTCCAAGTTCAGCCTCGTCCTCTTTTGGATTACATTGCTGCCGCTCTATATGCCTTGTCTACCAGGAGGGGGTTCTATCGAGGCTCCTTAGGACTGGGATCAGCTGCAGAGTGAAGCTCAGCTGTCCACATCGGCACATCCCTTGCTGGAACAGGGAATGTTAGATCATCTTTTCGCCTGAGAGAGGCTGGAGCATCTCACCTTGCAATAACTTCAGGCAGTCCAAGTGGGGGATATGCTGCACCAGGTGTAAAGCAGCGATAGTACTGTCTAGGAATGGATAGGTCGCATGCGGGGGCACTATAATCGCGAGTCTAAACTCGGACGCGACGCTCGACTCACGCGTCAAACTGCCAGAGTTGCAACCTCATCCCTTGAATGAGTTTGCCAGCCTAAGAAGTCCCCATCATCGCTACTACCCTATTTGAATATTTGCAATCGGTTGAGATGCTAGCCGGCTTAGTATCTCACGGATCCAGACTGCGAGATGTCTGACAGTTCTGAACAGCTGGACGCGGGGTCGTCACAGCCTCCTTTGGTGGCCGATAACCAGAAACAATGCAGTGCTATAGGCCTGGCGGATAACAAGCCATGCGGCATGCAAGCCACTTCTGCCAATGGCCTTTTCTGCTATTTTCATTCAAAGCAATGCTATGGTAAGCCGTCTCTGTTTTACAAAGGAGTTTCTTGGTAAAGCCACAGAGTTGTTGCTGGGCGGACGCTCCTATCCCGGGCTCACTAGTAATTGGAACTCAAGCCGATGCATACACCTGATGCATCTCATCGCTCTCTGCTGCAGCCAGTGAGGTGTACTGATGGTGTCTGGTTCAATCAGGCTTATATAAGGGTTACAAGCGCCGCAATGCACAACTCGATGCCCTCGCAGAGACGGCCCCCGCCTATCTGGCCAACAGCCGCAAGCCTCTGGCAAGCCTGGACTTTTTGGACTTGAGCGACGAAAGGCAGCTGGAAGAAATCCAGCACCACCTCTTTCATCAATATACTCTCCTAGACCGTGTCATCAGGGCACGAAAACTCCACCATACTCACTTCTACGCGCAAACCATGGATTACGGCCATGAAAAGTACCTCAACTCTCTGATCACACAGAAGCTCACTGCTTTGAGAGCCTTGGAGCGGGTAGTCCATCGTAGGGCGGAGGTATTGTATCATCACCGGAGCTGGTACAGCTGGACACGCGAGTATCAGCAAGAGATCGACAATCAGCGTGAAACCGAACAAAAGAGAGTCAAGCGCGAAGCAGCTCTTTTCCGACGCCAAGCGAAAGAGATCCAGCGACGTATGCAAGAATTGCGGGCCAAGGAAGACGCCCAACGGCAAGAGGAGTATCTAGAACAGGCGTATCAGCAGAGGCTCGCTGAAGAGTCGGATGCCGAATCATGGGATCCAATCGAGGATGTTCTGGAGAATGAACGTGGGACCTATGTTGATCTCATCACGCACTTCCTGTGGTTAAAGGACCAAAGTCCGGAATCTACCATTCCGGACTCCACAACGCTGAGGGAAGGCACAGCTGCAAACAAGTCTGAGAAGGAAAACAGTCAATCAATCCACAGACCAGGTGGAGAAGAGGCCCTCCCAGTGCCGGAAAAAGAACCATCGGGGCCACAGAAAGCCAGAAAGAAGAAAAAGGGCGCAAAGCACAAAAAGACCCAGGAGAAGTCGAATCAGGATTCGGAATTAGTCGCGGTCAACTCTGTCAAGGAGACATCTTCTCCCCGCTCTCGGTCTACGCCGGTTGTTACGAGCACCCCACCACAGCGTCCTGATAAGGAGCCCGACTACTCACAGATTGAAAGTCGTGAAGAAATGCGATCGAGGCTTCTCCAAGGAACCAAGATAAGGCAGGTGATCGTGATGAGCAAAGAGGAAAGGCTTGAGCGTATGCCGCCAATGCCCGCGCCAGAGGTTGACCGCCTCCTTGAAGAAATTGCAGAGATCAAGAGCTATCTTTTCTGCCGCCTCTTACTGGGAAACTCGGTTCTTTTACCCTCGGCTATGAAAGCCGCCAATTTCCAGGAGCTCTTCAATGACCCCGAAGTGAAAACTCAGGATCTACGAGACTTATGTCTGAAACTAGAGCAGCCTCAGCTGCAAGAAATTCGAGACGCTTGTGCAGATTTCTTTCGCCGAGATGGAGCGACGGAAGAAGGGCCAGAAGAGGATTCAGACGAGGGTGACAGCTCAGAAGACGATGTAGACGACGCTCCTGTAAGGAAAAGAAAGAGCAAACACCCACTTCCTCCAGTATGGCAGTCAAAGAGAGAAAAGGCAAAGAAAGCGGCTGGCAAAAGACCTCCTCCAGAGATGATGGAGGCTTTGAAGCATATGGATGCCACAGAACAAGAACCGGGAAGTCGTATTGACTTTGGTGCAATGAACGACGCTCGAAATATCAAGCAGACCAATTCGCGAGTCAAGATATGCGGTCGTTACATCTACAACTATCCAAGTGAGAGCCGGCTCAGCCGCGGTGGCTGGCTGCACTTCAACATTATTGCAAAAGACTGCAGTCTGTTCAAAGCCGTCGAACTTTGCAAGTCATGGGACGAGTTTTATGAGCTGAGCTTACTGACAGTCTATGTTTATTTCCCATCTCCGCAGTGGCTCCGCTGGGCCGTAGGGTCAATCAGACAGCACTATCTCCACGCAGTAAGTATACTCCAAAATCCCGGCGGTGTGCGGAGCTCTGAATTTCGAGTGCACTTGTTCTGGCTGCTGTCTCAGCTCTTTCTCAATTGTGGGTTGAGTACTGACGTGGTTCAGGGCTTTGTTCCATTCTATGTATCGGATGATACAAGTGAGATCAATGTTTAAAAAAGCGGACGGAGCCTCCAGGGGCGTCGTATACATGCCTCAAGAGAAAGCAGAAGCTTCATTTGTGCTCAAATGAGGCGAAATGACCCAGTCAGCCGCGCATTTATACAAAAGGCTTCCATGTACTCGTCACAAGTGTTCATATTGGTAAGAGACGGCAAGACAGGCCGCATCCTTGTAGAGCCCCCTGAAGAAGAATTATGGCTCGTCCGCCAAAGGTCCGGTTATGGACGTGCATCACGGTCGGAATGGGAGACTATCCGGTACGTTGGCCCACGGTTCTTCGAGGAAATGGAGCGCCATCGCAGTTTCAGATTGGGGTTCGACGATTACTATGACATTTACATCTGGAACTCCAACCCCAAGGACGAGCGGGATGTGCTATGGTAACAAAGGTAAGACGACTTCTTCTTCTATCAGGCTATGTGATAACCAATTATATCTAGCTTCTCTACAAAGCTCGTCGGGTCCGCCGGCCAGAGGACTTCTACAGTGAAGCAGCCCCATATTTGAAGACATTGACCGTCGACAAGGGTAGTTTTCGAGCCCGTGATGTCCGAGAAAATGAAAATGTCCCTACAATCTGGGACGAAACGCAGGAGAGTTGTAACGTTTTTTCAATGACAATGCCTGATAGTCAGATCTTGAAAACGATGCCAAAACAGCTCGTGTACACTGAAGCGGATGCTCTTGAAGATGCAATCCTTTTTCCCGAGGAGAATGACGGAGCTCCTCGCCGCCGTCGTTTCAAAGCACTCGAGAGTGAGCTGTCAAGGTTCGAGGATGCTCGATCCGCAACAGTCGTGCTCGACCAATGGATCAACAACGACGGCCAACCAGAACTTGCTGATTCCGACAACCCTGACATGGATTCTGCTTACGACTCTGAGGAAGAAGATGACGACCCGGAGCCGCACGACAAAGAATGGACGGATGTTGAGCCAGATAACGACGAGAATGACCAGTAAGTATTATTGCTCTTGTATCATCTGCTCGCAGTCTCTCGACACCCTTTACTGGTTCCGATGACCATGTGGTATTGCGTACAAACGTGTTCGATTCTGATTGTCGTACAGTATGGATCGAGAGTTGCTCGAGAGACTGGTTCGCCAGCTTGACAAGACATCCGAGATCCTGGATTCCTTTCCTCCTTATCTAGCCCCCAACGAGTTTGATGAGCTTGACGAGTCCGAGGATGAGTTTGATGTTGAGGACGATTTTATGATGTTTGTGGATTTGTGGAAATCGAGGAGTAAGCAATACTTTGCCGCTTGATCTTTTGACTCTTATCGTATTGACCAACAACGACAATTGCAGTATTCAAAAAAGCCTGGCACAATTCTGATCTGGAGCCAGGTGCTCAAGCTCGCTGGGAGGAATATATTGCCCTACGGGCCGAAGCTACGGAGGACTTTATCGTCAGGGAGAACACCTGCGTGCCATGTGCACAGATGTTGAAATTCCTCGACTATCACCCGGAAACACACAGTCGCGTGATGAGGGACGCTGTGCGAGCCTACATCATCGTATGGCTCTTCAGCTCTAAAGCTCCTGCTTTTTTCAACAGCAAAGCAGGTTCCAAGTTCAAATCGTCCAAGCTGTTTACACAAGAAGAACGTTCCAAGGAGCCACCGGATCGCCGAAGTGGTCAAAGTTGTCGATATAGAGATGATTCGTTTTACCACGATCTTGATAAGCAGCTCGTCGATTACCAACGCGGCCCTTTCAAGGATGACTACAGTGAATTGCCCTACGAGTGGGACATGGTTATCCGACCAAAGATTGCTCAATGTATGTTGACGGCATCCTTGTCTTTATCCAATTTATCACGTGTTGTGACTGACATGCGCGGGCAGTTTTCAAAAACGGGCTCATCCACGCCGCCCATAAGCCTTTCGAGCAGGTTCTCGGAACAGCATTTGCAGCGCAAGAAGAAGGACGACCGCACGATCTCTTCTTTGATTTCCGTGGCTGGATGAAGCAACTCAACATGAACAAGGCCCTGAGCAATCCCTACGACATCTCCATCGACTCGCTTCGGCAGGATGCCACCAACTTCGCCAAACGTTGGCCAAGGGCTAAGTTCGCTCTTCTTCGGCTGTGGTCGGCGCCTCACTTCTACCCTTACATGCTCGGTCCCAACAACCGAGACATGAATTCCTTTGTGGACGCCATTGGCCGGACTTGGACATGGAAATTCCTTCCAAAAGACATGGCATTCTCGGAGTGGAGTGTCCATTACAATGTGACCGAGAGGCTGAGACCATTTATGGATCGGTTTCGCTTTTTCGGCGATCCCAAAGTCCGAGTCAGAAAGGACGTGGTACTTGTCATGGGTGCGAATGAGGAAGAACTTTTGAAGCTTGCGGCTTCGGTGACTTTCCTCATTCAGACAAGACCTTGGAGAACGGAGATCGATTTCTGGAAGAGCTTCGTTAATGTCGACGAGCAGTTTTTGACGAGTTTGCATGAGGTTTGGTGGGCATAGTGGGCTTTTACCGAATTGCTCCCCACTAGGGGTGGTGAACAGCTGGCTGCGAAGGACGCCATCCGGACCCGTCCATCATTTGTCCCGAACACATGAGGATCTGCACCTCTTGTTCCTGATCGAGTTGATCTCGATCAGTCTGCCACAAGTGCTGCGGCGTCAGATGTTGGAGACATTGAAAAGAGACCTGTATGCAGAGCTCATGCCTGATTTCGCTCATTCACTGCTTCTACATTTTCTTCACTTACAACCGTACCACATGTGCATTTTCCCGGAGTTCCGGCCCTGATCATAATAGGGACCTGCTTTACCGATCTTGAAATTTCTGCCTTACTTCCCCCACCTCCCCCTTCTTCCCCTTCCCTGCCACTAAGCATATTTTGGGCTGAGCTGACTTTATATCTTCCTTTTTTACATTCGTACCCAGAGGTAAGCTCTGTCACCGAGCACATGCCGTTGGGCTAACCGACTTTCAACGCATTTCCAGACGTGGGGAATCCCATCAACCAGCGAGTTCTCCATTCCACGGATTCTACTCAAGTCCCCTTGCTTCCAAGGTCCCGAGTCTCAGACAGATCCCCTCCCATTCGTTCGTCTTACTTTCTTGTTGGACGCTGCGATTGTTACCCAGGAGCCAGAGACGTGGAACTGAAACGCCCATCAACTGGCAGTCACTGTCTCCTCCAGTACCCACTCGGTTCCACGAGACCAGAGCACGAATCACTGACAGCCTTTCTCACTTTTTGTTGGTGGTATATGCGTCCTGTGGTCTCAATGCAGTGAACAGACAGTTATTGTCTCTATTGTACTGCATCCCTAAATGTTTGTTCTCAGGCTGACAATAGCAAGGCTGAGTCTAGTCCCGTGACTGCAGCACAAGGCTGAGACCGAAGTTTACCCGACAAGGCTCGCATCCCTTGTTTCAAACATCACCTAACCACGTTTCAACCCTGTGATCTTTAGCAACTGACCTGACCGCATGCACCCATTCACATCCCTCATAGTCGGGCTACTTACCGCATCCAGAAGGGCATAATACCTCGTCTTTCAGGTTTCCCTCCCACTTCCTTCAACATATCTAGATCCACAACGGATCTCAACCCTTTCATCCCACAACCCCTTTCTTTCGCTCTTTCAGGGACATCTGTCTACCCTGGTCAAAATAAGTGAGTAACCTCTCTCATCATACAGAGCAATGCAGGCACAGAGCAGTTTGCAGGCACACCTTGCTTGTTCAAAGATGGCAACACCTGAGTTTGAAGTCCAGCGGATCTCTCCCCCGGACCAAGATCCGCTCCGGGGTCACCGCTTAGTCGTCAAGCCATGCGCTGCTGAGTCGTCAAGCCATGCGCTGCTGAGTTGTCAAGCCATGCAGTGCTTAGTCGTCGAGCTGTGCTGAGTCGTCAAGCCCTGTCCCAACATCGGCGCTGATGTCAGCCACTGCGCTTCCCACGCTCACATGACCAAACATCCAAACACCAAAGACCAATGGACCGCAAAGACCGAAAAGTCCAAACATAGCCAGCCAAGGCTACAGGGACATGTGTTCAGACAGCGAGAGATAAAGAGACAGTCCTTGTCCCTTGCTCATCGCTGTGCTGGACCACATTGAACCAGTGACAAAGGCAAAAAAAAAGCAAAAACCAACTGGGACAGAGGACTTCAACAGGCATACTCTGACAAACTACTCATACACTGCCTGTGAAGCCATTTCCCCCCAGTTGGCAACAGAAATTGAACTACAATAATCTATATGCTACCAGACCCACCACCATACTCAATAAAACTCGGCTTCCTACAGGCCCATGGCACTCCAATGAGAACGTATATTGTCCTGAAGGAATTGCATTCTCAAATCCAATGCAGGAGAGGCAGAAGCAAAAAGAAAGAAAAAAAAGCAAAAAAGGAAAAAACCAACTGGGACAGATAACCGCAGCAGGCACACTCTGACAAACTACTCATACACTGCCTGTGCAGCCATCTCCCCCAGTTGGCAACAGGAATTGGGCAACAATAATCTATATGCTGCCATTCTTCACTTCTGATCATCACCACGGTCAACAAACTCGGTTTCTTACAAGTCTATGGCATTCCAATGCCCCAAGATACGTCTGGTACGGTCCTGAAGGCATTGAATTGTCAAACTGATGCAGGAAAGGCAGAAGCCAAAAAATGAAAATGCCAAAAAAAAAAAAAGCAAAAACCAACTGGGACAGACGACTTCGACAGGCGCACTCTGACAGACACACTCTGACAAATTACTCATACACTGCCTGCGAAGCCATCTCCCCCAGTTGGTACCAGAAATTGGACGACAATAACCTATATGCTACTATTTCCCAAGGGCCCCACCCGGTCCACCACCACCATCAACAGAATTCGGTTTCGTACACGTCTATGGCATTCCAATGCCAAAAAATGGTCTTGCATGCCCTGAAGGCATTGCATCTTCCATCCAATGCAGGAAACGCAGAAGCAAAAAAAGAGCCCCCGAAAAAAATCGACTGGACGGGCCCCGAGCAACTCCGACTCGGACAATACTACTCAAACACGAGCCACATCAGAGACACTGCCCAGCCGATTGAGGGTAAATTTGGGCATTGCAGTCTATACACTACTATTTTTCCCGAATTCCCGCAGTGCACCACTACCGCGATCAACAAAACACGGGTTTGTGCAGCCGAGGCATTGCAATGAGTCTTGTATGGTGCCGAAGGCAATCTATACCACCACTGACCAGAAGAATGGTTTGGTATGGCTCCGAGGCATTCCAATGAATCTTGTATGGACCTGCAGGCATCGCATTGCATTCTCAAGCCAATGCAAAATAAAAAGGCAAAAATTCGAAAAGGCAAAAAGGGATAACCCCCCTCCGAACGAGTGAAGGAGGAGGGGATCGGCTGGAGGGGTTCTTCTAACGGACTGCTATAAGGTATAGTACCCAGACAAATTATAGGTGAGTAAACTCAAACAAGAAGAAGGTATGTTACTCTGACAAGTATACTCATACAAGAGAAGGTGTGTACTACTCTGACAAATTATACTCATACAAGAGAAGGTATACCACTCAGACAAGTATACTCAAACAAGCAGTCCGTTAGAGTCACCGATCCAACCGATCGAAAGCAAATTGCGGGAGTGTAAAACATATGTTTCTGAATTCTGTCTGGATCCACGTCAACAGAATCCATTGGTGTGAGCGGGTTTTCTGACCTCTGCTACTTTCTCTAGGCCGGCCGGGGTCCAGGATCTGGCTTTTTCCGCAGCGTACTATATGCATCCGTGGTCACTGGCAGTGATTATCTAGGTGCTCTACTGGTGGTCACATGTTGTTCGTGCTGAGGCTTCTTAGGTGTGCCTACCTAGGTATGCAGGTACTACCCAGAAACAAGCATTGAAACAGATAAAGAAAGATGCAAATACAACTGCAAACTCACAGCATTGGACAGTGCAGGCACATCAATGGGCACAACTGCAGAATCACAGCATTTACCAGAACAAGCACAAGCAAGAGGCACAGCATCTACCAGAACGAGCACAAGCAAGAGGCACAAGCAACAGCCACACTCAAACACACAAGGAACCAAATACAGCACTGGACCAAAAGGCAGAATGATTTCATTGAAAGCTCTGGAAATAAACACACAGGTAGCCAACTAATCACAAACAATACAATCCCTGGCCGCATGCACAACATTACTAGTATACTACAGTCTACTTCCATCTCACCCCCAGCCGATTCCAATACAATGGCCAAAATTCACACAGGTAAGTCAACGAACTCAACCCGAATACTAGTACCTTACAACTGACAGACCCAGAGCAGGTGAAGGAGCCTCACTTCCACTTGTCCTCCCGGGCCTCCCTGCATATCACTCCACATACAACCAAGGTCTTAGACATTCATTCCATCAATCAATCAATCAATCAATCTACACAGCCTGCAAAGTTCAGTTCACAAGCAAGAGTAACGATTAAGCAAGAAAAGGAAACCTGGCTGGGACCGGAGTGAACCACCTTCTACTGCCAGAGCACCCACCCCCATCATACTAGTATCGACCGTTGAACATTCCTGGGCATATACTTTCTTTCAGAGGTGCAATGCACTCCATGTCACCGTCAGAAAGGAAAGCCAGTTAACAGCAGATAAAAATCAAGACGAAAAAGACCTTCAACAAGCTGCAACTTAAGCTGGGCTGGTCCTGTACAGTACAACCTGGGTGGCAACAGGTTACAGGGGCTAACCCGCAAATGAACCTAATTTAGTACCAGATCAATTGAAAACGGTCGAGTCCTTCAAGTTCCTTTTGACCGCTTCAAACTGAATCAAACTCTCCTGTACAAGAGGCAAAAGCACAATGTGCATGTTAAAGTTGAGCTCAACTAGTATTAGACAATGTATCAAGCCGAGGGCTGCATTGCATTGCCCAAAAGCACACTGTCAATGTGCAAGTTCTTCCTTTCCTCCCAACCATCTCTATCCTGTCAACTAGACTCTTACTCCAACAACAGCGCTGCAAAAGAATGTACCAGAGGGCGAAAGCCAGTCCAGACTCCAGACCTGCCTCAACAACACTCAAAATCAAACAGCCTGCTGAGCAACATAAAGCCTCCTACAAACCCGAAACTTTGAGACTATGCTCGATGCCCCTCTTTCTCTGTGCATCCAGCACCAGCAACCCTCGTTCCTTCATGACGGCTTCGATTGTCTCAACAACCTTGTAGAAGCTGCTGGCCGCACCCTTCTCCTGGGTGAATTTCATGACACTCAAGTGGGCTTTTCGACCATGCTCGAGGACTGAATACAGATACGCATGGAAATGAACCGGTTTCAGTGAAAGATCTGTGAGGTTAGCAGCTGGGATTGTAGTAATCCGGGACAGGCACTCACAGTTAGAAGCATCAACACGACCTCGGATGACATCGGCGCCTCCACGACGTTCATTGACAATATCCTTCAATCCATACTTTCTCCATTCCTTTAAGAGCTTGACGAGCTCCCTCCTAGCTCTTCCTTTCGTGATCTGGACACAGATCACTCGAGTGGCGGGTTTGATGTGGAAGAATTTGGCGAACCAATTCTGGCTGATTTCTATGGGCCCAACTGCTGCTGCCGCAGCCGCAGCATCGACGCTCGTGGCTGGAGGATAAGTTTTGGGTGGTCCAACTTGGATTTCAGAACAGTTGTCCGGCCCCTCTTCATGATCGGCATCGTCATACCCGATTTCACTCGACAGGTCTCGCACGATACGATGCTCTAGGGGCTGGGTCAACTGAGCCTCCTTTGCTCTTGAAGTTTTCCCGAACATCTTCTGAAACCACTTTCTCTTCTTTTCCATATTCAACTCGACATCAACTGATTCGGTATCACAGCCTCTGGCTCCCTCGAGAGTCGAAGAAGCGCCTGATTCGCGAGGTTGCACAACCTGCGATCCTTGGGGGTCAGTGGTGTCAGAAACATTCTCCAAGGAAGGCGCCGTCTCGGGCGGATCCTGTGCACCCGACGTACGCTTCCCAAGCCATGACCACTTGCGAGCCGCAGCCTTCTTCGGTGAGGCGGGGATTTCTTCAATTGTGTCCAATCCAGCTTTGACAAAGAGCCGAGGATCATACCCACCGCGCTCTTGTTGAAGTTCGGTCGGGCCACCACGTAGAGAGTTGATGGGCATAGCTTTGTTCTTACGAACTTTCAGAGGCTCGATGCGAGCCAAAGGTGAAGTTGGATCAGGGGTGACAAGTCGAATGGTGTTCTCCTGTCGAGCCCGCGGTGTCTTGTATTTGACAGGATCTGATGCCGCCCTAGAACTCTCCTCGCGGTTGCGCCTCAAGTCATCCATGGTATTTGACGGAGACACAGCGCGGTAGTATCTCCCGTTGACACTGTTGTGAGTAGGATCGGACGCTGCTCGCTTTTCGTGGCTTCTCTGCTTTTCCAACTCGCTGTCGATGCGCTTATCGACAGCAGCAAGCATATCAGCAAGCACAGTTGGATCAGCGTCTCCCCAAGTCTCGATGATCTTCTGCCGGCGCTCGATCAACTCTTGAAGAACTGGCGTGGCCGGAAGAGGACGATCTCGGATGTTGCCTGATAGCCTCGCATTGTGTGCGGAAACTGACGTTAATGACGAGTCCAATGGCGCATGCGGGCTCACTTCACTCTCTGTGGACACTGAAGACCGGTTGAATGCTTCTTCACAGATTTTCCCCAGCTCCGCGCTCACCTTTCGTGTTTCGTCTTTCCAGTAATAGCTCGCGACCCTAGGCTTCTTCACATCTATCTCGGAGCTGGACTTGCGGGGGCGGTAGTCATGTGGCGGCGTGGGTAAGCTTGGTGTACTCTGGGTTTCGGACCAAGGGGCAATCGTGCTGCGTGTCTGTGGCCGTTCGGAAAGCCCACTCTCATGCACCAATGCCCGTGAATGTGCTCGGGTACCTCCGGTAAGACCTTGGCGTCGGTGAGCGAAATTGACTTGCCGCTTGTAGCTTACTGACTTTCTGATTCGGGGATGTCGTCTCGCACTCGATAGAGAGCTTCTAGATGTTGCAGTAGAGTACGAGGCTCGCTTCTTGTGAGCCAGTCTGTCAAGATCCTCTGAAGTGAAGCTAGGAAGAGCCGGGACGTGATCCTCATCGCGCTGTATAGCCCTCCGTCTCATGCTCCCAGCAGAACTTACCGACTGGCCATCAGGGGTAATGGCACCACGACGGACAACAACTGTAGCCCGGGTTTGGCTACTTTCTGTGATCGGAGTTCTTGAAGCACGGTACGGGTCATAACTGCTCTGGGTCGCCTTGCTCGTGGCTGTTGCGGGATTTTTGTAGTATCCTTCACGCTTGTTGTTGTCATCGCTGACAATCGAGAACTGAGAAGCCCGGCGGCCATGACCACGGCCGCGCTTCTTCGGTTGTGGAGCTGGTTTGGTCAAATGATGGTAGTCGCTAGCAGAGTAATGAAGAGGATCACCGGGGTAGTTTTCAAGTTGATCCTCTCGGAACTTGATCAAGGCCCAATAGAAAAGCTTTTCATGGTTTGCCTCCTCGCTCATCAGTCGTTCAACCAGCTCCTCAATCTTCTGGCCATGCCATAGGGTTGCAAGATTTCGCAGAACCTCGGGGTCGATGTCGGATCGTTTAGTGACACGCTTCGCTTGGTACTCACTATTTGCAGACCGCGCCGTCTGAGGTTGGGGTGGAACAAGGCTCGCATGGTATTTTTCGTACTTGCGAAGGAGCGGATGGGACCGGATCTGCTCCATAGTGATTCTCTTTTCTGGTCTCTTTTGCAAAATACGCTGGATCAGGTCGGATGCTTCCACACTTAAACTTGGAGGTAGAAAGTATTCCCCTTTCTTGACGAGACGCAAAGTATTTGGCAGCGTGCCTCCATCGAATGGCAGAAAGCCATTAAGCATGGCAAAGAGGATAATACCAGTGCTCCAGATGTCGGCCTTGTCGCCGCGGTATCGGTCGCCTTGGATGATTTCGGGTGCAGCGTAGTGTGGGCTCCCGCATGAGGTGTTCAGCCAGGTCCCGTCCGGCTGGAGAGCAGCCATGCCAAAGTCGGCGAGCTTGACGTTTCGATGGTTATCAAGGAGTATGTTCTCAGGTTTGAGGTCTCGATGGCAGATGTTGAAGCCATGGCAATAGGATAGGCCTGCGATGATCTGTCGGTAGAGTCTGACAGCTTCCTCCTCCGGAAGAGCACCGTTGCTGGAGACGTAATCGAACAGTTCTCCCCCAGACACGAATTCGAGGACCAGGTAGAGCTCGCCTCGGTTCTCCCAAATGTCATAGAGGTTGATGATGTTTGGATGTTCAATCAATTTCATGATCACGACCTCGCGCTCGATCCCAAATGGCATGGTTCTGGGGCCTGTTGCGATCATTGCCCTGCTTTCCTCGGTGTCCATACGAGCCATACTCGCACTCTGCACCAAAGCAGCGGACTTCTTTGAGACGATCTTGATTGCCGCAACCTGGCCGGTCAAGGAGTGTTTCGCAAGGCGAACTCTGCCAGTGGCACCCTTGCCGAGCGTCTTTCCAAGCTGCCATGGTCCGACGTGGGTCTTTCTCTTTGCTTTGATGATTGCTGTGCCCACGGATGCAGTAGAAACTTGAGAATCTCGTTTAGCATCCGCAGAAACCTCGTCTGCAATTGTTGATAGACGCTTGTTCTCGATGGCAGGTACCTTTCCTGCGGCGGCTTTTTGTCTCACTGACAGATTGCCCTCCGGTTTCAAGGATTCGTGATGAGGTAGACGCGGTGAGGATCCGAGTGGGCCTTCAATCTCGCGTCGAAAAGATGTGACAGGGGTTGTGGACGCTTTGGGTTGTATCTCTGCAAGGGCAGTTCTCTTTGTACTCATTCTGTCGACTCGGGACTGGTAGGTTGGTGTAACAGGCGCTCTATCAGCGGCTTTGTAAGAAGACGACATGTTGAAACCCACGCGACGGGCTGCCGTCTAGACTTGTCTGAGGAAGCTGTCCAATGATAGTCTATTGAATCACATATTAGCCGGTCCTTATACAGACAGTTCTTGTTGTAAACCTACCGCTTTGACCTTTGCAGGCGCAGGCGCAGTCGCAGGAGCTAAGTAAACAAGACGCGAGGAGCCTGACAAGGCGGATTGGATAGGAGCTGGCGGCAATTGGAGGGGAACAACAGAACGCGTGCACAGCGCAGTGACTGTCGTGAAGGCCTTTGATTCTTCCAGTAACCGAACGGAGCCCGCCCAACCTTTAACGTGAAGTTGCCGCAATAGCCATCCACTTTGTGCTCGGAGCGTCCTCCGGCCTCTCTTTCTCTTCCCCGTGGGCCAGCAAACAGGGCAAAAGTGTCAATTCTATCCGCCAACACAGAAGATACTGTTTGTTGTGACCACGATGACTGGATTCCTAACCATTGAGGGTGCAATGTGATTGGATCTCTGGCAGGAATGCTGCGCATTGGCCGTATGAAGGATGCTCTAGGTAAGTCGCAGATGGGGACCAAAAACCAAAATGGGCAGCAAGCAAGGATCCAAAAAGAACGACGTGACGGAGCGAAAGATTTTCAAAGCTTGCGCTGCTTGAAGATTCAGAGGGGAAGAGGATATGAAGTTTGAAGGTACTGTACCGCAGGCGATAAGGAAGCCCGGAATCTATGGCAGGTGCACTTGCAGTCCATCTCAATTCTCTCCATCGTTCTTTATCGACAACAATGTGAGGAAGCCATCACTTCTTGAGGCCAGGGCTGGGGACTCTGCCCTTGAGCTCTCACCCGAACTATGCAGGAAGAACGCAAAGGATCATTCATCTTGAACCTACTTGCAACCATGACAAGGAGTGAAGTGGCTGGCCTCTACGCTCAGGGCACGCTCAATATCCCCCGACCACGCCACGAACAACAGGATATTCAATCAGAGGTCCTACCGGACCAACAGGGGGAGCTTTCTAGGAAGGACAATTTGTACGGTCTGGATTGTGGTTGTACTATGAAGAGACTATTTGAGGAGCGACACAGACGGAATTGCAGTGGCCGAATCAACCGAGATCCAGGGAAAGACGATTACCACGGTGGCCCGGGCGGTGTCCAAGGGACTGGTAGAACCCGCGATTGCTCCGTCCAATTGTACAACCTCTCCAGATTGGGCGTGTAGTGTTCCAGTGGGCTCGTTAAGGCGGGCCGTCGACGTACCCATCCATTATTTTTGGTGGTGACCAAACGTCACCTGTCTCGTCGAGGTGGAGCAGAGTTATGAAGTGGTATATCATGAGCCCTGCTTTCTTGTGTAGTTCCTTATGAGTGGCCTCTAAAGCTTCAAGTTGGGGCAGTCGAACAGCCTGAGCAGTCTCGAAACAACGCGTGGTGCCCCACTAAAATATAATAATAGCTGAGCTTACTCGTAGCAGGCTGAACACGGCAGCCGACACACGCGGGGCAGCCCACTGCACCCGGCGCTGGGCACTGCACCCTCAGCCGATTATCGTGATGGCATGATAAGGGCGCGTTAATACTACTCAGGAATAGCGCCGGCTTTGTTCATGGCCGCTTACGTCGACCAGCCTCCTCCAACTCCATAGTAACGTTGTACAGCCATGAATCCGGGCTGCGATCGTCGTACTCGTCCCGCAACCGCAGCCGGCAGCATCCATGGCAATGTCATAGTTCATGCGCATAATTGCATTATCATCCTTTCGTTACGAATACTTCTATTTTCACTGCTGCCTGTAGATACATCTTTTTCTCCCTCCTCCATCCTCCGCCTTTCCCACTGGGAGTCACAACTTTGTGCCTCAACCCTTCCGAGTAACAGGAGCATCTCTTTAAATCTCCAGCATGAGAGTCCTTTCAGTCCTCTCGGCGGCAGCTGTCGCCTCGGCCTTTGTGATCCCAGATCAAGCCACCCTAGACGCCCTAGCGCTTCAGAACCAGGACCTCGAACAGCCTAAGGAACATCCTTTTTGGGAGAAGGTCCATAAGGCCGAAAACTTCTGGGAGGATCTCGAAGAAGAATTCACAAGAGCAGCGAACTGTGCCAAAGATACAGCTGTAAAATATGGCGAAGACTTCCGAAATGCCTTCGCAGGGGATGCTTGGTTGGATACGGCCGACTATGACCTTGATTTGATTGAAAAGCCTCCTCACCACGGCCCTCCACATCATGGGCCTCCTGGCGGCCATCCACCTGGCCACAAGCCACACCATCCTCCCGATCATCACCACCAGCCCAACGAGACAGTGTACCAGTTGATCTCCAAGAGCAAGTACACGACAAAGTTGGCTGCTGCCATTAATGAATTCCCCGACCTTGTTGATCTACTCAATGGCACAAAGGCCAACTACACCATCTTTGCACCGACAGACAGAGCGTTTGACAAGATTCCAGAACACGCACCAAAGCCACCGAAAGAATTCTTGAAGAAGATTCTCACCTACCATATCTCGACGGAGTTTTACCCGGCAGGACAGGTATTTAATAGTCGCACAATCCCCACGATTCTGGAAGCCGAGTACATCGGCAAGGTGCCACAGCGAATCTCTACCCAGGTCTCGCTCAAAGGCTTGACACTCAACTTCTACTCCCGTATCGTGGCCATTGACATTTTCGGTACAAACGGTGTCATTCATGGAATTGACAGCCTTCTGCTTCCCCCGCCCAAAGTCGTGGATATCCTTTCTCTTTTGCCAGGCGAGTTCAGCACACTGGACCTCGCCCTGGAGAAGACCGGTCTCTATCCACTATTCAATGATACCTCCAAGCACAAGGGAGGTACGCTCTTTGCACCCTCCAACTGGGCCTTCCAGCGCCTCGGGCCCAGAATCAATGCTTTCCTTTTCAGCAAGTATGGTCAGAAATATCTCAAGGCTTTGATCCTCTATCACGCTGGTGACAACATCACTCTTTATTCCGACGCCATCTACAAGCTCGACACGGACTCGCCACCGCATCACAAAGTGCCCAAGGGATTTATTCATGTCGATATCCCGACTGGCCTTGAAGGCAAGAGCTTAAGCGTTGACATTGGTCGGTACGGCCGATTGATCACCATGAAAATCAATGGCTTCACCAGAGTCAGCGTCCTCGATGGGATTGCCGCTGACGGTGTTATCCATGTGGTCCCGAATGTACTGATTCCGCCAAAGACACCAGGTGGTCCAGGTGTTGCCGAAGACAACATGGATTTGGATGAGTTCAAAGCGAGGATGGCTCCCCTTGTTGATGGAGAGGACGATGACTCGGAGTGGGTCGAAGAAGATCCTTCTGAACTCTGATTTACGATGACCACCGTTCCTTATACCAAGCCTCAAAGGGCACACTCGGGTACACGTGTGATTGTCCACAGCGACGCGACCACGACTGACGATCCTTACTGCCATTAATATTTGGACTATCCACGGAGTTAGGGGGGAAACCAATGCAAACAGTTTGAAGTACAGGTCGCATGACTGTTTCAAGTAGCATAATTTCTGTCTCGTTACTACTGGATATTTCCACTGTCTCCGACTTCCCAACTTGGCCGTAGAGTCCGTTCAGAAATGCGCATCGGTAAGCTTCTCCGTGACGGATGGATCGTCGACATCCACACCATCGAGATACCAGCGACCCTCAATACCGCTCTCCGGCACTGCCACGCCGTCTCCGTTCCTTCCTAGCACGATGTCGTTGGCACTCATCTGCCTCTTTTTCATCTTGCCGGTTTCATAGTCAAATGTCCAATCCTCCAACCCATAGCATCTCTTCCACTTCATGCCGTCGTGGCTATCCTGGTATTCGTACCAGAACTGCACGGCAATCTTGTTGTCGGTGAAGGCGAACAGCTCCTTGCGCAGGCGGTAGTTCTTTTCCTTTGCCCACTTCTCGGTCAAGAATTCGATGATCTTGTTCGTGCCGCGGAAGAAGGCGTCGCGGTTGCGCCACACACAGTCGGCAGTGTACCCTTTGGACACCTGCTCCGGGTTGCGTGTGTTCCACATGTTTTGCGCGAACTTGACCTTCTCCTGTGCCGTCTCACGTGTGAAGGGAGGCCGGATTGCCGCCATGGTCGATTGTACCACGTTAAATTAATGAAAGATGGGGAAATGGAATTACAGGGTCTGACACACCTATATAGAAGTTGGATTTATAGGATTGGCTTCGACAACGGCGGAGAAGCCACGCTTATGTATACTTCTGTAATTTCATATCAATCTCACCGTCAGCCGGTTACAAGGGCACACATCAAAAACGGGTTCCCTTTCTCGTAATCAGCAGTTCCTGCACCCGTAATCCAGTCAAGCGGCGTGCGCTGACGAGGTTGTTCAAGCCACGGGCAAACACCGCTTCTCTCGGCCATTCATTCAGCCTTGCTGATTCCTGAACAGCGTGTCAGATCGGAGTCTGGCTCAGAAGATAAAGCAGCGCCGCTTAAGCAGCAACAAGCGGGCTCTGGAAATGGAGATGATCCGGGAGGGGCCCCTCCTCTGAGTTGTATACAACGGTATATTCATACAGCTGCTGCAAGAGAGGTATGATTTCGGGGAAGGGGTGACCGAACCACCTCGTCAGCAACCCACACCAGCACTGGCCGGAGGACTACGACAGTACTATATCAATGGTAGTGGCATACTACTTCCTGGGCACCCAACCTGGAACTGTCGGTTGAGCATGTGGACAGTGGGATGCGATTTGAGGACCGTCTACCGTAAAGCAGCGCACCGCGGGCTGCAGTGAGGCAGGCCACCCGGATCATACGCGGAGCACTGCATGATAAGATAAGATCCATCCACGCACCCCTCGATGCTCCGAATCGGAGGAGTCTCTCTGCCCCTCGGGCTCCATTCTTCGCCATCGCGCGGTGACCGTGTTTCGGAGACCTTCTATAATACCGCAACTTGAATTCAATGACTGTTGTTGACGTCGGGATCAGGCTGAGGTGTCCACATGTGCTTATCACAGGTTTGTACCAGGTATATCTACTGATTGTGTCTCCCGTAGTCGGTCTCAGTTTCTGTCTCTTGCAAACTTTCAGGATACTTTCGGACTTTTGCTTTCGCGCACTTCACCTGCATATATTTCCGACCTTTAACACAATACACCATGCCGGGCCTCAAACCAGGAGATTCTTTCCCTGACGACGTCGTCTTCTCGTAAGTCAGACATCGACCGCCCCAATTCTGTGCCTAGACCACCCTTTGCGCGCTATACTCCCTCATTGAATGACCCTGGCTGACGCACCTTCTTCCGAGCCTACAGTTACATCCCATGGACTCCTGAGACCGCGGATGTCAGAGTATGCGGCATCCCGACGAACTACCCAGCCTCGAAAGAGTGGAAGGACAAGAAGGTCGTCCTGTTCGCACTTCCTGGCGCCTTTACTCCCAGCTGCTCTGCCAGCCATCTGCCGGGCTACATTGAGAAGCTGGACCAGATCAAGGCCAAGGGTGTGGACGTGGTCGCTGTGCTCGCATCCAATGATGCGTATGTCATGAGCGGCTGGCAGAAGGCGAACAACGTCAAGAACGATGATATTGTGAGTACAACCTTCCAACTGTGGAGTCTGTTAGCCTGGACTGTGACACCCTCCTTTCCCGGCCTCTCGGTTCGGGCGCTGGGTGAAACTTGGGTTTCTGATACGCGGTAAAGCATCCTAAAAAGGAGGGATATACCGGCACCATTAAGCACTCCCATGTACAGTGCGGGCACTAACCATCTCCTGTCAACCAGCTCTTCCTTAGCGACCCTGACGCGAAGTTCTCGAAGTCGATCGGCTGGGCCGACGGTGAGCGCTGCTCTCGCTACGCCATTATCATCGACCACGGCAAAGTCACCTATGCGGAGAAGGAGCCCGGACGAGACGTTACGGTATGTCAGCCTGCTGACAGACACTTTCCCCCACAAATGCGGTGGTTCGAAGCTGACCCGTGCGATGATGGCAGGTTTCCGGGGCATCTGCTGTCCTCCAGCACCTATAAGTTGGTGGTTCAGCTGGATACATGTTCTGAAGAAACGTGGTGCTCAACAAAATAGAATCCTGGCGCCCGATAGACAGTAGACACCGACATACTACCGGCATAGAGAAGACATTATAATAGACCAATAGAGATTCGACTCTGCAAAAACTGCATATTCGGAGCCATCCATCACCACATCTTTCCATTGGAGCCCAGAAAGGTTAGAGGTCTTTTTCATCGCCATGCTCATATAACCACTCCTGTATACACTACAATGTATGCCCCCCCAGCCCATGGCGGAACTTCCCTCTGAAGGTACCGGTTCCGCTAGAACTTAAGGGGGCAATGCATCTGGGGCATCAGGAGTCTCGGCTAGCACTTGGGGCTTACGACGCATAAGAGCGGTAGTGCTTGCAATAGAGCACATCAGTAAGGAAAGTACCGTGCTAGGCTTCATAGGGTAGGGACTAGGCTTGAGCTAGGTGGTTTTAGGTTAATGACAAGAGCTCGCGCCGATAGATCCGATGTTCCCATGCAGTGCAAGAGCCAGTGCCAGTGCAACTGGCAGTTGCAGTGCTTATTACATCCAGCCTCAGCTGAAAATATACCCTGGATTCTGGTTCCTCCTCGTCCCTTTCCATTCTGTCTTTTACTCTCTGCTGCTTCTACTATCTACTCTCAAGGGTCTTGTTGCATATAACCTATCGGAGACGGCCCAATCATCTGTTGGAGACTGCTTAGGAGTTCTTCTCCAGCCATGTTTGATTCTCGTGACGAGCCCAATTAGCTTTGTCCATGGGTGAATTTGATCGACAGAGCATCTATGCCGCGCCCGGAAACCTGCCTCATCAGTCCGTGCCAATAAGTGGCACGGAAACAAGCATCGGGACCATCCCATGGCCACTCCTGATGAGACATCTCCTAAAAGATTCACTTTCTTGAACTACAACACGCCCAACCACAGCGCCTCGCACAGGAGAGCGGTCAAGTCTCATATATCTAGCAAGTACAGGACTGCTGTGCGCCAGCAATCTCACCCCCGCTATGCTTTGCCTCGTCGGCATGACCGCTCAGAAAGCTCATCGCGCCTCAGTCAGGAGGCGGGAGAACCATCGGACACTCAAAGGCTCGAGACAAAGACCGGTGCAGAGTCACCATCACCACCTGAGGACCCTTCCTGGCAGCTCATACCTTCCCCTGTCAAGATCGGGTTCAGCGGAACCCGGGTAGATCCCTTCAATTCCTTTCCGGGTCAGCAGACGCCCTGCGTTGTTGGTGCTCTCGACCACTTTACTCAAGTGCTTTCGCCTCTCCACCAACCGCTCCTGGTGGCGGTGAATTTAGTCAATCCGATGATGAGCTGGGCCTTTCCCTTGATCCTGTCGCATGAGGCCGCCTTCCACGCGGGCATCGCGTTGTCGCAAGCTTATCTGGAAAGCCGTCAAGATCCCACCATTAAGCCATCTGCGGAAGTAGGCTTTCACCGGCACAGAGCAGCCTCAATTCTTCGCGATCAGTTGGCCAACATGGCAGGTCCTCCTGACGACGGGACACTGTTGACTGTGCTTGCACTGGCGGCGCTTGATGTCATGTACAAAGAGGATAACATTTCGAACCGCAAAGGGTTGGCTCTCATGGTCGCCCTAAAAGGTGGGCTTGATAAACTTGGTAGGCGCGGCCTCGTCAAGGCATACCTCATCCAGTTTGACTACTTCTGGACGCTCGAGACGAGGACCGAAAGCATATTTCCTTTGGCTAAGCGCAAGAAGCACCGGGTATATCCCCAGCATCCATTCCGAGATGATATCCTGTCCATGATCGCCACGCTACCCTCCGGCTTTGCGGCGATAGCACAAAAAGGCACCCTCGGTATTGATGTTCTGCAGATCCTGTCCAGGGTCAGCATATTCCTACGCTCTAAAATTTCGAGGCAACCACTAGCAATTGACAAGGATCCTGTACCGGAAGACCAGGAATACCCAGACATTTTCGACGCATGCTCTTGCCTTCATTCAGCAGCTTCCACCGAGCATAGCTTGGAAGAAAGCATCTGTTTGACGATTATCCTTTTTTGTTTCAATATACATAGCCACGCTGATTCCCATACCAAAATCACCTCATACCGTGGATCGCGACAGGAGCTCACGAGGTCGCTTCCCTTTGTGCCATGCCCGGGAGAGCCATACTCCCGAGAGCCAGAGAGAGAATGTCTGATATGGATCTGGATGGTAGCCATAAGTTCCTGGAGGACGGGCCGCGGTCTTTCGCAGGAAGGGCAGTGGTTAAGTTGCGCGTTCTTTGCCAGATTTGATGAAGCTCGCTGTTTGGCCGATGTGGAAGATGCAATGCGCCGGTTTTTCTGGTATCAGCCTCTGTGTGAAGAATGGAGGCTCACTTGGTCAGAAGCACTGGGTGCTTGGACATCCTCGTTACCCGAACGGTCGGTCGTGGCCGGTACTGATCAGCCGAAGACACGGCCTGCGCCGTCATTTCAGTTTCCACTAGACAAAACACCGGTGCCGACCAGCTCTCCAGAGCCGGTCGCAGGCGGTAACATGCCGGGGCGCAACCTACCTGACAGGAGCAGGGGTGGGCCTCGGATATGGGAGGTGAGCGACTCTGGACAGCCAGCTCCCGAATCCTCTCATGCCATCTCCTTGCCACCAATGTTGACATTGGACACCTATCTTGGTCAAATCCAGTGAGGACAGGACCTGCCATCAGAAGAGGGCCATTGAGGTCCAGATTTCAGGCATTACCTCCAGAGGATGACGAGGAAGTCCAGTACAGTCACATCTGCCAGGACATATGACTATCAGTCAGAAGCCTCGCAAGCGGACTCCCGACCTGTGCCGTCACTTCAACTCGTTCAGATGAGAACAAAGAAAGTCCCGCATCAACCAGGTACCCAGGGCGATGTTTGACCGGGCGCTGCCTTTCGCCGCGCATACATGCCCAATCACCATATCGATTTTGCGGAGCCTCTCGAACATTATTGAGAGGCTTAATACCTACCGCCTGACCTCGCCCAGAAGTTTGTAGGCTACCTGGTCAGTGCGGGCGAAGGCTTATGTAGATGTACAATATTATACCGCCCCCATTTGTCGCAGCATAACGTCCATAATGGGTTTTGCGGGAAAATCTTTCCAACCACTTCGGAAGAGGAGTTTTGACAGAATCAGTACGCAGCAAATTGACATCTGTGGCAGGCAGCAACATACCACCTCAGTACGTGATGAATGTGTGCTATTGTATGTTGTAGGCTGTGTCCCCATGTAGTGTTGCCGCAATAATGTACAATGAACACCGCCGCTTTGTCGAGTCGTCGGAAGGTCTAAAGGCGGCGAGGATCACTTCCCCGACGGATGACATCAATAATGCACGCGAGGCGCCATCCACTGGCAATCCACAAAATTTCCGTGTCTACAGAGTGGTCTACTAGCAATGAGAGCAGAGAATTGAACCCCTCCAACTCGCGCCCGCCGCAGGACAGGACGAGTTCGGCAGTCTCTGTCCTTTCCAAAATGGCGCCCCCGACCCAGACGGCCGGTCAAAAGCGCAAGGTAGCCTTCGACAAGGCAGGACAGACGTTCGCAGCACGCAAGCGACAGAAGAATCAAGATGCTCGCAATATTCCCGTGCAGCCGGCGGCGGCGACACTCTCGGCCCAAGGTGAACTCAACGTCGCCTCGTTCATCAAGGCGCGGGAGTATGAAATCAGCGCGCTCGAAAGGAGCATGCAGAAGGCCAGGAAGGTCTTGACTACCAGGGCATTCCAGCAAGTCCCACGGCACATGCGGAGGAGGACGGCCAGTCATAATGCGAAAAAGGTGCCCCGGCGGCTGCGGAGGAAGGCTGAACGCGAGGTTGGTGGTGGAATCTGTTTTTCTCCCGTGGACTCTCCCTCTCCTACCACGGAAGGAGGGCAGCACGCAGACGCCACGTACTGACGGGAGCTGACCAGGATGTGTGATATAGATGCAAGAAGACAATACTCCGACGGTGACGAAGCGGACCCGTACACCATCGCGGAAACTGAGATTACGTCTGGAGACCGCAAAGGCTGTGCGGAAGATGAACCAAAAGACCAAAACGGTGCGGCAGCGGAAAAGAGAAGCAAAGGCCAATGCGAAGCAGACTGACCCAGAGGACCATGTCTCGATTTCTCGCGTGCCGCGCTTGAAGAAGAATACTCTGGCCGAGCCGCCCAAGGCAACGTCGAAATACAAAAGGAGGCAGGTCAACAAGACATGGCTGCCCACTCATCTGTGGCACACGAAGCGCGCACATATGACCCGGCCCACCGAGCCGCTGTGGAGGATGTCGATACCACTGAGTCCAACCGAGAAGAGTTACAGACCCAGTCATCGCGCTGCAGGAAGCCGCGGATGCATTGCCTGGGACACGAGCTATCTATCCACGGTGGCATGCAGAGGCACAGAGCATACTTTGGACAATCTGCTTGCATCCTTGGGATTCCTTCCTCAGGGTCTTTCAACCTCTCTCCTGAAAAAATGGAAGGCTGGCACGAGGTTTGCCGAGGGCTGGGTTTACGAAAGAGACGGTACTAAACGACCCATTGCCCCGATTACGGTGATATGGTGCATACAGCCGAAAGACCAGCCGGCGACTGTGCGAGACTCCCAGAGTGCCGATGCCGACAAGATGGATGTCGATCCGAAAGCCACGGAGGCTTCTTCTGGCCCGCCTCAACCTCAGAGAAAGCAAAAGACAAAGCTGGACCATCAACTCTTGATCCGGATTCACCCTTCAGCATTTCATCAATTTTGGCAAGAGTTATTGAAAGTCGCCAAACTGCAGAAACCTCAGGTTTTGTTGGAAGATCTTCGCTTCGAGGTCGGAAGCCTTCAAATTCAGGGTCCCGGGCCCACAGAGGCATTGATGGGTGTATTGCGACCTTACAGCTTGGCCGCGGGCTCCGAAGATGCAATTGGGAATCTATGGACATCACTAGCAGGACTTAACAATCCTGCAGTACTCCCTCAAAATGCCATGCTCTGGTTTGACATAGTCGACCCTCGACTTAGTCATCCGCCTAAACGGATTCAAGTTGATCAAGGGCCCAACCGCACAGCTCGGTTGAACGAGATCTTGGTCTCCTGGCCTGCGGATCGAGAGTTGCCCTATGCTCGACTAACGTCTCATAAAGAACGATGGCTAGTCAGCCACTCGCTACCATCTCAAAAAGCCATCAACCGTCGGAGGGCACTGGCTCCGCCCGGTCAACCACCGGCACTGACAGCAAAGGATCCTCAAATTCCTATGATGCTGCTTGCCTCGAGGAGTGATGACCACGCTGCCACCAACGGAGGTAATTCGCAGGGAAAGTGGACTGTACTTCTACCGTGGTCTTGCGTGGATCCCGTCTGGCGTTCCCTGATGTACTATCCTCTAACGGGTGGAGGAACGCCACGGTTTGGTGGACTCCACGAGACACAACAACTGGCTTTCGAACATAAGACACCGTGGTTTCCTGGGGACTTTCCCGGTACTGAGGCTGGGAAAGCCTGGGAGCGCACCCAGAGTGAAAGGAGATTTGACGAATGGATTCGCCGACCTCCGAAACATAGGGTTGCCTTGGACAAGCTAGACCTGGGTCTGGGTAGAGTGGGAGAGCTCGGTAGAGGCTGGGCCTGTGATTGGGAGTTTCTCTTGACGCCGAAGCACAAGGAAGATGCTGGAGGGGTGCTCGCTGGAACCACAAACGGTGCGGCGCCGCCGGCGACCAAGGCAGCCAAACCGCCACTCACCCAGCGGCAACGTAAGGCAGCCAAGGCAAAAGCAAAAGCAGAAGCGGAACAAGCAGCTCGTCGACGCAACACTTCAAGCCCAGAAAGTGACGATGAAGCCCAACCTCTGCCTGCCATCCCAGAAATCGAGTATACTCAACTCCCTCCGTCAACGACCCTGTCGCTGTTGAAGAACCCGAAGCTGGCCATGGCCACCCTCCCATCAACCCCTGCCTTGATGACCGTCCGCATCACACTGCTCGACAAAGGCACTCCGGCCCCTGCAGCTCGCATCTATCGACTTCCAACACTCCCAAGAGTTGGTAAGACAGCACCGGACGCTGCTGCTGCTGCGCCTTCAACAAACGAGACGACTGCCGCAGAGACAGAGACAGAGAAAGAGCCAGAGTCGACACAAAAACAACCGCAGAGCTGGTCTTCGGCGCCACCACCAGCACAGCGACCTCCATCCACCAGCACGACCGACTCATCATCTGACTCCACCACGTCAGCCCTCAATCTCAATCTCCGAGATCGTTGGCTCGCGATGGTCCCTCAACATGCGAATGCGCAGAAGACTACTACCGGTAATCTGTCCCGACTACAGAAACAAAAGACCAACAAATTCAATCTCCCGCGTCAACAGCACGCTTTACCCCGCGAATCACTCGCTCACATCAACGTGCTTCCGCCGAATGCGCCTCCCGAAATCGTGGCCAAGTACGGACCCGACAGCGCATTTGGACGCGGTGACGGCGGTGAGATCGAGATCCCCAAGGAGAGACAGAAACCAGCACAGCAACAACCGGCGGCGGGTCAACAGAAAGATCAATGGCGACAGGCAAAAACAACCAATGAAAAATCGAAAGGCCGAGCTGAAGCTGCAACCGATGATCAGCAGGTACGCCAAGCGGAAGCCCATATGAAATCGTCTCTGGACCTGGCGGCAGTGGCAACGGCAACGGCAGCGGATGACCTCCTGGTTTCTCCTCTCGACTCCCCATCCGAATGGGCAAAACATCCTCCCTGTCCAGACGTCCACGATCTCATCGGCTTCGTGACTTCTGGCGGCTACAATCTCGCCGAGGGGCGAGGGACCGCCGTGGGAGCCATCTGGGCTCAGAAGGTGGTTGAAGGGTGGTTATTAGACGATGAAGATGGAACCAATACCGTCGTAACAACCACCACACAGCCAGGTGTAGCTCCTGCTACTGCTACTGCTGCTACTGCAGGTGGCGCCAACGCCGCCGCTGGCAGGGCAGTTGGGAATCGCAGTCGTGGTGGTGCTGGGAGGAAACCGAACAACAGCCAACACGCCAACAATGATGTGCTGAGACAGAGACAGAGACAGAGACAGAGACAGAGACAGAGACAGAGAAGACTCTGTATCGTCCGCAACGCCGGTGAGAGGATCGGCCGCCTGGGCATCTGGGAGTGCTGTGGTGCTTGAGATTTCCACTTGAAATCCTCTCTAGGCCCCCCTTCCCTTCCCTTCCGTCTGATGTTGGTGTCGGTGCTATTTTGTTCGTTAGTATTGGAGTGGTGTGTAACTACCTATATACCTACCTACGTGTAACCGCTGCGGCTGCTGTGTCTGTGTCTGCATGCCTTGCAGTACATACTTTATGTAGTTACTGTAGCTCCTGTACCTACAGCAATGACAGGACGGTCGTGCCCCGACTCAATGGCATTTCATTCATTGACAACGAGACACACTGCAGCTCGGCAAGAGAAATAGAAAGGGAGAGAGAGAATCGATGACTCCCGAGCAGGGTACTAGTATGCGGACATGTTAGAACAGCAAAGGAACAGATCCAGACAAGAAGCCAATGACATGATTATTAGAGTGACCAAGTATGTAGAGCTGATCCAGACCGCACCACAACGCTCTAACTTGGGTCCTGTTCACCCAGACCCAAAACCAAGTGACGAAACGCTCGCTTGCTGTCGACAAATCTTGAGAGGATATAAACAGACAGATGAAGCTTCAGATGGCCGGTCATCCGACCACACAGGGTGCACTCGGTGAACGGGCTTCAGGCGAGATGAGATGTGTCGAGGATCATGTCAGAACCAATCTGCCCGCATAGCAGTATACTGGCTCAAATGGCATAATTCTCGGCATGCAGAAAGATTTCATCCTTCCCACTATCCCGCCACACGTCGCTCTGCAGCCGTGCCACCGTATTGGCCACGTCGGTCCTCATCTCCGGCGGTCCGCAGACATAGACACAAGTTCGACGGCCAAATTCCTTGCTCAGGCCTTTCAGCATGTATGGAATGTCCGGCCGACCGTATTCCGTCCGCCATCCATCCCGACGTTGGGCGGTGGCATTGGTGGGGAGAAAGGCAAATCGCATCAGGTTCTTCTGGAACTTGGTCGGCGTTTGCGGAAATCCAAAGTCGAAGGCGCGCGTGGCATCGACTTGGGCTTGGGATAGCGTCGACATGCGATGGTCTTTGGGCGGTGGAGGCGGGTAGTAAGTTTGAGTCTGACTCTGACTCTGATTTGATGGGCCTGCGCCTGCACCATTGTCCTGTAGAGGCTGAGCATGGCGAGGAGGTGCCAGGTACGCTTGTGGCAGGGCGGTGATGTTGTCTTCGACTTCACGTTTGAGTTCGAGGTCTGCCCGTGCGTCTTGTTCCGCAACAAGCCTCGAGTTGCGGTTACTCGAAGCGGCCACGTCATGGATGGCCCCACTGATTTTGTCGCGAAGGCCGCTGAGGCGGTGTTCTTTCGTTCCGCCTTCGAGCGGTATAGGGGCTGTTGGCCGTCTCGATGCGGTAATGAAGAAGTGGCACTGCACTGACCCAGGGGGAGCGCATTCTCTGCATATCCGTAGTTCTTCCTTGAACCAATCCATGATGTCTGGGCGCTTCATAGCCCAGATGACGTGAACCTTGGAAGTGGTGGCTTTTCCATCACGCATGCGCTTGATGAGGTCAAGCAGTTGACTAGCAATGGCAGTGATGCCGCTGCCTCCCGCGAAAAAGACAACTTGATCGAACGATGCTATCTGACGTTGCATGCCTCCGTACGGCCCTTCGACAAATGCTCGGTATGTCTTGTAAGGGCCTTTCTTGATCGACGTGTCGCGCACCTTGCGGGTAAATCCGCCAAAGGGTCTGAACACCAAGGTCATGTCTCGGTATTGCTCGCCGTATTCTGAAGGGAAGTCCTCACTGCACAAAGAGGCAATCGTGAATGGATGGTTCTCCAGTACCGAAATACCAGGCATCCTCAGATACACATACTGGCCCGGACGCCATCTCTTCTGCGTCGGGATGGTGACTTTGACGGCGTTTTCTGGCAAGATGGTCACGGCGGACTCTTCGCCAATCAGCCAGGAGGATCGCAAGGGATTCATCCAGTTCAAGAAAAAGAGACGAGCAAAAAGTGAAACTGCCATGATGACCACAGTCGAGTAAAGATATACCCAGGAGGTTAGATAGTTGTGACAATGCCAGAACATGAGACCAATAAAAGCCCAAGCGACGGGGATGTGGAGTATGACAAACAGTTCATACAGCTTGGCCCTAAGGATGGGAAGTGAATGGAGTGTAAGGAACAACAAGGGCACGATCGCTGCAATACCGGTGGTAAAGATATAGTAACGCTGGTGGAAATAGAGTTTAAACGTCGCATAGCCTTCAGGGTCCGACACCGACTGATACCAGTATGGAACAGCATGGATGATAGCAAGCGCGGTGCACAAATATGCCGTCCATCGGTGAAGAACGATCAGTCGCTCGTGTCCAATCCCGGTCAACATCGAGATGGGATTTGCTTTGGTAGCCAGAACCACAACCCAGGGTAGCAGCGAGACAGACATCATGCCAGCTCGGACTGCGAGAGGAGGGGATCCATAAGCCATGGATGAGTAGAAGAGCGGTTTAGGCAGGAAGCAGTAGAGTAACGCGGCCGCTAGACATATGGTCATGATAACCAGCACTCCCAGGGCGGGGAAGGTGAAAGTATATCGTCCCAAGCGAAGAGCTGGCATGGGCCGGTAGAAGATCCATCTGAACAAGGCGATGGTGTTGTTGAGCGGTGCAATGGCTGACACCGCTGCCTGCTGGTTTGGTTTCTCCGTTGTCAGTGGACCTTTCGTCGGGAAGAAATGTCTTGTCGAGCCTTCGGTGTTCGCACTCATTGCGCTAGGCAACTCGTTCTCAGCATAACCAGGATATCCGGCATATCCAAAGTGAGGAGAGAATGCCGGCGGGCTTGAAGCGGAGGCCGAATTGATGAATTCTTCTTTGTAAAGCGCCGTGCGGATCTTGTCGCCCCAGTAATAATACATGCGCATCAAGGTGGATATAACCACTAGAATGATGCCCACATAGACAAACAAGAGGCCATATTTTCCAGCGGATTGGAATGGGTCATGCCGAATCGCATCTTGAAGTGCCGGAGGCGTCGTACTGTTGATTGGGATGTTCACTCTCTTCACCAACTCCTCCATTGATTTCTCCAGGATTGACCATGTTTCCTCACTTCTTCCAGCCAGACGAGCCAGTGCCTCGTTCGATGAGAGGTGCATGATGAATACCTAGGTTACCGTGCTTGCGTAAGAAGATACCGGGAGCAGTGCGACTAAGTAGCCAACGCTGTGAGAGACGTAGTCTTCGGGATTTCGAATGGTTTTTTGGGGAAGGTCGTGTTTCTGGTCGAGGTCAGGCCCGCTGATGCTTCGACAGGATCTATTGGATGGACTAGGAGGATCGCAGAACAATATTGTATTCCGTGACCACTCAATGGCCACTATAGATAATCGCAGTCTGTGCGACAGATTGGGTATTGAGAAAGCCTGCTTTCTCGAAAGACAAAGGTCCAGGTAGCGAATGTAGAAAAGTAGGACGCGGAAACGACGTCTGCTGGCGGTCGAGTGGGCAGGAGGGGGGAGGGGGTCGGCACGATATAGACCTGGATCATGCAAGAGAAAACATCTTGCTACCGACGACGAGCAGAGAATAGCGGGTGATGGGCAGAGTGCGCGCGTGTGCAGGAATTACACACCCTGCTACTCACTGTGATATCGGCGGATAGAGGACAACCCTGAAGAGCTTCCGATTGAGGCAGCGAGAGTGACAAAGCCATGAACTCGGCATGTCGTAGAAGGGTACTCCATCTCATAGGATGCAGCGCTGAGCGATATCGTCAGCGCTTCGACAAGAGCTTACATTGGCTGTGTATAGAAAGCTCGCAGCAGGGATACATGTTAGACGAGTCGTGAGAGCAGTGGAACCTGGAGCGGACCGAGTCCTAGAGGGAAGAATCCCGCATAGCGGACGACGTGATCCAACGCAATTGGACGGGGAAGTGAGAAGTCGAGAGAGTGATTGGGTGTGTTGTGGTCGTTGGTGAGATGGTGGCGGTAGAGCGCAACTGTCGGTGGACGAGGTCGAAGTCAAGGTGAACTGTGTCTCCAGCAAATCGCAGGCCGTATCGTTGCCGCCCAAGTGTGACAGTCTGCAGCTTCGTCCTCTAGTCTCCCTTGCATCTCTCCAACCACCTCGCACACACCTACAATGTACACCTGTAGCACTACAAGCCACAGCGCTCGAAAGCCCACTTCAGGGTCTAGCAAGGGTCCTGCCAGTGCCCACCCTTCCGGCCCCAGGTTCTCTCGTCGTCGATCCGCCTTGATGTGCCGTTGATCCCGGAGAAAGGATAAAGGAGAGCAGTGTCGATCGACGCCCGCACCGACTTGAAGACGTCATTTGATATGCCATGAACAGTCTTGCACACCGTGTCCAATCTCAACTTTTGACTTCCTCGAACGCCGCGTTCTTTTAGGAGCGAAGTGCATGGTGCTGTAGCTGTTATTCTCGATGTCTATCGGCTACACTGTGGCGGCATGCCATGCGGTCATCGTGGCTGGCTAGGCCACCCATGTGGCACAAGAGTTGAGAGAAATATATCATGTTGCAAAGCATAAAAGAAACGTAAACGGTGGCCGTCTGTGAGAATGACTCCAGGTTACACTGGCATCGCCTCCAAGTCCTGGTCTTGGACAGTATGAACTCAAGTTCAACCACGTAAGACGAATAAAAGTAAGAAGCCGATCCAGGGCAATCGACTGGCCTGATCATGGCCAAACCTTGCTCTTACGACTTTCCGATTGCCATGCCATGCGTAACGCACCTCGTGCCTTATATAGAGTCAGACCCAAAGATGCTGCGCGGCTCACACAGTTCTGCGCCTTGCAAAGACGGCCAGCGTACAGGGAGAGTCTGCCTCTGCCGTCCTGTTTATATCCATAATTACTTCAGCACCCTCGAACTATCCGCTCAGCGCAAAGAGGGCAATTCCTTTCCGTATCACCGAAAATGAGACCGACATACTTGTCATACTTGGCCTGAGATCTTGTTGCATTGCCATAGACCTTGTCCTCAATGTGCACGTCATATTTGATAGAGGCTAGAGCATCGTACGTTGACTTGGAAGGAGCCGGATCAAGGCAAAGCCGGGTATTGTTCTCGTGCCTGCATAAGAGTGCATCAGTCTGGCCATGACAAGTGCACTCACTGCATCAGAGGACGTGGTTCCCAGTACACGGGCTCGCCATTGCACAGACGTTGATGGGGTGGGTTGTGGCAAGACGTGGGATCCAGCAATCGCTCAACAGAATATGGCACCACATCCGAGTCTTCTGGGGTGCCTGTGTTTGGCGTGTTGTCACTGAATTCGTCGCTCCCAGTTCTCGTGAATGACGAAACTCAGAAAAACCAGAGATCGGGTTCTGGATGGGGCGCTTTCAAGCCGGATAGGACATACCCTCACTTCCCGAGTGCTAGCTCCAGATATCATGGATTCAGGTCAATGCCTGGGTTTCATAACAGGCCCGAGTGCAGATGTTGACAAGCGGGAGGGCGGAGTAAAGGGTGCCGTGCGGCATCCTATATGCGACTGGGAAGGCTCAGTTGTGCTTTTCATGCTGGTATTGAGCCGAGTCGAGACTATCCATCCGTCTTCAAATAGATGCGCTTCGCTTTGCAATATGAACACTCACGGCGAATGTGAGCACACACAGTCGACATAGCATGCGGGTGATGATCGATACAAACACCAGAAGCCAAGAGCATGCTGTTTGTCGACACTCCAGGGTGAGCAGGTGTTCTCCGCCAGGCCGTTCTCGAGCCTTGTCTCCCTAGAACCGACTGTGCGAGAGGCCGGCTGGTCGCTCGCCGCAATTGCAATGAGTTATTCTCGCTTCGATAGCATTTCCGGTACTGTCGTTCATTCACTCGCTGAGCAAGCTGGGCGACGAAGCACCCATCACTTGAGCTTGTGCGTCGGACACCAGCGACTTCAAGTTTCAAAAGACCCATGCTTCAATCTCTTTCAGTCCCCTCGACCACTCTGGCGCGAATAATCTTGACTTCCTCCAGCGGCCGATCCTCACTGTTCGTCTTGACCAGCCCCATCCTCTGCACGACTTTCATGCCACTCTTAACACGCCCAAAGATGGTGTGTTTCCCATCCAACCAGGGCGTGGGAGCCAAAGTAATGAAGAACTGACTGCCATTCGTGTCCTTGCCACTGTTGGCCATGCTCAGCACCCCAGCACCGGTATGTTTCAGCGCAGGATGGATCTCGTCGGCAAACTTCTCGCCGTAGATGCTCGATCCGCCGCGGCCAGTGCCTGTCGGGTCACCCGTCTGCACCATGAAATTGGGAATGATGCGGTGGAAGACCACGTTGTCATAGTAGCCTCGTTGCGCGAGCGTCGCGAAGTTTTTGCACGTTTTGGGCGCATGGTCGTTGTACAGTTCCACCGTGATGGCGCCCTATATGAAAGCGACGTGGTAAGCATATACGAAGGAAAAGAACCACTACTAGTAGAGGGCATCACCCACCATGGTCGTCTCGAGTACAACGTCCGTCGCCATTTTAAAGTGTTCCTTGACTCGCGGCGGTAAACAGTGCAGTGGGCAATAAACGAATAGGAGGTAGAGCGAAAGATTGCCCGGGCCAGTGCTGCATTGAAAGCACCTGGACGGTCACGTGCAGCACTCAAGGGTCTCCTTCATTGTTCTAGGAGGACTGCGTTCGAGTATGCTTTATTAGCCTCAGGTCATGATCTACCACTACATGAATGGGGATCGTGTTATTCGGGAGGACCAGCATTGAACCCCAAAGCTCGCTGCTTGAGATTTTAAAACTATATTAACTTGATTGGTATCATTCAAGCGTTCTGTGGCCTTCCAGCCTGAGCCTATTGCTCGATAGGAGTGAGCAGCGTTGTACTCGACAAACAGTCAATCATCAGTCATTGGAACCCTAGGAACGGTCATGATCATTGCGCCAGCGCCAAAGCATCGGTTCGGCACCTGTAGCTCCGTTGGTTCGTCATAGCATCGGAGCATCCTCACAACACTGGACGACACCCATGCAGCTTCAGGTGTAATATGAGCCATGACGGAATACGCTCATTTTCTGCTGCTCCGCGTCTTGCGGGAGGGAGCAGGCGCCGTGGGAGTGCTCTTGGACTTGGTCGACGCGACTCTCTTCGCGCGACTGCTTGCAGTAGATTTGAGAGGCCCTGCCTCTTCGACGTCGCTGTCCTCGGCGGCCTTTCTTTTTCTGCCACCCTTGGCTGCCAGTCCGTTGGTGGTAGGCGCCGTTACTGTACTGTCTTGACCCTCGTGGGTGCTGTTTCGGTCCGGAAGCTTGTCCGTGGTCTCTGTAGAGGGAAGCCCTGGGGCACGACTAGATCTCGACTGGATGGGGTTGTTTTTTGTTTCAACAGCCACCGGAGAGACCGAGCGGGCTGGTGGTGTGTGGTGTGACTTGAGTCGAGTTCTCTTCCTAGGAAGTTCCTCCTCATCGTCTCCTTCCGAGGCCATCGGCAGAGCGCCCTTGGATGACTTGTTTTCCCCTTCAACGCAGTCATCGTCAATGTCTTCATCTTGCTGGACTTCGTCTCCAATCTCCAACTCTCGTTCGGCACCATTTCCTTCGAATGATTGCCCCGGGACACTCTCCAGGCCCATATCTGCCAGACTCATGTCTTTAGCCCAGGATTCATCGTCATTCGTATTTCTCCGGCTACGACCCCAGCCGCTGTCCGTGATAGCAAAGACATCCCTCCAATTCTTCATCAACGCCACTTTGCCCTCCTGGCCTTCCTTGTATGCTGGAGGCCCTCGGGCATTCGGTTTGGCCCACACGGTACCCTTTATACACCGACTTATTAAGGTCACATCTCCGGCATCTGGACGCTGGTTATCTGTAGTCTCATCCAACTTCCGTTTCCTCCCTCTCTTCGGTCTTTCGTTCTGGTCGTCTCTCTTGTTCAACGGTTGTTTGAGGGGACTTCCGACCTGAGTGTTCTGCCTCAGTAGCGCAGGGTCATCGTCTACATAGTCGTCCGAGTAGTATTCCCAATCGCTGAAGTAGTCATGCAGTTCGGAACCAGCGACTTCACCTTCGTAGACGGGGCTGTGGACAGCGTGCTCGGCGAGATCGTCGGCCAATTCTGGTGCGGGATCCGCGTCGTACAGGATATCTTCGATGTCATCATACGGTGAGTATGCATAGTCCTCAAAGTCGGACATGGTGGCCTGTGGAAATGATCACACCAGCATTCTCAGCGGCAAGCGAACGGGCTTTTGTCCCTGGAGACGGAGACGCAGGCGGAAAAATATCAGACTGAAATCGTGGGCCCCGAGTCGTCGTTGTGTTTTTGAGGCACCGACAAACTGAAGCCCAACTTGAAATGTCTGTCGGTTTGTTCAAGTTGTACCTTGCAAATTTGCACAACGAACACATAAAACTCGGACGGCTGAGTATCGTCGGTTCAGCGCAGGGTTCGCAGTCACAGGGGTACAAGAGATGTGATACAAGTGAGAAGTGTGACCGACAATGGTCCAGGCAGACGAAGATGCGTAGGTGCGCACTGCCTACAAACCGACGCGTTTCTCAAACATTGGGTGGGCAGCCTGCGCCTGTCAGACTGGGACTCGAAGTCACCACTACAATTTAGTACTACTGTATCCGCTGCGGGCGGCCTGGCAAGTCCTCCCCGCATATTATTGTTTGTTGCCGGCAACATGCGACGACAACCGAGATTCCGGGGAATTTCCCTTGATACATATACCACCCTGAACCCTAGAACAGCTACAGCATGTCTGTCTAACGGTGTGAATATTTCTGCGCGCGCTGGCTCCATCATGCCCAACTATCGACTGGCTCGAGCTGCCGGTGGCTGGCGGCCGAGTTCAGTAATCCTACGCTCATCTTCTTCCCGTGTGCAGCATAGGGCCGCACATACCAAAGACGCTCCCCAGACGACCACACCAGCCAAATCCCTTGATTCAATTCTGATAGCAAATCGAGGCGAGATAGCTATACGCGTCAACCGGACAGCCGCCCAGCACGGCATTCGGACAACCACACTCTACACTACCCCGGATGCAGAGTCCCAACATGCGCATTGCTCACCATTCTCATTCAATCTGGGGCCGAGCACCGGATATCTCGACCAAAAGAAGATTTTGGCAGTTGCCAAACAGCAGGGCTGCCAGGCCATCCATCCAGGCTATGGCTTTCTGTCAGAAAATGCCGACTTTGCCAGAAGATGCGCCGAGGAAGGTGTCACGTTCATCGGTCCTCCCCCGAGCGCTATCGAAGACATGGGAGACAAGGCGCGGAGCAAAGAGATCATGAACGGAGCTGGGGTGCCCTGTGTGCCTGGTTATCACGGCTCCGACCAAGCTCCCGAAACGCTCGCGGCAGAGGCAGACAAGATCGGATATCCTGTGTTGATCAAGGCCGTGCGAGGCGGCGGGGGCAAGGGTATGCGGATTGTAAGGACCGCAAAGGAGTTCCCGGATATGCTGGAAAGCGCCAAAAGCGAGGCGAGGAACTCGTTCGGCAATGACGAAGTGCTAGTAGAAAAGTATATCACCACGCCGCGGCACATCGAGGTCCAGGTGTTCGCTGACAAGCATGGCAATTGTGTTGCCTTGGGTGAGCGAGATTGTTCCATACAACGGAGACACCAGAAGATCCTTGAGGAGTCACCAGCCCCAAACCTGGACAACGCGATCCGAAAAGATATCTGGGAAAAGGCTCGCGCGGCGGCCCTGGCTGTCAATTACGAAGGAGCCGGAACTGTCGAGTTTATCTTCGACAACGACACCGGCGACTTCTATTTCATGGAAATGAACACGCGTCTCCAGGTCGAGCATCCCGTGACCGAGATGGTGACCGGGCTTGATCTGGTTCATTGGCAGATCCTGGTGGCTGAAGGCAACGAATTACCATTGACTCAACAACAGGTGGAAGAAGGAATGGCACAACGCGGCCATGCCATTGAAGCTCGAATCTACGCTGAAAACCCAGATAAGGGATTCATACCTGACTCGGGCAAGCTTCTGCATGTTCGACTGCCCAAGGAAACCTCAGACGTTCGCATCGATAGCGGCTTTATCGAGGGCGACGAAGTCTCGAGCCATTATGACCCCATGATTGCCAAGCTGATCGTGCGCGGTGAGGATAGGAAAGACGCCTTGCGCAAAATGGCGGCGGCTTTGCAGGACTACGAGGTGGCGGGCCCGGTGACCAACATCGACTTCCTCAAGCGAGTATGCAAATCGCTGGATTTCGTGTCGGGCCAAGTCGAGACTGGGTATATTGAGAAACATCGTGAAGAACTATTCCCACATACAACTCCAACGTCTGAAGTGCTCGCTGAGGCTGCCTTGGCTTCCTTCTTGCAGTCCTCGCAGCCGTCACTGGGCTCGGTTCTCACGTCGTTGCAATCACCTTCCCCGTCCTGGCTAAGCACATCGGCCGACTTCCAGCCCCGGACATTCCAGTTCCAGTCAGCCGATTTTGAAGCAGGACCAGGACGCGTGCCCGAGATCTATAGCGTCGAGTTGCAACAGGTCATCCCCGGCCAATTCTTGGTGAGGACAGATCAATCCCAGGAGCGGCCATTCCAGGTATCATCATCACTCGACCCAGAGACTCATACCATGACCACGTATTTCCCTCATACACGTCACACCTCGCGCATCGTCTTTGGATCCTCGGAATCCGGCATCCTTCACCTCTTCACGCCGCAAGGGTCGTTTCGGCTCGTCGCCCCGCCACCGGCCTGGCTGTCCAAGGCACTTGGAGTGGTGGAAAAGCCCAATTCGCTGTTCTCGCCAATGCCTGCGAAAATCCTGCGGGTGCTCGTCAAACCAGGTGACGCGGTGCAGAAGGACCAGCCCCTGATTGTGATTGAGAGCATGAAGATGGAGACTGTCATCCGCAGCCCTGCCGAGGGTTCTGTCGTGAAGAGAATCGTGCACAATGAGGGTGAGGTCGTGCGTAGTGGTGTTGAATTGGTGGAATTCGAAGAAGGCGAAACTGACGGGTCACCGCCATAAATGAGCACGTCCCTTGGACGGAGACCGTCTATTGCGGCTCACATACCTTGTGTTTGATCAACACAGAGCTGGTCGTCCAGCGACGGAACACAACTTGGAATCTCCCTCACCACACTATTCCACCATGACCAAAAAGACCTTATATGATGAGACAGTTGTCCCCAATCAGAGAGCGACATTCAGGCAAAGACCTCGTCAATATGCACAATCAGGACAGTCACTTCTCTGGATTCCTAGACAAGCTTGGTATCCAGTACCGAAACTAGAGGCTAGGTATGGGCGAGTGAGCCAGAAGAAATTACGGGAACACGCAGTGGTATGTCTATACATGCTGTATATTGTTGAGACAGGCTCGATCTGGGAATCATAAAACGCCGGGCCGCTGGATTCTCGCATCATTCACAATCAGGTCGGAGGATCGCCATATTGTCGGCAATTGAGAGCTTTGAAGGCTTTGAGTTTCTTGGGCACGGGGGACTAGTCAGTATGGCAGTGCATACTTGGAGTATGCCCCAAATTTGATATGTCTCTGGAAGGCATTTCTTCGAGCTCCTGCTACAGTGCGAGGGATAAACAGGCGTTGATTCTGTGGGGAAGCTGATCGTCCGCCGCAACTTCGGATACTGTATGATCAACGGTCGCCTGTAGGGGTCAGGGCTTCCAACCGTCCCCGCGCATATAATGTACTGTAGCTGCAGATACAACACGAGCAGATCATGCTCCTCAGATCCAGCACCTCGGGGTAGTTGGGCCGAAAGCTGGGGATGAACAACGTGAAGGATCTCCACTGTGGGTGTCGGAGTATTCGGGGCGGCGGGTGCAGTGCTGATCCTCGAGAGAAGCGATGATCAAATTGCTAGGGAGAGGGTGTCTCGCAGAAGGCTGGGGGACTCGGAGCTTAGCCGTCAAGCCCAGATAAACAGGTTCAGGTTCCGCCGAATGTCCTGCTATTTACCGACGTCGGGTGTGGTAATCTTCGGGCCGGATTCGGTGAGGCGGATTGAATTGCGGTGTCACAGTGATGCCAGCCGCTGCCCTAGGTACCTTGCTTGCCATGAGCTTCAAGTTGATCAACATGCCGGCGGCCCCTTCCAGCAGATGACCATGTCAACAACTGGTAGTACGTAAAAGTTGAAGCAAAGAGGCAGGCTGTCAGGAACCAGCGTTCAAGGTGCTAGGGCAGTCCACTTCTACTGGAGGTTCAGACGCAACCTACTGCACTGCAGCTGAACGAGAGAGCGGAAGATGATTCCCTTCAAGTTCAGCCAGGCGCAGGTACATACCTAATCAACTCAACCGTCCTAATGCGGGAACCTTCAGGGTAAAAAGCATTGCAGTGCTTTCAAGGGGCACCGAATAACCTTCAAGTCGTACAAGTTGTAGGCACCACTGGCAGTATCTGCCTCTGTATTGTTCGTCCATGCCATACCTTAGCTACTACCTAGCTGGAGCACGTCGCCTAACCGATGCACTTCAAGTGGGCGTATTTTGGAGGCTCCGTCAGGTCCCAAGTCCGCGGCAGCGGAAACGCTTTGGGTCCGCCTGCCAACTGCCAGTGGGTAGCAGCACTACGAGTACCTGGTACCCAGCGTCACTGCCACACCCTGCCAGTGGCCAGCGTCAGAATCTCGCATGCGTCCGCAGGCTGCCCTTGCAATTTTACCATATCTTCACTGAGAGTTGTGTTCGACCTTTCCGCTCTGCATTTGTGCTCAATCTACTCGATGCATTGGACACTCCAGCGATGCCGATGGCGCCTCATTGATGTGGTTAATGCTTGTGCTAATACTGACAGTCCTCACGATCCAGACCCAACCCCCCTGTCACGCCTTGAGGGTCCCTGCGGCGCCTCCTGATAGACTTACCATCCTCAGTAAAGCCTTCACCATCGTGCACACTAGCTTGAAGGATATTCCCAAGCTCGATCGTCAATCGAAAACAAAACATGCGCTGCCCGAGACTAGACTCCCTTTCTGACCAGCCAGGCCTTGGATCGACCACGCTACACCCGCGGCAGGGCAATGAGGACACGGGAAAAAAAGAAAAATTTATATCGCTGAACCGAACCTCCATACTGTAACGTACATGCCTCACCAGATTGCCCAACCTTGGCTGCGACGCCTGATGGACTCCTCGTTAGCTCTATTGTAAACATTGTGACGGCCCGCGGGTGAATCTGGTCCATTTCATTTGTAGTCGTCGTCTGGATTTTTGCCCAACAGAAAAGACATTACTTAGACGACTTTGCCGTTTACGCCAGATACAGCAACCTCAACACCACCACCTCAACTTCCCGGACATCACCTTACAGCTCCATCTCAAGCAACCCACGTCTTCGCTGCTGACTGGATCCACGAAGGTCTGTGCCAACTTCGGCTCGCCTCGTCCTGTCAGGAGATCTGGATGGTCTTCAAAGGTACTTGAGTGCTTGGCTGTACCGGTTTCGCCCTACTTCCGCCATCACACCTGTCGCTCAGTCAATCAGTCATCCCCGTTCATGTCAATATTCTGTCACCCTAGCACTTGCCGAGTTTTGCAACTTTCGACTCTGCTCAAGACGCAGGAGGATACGCCGTATAAAGACGACGGCCAGCCAGCACACGACCTGTCCGAATCCCTCCTTCAGACCAAGCCTCGTTACGTTACAGACCACCTCAGACCCCTAAACACAAGCAACCGACCTTTGGTTTTTCTGGTTCGTGTCGCAATCCTGCGACGTGGCCACAGGACACAGCCACCTGTTTGGGCTCGCTCTGAGTTGCCTCTTGACTGTTACATCGGCGCAAAGTCGCAAGACTACGCCACATCTACGTGCCTTACCCATCAGGCACACGACCAAAATCCATCGCCACTGAGAGTGGGAGCCGAGGTTCAGTCCGACGTCGCGGGAAGGAGGGAGCACCACGACTGAAATGTAGGTGCATAGGGGGTTTTCTTGCGCACAGTAACAAGTAATCCGGCTTCCCGTCGCTGTGGAATCCTACAGCAAGTCCAAAGAGAACTGTTCGTGGGCGGCGAGGAGATTGCGCCAGGCGCGGAAGGAGAAGCGTCAAGGTCCGTGGAGTCGGAGCTTTTCAGAATGAGTTTGCAGCCCAGGTGAGTTCTGTCGGAAATCGTGTAGCTCCTTCATTTGTTCCAGAGCTGCCTACTGTTTCCTGGGAACCTTGCGATGTCCGGTCAAACTGGCCCAGCAAGAGACTGTTCACTAACTCGTCCCGGCCGGGGCTCCAACACAGGCGAGAGTACCACATCGTTGTGCTAGGTGCAGGTACGTACAGTCATGGATTCCTCGAATTCCACTCTCTAGCGTTCTCCATCTACTTTGGATACCAATGCGCGCAGCAATCCAGTTCTGTCGCTACGAATACAAACTAACCTTTGTGCATTTGTCTTCCTACAGGAGGCGTAGGGAAAAGCTGTCTCACCGCGCAGTTCGTGCAGAATGTCTGGATTGAAAGCTACGACCCGACTATCGAGGACTCGTACCGTAAGCAGGTCAATGTGGACGGCCGGCAAGTCATGCTGGAAATGTAAGAAGCATCAATACATCTAGTGCTGCACCAGCTACTACTCCTGTCACTTCTGTTCTTTCCCAACCCACGCATACACAAAGCATTTCCTACCTCATCTCACCCGCATCCTGCTGCGCAGCAATGGACTGGGGCAGACGAAGCTGACTTTTCTAAAGCCTCGACACGGCCGGCACAGAGCAATTCACGGCCATGCGGGAACTTTACATGAAACAAGGACAAGGCTTTCTGCTCGTCTTCTCCATCTGTAACATGAACTCGTTTCGCGAGCTGGCCGAATTGCGCGAACAGATCATCCGCATCAAGGACGACCAAGACATTCCACTGGTTGTGGTGGGCAACAAATCCGACATGGAGGACGAGCGTGTTGTTCCCCGTGCCCTAGCCTTCCAGCTCGCTCAGTCATGGGGCCAAAAGCCGTACTACGAGACCTCGGCCCGGCGGCGCACCAATGTCGACGAAGTCTTCCACAATCTATGTCACCAGATCATCCAGAAAGAAGCCGGTCGATCCCAAATTTTGGAGCAGCAATTGGCCACGCGACGCCGCGAACGGCCTAACAGACATGATCGGCGAGGCAGGCGGACCCGCAACCGAGATCGTTGCGTTATTCTGTAGTTCAATGACGGTCAGTCAGGGATGTCCCGGTCCGGGCAACATATCTTTCGGTCGGCGCAATATGTGCACCATTGAAAAGGCGTTTTCACCAAGTTAGACATGCAAAGGGGGACAATCGGGAGTTCAAGTTGTAGGGAAAAGGGAAAGAAGAGATTAGACTTACCGACTCGCGTCAGATTTGATTGGGAATGCAAATAATTCGTGGATTCTCTGAATGAGTAGTCATGGACCAAAACCAGCCGTGCAATAGCTGTGTTCGTCCGATAGTTTCAAAGGCGTTGTCCTCTGGACGATATGTGACCCCTGTGATAAGCGTGCTTGGTGGGAATGCCCGGATTGGACTGGACAATCTGATTACATGCTGCCATTGCACATGGTGAAGTTCGCCCTCACATTCTGAAGACGCCAAATTTTGTGGACATGTCATCCTGCGTGCTGGTGCCGCCCAAGGCAGCCTTGAGGCCCATGGCGAGCATGTTCCTGGTCTGGGCGGGATGAATGACGCCGTCGTCCCAGAGGCGGGCGGAGGAGAAAGCGGCATCGCTTTCGCGCTCGATGCGGTCTCTGAGCTCGGGGTCGACGGCCTTGCCGACGGTTTCCATGACGGCCGTGAGCTGGTCGGGGCCCATGACGCCGATTTTGGCGTTGGGCCACATCCACAGGAAGCGCGGCGAGTAAGCTCTGCCACACATGCCGTAGTTGCCGGCGCCGGCGCTGGAGCCGACGACGACGGTGAACTTGGGGACGTTGGCGCAGGCGACGGCCGTGACGAGCTTTGCGCCGTTTTTGGCGATGCCGCCCTTTTCGGCGTCGGCGCCGACCATGAAACCGCTGATGTTCTGCAGAAACACCAGCGGGATCCCCCGCTGGCAACACAGCTGGATGAAGTGGGCGCCCTTGAGCGACGACTCGGAAAACAGGATGCCGTTGTTGGCCACAATGCCGACTTGGTACCCGGCGATCCGGGCAAAGCCCGTCAATAATGTGGTGCCGTAGTCCTTTTTGAACTCGGCGAACTCGCTGCCGTCGACGATGCGAGCAATGATCTCGTGCATCGGGATCTGTTTGCGGAGGTTGGTGCCGACGATGCCGGCCAGGTCGGCGGGATCGTAGAGAGGGGGACGGACGGTTTCAGGCAATTTCTGTTCTTTGGGGTAATTCAGGTTGGCGACGGATCGGCGCGCCAGAACAATTGCGTGGGCGTCGTCCACGGCAAGGTAATCCGTGACGCCAGAGACAGAGCTGTGAAGTTGCCCGCCGCCCAGCTCTTCGGCGGAGACGACTTCGCCGGTGGCGGCCTTGACGAGCGGCGGACCGGCGAGGAAGATGGTGCCCTGGTTCTCGACGATGATGGACTCGTCACACATGGCAGGAACATAAGCGCCGCCGGCGGTGCAGGGGCCCATGACGACGGCAATCTGCGGGATGCCCATGCTGCTCATGCGGGCCTGGTTGAAGAAGATACGGCCGAAGTGGTCGCGGTCCGGGAACACGTTGGCCTGGTTCGGCAGGTTGGCGCCGCCCGAGTCCACCAGGTAGATGCACGGCAGGCGGTTTTGTTCGGCTATCTCCTGTGCCCGCAGATGTTTCTTGACTGTTAATGGATAGTATGTGCCGCCCTTGACCGTGGCGTCGTTGGCTACCACCATGCACGTCACGCCTGAAACCGTCCCGATCCCCGTGATGATGCCCGCCGCAGGCACGTCTTCGTCGTACACTTTGTACGCGGCCAGCGGAGACAGCTCCAGGAACTCACTGCCCGGGTCGATCAGCGCCGTCACCCGGTCCCGCGCCAGCATCTTGCCTCGTTGCACGTGTTTCGAACGTGCCTTGTCCGGCCCGCCGCGCGATATCTTCTCGTGTAGCTCCGAATACTTGGCCATCACGGCCGTCAGCTGCGCTGAGTTGTCTTGGAAGTCCGGGCTGGAGCGGTCCACCATTGTCGGAAGCACTGAGATGGCCTGCGCATGGTGTGGCTGGGTGAATGTGGCCGCGGTTCGGATATGATGCGAGGGACCTCGAGGAGGTCGTGGGTGTGGACGTGATCGTAGGTAGACATTGGAAAGGCCGCGGTGAGCGTGAGCGTGTCCTTGGTCTCCGACGACGACGTTCCGGAGACTTCTCAAGAGCGAGGGCGTCGGCGTATAACACGATCGTGGAGGAGGAGGCATGTCTGCGTGCAGGGCCGACAGGCGTGTACTCTAAGCACTGCACCTACTGTGTACTGCAGTGGTGGTCTTGATGGAGGACAGCAACAACTGAACGGCGACAAACACCCTTGACGGACTGAAAATCATGCACACATGGCCGTCCTGGAACCAATTGTCAGGATCGAGGTCAAGATCAGGACCAGGACATTCCAATGTTCATATATGTCGTATTTATGTTCTGTTGTTCGCTGGGGTTGAAACGTGGAGCTCCGCTTTCATGCCGTCGATAACCGAGGAGCACAAACACTGTAACTGGAATCTGGAGAAGCGGACAGATAGATTGCACCACCACCACCACCTCCTGGTACCATCCAACTACAGCTGTACAACTGGGACTTACTGTAGGTACCTTGCTCCCGCGGCAATGCAATACCCCGGTATTGTCGACTGTACCTAGGTATGCTGCTGTCGATCGACTCCTGTACATAAAGTCCGCACGGTACGGTACCCCGCGGTCTCATTTCTATTTCCGGTGCTTGCATTTGGCTTGTTGGGGGATCACGACAACAAACACCAGACGAGTACCAGGAGTAACATTTATCTAGCTTCACAACTGACGGATAGTTATCTATATATCTCAGCCAGCCGCAATCTCTGTCCGTTTCTTCTTTTTTTTTTCTTCTGTTACTCAGAATCACTGGAAAAGAAGATGGCACCAGCAACCGAGATCTGCTTCCTACCCCTCCAAGAGGGGAGCTATTCCGACGACGCCAGCAGTGGCGTCGACCCCAAGTTCAAAAAGATGTTCGACACCATCCTGGCTCAGGAGGGTTGTCAGCGTCTGTACTGGGGCCGACAGGTGGAACACCCGTCCATCCTCACTTTGTTCATCGACTGGGATAGCGTTGAACACCACGAAAAGTTCATTGCCTGTGGGTAAGCCGACGTCACGAACTAACCTTTATTTGTGTGCACGTACGTTCTGACAAACAGAACACAGAACATATAAACCATTCACCGACGAAGTTGGCGCCTTCTTGACCGGTCCACCCCGGTTCTATCATGTCAATTTCGACCCTCAACCGCCAACCCGGGCGCTGGCCGATGGCGGTCCATTTGCAACCGAGTTCATCACCATCTATTTTCCCACCGACTATTCGGCCGACGACCAGAAGGTTTTCGAGGCCAGCTTGAATAAGCTGGTTGATGTTGCCCGCAAGCACTCCCCGGGCTTCAAGACCTCGGCTGGCGGTTGGGCTATCGAGCAGCTCGATTTGCCCGACGGTTCCTCAAAGGCAAAGGTCTTTGTCGCCCTTTTTGGCTGGGAGAGCGTCGAGGCACATCAGAAGTTCCGAGAAACCCAGGCGTTCAAGGATAACATCCATCTGTTGAGGGGCGCCAAGGATCTCAAGGCCGTCTCGGTCTTCCATGTACTTGCCAAGGAGGCGTCGAGGTCTTGACGGGACGTAAACTACCTTAGACTTTTACCGGTGCGCTTCGCGTGGATATTCTGAGGCGAGTGGTCTTCCAAGAGATTGAAAGCTGGTGTTCAACGGAGTCAGAGGCCCGTTGGCTGAAGGGTAGCTGATAAGTTCATGGGACTCGGAGGTATTGGTAGGCAGGGGTGTATTGAGCCAAAATGGAAACGCTGGTCCTGTCCAGCAAGTTATGCCCGCAGGTGACATATTATGTAGCCAAATACACAAACGCATTCCACGCTTGAGCGACGACAGCACGGTAAGCTGTCCAGGACTGCAATACTATAATCAATATCTGGGCTGTACTGCAGCTGAGTGAGAGTTTAGTGAGTCGCGAGTGCCACTGCAATACTGCATTTGTTTATCATGTTAGGTACCTGTCTTATGGTCCAGGCCCTACGCCAAGCGTTGACATTTTGGAGTTGCCGGCGCAATGAGATAGAGTATCTTATTACCTCAGCTATACACGCAAGGTATCTCCCGTGGTCCGTAGGGCGCAAACATCGTTGAGATTCATGCGTCTGTTTGAGTGTCGTTCATCTTGAATAATAGGAGCGTGGTGGGTTGATCGACTCTTCGCCTACATTACGTGGTATTTTCCGTACTTCATACAGCAAGCAGGAGCAATATTAACACGCCGGCAACCGCCACCCCAACATACACCTTCAAAGCGCTTGAGTCGGCCGTGACCGCCCAAAGTGACGCTCACACAACCAAGTCAAGGCATCATTATACTAGCAGATTGATCCTCTATCGTCTGTTTCTCTTACACGCTCTATCAAGCTGCTGGCCGAGCTCTCGCTGGGGCTTCGAGGAGATACACCGGCGAAATATTTCATCAAACAAAACTGAAATAGTCCTACGGCACACCCTACAGGAGACTGAGTGGTTAAAGATTGTTTGCCGGTGAGCACGATGGGGGATCAGGATCGCTTCACCAAAGACTACGCGGCATCGCTGGACGCCACCGACCCGTTATCACATTTCCGGTCCGAGTTCTATATCCCGACCCTTGCGGACCTCAAGCGATCGACCCTGGCCCAGCCGCCCGATGAGGAGCCCTCTACGCCGTCCACATACCTATGTGGCAATTCACTCGGGCTCCAACCAAAGAGAACAGCGAACCTGATCAATGCGTTCCTAACCCAATGGCGCACCAAAGGCGTGACGGGCCATTTCGTCGAGCACACTGATTCCCCTTTGCCGCCGTTCCTGCACATTGATGACTATGCGGCGAAGCTTATGGCCCCTGTTGTCGGTGCACGCCAAGAAGAGGTCGCCGTGATGGGCTCCTTGACGGGAAACTTGCATCTCCTCATGTCGAGCTTCTATCGTCCCAGTGCAAAGGGACAAGGCCGGTGGAAGATCCTGCTTGAAGGCAAGGCTTTCCCGAGTGATCATGTGAGCACACATATATCCCCCCTGTTTTCGTCATTTGCGGCGTGGATAGTGCACCGCCCCTTGTGTCAGAGTGGAATAGCTAACAGGACACCGAAACCAGTACGCCGTCGAGTCGCAGATTGTGCATCACGGGCTCGACCCAGCGGAGGCCATGGTGCTGTTGGAACCGACAGACCCGCGGTTTCCCCTGCTGCCTACCACCCAGATCCTGCGGACCATTGATGAACATGCATCCGAACTGGCCCTGATCCTCCTCCCCGGCGTCCAGTTCTACACCGGCCAGTATTTCGACATTCAGACAATAACCGCCCATGCCCATTCTCACGGTATCTTGATCGGTTGGGACTGTGCCCATGCCGTCGGCAACGTAGACTTGAGGCTGCATGACTGGGACGTCGACTTTGCCGCTTGGTGTAGCTACAAGTATCTTAATGCCGGCCCCGGCGCAATGGCTGGCATCTTCGTCAACGAAAGATTTGGCAAAGTCGACATGGCCAATTCCAATCCCACGCAAAAATTCTGGCCACGTTTGACTGGATGGTGGGGGGACGACAAATCGAGCAGGTTTCAAATGACAAACAGTATGGCTTCACCCTTTCCCCCCGGGTCGCTGATACTGACGAACGTGATCAGAATTCGTGCCTAGGCCTGGAGCGGCCGGATATCAGCTTTCCAACCCGAGTGCGCTTGACCAGGCCGCAGTGGTTGCTTCGTTGCAGATCTTTAATGAAACGTCCATGGCACAACTACGCGACAAGTCACGGAGGCTAACCACCTATCTGGAGCAAATCTTGCACACAATGACCGAGCGACGCCCGGGGCTGTTCGACATTATCACGTCACGCGAACCCGAGGAGAGAGGGGCACAACTGAGCATTCGACTGTCGCCAGGCCTGCTCGACTCAGTGCTGGAACACCTGGAACAGGAAGGTGTTGTGGTGGATGAGCGAAAGCCCGATGTTATCCGAGTGGCACCCGTTCCATTGTACAATTCGTTCACGGACGTGTTTCGGTTTAGCCAGGTCTTGGAGGCTGCCTTGGACAAGGCGTCCAGCCAGACCACAGCCCGCTGACGTTAGGTCATGGCATTTCAATCGTCGTCACTGTCGCTCAGCTCCGCCTCGCGCCATAGCACAAAGTCAAAGCGACCGTCGAGATTTAAGCGGATGTATTCACGGATCAATTCTTGTTCTGCCTCGCTCAGGTCGTACTCGGGATCAGCAGCCATCAGAGACAGGTTGAATCCTCTCTGCGTCTCTGGGTCAAGGCTCGTCAAGAAATCCATGATCGAGTCTGACGTGAATTTGGTCATTGCGTAGAGCGTCAGGTTTTTCAGGTGTTTGAGGTTCGCCAACACTGGCAGGATGTCCGTCGAGACCTCACCACCACTGGTCCAGAAGTCTTCCAGAAGTGGAAGGCTCAATGCAAGGGAGACAATGTGATCCTCGGAGAACTCGTCAGAAACATCCTTAAGGACAAGCTCTTTCAGATTCGTCAGGTTGCACAACGCTTCCACCATGATCTGAAGGTCGTCCGGGGTGGTATCCTCACCGTTTCCTTTGAGCCAGACTGATTCCAGCGACTTTTGCTCCGCCAAGGCGCTGTGGAACAACTGGGCATTGGTATGTTGCACCGTATATCCCTCGAGAGAGAGTCTTGTCAATTTGACTTGGGGGGAATACAGAACCCGTGACAGGATGGCAGGGCCGTCAAGGAATTTCTTTAAGCTGAGATCCCGAAGTTTCGTGCACGAACTCAGCCAGTTCACCACTTCGAGGAATACGTCGTTGTTGAGCGTTTCTAGCTGGACAGTCCCATAGTTGTCGTCCAGTTTGAGCGTGTGGATCTCGGTACAATCCTTGAGGGCATCCAAATTCGCCATCGCTTCTAGATTGAGATTGCCCAGATGTAATTGTCGCAACGTCTTGTGACGGCCCAGGGCCAGGAATGTACGTCTTCCGAGGCTGTTGAAGCTGATCATTTCAAAGTACGCCAGCGTATTTGGCCTCAACTCGTGCAGAAACGTAGCGAAAGCGTCGTCAGCGTCCAACGACGACCACTCATGGATAGTCAGGTTTTGGAATTTCTCGCAGCATTGCGCAATCGCGGCCCCGGCACCGTTCACGAGTGCATCTCCCTTCCACAACACCATTGTTTCCAACTTTGGAGAACGGGAGATCCACCTAGGCAAGAATCCCGGGCTGATGTGGCCGTCGATTTCTTCCAGAAAGGTCGTTTTGGCCGTCACCGCTTCGCCAATGGCATTGACGGTGGCCACCACATCGACGCCGAGTCTGTTGTATTCCCGCTTTGGGAAATGGAAGGCCTGCAGGTCGTCGGCGAAGAATGCCTTGCGCACATTGCCCGTGAACTTTGGGTCCTCCAACATGAACGAAAGGTTGCGAAAGTCTAGAGTCTTGATGTAGCGACAGTACGGCTTGTAGGTTGACGGGTTATCGAGACTGGATTGGACGATCGATCGCCATAACAACGTCCACTTGCGGTAGAACTGGGCCTGCTCTGCGGCTTTAACGTTGTAGTTCACCGGGCGCTGGCCGCGGACCTCCAAATCGTCCCTTTGTTCAAAGACTGGAGAATTCTGATGAAGTCTGCAGTTGGGGTTGGATAATGTCAGCAATATGCAGTATTCGACTCGACCCAATTGTAGTGTCTGTTCAGTTAGACTGTTCGTAACTTACTGATACATTGTTCTGAGTGCCGGATCCGCAAACGATCTTGAACTCAGCGCGCACTGATATAACGATCGGAAGTCACCGTCGTTGCCGAGCTCTTGGCATACCACGGATAATATTTCGTCGGGCAGACTTGCTCCGCCATATGAGGAGGACATTGTCGCGGCTGTCTGTCTGATGGCGTGGCGTCCAGAAAGCCAACAACAAACTTGAAGTTTAGGTACTGCACCAGCCAAAAGAACGAAGGCGCCAGCTGTCGAAGGCCTTGGTCTCCAGTGATGGCAATGTCAACCAATTCAACCAACAACCCTTGACCCAAAAATGAATTTGACCTAATAATTGCTGCGACACAAAAATGTCGAGTCCTTTGAGTCGTAGCGTACAAAGTTCGGGTGCGAGTGTAGGTGTTCAAGTCTGGTGTTGTCGAAACCGACCAATGACATCACTCCACTTTACGCGTCGAGTCGAGTCGCGTCGAGGACAGAAACTTGAACGAGGCTCGGAAAATGTAAATGTTTGTCTCGACGTCTCAATTGAAACTCTCGTCGTCGACGACGAGATATTTGGCGGCCATCAAAGGATACCTATAGCATTCAGGATTTGCTCAGCATAATAACAATGTTGATGGTACCCCTCCCTGATCAACTCAATGCCGACCTTGTTGTTCAGCGTGGGGCCTCCGGGCGTCACCTCTATCCACGACCTGCTGATATGCCTGGCCAAGTTCGATGAGGATGTCTCTATCGAAGCAACACCACAATTTGTGAGTCAACGCTGGCCTCCATACAGACATACATATATTTATGCATATTTTTCTTCATCGGCATATCCACCACTGACTAGATCAACCAGCTCCGATTTTCCAGTCTGAACATCTCCAAGACCACCCACGCAGCATTCACACTCTCGTCGTCTTTTTTCCACAAATACCATTTCTCGCCAGGTCCGGGCCCGCCGAGCACAACTGGTCCAAAGATCTGGACTTGTAAGATCCAGAATCGGGTGTGTACTAATAGTTTCTAACCAGAACAAACAAACCCTTTCCGCCTGCCCATGCATGTCCTTTTCTTGCGTTAATCCTAGATTTCATACCCTCTATGACTCTACGGTCTTCTGACATTGCTTCTCCAGGCACTACTAGCCATTTTCAAACGGCGTCAAGACCAAAGGGACAGAGACACGGCACTAGAATCGTGCGACTGCGAACTCCAGGCCAGTCCGGACCAAGCCGAATGTCGCTTGATCTTCCGGCTCAACTGCCGCCAGGGCGTGGTCAAGACGTACCGATTATTCTACGAGTCCGCCGAGGCCCTCCATGCCGCATTTGACCGTGCTGGATCCGCCAATTACTGGACGGTATCGTCGCGGACGTTGCGGGATGTCGTCGAATACTTTGGTCCCAAGACCGACCAGCTCGATTGGTATTATCAGAACGGCAAAGTCACGTTTACAAGTTACACGGAGAAGATTCAAAGTGGAAGAGGTGAGTGCTGTGTCATGATATGTTGTGTCACACTTGCTTCCTTTCAAGCCGAACGATGAACAATGTTGATGTTTCTTTGCTTCTGGTGTAGAAATTCTCAAACAGCCAATGCACACATCTGTGGCACTGGAACGAAAAGACTTTGACGACTTCAACGTCCAGGAAGGCCTGCATATCGGCATGATGGTCAAGGATTTCCGAGCCATTGTCGCCCATGCCGAGGCCATGCGAGTCCACGTTACGGCGAGATACTCGCGAGGCAATCGACCCATGCAGATGACGTACGAAGAGAACGGCCTGCATGCCGAATACACCTTGATGACCCGGGGCACCACAAATGTTCCTCAATCATCACATGTCGGCACGCCGGCGAGAGATTTGTCCATGCAGCCTGTATCGAGGGCCCGAGAGAACGAGGCTGTGGCTGTGGCTGTGGCTGGACCTACGACGCAGACAGCGGAGGAAACCGACTCTGCAACCGCCAGACCTTCTTCAACGACCGAGGGGACCATGCCTCCGCCCGCTCGCACTTCTTTCCCACGGCAACGCGAATCCACTGCTCCTGTGCTCTCGAAACCCAACATGTTAGATTCAACCATGGCCCCGTCCGGAAGCATCGACCCCAACAGCCTCTTCATCCCTGCCGACGATGAGGACGACCAGCAATGGGACGCGCCCAACTTCGAGGAAGAACCCGACATTGTCACTTGGGACAACACTGCCGATGAAGGATCTGCGCCGAGCTCCACGCGCCGCATCCGCGACTCGGCCCTCCATTCATTCGCATCCATGCAAGAGCAAGAGCGGGGCCAGGAACAACGACGCCGGTCGGAACAAGTGTCTCGATCCCGATTTCCTCATGAGATCGCACCCACGCAGCGTCTATCGCAAGTGCGTGGCATCTTTGACTGAAGTTTGCTGTCGAACAGACCAGGCCTCCATCGTGGATGAACCAGAGGAGAATCCTCATCCATTCCTGGTCCTGTAAATGACGAAACTCGTGGCGCATCCCGCTGCGACACTTTCCACCACCAGTTCCTGGTCCAGGTCCTGAGGTGGCGTTATCACATTCCACCTCCCCGCGACATCGCCCCTAGTATCTACCTGTGGGCCACAATTGCCATGTTCACCCCATCCCCAAGCTATGACTTGCCCGTCTGCGGTGAGAGCAATGCAGTGTTCGCTCCCAGCCGCCAGCTGTCGGATTTTAGGGAGCCCAGCCGGCGCCAGTTGCCCACGATGATTTCGGCCGGTACTATGCACCGAGCCTGAGCCTGGGAGGCGTGAAAATCTGTGGATCGAACTCCACGAACTGACTATCTGGTCACCTTCTTGAAGCGGAACGGACAGCGATTCATCATCATCCGAGGACTTGATATCTCCCCACACCAGAGGTTTCTCGCCGCTCCTCAGCAGAATCGTGTAATCTCTACCAACTGCTAGGTCGGTAGGTGCCCAGGGCAAGCGGGGCAAGGAGTTGGAGCGACCATTGTTCCCATCATTGTCGTCGTCCTGGATCCAACCATCATTCGGGGTCCCAACCAGCGTGGGCGTCCACAGATTCTTTCGAGTTTTGACCTGCTCACCCAACTGGCCTTTACGACAACTTCCCCACCCCAAGACAAGGCCGTTTGACAAGAGCAGCACGACGTGAGCCATGGACGCGGCAATTGCGCGAATGTAGATTCCAGGCTGACTTTTGATTTGGTTTGGTGGGCTGTTTTGGGAAGCGTCGCCGTTGGGATCGGAATCACGATGGCCAGTTGTGAACCCAGAACCAGAACCAGAACCTGAACCTTGGCCAGCACTTTTGATATCATCATGAGGAGTAGAAGTGGCAGTGGCAGTGGCAGTACCAGTCGAAGTGGCAGTTGTAGATCCAGATCCAAACCTTACCCCAAACCCAAACCCAAAATCGAACTCGTCCACGTCAAACACTCTGGTCATGCAGTCTGCGCGCTCAACACCTTCCCCGAGGCCCAGTTCTCCTTTCGACCCGGATCCAGAGACGAACACGGCTCTGTGATTGACCACCACGAACGAAGCATCCCAAGTCGCTGCAATGTCTGTGATGGTGGCCCTTGTATCAGCCCTTGTTGTTATATTTGCCGCGGCCAAACCACAATGCGAAGAATTGCCATCAGTGCCGACGGTTTTCCTAGTATCATGTCCAAACTCATAGTCTCGCTGTACAAAGACAGAAGACCAAGGGGAAGGAGTAGAAGGAGAAGTGGTACGAAGTAAAGCTTCCCTCCCATCACCGGACTTGAGATTGAATTGCGCACTAGTATCATCATTTAGTCCACCCCCGCTGCCGAATTTCCCAGCACTGAAGAGACGCCCATGATCAGTCAGAAGAAGAGTATGGTTTCCTCCGGCGACGATCTTGATCTTCTTGACGCCGCTGGTCTGTAGATTCAGATCTGTCGGCCTGGAGCTGGTTCTGACAGTAGTGGTGTTGGCAGTGCTGGTGGTGATCCCAGTTGTTCTGCTCGTCCTGCTCGTCCCGCCGGTCGCAGTAGCACTAGCAAAAACGCATCTCTCCAACCTCGCCGTGTCTTCCTCATGTCCTATTCCCAATTGTCCTGACCCATTAGATCCGAGCGCGTAGACGATAGGCACGGAGATATCATTCTCTCTTTCTTCCCCATCTTCACCTTTGAGCACTGTAGCTTTTTGACATACATTCTCACGGTCATCACCGCCGTTGCCGCCGTGATTGCTCGACTCGGCAATCCCAGAACTCATTTCCTTTCCCAATACCCACCACTACCATCTCCTGCAGTTCTCCACCTTTGAAATCAATCAAAGTTGTTGCGCCGCGGCAACCTTCGTCCTGCGTGCGACCTTTTGGAATCAAAATCAAAATCAAGTGAAACGAAAGAGAAAAAAAACAACAACGCAAAACTGAAAGCGGAATATAATTACCCTCCAAGACACCGAATGCACAAGGTTTTGAATGATCAATGTCTAGATGGCTGGGTCCGGCTCGAATACATTTATTCCAGGTTGCTTCCACCAGTTCTCGGTCCGCTGTAATCAATGAAATAATATGGTGGTCGTCATCTTACTAAGCGAAGTTGCTGGCACACTGGCACCTACACATGGTCTAACCTTTGACCACGACTCGGACGGCGGCTTGAGAGACACGATTTATTCCAAAACACTATCTGTAGTCGCAAGCAGCAACCGTATACACAGCCAACCCATGCCCTCCATAATCGGAACGACGAAGTGGACCCCACAAAAGTGAGATTGCTAAGGACCACCACAACCAAAAACTGCAGCAAGTTTACCAACACCAAGTTACCTATCTGGTATATACCAGGTATTAGACTCACATAAGTACGTGCGGACATGATGTCAGCCGTGACCATCCTTTGATAACCCGGAAATCTAACAACCCAAACACCAACCCGCGCCAACGCCTCATGACATGTACCCAGAATGGGAGCTCTACCTCCAGTCGTCACAACTGTCGTATCATCGCACCCCTCCTACAATCCCTTCCACCACGAGGTTTGGTGTACTTGAAACTTAGCCTTCAAGGGCGTCGACGCGCTCGAGGCACCGACCAGAATGTCGTATACGTCCTTTTCCATTACCCAAGCGTTCCGTGACTCGTCCCAGAAGCTCGCAGCGTATTTCTTCGCAATGACAATGTCCACCCTCTGGGTGTCTCCCGCCTTGACAAAAACTTTGGAGAACCCCTTCAACTCCTTCTTTGGCCGGTTGATGCTTGGTTGGTGCTGCGAGACATATACCTGGACTACTTCGGCGCCGTCGACCGTGCCAGTGTTGGTTACAGATGCCGAGACAATCAACTCGACATCATTGTCAAGCACCGACACATCTTTGATGTCGAAGGAAGAATAGCTGAGTCCGTGACCGAAAGGAAAGGCAACCTCTTTCCCGGTCTTTTCGTAGAATCGATAGCCGATATAAACGTCTTCACCGTAGAGGGCACGATTCCTCTCCGACTTGTAGTTCAGGAAGGCAGGATTGTCTTCATTTCGAATCGGGAAAGTCAGTGGTAATTTGCCGCTTGGATTTGTTCCGCCAAAGACAACATCCGCAATCGCGTTGCCCGTTTCATTGCCTCCATACCATGCTTGCAGGAGAGCAGGAGCTTCTTTCAACCAAGGCATGGTCACGGGAGTTCCAGACTGAATAACAATTGCAGTGTTCGGGTTGGCAGCCAGAACTGCCCTGATCAAGTCGTCACTACCCGGTGGGAGATCCATATGTTCACGGTCGTAACCTTCCGACTCCCAGTCCTTGTTAAGGCCGGCACAGAGGATGACTTGATCCACCTCTTTGGCAAGCTTGACGGCTCTCACAATTTCCGTCTCGATTGATGCTTTACGCTCCATTCCGACTCGGAGTCCACCGGCCCCGAAGCCCGTAGTTCCGGGGCTCATGAACTTGATGGTGGGAAAAGTGCCAAAAGTGACCTTGATGTCGTATGTGACATCTTTCTCCAAGTTGAGAGATCCCGTCTCCTCCGCAGTTCCGGCGCCGAAGAACGAATCACCTGGTCGTTGATGTGTCTCGTTGTCGACCACGCATTCTCCATTGACAAAGATCTTGCCGGTGCCTGCACAACTGAGACTAAATTCATATTCGGCCGACTCTTGAGGCGTGAAAGTACCCTCTAATTCAAGCCAGTAAAGGTAGGTCTTGACCAGGGGGTGTTTGTAGTCAACAAGCAGTATATCGGAGTAAGGCACGTGCACCTCATCAACTGGCCTGCGATCTCGTACCGAAGGCGGGTCTAGGAAGACTTTCATAGTCAAGCCGTCCTGATTCTTCGAATTTTTGGTCATTCGGGTCATGAGGGGAAGGAGTTTCCAGCCAGGAGCACCAAGCTCGTATTTGGCGTGCGGCACTTGAGCTCGAACACCCTCGAGAGGGCTGACGGCATAGTACGGTAGAAGGGAAGCAGATCCACCTCCGCAATAGGCAGCGTACGCAGCATTCGGTCCAATAACGGCCGTCGTCTTTGCCTTGTCGAAAGGCAGGATATTCTTCTCATTTTTCATCAAGACGATGCCACTGGCCGACATTTCCCGAAGCAGAGCCGCTGTCTGGGGAGTGTTCACCGTTGTTTCGGTGGCATTTTCCGGGATTCCCAGGGGCTCCACCTTTTTGACGAGCTTCAAGACCTCCCGCACCCTTTCATCAACATCATGTATGTTGAGTTTCCCACAACCCAGGGCTTGGGTAACAAGTTTTCCCCGAATGTAGGATGGGCCTGGCATTTCCAGATCCAGACCTGCTCTAATGGACTCGGTGGTCGAGTAAGTTCCAAACCTGTTTTAATCAGAATAGATCTCACAACTGTCATGTCTCCAGACCTACCAGTCGCTCATCACCAGGCCATCGAAGCCCCATTCTCCGCGGAGAATATCTCTCAGAAGTCTTGGATGCTCAGCCGCATGAGTGCCGTTGACCTTATTGTAAGCGGTCATATAGCACCACGGCTGGGAGTCCCGCTGTGCTATCATGAACGGCATGAGGTAAATTTCTCGGAGTGCTCGTTCGGTCAAAACGCTGTCGACGGCTTGCCTCTGATCCTCCTGGTCATTGCAAACGTAATGCTTGATGGTTGCAGCAACGCCGGTGGACTGGATACCATTGATGGTCGCGGCACTCATGGCTCCAGCAAGGTAGGGATCCTCACTGAAGCTTTCGAAACCACGGCCGCCCAACGGAGATCTCTGCATGTTCGTGGTTGGCCCTAAAATGACCGAAGCACCTTTGGCCAAGGCTTCTGCTCCCTGCAGAGCGCCTCCCTTTTTGATAAGGTTTATGTCCCAAGTTGCGGCGAGTCCCGTCCCTGACTTTTGTTAGAAATTCCAGGCCATGGTCGGTGCCAGTTCGCACTTACCGCAAGGGAGGCACGCGGCCGGGACTCCATTCCAGAAACGGGTTCCTCGGACACCGTTTGGTCCATCAGAGAGCCGGATGGAGGGGATTCCAAGTCTGTGAACAGGAGCAGTGTGCCAAAAGTCAATGCCGGACAAGAGTGCGATCTTCTCGGAGACATCCAGTTGTGAAAGAGCATCCTCAACATCAAAGCTGGCTTGCTGCTCCACAGGCATGGAACCCATGATGGCGGCAGGTTGCAAGGCTCTTCTTCTGAGAGAAGCGAATGATGTATAGATGGAAAAGCAATAAACGCAAAAGAATGTGAATATCTAGATCTTATATGGGCAGGCTTTGGGAAATGAAAAGAGTGAGACGATGCCCCGATAATGCAAAAAGAACAGTATACCGGATATATCAGATGAGATGAGATGGGGAAGTGGGTGAACTTCGGCTGTTCACCAAACCTTCTTAAGACGGGAAGATAAGAAGTTGTGAAAGCATACCACTCTTTCCCGCCGACTGACTGGGCTACCAAGAAGTGGCGAGTGGATGCCAGCGCTGCAAGAGCATTCCACTTCTCTACAACAATCGGTGGCACTGGCATCGACCCACTGTAAGGATCCATATATGGCAGGCACCACTGCCCGGCAGTATGCCGGTATAGAAAAGGTGAACGTTGTTCCAATTGTTGGCGGCTCGTGTCATGATTACGCGATGCAACAGATGAAAAGGACGAACAGCGTGAGCGCTCAAAGCGGAAAATGCTCTGTAGGACGGGGGCCGCAACGGCAGACGGTAAACTTAAGCACATTGATAGTGCGGAGCATCGAAGGATTGCCCTTCATCTTGTGCCTGTCGCGGAGCGAACGGGAGGGCGATATATGGAGAATAGATTTGTAGACAGGCACTGGAGGAAGCAGATCCGACGCCTGGCACTCGCGTTGAGTCGTCGCCGAAGTTCAAAGTTGGATCTTGTTGACGATCGATAAAACGGCGCCTCGGCAGCCTTTCACTCGCGGAACGACAGGCTGCCTCTGATTCGAGGTCGGGGTAAACTTCGGGAGGCTAGAGTAATTAGTGTCGCCGGAAGCATGCTAAAAGCGTTGGCACCTGCTGCCAACGGCAAACATCCGCTGTTTGAGTTGGCCGAGCTAGTCTACTTTGGGATAGTGCATCTCCTTTAGTGCACGAATAGTATCTCATCTTCAGCCTTGCCCCTATGAACATGAACCAGTATCGGAATTCACTCCAATCGAGTCCCTCTCAAGGCTGTCATGAAACGTCCCTCGCTTCTGTGCCCGTCTCTGGACTAAGCGGAGCAGCACAACAAGAACAATCCTCGTTCCAACACGTGGCATGAAACGGTCGACGACAGGGCCGCGAAAGGAGAAGCAAAGGAGCCCTCAAAAAGACCTGCTTGCTTGATCAGGACGTACTGTCTTCAGACTTGCAGGACCCGGTAGTTCCGTAACAGGATCAACGACGACGTTTCCGACGTGTAGCCTAGATATAACTGACTATTTCGTACAGTAATCTGTGTGTACTCGCAATGGTCGCAGGAATAAAGGCCGGCGGCCACAGAGGCCTCTCATGGAGATGCCACGGCCTTCCCACGGATCTATCATGTACGTCGAACACTAGAGACCATCAGGTGCTCAGTTCTTGGTCTGGGGCTTTTGCTCCTCCAAGCCCTTGACCATTCAAGGGCGTAGTGTGTTGGCTCCTGTGGCATCAATCCACACCATCATCACCACGACCAAATGCGTGCTTGAAGCTATGCATGTCCCATCAAGTAGCCGTCGAAGTTATGGCGCAGAAGGCCCGGTCCTTCAAGCAGGTGTCTGCATATTCCGCGCAAAATCCCACTGCATTGCCATGGTCCTCAGGCAACCACTTCCACAACCGACCAAGTAACGCCATGTATGACGATCTGATCTCCGAGCGTCCTGGTGTCTGCACAAAGCCATTGACAGGGCATGGATATATCCTCGTTCGAGGTATTGCTGCGTCGGTCTTTGGTCCATTCTGCTGCTATTGCCACGCCATCACCCCGATCTCCGTCTCTGCCCACACCACCGTTAGCCCCTCCATTGTTGCTGATCTGTCCCTGGACCTGAGTCTTCTGCCACCTTTCAACCAGCACTGTCTGTTTACCACGTTGCACAATGCCCTGACAATAGTCCCCCACGCGAATGACCACGCCAGCGCCGACTGGGGCTCCGCTTTCGATTTCGCCCCCCTTTCCCTTTCCGTTCCCAGCATGCTCCGCTGCGGCTCCGCGACCTGGCAGATCTAGCGTCTTCGCCACTACACATGGCGTGCGTGGAACCTGGCCCTGGCCCTGGCCCTGGTCCTGTGCAGCCGGTGGTGCGGTCCAATATTCCTTGTACATCTCGACCCGGTTTGTGCGCGGGTTGTGCATCATTCCGACCTCGACGCAGTCGCCATTGGGCAACAGGAACATGTCTCCTTCATCGCTGATCCCCGGTCCCTTTGAATCGATCTCATGCCGGAACACGGCATGTGCTGTATACGGCATGGCTACAGACAGGGATGGAGCTGGAGCCGCCGAGAAGTCAACACTACCTTTCTGATATCCTGTCTGTGTCTGTGTCTCCGCCTCCCGGTCATAGAATGTGCTGCTCGCCGTGCCCGAGAACGCCCAGAAGGCAGGATCGGAAATCAATGGTTCCACCGGATCCGTTGGCGCCGGACGCAGCGGGAACCGTATGTCGACAAAGACGGCCTTGGGCGACGTGAGGACTATGGTGTCTGTGTCTTCGTACGGAGGAGAGTAGCCCTGGTTGATTGGACGTTGTTAAATCATGTCTTAGGGTTCCTTGAACGGTGTACAGCTTTGGGCGTAGGAAGGAAAACCCTCAAAGGCAAACAAGCCATCACAGAGAATAAAGTCAAACCCCATCCCATACACGGCAAATAGAACCCCTGTCTGTACCCAAAATATCAAGCTGAGGGCAACTGAAGCTTCGCACTCACCCAGGCTATGCCCCTCCGCGTAGATATCGACGGTTTCTGCAGGAAGTCTCTTTTCCACTGCGGCAGGTGGGCGTCTTGGACCGCATCTACATCTGCATTTGCATCCTTCTTCCCTTTGTCCACTTGCCCGATCGTCCCTAACTTCTCCCCAGTCATGCCGTAGATCTCCATCTTGACGGGACAACAAAAAGCAAAAGAAAGTCCCACCGCGGCGTCCGCCTGTAGCGAGATGGAATTGGTGTTATATCAAGGAATCAAGTGTATAGCTTGAAGCTGAATGAGCAGCTCTGAGAGAACGATTGACAGACCAAGTTTGGCGGTGCCGTGTGCGACCCGAGGCTGACTTCAAGTTGTGGTCGGAGACGTCCGCCCACTGCGCACCAGCAATTTGTACTGCGGACAGAGGATGTGGATACCATCGAAGATCTGCATACTACTACTAGTAGGCACCTAGGTGGTAGGATAGCACAAGAGCAGGCTTTTATTCCTTCCATATATATAGCTGAGTGACAGAGTCTATCAAGCCTCCTTGAGCTCCAAGATCAGAAACAATACCAGCACCGTCGCTCACTACTGCCTAGGTATGGTACGCCAATTGCCATGCTACACTCTTTGCTGGGTCGTTATGGACATGATGCCGACCTGCAAGGGTCGATTGCAGCCTCAAAAGGTCATCACGAGGCCTCCGCCCAGGGAGCCAATTCACCACCTGTTCGGCCGACCTGTCTTTCGACAGCTGAGAAGCCGCGGTAATCTGGCCAGTCTTCCTGGTTCGATTCTGCGAAGAAAAAAATAGCACCTTGGGCTCTTTGACTCGGCGCTGCCTCGCTCGTCGTTTGGAAGTAGGGCTCTGCACTGAGAAGCTCTCCGCTGAATCGAAACCCCTCAGGCTGCTTGATCCCTCCCTCCTGACTTCAGGCCGAGGCCATCAGATCCGATGACCTTCCTCGCCGTTGGCGGAGACGTGTGCGTGAGGACCATAAAAGTACCAAATGGCTGTGTACGACTTTCTAGTTCTGACTTTTGGTTCATCGCAATGCTTTGCAGTCCTTCACATCACTTTACCCTGCAGTGGCCCGCTCCCTCTTGACGAGAAGATACCCATGATACCAAAACCCAAATAGAACAAAGCTAGAGGATACGCGACCAAGCCACGCATCCCCTTCATGCGGCCCACGCTAACAAACATACCCGAGCTACTATACGTGCACCACCCGACGGCCGCGGCAGTCAAAACGTACCCTATCGCGGAGTCCATGGGCAGCAAGACGCCAAACAGCGCCGTAAAAACCAGCGGCAGGAAACAGTACCCCAGGACGCTTGCGCTACGCGAGTACGTCAATGTGCTTGAGAAATGGCCCCCAGAGGAGCCGCCGTGCCCAGCATGATGATCTCGTTGCGCCTGTGCCATCTGGTCCGAATCGTTCGGATCCAAGGGTGGTGTCATGAGTGCGAACATCCAGTGCAGGGCGATAGACCCGAACAGCGCAATGCCGTAGATATAGCCGTAGAAAAACTTGCCGGACAGGGCCAGGAAGGTCCCGTACAGAACCAGAAACAAAAGGCCGCCGTATAAGTCGCTGTCGTCCATGATATGTGGCGAGGGTCGTGTCCAAGGGTTCAGGACGGTGAGTGTCTATAATTCGCGTACAAGAGTCTGTTAGTCGTTGAATTCATGTACCAATCCATCGCCTCGACCAAATCCTGTGTGTCTCCCTTCTCCAAATGACAAGCATAGCGTGATTGTGCTCTTACCTTCGTCTTAATATGTGAAAAATTGAATCCCAACTCCTCCATCAATCCGGGTTCGCCTTCATACCCTTCGGTGCCGAACGCAGCCAGCCAGCCCGTTCTCAGACCTCCCGAATCCCCCATGCGACCACTAACTCCTGGCATCCCCGGCGATGGGCCCCCGACTCCAAACCCGCCGGACGCCGAGCCAGCGCCGTAGCCAGGATATGCGGACGCGGCGTTACCTGCACCATAGCCGCCGTAGGACGCTTGGGAGGGTGTGGTGTGGCCAGAGACATTGGTGTAAGAGGACGGGAAGAATTGAAGGTTAGAGGAGGATGCGCCGCCGGGCTGTCCGTATGGTTGGTTGTAGTAGGACATTGTGCCTCAAACCGGAGAGAAGGGAGAAGACCACCAGGGGCGGCAGGTTCAGTTCTGTTGTGGTGCTTGGAGACAGTACGCCGTTCGCAACTGAAAGGGAGGCTGGGTGTCGTGTGCGGTGATGGCCCTCGAGGCACGAGATGGTTGTTCAAGATAGCACGGTCGCGTCGTAGAGCCAATCCTTAGGTAGAGGAGAACAGAAGATAGAGTGATCAGAGTAGTCCCTCGCCAGTTCGTTGTCGCGTCATCCAGAGCTCGCACGGTAACAGATTGTTGAAGTGGGAGGTGGTGGTGGTGGTGGTACTGTACGTTGTAAGTGAAGCCGTGTTGTGCCTGGCACTTGGTGCAGTTTGTGGTTGGCGGAACTGGACGTGGCCCAGTTTCGGCGCAACTTGGTGCCAGATCACCTTCAAGTTCTATACACAGTATAACTTACTACTCGGTACTGTACACCATGATATCTCCTAGTTCAAGCTACCTACTGGCCAATACGATAACCTACTACAGTATAATGCCAGTCCTGAACTTCCGGTTCAATCATTGCACTTCTTCACACCGAGAATAGATATACCCTGTATCTTCGAGTATTGCACTCTCCTCATCCGCGTGGATTCATTTGACCGGCTCGTCACTGCTATGTATAATTCCTTCTATCATCAGACTACAAGAAATTAATGCCGATGCCAAAGGACACGCCCTTCCTAGCTTCTTCATGTTTGCGGACCACAAGAGGTAACGAGAAGTTGAGCTCAAAGCGCGCCACTGGGTGAGCATATACGAGCCCAAAGCCCGCCGACATGGTGGGCAATCCATTTCCAAGCTCTCTAACAGCATTGGACACGCTCTGCTTCACCTCATCGCTTGTCATTGGTCCCTCCTTTTCGGCATCTCGTAGCGCCAAAAGTCTGCCGCCGGTGACGAAAGCCTGGAAACGAAACGGCTTATCCTTGCCCACTCTTGGGAGTGGCAGCAAGAGGTTTGCACTGCCAGCAGCGTAAAGGTCGCCTCCCACGGCATCCGGGCCATCATGAGGCCCCAGACCCGACAGGCGGAACCCTCGGACATCGTTGGGTCCACCAAGCTGGAATCTATCGTTGATGCGAGACATTTCCGGGTTGGGGCTCGAACCTAGAGCCAACGGGTACAAAAGTCCTGCGCGGAATCCTGTCGTCAGGCTGACGCCGCTGTCACCTTTCACACCGGGGAGGGGGACTGGAATGGCGGATTGAGTCTCGACTTCACTCTTCACAAAAGCAACGTCTCCCTTCAACGGCCCCCAGCCAGCCAACTCGGACGTTGTTCTCGCGTAGTATCCTCGCGTAGGAAGCAGGGGGTTGTCCCTCCGGTCCGTCGACCACGTATGTGATATACTGCTCTTGAAAGAGTCGCCTGCCTCATTCTTGACCGTCGTCGAAGCATTCGGCGCGAGACCGGTCACTTGTCGCCATAACCCATTGTATCCTATCTCGTGTGACGAGCCGGTCGACGTAAGCCATCGGAGTTTGCTCCAACCGCCCTTGAGCACTTCCTCATGACTGGCAAAGGGCTTCTGGGTCGCACTCTGAACTGCTGCGGCCTGGAAGTGGAAATCAGGGTTCGCCAGCACCGGAGTATCGAAAAGAGCCTGGTATGATGACCGCGTCCTCGTGCCCACGGATGCATTCACATCAAGCGTTTCTGCACCGCCAAACAGGTTCCTCCATTGCACATTGGCGTAGGCAGAACCTTCGGCGTTTCCGAGATCTGTGCCGGTCTTTGCAAATATCCGACTTTTCTCCCTGACCTGATAGTAGACGGCCACGTCGGTCGGCGTCGTCGTGGGGTCGGTCTTTGCGGCTTTGTCCAGATATACGGACACCGGTTCATGGTAAATGCCTGCAAAGAACGGTCAGAATAAGGCAGGATTCTGTCGGCTGAGTGACATACCAAACTTCCTAAGCTTTTCCGCGGCTTTGGAGACCTCATGGATCAATTCAGACTGGGTATACGGCCGGTCGCGGTTGGCGCTCAATAACGGATTCACCACCCTCTGTAGGAAGCCATGGCGGGTATTCGGGGCACCGAGGACAGCCACGGACGAAACAGTGGTCGGAAGGGTCGAGTTCTGGTCGATGATCTCTGCGAGGCGTTGTTGACTGAGCTGAAACGCCTTGTATCTTTTCTCGTAAATAGCTTGGTGCCGTTTCTCGAGCTCCGTCGGATCTGCTTTCTTGAGCAGGTCGATTATTTTCTCCTCGGTGTCAGGGCCCGAGGCGGCCATTGAGGCCAATTTGCTTCCGCAGGCTGGACAGCGTACAAGTGTGACTCGTGGTGCGGAGGAATAAACGGTATTGAGGTGGTCTTGCTGAAGCTGGACTGCTTGCGCTGCAGCACTGGCAGTTCAAGTTGGTTGTCGGCGAACGCAAAAAGTGCCCTCCCGCCTGGATTCCCAATGTGAACGAGGCTGCCGCCGCCCTATAAAATCTGCCCGCCTACTACAGTCAGCCTTGTCTACGTTGTACAGTGTAGAACAAATACGCCCGTCTGGCTGCGTCCTGACTAGATCAAAGACTCTTGTACTGCCAGTGTCCATCTTCTCGTATTATACTCAGATTGCTAAGTTAGTCATAATTAATGTTGATTAATACTGTACTGAATTCCACTAAATATACATATCTGCCACTGCTCTCTTGGAAATTATTATCCGTCTGGGCTGGTTACAAGACTCCTAGATCCAATTCTGCCACACTTGGTATGCGTCCCGTGGGCCAGCCGCGCTCGCAGCGGACAATCGAGCAGGAAGGCGCTGTTCAGAGCACATTTCCCTTGTTCTGCTTCTTGTCAACGTTGTGGTTCTTCCAGATGGCGATGGAAGGGATAGCCAATACGAGGATGCAAGTGGCGGAGATGGCGCCGTACTTCTGACTCTCTCCCCAGGCATGATCGATCGCGTTTCTGATGGGGCTTCCGACGGGGTATGTCATCTGAGTCAGGTATCCTCCATTGTAGATGGTCATCCAATCGCCCTGGGCATCAGCTGGCAAAGCCTTCCTCAGCGCCTGGGGGAAAGTGTTGTTGTAGATGGCTGCGGCGACCGCGTCACCAATGGCACCACCAACACTGGACATGAGCCCAATCAGGGAAAGCATCATCGGGACACCATCACGATCTGCTGAAGCCATGACAGCCATGTCTTCGCCGATGACAAGAGTACCACCCGCAAAGGCGATGAAGATCTGACACATGATGAGGTAGCCAATGCCATGGTCGTTGCCTCGGAAGTAGATCATCAGCCCTGCGCCCAAGAACATGAGAGGCAAGCCGAAGCACAGGCAAGTAAATTTAAACCTCTTGGTGTAGCGGATCCAGATCCCAAACACGACACCCCAGAATGTGGAGCCGACATTGTAAATCTGGGTCATGTAACCAGCATCACTGATACTGAGGTCATACACCACCAGGACGAAGTTGTAGAAGTAGAGATCCCAGGAGTAAAATGAAAAGTAAAGGATGGCGGAGAGGAAGCATGCACCGAGAACAGTCCGTTGCCTGAACAGTTCCCATCGGATGAAGTGGGTTCGCGCAAAGTACTTTTCCCATATAGCAAATGCCGGGAACAAGAGACCGCCGATGATTACCATTGCAATGAAGCTGGCCGAATGGTATTGTGTCTTGCCGTAGGTCTTCAGAGTGAACGGTAGCAGGATCAGGACGAAGGCAGCGATGAGGAGGCAGCACCCGATGATGTCGAACTCGTGGAAGTAGTGGACGAGCGACTGGGCGGTGGTTCGGCCGCTGGAAGCCCGTTTGTAGAGACCCATCTTCTCAGCTTTCATCTGGTAATACTTGAAGACGACGACCAGCGGCATAAAGATAAAGAACATGATAATGACAAATGCGCCTGTGCCTTGGTTAGTGACAGTTGCATGGACAATTTCAAGAAATACGTACCATAGCCCCATCTCCAGGTGGTTGCAGAGAGAAATGCCTGACCCAACTTTGGCGCGGTAAAAGCTGTGCAGATGAATGGAGTGCCGACAAAGGCAAAGGCAAAGGCTCGATTGCGAAGTCCAGATGTGTCTGCCACGAAGACATCCATGATCAGGTAGACCGAATAATAGCCGATCCAGTATAGGACATATCCTGCTGCATAGCCGTTCGGTCCATTGGAAGCCGCGATAATGATCATGCCAATCAGATAGACACAGACAAAGACGAAGAAGCCCTCTGCACGACCCCAGATATTGAGGACTTTGGCGATGGGCAGCTTGACCACACCACCAATCACGCTGGAAAGCATGTTGGCAGTGGTGATCTGGGGCGCAGTGACGAACTCGGCGTACGCGCGAGCATTGAAAATGGAAGTCGTTCCTTGCTGGAGGGCAAGCATGAAGAAAGCAACCCAAATCCATCCGTAGGTTGCGTAGACGGCCCATCTGGGCCAAACCAGAGCTACGGCCTCCGCCTTTTTAAGACCATCCTGAGCATATTCGGTCGGTCGGTCCGGGTTCTGTAGGATTTCCTTCTCCTGCAACTCTGGTAGACTGACGTTGTCTGAACTGGAGTAAGAGTCGCTCGGCAAAGGGCCTCCTTCTTTGTCGACGGCCGATGGCTCCGATACCGTGTTGCCTGTGGACTGGGCTCCAGACCCTTTGAACTTGGAAAGAAAGCCCATGTTGGGAGGTGATGCTAGGGTGAACCGATTGAGTCGCACGCCCGGGAGTAAAGAGCAGTACCAGCTTTGACTATGTACGCATCAGAGATACATACAGAGAGAAAACTGCTGCCCGGCCCGGGAAGGTAACGAGGCCATTCTTTATAAGCTTCATGGCTTTGGGCTCAAGCCTAGCGCTTCGAGGTAGAAGCTCCATGACAAGATGCTTGCATATCCGTCGTAGTGAAGGTGTGACACAACTTTGGGAGAGAAAATTCTCATGGAGACCCGCTATCAATATCCACTGGCAGTATCTGATTAGATGAAAGTTGCCTAGGGTGACATAGTATCTGATTAGATTGTCCCGCACTAATGGTTGCTTTGACGTTGCAGTGGAGAGTGGACGTTGGAAGTCAGCACTGGGCTCTGTCAGTCGATCTCTGATGGTGGGTGGACATGCCGCCAAGGGAACCGAGACGCCCGAGAGGTAGGCTTTGGCGACAGGGGCCCGGAGAGCCCGACGGGCTAAAGCACAGTAGTTCGTGCTTCCATCGAAGATGCCATCAGCTGAAGTGTGCCCATCGTTATTGTGGCAGCAGAATCGTGGTGTAACCTCCAGCACCATTCAACCTGGTAGGACGGCTGAAGGAATGTTAGTACCCATCGTAGCCTCCGGTACCGGCTGGGATGCCGAACACCTTGATACTAGTAGCTCTGTCGAGACAAGCATTGGCATGACGACAGGCGATCTTCTGCTCGCTTCTTCTTGCAGGGCTGTCGTGGATGGCATCCATAATGGTTGAAGATCACTACTGTGAGCACTAGTGGATATCTTTCCAGACTCGATCATCCCCACGACGTTGACCTGAGCTTGCGCCAGCGTGGAGAAGTACCCTCCAGAACGGTTGACAAAGACTGCACGGCACAGACAGTGGCAGGGACGCCCAATAGTGTAGTACACAGGTAGGCACCTATGCTGGGTACTGTATGCGATCGTATGTGTTGTAGCTACCTACCTATGTACTAGGCGCAGGTCTACTGCCAGTGTACAATGTTGTATACTGCAAAGGGGTGGCCGCGAGGATAACTCAACCACGTGATACCAGGTAACTTCTTGGTCCCTCTTGCCAAGGCCAATTCCCATCAGTGACGACTTCAAGTTTTATTAGCAGTCCATTAAGGTAGGTACTACTAGTAGGTAGGTAACTTACCCAACAGTGACTAGCGCAGCTAAACTACTACCTGGCTTGGTGCCTGGTACTACTAACTCACTAGTAGTAATTACTAGTAGTACAACTGCCAGTGCTCAGCATTATCATAGCGATCATGATCGTGTGTCTCCATCTGCGTCCTGCTTCATCCCTAACTAACAACCTCACAACACCAGATTGTGGCTCCGCTCAACACACGTTAATAGACTCTCTTACTAATCTGCTCTGACGCGGCTGACTCCCTGGACCTATCCTTCCATCGCCGAAAAAGGAGGCTGGTCCTGCAGAGTTTCATCACGGCCTGGTGCAGCCATGGCCACCAAGGCAGCACACAAGCGGTTGACCCGAGAGTATCAAAACATTCAGGCGAATCCTCCTCCCTACATCGTGGCACATCCTTCAGAATCAAACATCCTAGAATGGCACTATATCCTCACAGGGGCTCCCAACACCCCGTATGAAGGTGGTCAATATTGGGGCTCGTTGGTGTTCCCGTCCGACTATCCTTTTGCACCGCCTGCAATCCGGATGCACACGCCCAGCGGCCGTTTCCAACCTTCCACAAGATTATGTCTCAGTATTAGCGACTTCCACCCTAAATCGTTCAACCCCGCCTGGTCGGTATCCACCATTCTCATTGGCCTCATGTCGTTCATGAACAGCGAGGAGATGACGGCCGGCAGCGTAGGCGGAACTGCCGCAGAGCGAAAATGGTACGCAGCGAGGTCAAGATGGTGGAACTCAACCGGCGGCGGGTCAGCGTCCAAACCGGTCCCGGGCGTCCACCCCACCGCGAAGGGAGTGGGAAACATAAAAGCCGGGGATGGAGGAGTCAAGTTCAGAGCAGAATGGCCCGACGAGGACAAAGAAAATTGGATATGGATGGCACAACACCATATTGACCCTGCCACAGGGCGAATGCTACCGGACGCCGAAGGCGAGAACAGCGACTGTTCCCCAGAAACCAAAGCACTTCGCCGGATCCTCGGAGGCAGTACTACCGGCGTGGGGGCGGTGGTTCAAGGAGGCCAGGCTGCCCGGAGAGCAGGCAAGGGCTGGGTCTGGCGGAACAAGCTGTGGCTTGTGGGAGGCTGCCTGGTGGTGTATTTCCTACTAGCAAGAGTGTTTGGGGAGGAAGGTGTTTTATGAGCTTGCTATACTAGACGACACAACTTTGGGAAGTTCCAGATCGGGACCTGATACTAGGTAAGGTAGTATCCACCGCAGTGCCGGTACGACAAAGTGCAGTACTAGTGAGCGGGCACGCGTTTGACTCCCGGGTCCGAGGCAACTTGAAGGGCAGGATAGGGGTAGCCAGCTTGGTCGAACTATTGAAGGGCACGGTTTTGTGACTGGGGACTGCACCCAACTCCACGAATACTGCAGAAGAGACTTCAGGTTGTGCGGATGAGAATTGTTCGAGTTGCCAGCCAGGCTGCCTACTACCTTAATTATTCTGTTCTGGCCGCAGTCGAGAACCGAAAGTTTGGCGTTGGACACGGATGGGGACTGATGAGGGGCCAATTGGTCGTGTCCACTCCGGGTCTGGTTGGAGATACAATACCAGGTAGTCATTTAATGTACCTACCTGTACAGAGAAGCACAATAACACTACCAACAATCCCGCTGTAGCCGCACCCTACGATCTTTGGCCCACGGCAAACACTGCCTGTCCATGCTCTCCAGCGCTAGATTGGAAGAATCAGCACATCGCTGGGAATACAAAGTGCTCTCTTACCTCCATTGCGGCTTCTCTGGGCGGGATGGTCAATCACCCGTTTGAGCAGCATCTTAACCGTGCTGTTATGTCTTGCAGTGTCCGAGTTTCCGGCTCAGCTTCGAACCTTGTTCCTGGTCAACCCTGGTTCAAGTTTCTAGCAGCGAGCTAGTAGCCACCCACTATCGAAGTCTCCGGCAATAATGCGCCAGGGTCACGGTGGTGAAAATGTCCTCCCCCGCGTGCAAGCATGGATTCGATTTTGCTTCAAGAAAGTAGAGCCACCCTCTCCGTCACTTCAAGGTACTGTATTCCCACCTGCTATGAAAGTACAGTGGCAGCCCAACTTCATCGAATATCTAATAGCAAGGTGTCACCGCCCATGTAGCACGGACCTGTCAACATACTGTACTCATCCCCCTCTATTCCTCTCATCAAACGGCATAAAACAAGACTCGCGCGTGAGAGGGATGTAATGGGACGATGCGTGATAGCTCCCATGGTTCAGGTATGTAGAGTGGTGATCCAGGTGTCCCTGTATCACCGAACCATTGACGACTCAGCATGCAGATCCGGCTCCTGTCCCTAAGCCTGCAGCCGCCAGTGTTTCCTGTTCCGCTCCGGTGGTCAAGTTTACTTTCGTGAACCAGGCGGAGGATTTGGATTCTTTGACTACTCGGAAGATCGTCAATCAAGAGCAGCGCCATGTCATCCGGTCCCATGTCATGAAAAGTGTTCGCCAGGAGGAGTTGGCCAAAGGCAAGAAAAGAAGCACAGGCCGAGAGCAGCCGAAGACATCAAATTCGAACAAATCCCGAAGCAGCTCTAACGATTCCGTCTCATTGCTCAAGAACGAGTCACCAGCGGCCGTAACGACCGCAATCAAAAAAGAGCGACAAGAGCACGAACCTAATCTGCTCACGATCGACCACAAGTCCAGAAGCCGTGGGGCTGTTGGGATATCGGCCGGAGCGTTGACCATGATGTATATGCCGGCGGTCCACGAATTGGATCCTTTTTATACCTTGCCGTGCAATTCACTAGGCCATCAGTCCTTGGAACGCTTGCTTCGTTACTGTGGGTGAGAATCGATCCACTCACACACGGTTAAGCATTGACTCTGGGTGCAGGCTTTGATGTGCTTCTGCCTTTGACGTTTTCCGTCGAGACCAAACAACCTCGGGAGCGGTTGGTTCGGCAGGGTATGGTGCTGCAGAGCAAGATCTCAAATCCTGCCACGTTCTTGGGCTTCATGGCCACGGCGGCCGCTCACCGAGCAATTTTCCATGGAAATCACAAAGACCTTGCACCGTCAAGTCAGAATCACGACGACCTTATCACGGACACGGATTATCAAAAGGTCAAACACGAGGCTGTCATGGCGGTCCGGAAGAAAATTCAACGGCGTGATCAGATCGATCATTCCATGATTGACGCATGCTTCGGGCTCATTGCGACTGCCACGGTCGTGGGTAATTTTGAAGAAGCGATGATGCATCTAAAAGGAATCAAACAAATCATGACTTTGGTCGACGTGGGCCCCCAATCCTTGCTTTGGCTTCCCCTTTCGAACGTCAAGGTCGCCGTGGGACTGATGTCGCATCCACTTTTACCGCTCCCCTGGCCACGTCGTCCAATACCGCAGGACATCGCGGAAGCGTATCATCCCATCTCCTGACACAGAGATGGCGCGCCTGGGCTCTGATTTCAAGCAGTTGGATGAACTAGGCCAGACGTTGAAGGATCTCCTGCTAGCTGGTCAGACCATCTGCTATTTCTGCGAGCTAAATGCCACAGATCCCCGTGGCTTGTCGTCTGCCGAGAATACAACTCTGCGGCAAAAGGCCACCGAGCTCGAGTTCGACCTATTGGCCTACCCATACCAGGGACAGGGCAATAACGAGCATGATGGCGAGCCACACCTGCCATCGTTCCAGACAGTCGTGCGACTTGCAGCGCTCGGCTTCCTTTCTTTTGCACCTCACACAATCCTGCCATCGACAGGCTTGGGCAGGGCTTTGACCCACCACCAGCAGCGAGCAGTACAGCAATGGCTCCAAGAAGTCAATTCCAACTGTGGCATTGCCGAGATGAGGGCTGTAATGTGGGCGTTGTTCATCTTCACGCAAAACGCCCGGGGGCAGCCAGAAGAGGCCTTTTTTGGACGGCTACTATCCCAGTTCGCCCGTGACTTGTGGCTGCTCAGCTGGCAGGATATCGAGACCACCATCTACGGATTTCTCTATATTCCCAGTCTACAGGCGTCTGTATGGAATGACATCTGGGCTGCGAGCTGCAAAGCTCACACCCCAACGCGGTCTTTGCAACCCTGACAACGTGGAGAAGAGACATGCGTTTCACTTCATTTTCTTCAAGAGTCAAGTAAATTAAAAAAGTCATTCCAATTGTACAGCACGTGAATAGATCGCAGTATGACCGTTAAAGCTGCTGGCCGGCATATAAACGCGAACTATATAATATACACGGGGACATTGCTCATGGAGGAGAGACTGAGACTGGAGCATGATAACAAGATCTGCGGTCGAGGCATAGAAAGTGTGTACCATCAACACCCTGGAAATTGTACCAATCCCTGATTCCCCGACTTCCCGAATTCAAGCCGGGTAGGAAGTAACAGAAATAAGACAGTCGGGAGCAAAGCCGCTCCTCAGAACAACACGGATGCCAACACTCTAGACCGCCTGGGCGTCGTGTCATTCCCATCCCCATCATCTGATCAGACCAGCCATCAGCTCGTCTTTCTCTCAGAGACCTTGGCCTGTGCAGCTCCCTCCCTAGCGGCACCGCCACTTGCCCGGTGCCAGATGTCGCCGCCCCATCTCATTGCCCGTTCAATAGCGGCCGTCGGGGTGTCCAGGGCGGGTCTGATGTCCAAGTAGAACACGGGCTCGCCGGTCTCCTGGACGCCGCCGCTATAGTAGTCGATGACATAGCGGACCTGCTTGACGGAGCCGTCGGGCATCTTCCGCGCGACATACCAATCGTGTCGGTCAAAAGGCGGCTCGCCACCGAACTTTTCCGGCATCACGTATCCTAGGGCCGAGAGAATGCGAGCTTTGGGCGTCGGTTCGCCAGGACGGCCCATGAAGCGCACGAGCTTGGGCTTCTCGTCCTCGTCCTCCCCGACATCTGCGGGCGACAAGCCCAGCGCTTCCCTGTGCTGGGCGAGGAACTCGCGCTTGGCCCGTTCCATCGCAATGGCCTGTTCGCCGCGGCTGCAAATCTTCCAGCCGTGGAGCAGGCCTTTGCTGAAAATCCGCTCCCAGTCCTCGATTTCCTTCCAGGCCCCCTCGTTCAGGAAATTGTGCACGGCCACCATGGACTCGACGGCGTCTGCGGGCGTGTCCGTGTATCCCTTGCGCAACATGGCGTTGTACATTTGTTGCGGCGACGGGTATTCCCATGTCGAATCGGAGTCGCCGCGCGGGATGGATGACTTTTCTCGCTCGAGCGATAATGAGACCTCTTGTGGAGAGTCGGACGGTCGAGCGTTGGACAGGGACGGCATGTAGTTTAGAGGGTTTAATTTCGAAAGGGTCAGCGAGGCTCGGGAGGGTGGTTGTTGTGACGATTCGGAGGCTTGGGAGTCGGTAGTAGTTGCAGTGTTTTGTGACGTTGACGACGGTGACGAGGGTAAATTAAAGAGAGGACTGTTGGGACTTGATTTTACAGGACATGATGGTGCCGGGGATGATGTAGAAGACGACTGATCTCGCCGTGTGAAGAATGGTGTCGATGTGGTTGTTGCACCATCTGGTTTGTGCATTGGACATCCTGCCTAGATGGTCGTTAGCACTGCAGCCCGTTTGCACACAATCGCCAGATTCATGAAAGAGTACATACAGGAGGCACTGCCCCCGCGGGAGGCATGGGATGCGGCGCAACGGGAGACGCAGCAAGTGGCGCATTTGGCTTCGGCTGGTCCGCCCAGAACCAACCCATGTTGAGGCCGAGTGGGTGAGATGTGAAGAGTAGTTACCGGTCAAGGAGATTGGAGAAATTATAGGTATACGATCCGGTAGAAGGTGGTGAGGTTGGTAGAAGAATATGTCGGGTTTAGTTCGAAAGGTGAGAGAACATGACGGATGAAAGCATGAATGAACTTCCATCTTCGCGGCGACCAACTTTTGCTCCGCTTCAGCCGGCGACTATCGTGCAACTAGTACCCGCTTAGTCAGTCTCGGGAGCTCTCGCTTAACTTTCCTTGACCAGCCTCTATCAAAAGTGCGCGACAACTTCACCTCGAATATGCAGTGAGAGACAGGCTACTCGGTCGGCGACACAGACAGCAGTCCTTCAGAACTCAAGTACGGAGATCTCGAGCTGTTAGGTTTTCTTCCAAAGGGTACAGGGGCTCTTTACTTCGACATGTGGTTGACTTGTCATTGAAACTCCTCACCATCACTGTCGTCCTGTCCTGCGCGTGTACGTTTCCACAATCCGGCCCTTGAGTACGCTTGCACAACAACCGCGAGGAGGACTGCCGAAAAGAAAGCCGGTACAGCCTCACCCCGTTGGCCAAGATGGCCACCTCCAATGATGCAAAGGGCTTCAAGCAGGACATGGTAGTGTCGATACGATACCGAAATGACCTGCCTCCTCCGCCCATGCCTCCGAAGCTGCTCAACATAGACACTGGCGGTTTATCCCAATACCTTACAACGAGCTATGCGTCTGGCCTGGTAAAACGCGAAGAGCCCAATATTGAGGTCGATGGAGAAGGAGGAATGCCTATTGATATGGTCGGCGTCCCTGGATACTTTCTGGGTGACGAGAGCGCAATCATGGCGCCTGACATCCAACCGGTGCTCGATCCGGCCGACCACGCGCTCATGATGACCGTTGAGCAATTGAAGAGTGCGGGTGCTAAGAACAACGTCTCTTTCCTGCGCAAGACACAGTACATGACGGCGTCGCAAATGGCGCGAGCATCGAACAACAACGATCCCTTTGTCCGCGCGACGCCCCGGTCGCGGAAGGTTGTCGAGAGCAACAAAATGGTGCCCCCGCCCATTGCTCGAGACGACCCGGCGAACATCAAGAGACACATCCAAAAGGGCTTCGACATTGCCTATCCCGACAGTGTACCTTTCAACCCGCCTGAAGCCAAAGCCAACCCTATCACTCCGCAAGAACGCGATGCTTGGAAAAACCCGGTTCATCCAGACAATCCACGCCTGAAACCCGTTGGCTTCTACCCAATACTACCGGATTTAGATGCAATGACCGACATGGCTGGAAATTGGCAAGCCGTGAAGTTCGAGAAACCCCCGCTACCGCCGTACCATGGTCGAAGAGACGACCGAGTCGACGTGGGCCTGATGATGGCATCCGAAAACGCCCCCGAAATGGTCAAGTGGAAAGTCAAGAAGGCGGCATTCGATAAGAATCCGGAACTTTACGAAGATCCCGGCCCAGAGCCTTACGTTTGGTCGCTTCTGGTCCCGAAGCAAGTCAACGCGGCCCCGAGAATTCGCAAGATCTTCAACGATTCGGACCCCCAGAAGGATGACCCCGAGCTCTACGCCCCTCTTCTCGAGGAGTCGGCAGACGGAACGCAGCGGCTGCCCTTCGAACGTGTCCGCGTCTATCAGACATCCAGCCAGAACCACGTCGACCCTCGTCGCGTCATGGGATTGTCACTCGTCGATGCCGACCAATTACCCCCTGATTCACGCTTCCGCAAGCAAGGTTCGGCGGCTTACTACTACCCCATCCTTGAACGGTTGCGTATGAAGGCCGACCGAGCCAACCTCACCAAGGCCCAACAAGCTCGTCACCAAGCAGCGGAGGACGAGGCGGCGGCAAACATCCCCGACCAGTTGATGGTGCTGTTCAGAGAAGCCGCAGCCAACGAGAAGGTGGCGCGGTACCAGTTCCGCGGCGAGTACGATGACTCTTTTGCCGACGAATACCAGGAGATTGTGCGAGCGGGCGAGGCTGAGGAGGAGCAGGCGCGTGCTCAAGCCATCCTAGACGAGCAGGGCGAGTTGCACGAAGGCGCCCAGGATGTTTCTATGCACGAGGTTGCAGATGGGGAGGAAGCAGATGTCACGACGAATGGAGTCGAACATAAGGACCGCGACGATGATAGGAACACCCCGCCGCCGCCTGTCAACGCAGGCGATCCTGCCGTGCAGGGACAAGGGCATGTGGAGGACGATAACCAAGATGAAATGCGGGACGATTGATCCCAAGATGTACTATGTTAGATTCTATGCTGTGTTCGGATCAGACTTGGATCTACTAGATTTGGACCGTTGGCTCTGACACGAGCTCTTCCACGGCTTTGGAGATGCCTGATATTGTGTTCACGGAAGGAAAAGCTGCACTACTACTTCGGCGGTTTGAAGGCGGCATAAAAGCCGTGCTAAGATGAATGTATCAATTCTTGAAAACTTTCATTCATACTCGATGCGCAGTGATCGTGCTCTTATCGTGCAATGTGTTTTTCAAGTGATTGGCCTGGATTTGAAAGACCATTTCCCTTCTAAAACAGTCATTCAGAATTTCCCATGATGCAATGTCAGAGCACTGCCATTCAACCGACCTGGCCTGAGTTGCGCCAAATTCCACTGTCCGTTTTGGCACTGTTACAATTCCCCGCTGAACACAATTCGTTTATTGTCTCTGCACACATCTCGCCGGTGATTGACACAGTTAGTAAGCTCTGGCCAGATTCCGCAGATACCAATCAACCAATCTCCGACCTTGCTTGGCCTCGCTGATGTGGATCAAATCACCCTCAATGGCATAGTCGAGTTCACTGCTGTTAACGGTCTCTCCCTCAAGCAGACCACCTTCAGACCAGCGGATCTGTCTGCTCCGCTGCTTGTTGACCAGCAGCCAGCTGCGCAACTTCTCGGGCTCGACCTCGAGGAAGCTGGACAGCTTCTTGAGGTCCATGGTGGTGTACAGCTTCAGGTAGGACTTGACGGTGGGGTTGAACAGGGTGTTCTTGACTTCGTCCATGAAGATGTCGGTGTGGTGCTCGACGGGGTCGATGTTGAGCGACGGATTGTCAAAATCAGGAGGGGTCGGGTTGATGAACTTGGGGCAGGCGGATTGGAAGAGCTCCTTGTACACGGGCAGGGATTCTTCCCCGCCGCGCTGGAGACGGGCGAACTTCTCGCCATACTTTTCCCGTAGGGCGGTGTGGATGGTGTCGTCCAGACGGGTGGGGGCAAAGGACACACAGATGGCAATCAGGGCGTACATCTGCTCGGTCTTTTTGGCAATGGCGTCGAAGGCCTGGTTCCCCTTTTGGAAGTTCTTGGTGCGCGAGACGTAGACCAGGATATGGCTGAACATGCGAACCGCGTCGGCGTAGCGCCGCATCATCATGTACGAGAAACCGACGTAGTAGTATGTGTTGAGGTGGGCAGCCATGACGCGGGCAAACATGGCCTTCTTGTTCATTTCAATGTCGTCCAGGGTCTTGAGCGCAAGACTGAAGTCTCCGAGCAGACAGTGCACACGCAGCAGGCCGATGATGGAAAAGTAGCCGAGCATGCGGTACAAGGGTCGAGAGCCGTACTCGCCCGCGACGGCGTTAGGGTCTTCGCCTCTCTTCTGTGCGGCCAGTTGCTCGTTGATTTGTGACCGTTGGATGAGCGAATAGAGCACGTTGAGGACTGAGTAGCAGCCCCAAACGTTCGGATTCTCCCGCAGGATTTGTGCCTCCTCTTCATTCGGCGCAGTCCGTGCCACCCGGTTGCGATATCTGCAGAACGACTCGAACTGGTACACAAACTCATCGATCAAGTCCCATGCGAAAAAATAAGACTGCTCGATCTCCACCGGGCCGTCCGAGTTCAGGATGTAGTGGAAGAGACTGCAGTAGTTGTCGTAGCTTTGGAACTTGGTTTCGAGCGATGCCTGGTGCTCAAGCGGTTGAGCAGCCGCCTCGAGCTGGGCCTTGATGTCGCCGGCCGATTCTGCGCGCTCAAGCGGGATCCCTTCATCCTCCTCGTAGTTGGACTGTTCCAACTGGTAGTCCGCCACTAGCTCTTCTTCGTCGACAAGGTCATCCATGATGATTGAAGTCCGCGGGGAAACAGGAGAGGAAAGAGTCGACGGTAAGGTCCACGCGGATTCTTTCGTGCGAGCGGCGTCTTCGAGTTTGATACAATTGAGTTGCCAGGCTCTCACCAAGTTCTTCTCCTCCCACGCACCGGCTAAGTTTCCTTTGACCACCATTTTCAACACGGCACCGTCACGTGCCTGCGGGTGAAGGTGTGGGCTTGGCGCTGCACCTGGAGGCCGCTTGGCATGGTCCACCGTAGTGCGCGATACCAACCTGGAATCCCTCAGCCTCGTCGGTTCAGCCTTGCCCAGCTAACCACCTCAGGCTGAAGATAACCCCTCTCCTCACTCTATCACAATTACTTCATTGCCCTTTCTGATCGATCAATACTCCTCCACCACATTCACGAGTGAAGACTAGGTCATCTTATATTTAACCCGAATATATCTGTCCTGGTGTACTAGCCAACAGCACCTTTCGCTGACAACTGGAGCTTATCAATATTGCATTAAAAACATATATTTTTAAATATACATATTATGGCAACGTCCTACGAGTCCTTCTCCCAAACGTTCAAAGTTGCTCTCATACAGCTCCACCCTAAGGAAAGACCTCCCTTTCGTGTTTATATTGTCACCACCCTATCTATGCCCATGCTCGCCCTTTTCTCCTGGCGCCTAAGCCTTCATGTGCAATAGTGCGACGTCCTTACTAACATCCCATCGTCATCTCCAGCCCCTCGACCCCGAGCATAACTTCGCAGCCGCATCAAACTACATCCGCGACGCGGCGTCCCAGGGAGCATCTCTGGCCGTACTGCCCGAATACCACCTAACAGGCTGGGTTCCCGAAGACCCCCAGTTTGCCGTGCTCGCGCAGACCGCGTACCAATATGTCGAGAAATACCAGGCCCTTGCCAAAGAACTGAAGATCAACATTGTCCCCGGCACCATTGTAACTATTGACCCTGAATCATCGCCTCTACCCAATAGTGCCACCAACAATGGATCAACAACGACAGCAGACACCAACCAACCACATTCACCTCCTGCTCCGGCACTGCACAACATTGCCTACTTCATCGCCTACACGGGCGAGATTCTAGGGAGCTACACCAAAGCCAACCTGTGGATTCCTGAACGGACAGTGTTGACATCTGGACCGGCCGCAACCTCCAGGAAAGCTAGGCCGGGGACAGCAAACCCAACCCCAGTACCACCCCCCAGTTCTCACCACGACCACACCTCAGGCCCGGTCTCCGCCGAAGGCCCGCCCGATCCTCACTCTGTGATTGAGACTCCCCTGGGCCCCGTGGGGATCGTGATCTGCTGGGATCTGGCGTTCCCCGAGGCATTCCGTGCCCTGGTGCGACAAGGCGCCAGGTTGATTATCGTCCCGACCTTCTGGACCCGCGACGACTTGACCGACGAGGCTCGAAAGTACGGGCCGGACGTGGACATTCAGTTTTTGAGTTCGACCGTCATCACCCGCTCCTTTGAGAATACCTGCGCCATCATCTTCTGCAACGTGGGCGGCCCCAAGGAGGAAGGCTACGCCGGCTTGAGCCAGGTGGTTCTCCCTCTGGTGGGCAAGGTCAAAGGCAGTTTTGACGACGGAGAACCGGGCATGAGAATCGTCGAGGTCTATATGAGGACTGTGGATGTTGCTGAGGAAAACTATAAGATCAGGGAAGACCTAGCTAGGAAGGATTGGCACTATGGCTATAGCCATGGGAAATGAGACGGGTGGATTTTCTGTTTTGGATGTATGACTAGCTAAGCAGGGGAAGCATTGGTTACAAAAAGTTTGTCACGGCGGTGGCCTGCCTCCTACAAGGGACAAACTTTTAGGGCGAAGAGCCTGGGGGCCACTGGGTATCAGGAAACAATTACTCTCGCTATGTATATTTACGAAAGCAATTGGCACGCTAGAAGTGCAATGACTGCCAGAAGTAGCCAGCAATGACCACACTAGGCATATGATCTGTCACTATAGGGATGTTGTCACAATCTACGCACAAGGAGTGTAATACTGCATTCAATGAGCCGTCACTACATTTGGGCGGGCAAAGCGAAGGTAACGACAAGCTGATTTAAAACCTCGATTTAGTGTTGAAGTGATCCTGTCTGAAACGAGTCTCAAGTGAGATTCCTCGCCGTTGCTCCTCTCTTGATGCTGTTGCCCCTCATCTTGGTGCTGCCATTTCTGTTATTCCTGATCTTTGATGCCGTTGAACCCAGAAGCTCACTTGGTTACTTTGCCTCTGGATGTCTATTCTATCCTTGACAAACAAAACACTCGCCAAATCAAGAAGTTCCTCCCTCCTCAAGCTGGGCAGAGCACCAGTGCAATTTTGGCTACATACACTGCCTCTTATCAACGTCAGGCATGACTGCTCTTCTTGGACTCGAATCACTCCCGTCGAGTTGTGTTGATATCAAGCACGAGACGACCTCCACATGCCATCACCGAGCGTGTCGAAGCGGTTGCGAAACCCAGCTTCGGCTGGTTTGGTTTGCGCCGATGTCTTCTTGCTGGCAGTTGCGTCGGTAGCCGTAATGCTAGACCATGGCTGCGCGCACTCATCTGGCTGATACTCGATCGCCAACATCCTATACTCGACACGGGAAAGCAGACAGCATTTGGCTGTGACAGCGAGACCTAGGCTGTTCAAAGAAACATAGATGTTGCCATCCCTCATGGAGATATCTATGATCTCTAGGCCGTAGATGTGTTTGAGATCGAGCTTGACTGTTTCTGGCGTCATGTTCGGCCGAACACGCCGGATGAGCAGGTTGCGTGTCGCGCCAGAGTTCTCCATGTGATATGCTGTGCCCTTGTTGATTTCTCTCTGGCGTCGTTCCCAGCTGGCCGCGATCTGGCAGATTTACCCATTCTCGTCAGCATCTCAAACGCGCAAAATAATGTAATAGCCAATGTTCAAGCCGTAGGTACGGTATTCTACATACCAATCGGTTCTTGATGAAGATCTTGTTTGCCGTGGCGCGGGCGAAGAGGGCCTCGGCAGCGGCCGGCTCGACGAAGGAAAGGAGAGCCATATTGGCATCGGCGGCCAGCTTCATATGGAGGATGGTACCTCCGCGAATGGCCTTGACGATGTCAAGGAGCGTCGTCTCTGGCGCCAACCCGCTCAATCGGAGCGAGCGCTTCTCGGTGGCGGCCGCGCCCTGCTCATCCACCTCTTCGTTGTCGTCGTGGTCGTCTGCCGTCTTTGGACTCGGCCCTTTCTTGGGCCTAAAGCTGCCTTCTGGTCCAACTGACCGCTTGGCCTCGTCTTGGTTCATGGTAGGCGCACGGGACACTCCTGGGCCATCGGAATTGGGCTCTGTTGTCTGCTGCCTCCACTCCCATATCCGTGACCTCTTGACAGGAGGCCACTCGGCTGGCTTCTTGGCCGCTACGCGGCTTGACGCCCATCGGCGCATGGGACTCAAGGCTGTCGACGCAGCAGGGACAGGTTGGTTGTCGTTGGTGGCGCCGAGGCTCAATGAGCCAACGTCGATGCCGGCATTGGCCAGAGCTCGGCGAGCAACGAGGAGGTCTCTTTTGGATTGGAGCTGGGGCTCGCGTTAGTATCATAGGAACGATAGATAACCTTCAGGGGTTGAAGCTCACCAGCGACTCGTACTCGGCCATCGTAATTGTCACGAGGCCGCTCTCTCCACGTCGAAGCTCACCCTGTCGCCAGGGGAGGACAGCTTCCGGCTTGGACATATCGGAACTGTTGAGATACAAGTTAGTATAGTACGCGAGGCGAGTATTGTGAGACTGACGACGAACGCAGCTTGTCCATGCTGACTTTCGACGGCCTGACTGGCGTGGCTCAGGCGGGTAGACTGAGACTGACAAGTTTGGTCGAGGTTGTGGGAAAAGTGCAACAAGAAGCGCAAGCAGGATGACTGTCCGGTCTTTCAGTTGGGGTGATAGCGCTAGTTGGAAAGGCAGAAGAAGGGCCAACAGTGCAAACAAGTTGCTTGTTTTCTCCGACAGCCAGGAGGACGCCGCAATAGAAGTTAGACTCCTGTGGCCTGCACATATGGATATTCGACAAGGGAGCTGGTCAAATTTTCCCATTAATCGATAGTGATGATTTCAATTTTGTTGGGTCCAAGTCGAAGCACCCTTTCTCTGACTTGTCATTGCTCAAGCATGTCACTGCTTTGTTCTGCACTCAACTCCATAGAGGTATCAGAGAACCTTCTTCGCAACATATTCATGGACTCGTCAGCAAGCAACCAGACGAGCGGCTCAGCCTAGTGCTCAATGCATCCTCTTCGGGATTTTTCGATGACCTCCAAACGCTGTACGTCCACCAATAGATCCAGAGACAATTCTCGAATTGAGCAAATCGCTACCACAGCAGAAAAGACCCGGAACGCATCATGGCTGCCAAGAGCACTCGGCGAGCCTGAAGAGAGTGGCTGATGATACTCCGGGTTCATTCCACAGAAGACCTTTGGCACATCCAGTACCAGACGTCTCATAACAGGTGTCGATCACTCACCATTGCGGGCTACCACGATGAGATAACCCAAGGCCTTGGTCTCACCGGGGACCTCGGGCCATGTGAACTGTTTGTACAACCATTCACTGGTCAGCCGCATTTGGTGTTTGTTGGAAATCGGTGCCATGCTCCTTCATGATTTGTTCCGCCATGTCAACACTCGGCTTAATCAGACGCGCTCTCTCCTCCGGATGGAGATCCAAGAACTCCTGAAAACCCTGGAACCAGGTATCGTCTTTGGCAGGACCTTTGCCATCATAACCTACCACCATTTCAGCTATGATGGCCAAGGCCACCCGAATGGAAGTATCCCCGCCATAACGTGTGGGAAGTTCCGCTTGGTTGATTGGTTTGAAGATGGACTCGGGGCTTTCTTTGTCAATCGCCATGAGGAGGCATTCCATTCGGTCCTCGAACCTCCACCATTTAGGCAAGATGTCGGTCCCTTCGATCAAATCGAGGAAACGCTGGAAATCGTCAATGGCTGTGAGGGTCCTGTTAGTAATTTGGGGTGACACTGGTTGATGAAAAGTGCTGTTGAGCCTACCGTCTCCTTTGGCCCAGACTAACCCGTCGATGGGTTTCCCGGGATAATATATTCCATGATCCTCCTCCCGCGACTCATGGTCGGTCTCCACTCTCAAGCGGTAAGCATCGATGATGATCCTGAGCACCTCATCATGGTCCTTAGAGGATAAGTATGCATCGGGGGATCCTTTCCCTTGCACTAGATTGCAAAACGGTTTGTGTTTGGGCCAGTGGGTTTTCTGGCAACTGTATGTGGTCAGTCCGGGTACTCTTCAAGTCAGTGAGGGACAAACGGCATACTCCTTGGAACAATAGTCAACCAACTGGCAGCCATTACAGCGCCTCAGAGATTTCTGAAAGCCCAAAGCTAAACAGTTTGCACACACTGAAAGCTTCTTGCTGTGCAAGTATTCATGCTCGATCTGGCTCACATAAGTGACGCCACATATGGGAAATGTCTTCTTGTTTGTGGTCATTGTGAATGAATGTACAGTGTCGTACAGGCTTTAAAGTTTCTTTCTTGTCTGTTACAGGTTATTGCAGGGCGAGTGAGAGATATGTAGTCGCAGAGAAGCAGCCTGGAACGTGATCGAATGACAACGAGCATGTACGAGGTTGAACTGGAAGATCGGATGCACTAACTATAACATGATCTCATGGAAGGTTAGCCGAACCCCTGTCACTCCCTGAACCCTCAGCCTTGTCAGTCAACTCCAGGTCTAGATGCTCCGCCGAAGGGAGCACTGTGAAGGAAACGGGACATCTTGGATCAGCAGACAAAGGTGCAAGAAGAATGTGAATTGGTCGTTATGTATTGTACATGTACATGATTCATCAAAGACATGCTGTTGGCACAGTTGTGCAACGGTCGTACAATGGCATTTTCTGTTGTGTATACCTGGTCTTCGACTTTTGGTGGAGGACGTTTGTAGGCACTGGTCGCTGGAGAGTGTCTGGCTAAATGTGCCTTGCTGGTCTAATCTGCCCAGCCTGCCTCATGTCACCTGCACCCGAGAAGATACCAAGCAAGGTTGGTCAAGTGGCCATCGCCCCATAGAGTGATTGAACCCTTCGGGCACCAGTCATAGGAGTGCACTAAATGCCTCTGTCTGTCAATCCTAGCACTCTGCACATCGGCAGATATGCCCAGCAATAGCTCAGCTAGAGTGCCATCCGAGTTGCGCATTCTATTTTGCGGTGGCAACGCCAAAATCTCCTGGCCAGGAAAGCAGCATCGCCATCCATGAATTGCAACCACGGAACCTTACACTGACGCCAGGCATGGTCCTGTGGGAATGGATGTAGTCCCAGCACCGGTGAAGTGTGTTGGCCGTTGGGCAAATCAATGATTGGTTTGAGAAATAGGAGGATGTTGCCGGAGCCCAGAATCACACCCACAGATCTGGCTGGTAATCGACCGTTAACCGCGGATCCTCACCATAGAGTGCTTGCCAGGAGCCAAAGCCGCCTTCAAGGACACAAATCTGCTGTGTGACCGACTTGTTCTTCGGTGTGACTGCCGATGCATCTTCAGATCCGGCGCCATTTTCAGACTGATCCGCGGCTGCTCTCTGCTCTTCCTCTGCCTCTTTGGCTTCAGCCCGCTGTTTGGCTCTCGCATACATCAACGCCGCTTTGGGTCCTCTCTGCTGACTCAACATACAGTGGAAAATGACCTTTTCTTTGTCTCTCAATGTCCTCACCAGTTCGGGCATTCGGGCATCCAGCTGATGCAGTGGGACCCAGGTGCTCGATGTAATATTGCCACCGATGTGGTCCGAATCCCGGACGTCAATGACGGCGACCTTGGACCGTTCCGAGGGCTCGAGAAGAAGCGGCGCCACTTGGCTTGGATGGACAAAAGTCAAGGAGGACAGAGTGATCGGCGCTGAATCGGTGGCCATTCTTCGAATTCCACGTGTGGAGGACGATCGAGGTCGCAGAGCGTGGTTGCGCTGTGATAATACCCCAATGTTGCGAGGTAAAGAGCCTGTGCCGGGGCGACCAAGCATCTAGCCCACCGATCAATCGCAAAGCGGTAGAAGCAGACAACTAGGTACACAGGACATGCTTTACATGAAGTGCCATTGTGTTGTAGTTTCTTCGCGGAGTGGTGAACACGACCATTGTACTGTCGAGTGTTCGCAGCCAGACGTATCCGCTGAGGTCGACTTCGCGCGTCTCTGATTGGCGGATTGGTCGCGGAGCTCAAGAATTGAATTCAATTAATCGACTGCAACTTGCAACTTCACTTCATCCATTGACAAAACCCCAGACGGCTTTCGCTTCCACACTTGGAGTCGACACCACTACGTCGGCTACCTAATCAACCATCAGAACAGCCCGTAACTACCTGTTTGGCCTGTTCGGGTCGGTGCGGTTTCCGCGGGCTGTCTGCCCAACTCAGCTCAATTGACCTCCCACAATGGATTCCGCTCCCGCACTGCACAGATGCACCCGTTGTGTGCTGTCTCTGTCCCAGTCCTCTACGCGCACCATCATCCGCACAGCCCGAAAACAACCACAGTCGCAACACCAGCAGCGTCAATGTCAATCGCTACTTATCCAAAATACACGGCAATTCTCCACCTCCCAAGGTCGACATGACACCCCTTCTCCTCCCAGTCCTCAGCCGGCATCAGCTTCGTCCGAGCAGCCGTCGTCGAAACCGGCCCCGGCGCGGCCATCGATCAAAGACCTCCTCCGCGACCTACGAGCGAAAGAAGATGTCAAAAGCGGTGGCCAGTCCGTAAGCGAGCGGATGGACGCCCTGATGGGGCGAAGACAAGACGGGGGCCGCGCATCATCCTTCACAGACATCATGGGCCGAGGACGAGGAGGCGCGGGCGACCGATTCGACCAGAACAAGATCCTTGATGAGCTCAGCCAGGAACTGCACGAGACATCGTCCATTTCTCTGCGGCTGAGACCGACGCTGGGCCGGACCGTCGACGCCTTGAACGGGGATGCGTCCAAGGGATTCCGGATCTTGGAACGGAAATGCGCGGACAACAAGGTCCGCCAAGATGCGAGGAAGCAGCTGTTCCACGTCCGGCGGGGACAGTACAAAAAGGATCTCCGGCGGCAACGATGGCGAAAATTGTTTTTGGAGGGCTTCATTGCTGAGTGTGGTAGGATCCGTCGAATGAGGAAGCAGGGCTGGTGAAATCCCATATACGTATTGTACAGCATACAAACAGAGCTTTTCCTTCCACAGAAGGAGGATTGTCAGTGACCACTCTTCGTTTTGTGTTGATACGGACGGGTCTTTTTGGTATTCAGATTCTCTTACACGTTGAAGGCTTACAAGGCACCGATTATGGCGTCTATGGGTTGTATGAGGATTCAGAACCGGTACTAGACGTAGAGTCGAGAAGTATTACAATGTCATCCTCGTTATTTTGAGCCTCGATGCAAGTCAACTCAAGACCATGATCGTCTGGGCACCAGCACTGTAAAATAGAACAGGACAAAACAACATGAAAATTGCCATCCAATCCCTTACAGACGGGAGACTGCCTACTATCTACCAGCACATGAAGCCCTGTTCCAGTGCCAAATGGTCCGTGCCTGGGCCTTGCTTGGCCATGGGAGCCGTCAGTGTGCGTGTATGCAGTCCTCAGTGGCTAGCTATCTAGCGTGCTACCTTGTCGCCTGCGGCCAGCAAGCAAGGCACAAAAAGAGGGAGGCAGAGAGGCAGGGAGGGAGAGAGGGAGAAGAGAAGAGAAGAAAAGAAAAAGAAAAGCACGTTACAATTTATGGATCAGTGCCTCTTGAGGCCTTCCTTTCTCCAGCTGGCCCGAAGCACCACTTGAGCGCAGGTGGGCAAGAGGTTGATCGCATGCGTGTGTCATACCCTCAACTTGAAGGCCATTGATTGTTAATTCATCATACATTGGTGGTGCTTACGCTAGCTGAGTGCTGCTGTCTGCAGTGCCTGAAACGGTACTTCCCTTCTGTCATGCAGTGGCAGCATTTCCCACTGCATGGTGCTGCTGCTCGTTTCGTGTATCAGATGCACCACTTCAAGGTCTCAACCACTGGCACTGCAATAATGCCATCTTCGTTCCAGTTCAGCACCCAACATTCACAAAAGCGGACGACCTTATCACCCATGACCATTGCAATCAATAAGGCTTTCTGGCCAACTTGACACAATGCACCAGATCGCACAACTTGTCTGGCTGACCGGTGGCGTTCAACTGGTCGACCTTGGCGTTGACATGGTCCAACTTGCGCTCGATTTCATCGTCTTCGGGAAAGTCCTCGAGAGCTGTCTCCAAGACATGCTTCTGCGCCACTGTGGCGGTCAGATTGGCAGGTTGCTCATTGTACCATTTCAAGAACGCCATGGCCTCTGGTTCGACGACCGATGTCTTGCCGCTGACTTCGACGTTGCAGCCCTGTTTGACGCAGAAGGCTCGAAAGCCCGTGACAGGGTTGCCTTTCTCGGCGTCGGCCCGCAGCGCTAAGACACATTTGTGGCAGTACAGGTGCAGGCAGTTTAGGATGCGGCACTTGGGTTTGATCTGTTCACACCGCGAGCAAGTGATCATCTCTTCAATGCTGTTGCCCTGTCGATGCTCCGTCTCAAGCTGCTTCATGAATATTCCGAAAGTAGGCATGTATGCTATGTGACACGTGCATAGGTTAGGAAGTTTGTCCCAAAAAAAGAGGTTCTCGGGTTTCCAGCAATCGTGAAACAACAGTGAAAAGTAATGCAATAAGAGGGTCGAGGTGTCGAGTGTCGAGTGTGAAAAGCTTACCTGGTTCTTTGTCGAGCTTCTGTTTCTTGGCCGGTGGTTTGACCCCGCCGCTGCCTCCTGGAGTCGAGGATCTATTGCCGCTCATGTCGGTGTCCACGGAGTCGCGAGCGCGTCTCTTCGAAGGCGGAGGGCTGGGTTGCGCCTGTTCGCTCATGCGCAGGGAGTCAAGAAGACCAGGGAAGTCCCGCTGCAGACGCGAAATGCCTGCTTGGTTAGGCTCTGGGGAACTCGCCGCTGGCCTCATTGGTGGGTTTGGCTTGAGCGAGAAGCGAGTTTGGCTTGCATACATGGTTCGTGGTTCTGGACTCGCAGCTTGGCCGAAGCCAGGGGCAGGAGTGACGCGCCTAGCAACAGGATTGAGATTGGCGACAGGAGTTTGCGTTCGTGTCTGAAGCAGAGGTGGAGTTTGAACAAGAGATGGTGTCTGAACTAGTGGTGGAGTTTGAACCAGAGTTTGAGGCAGAAGCTGATCTTGAAGTAGAGTATAAGGTTCAAATGAAGCTTGGCCTTGACCTTGTGCAACTGGTGGCTCAGGATATGAGGATGTTGGTGACATTGTTTCAGTGGTGTTGAGGTAAGGTTCCTGTTCCGCGTCCTGGGGGATGCTTGGAAAAGCTTGAGTAGAGCTTGACTCGGACTTGATGCTGGGCGAGCGTCTTGGTGGTGTGAAGGAACGATCAGCCTGGTCATCAACTTCACTTGCAGAATCGATGTCGACAACAGGTGCTGTGATCTCGGGGTCCAGTACGTTGGTGTTGACATTGTCGGCTTCCAGGACACGAGCGGCAACCTCGTGAAGGAAGGGCAACACGTCACCAGAGAGCTCGGTCAACAAGGCCGCCCCGAACTGGCTGTTGTCATCGAATGTAGCTCGATTCATGACAATGTTGTCGAGCGCCGTCTTCAAGTTGGCGTTTTCGTGACACTTGCGTCGAAGTGCCTCGATGAGGGCAACATTGTCGAGCACAGTCGCCTTGAAGGCAGACTGGCGCTCAGTGATCTCGTCACGGGAGGCTTGTTCTTCAAGTTCCTTCATCTTGGCCAGGATCGCGCTGTCCTTGGCGGCGATTTGGAGGCGAATGGTCTCGAGCTCCCGCTCGAGGTGCGCTTGGTTGGCGCGGAGGTTCTCTGCCTCGATCTTGAGGCTTTGCAGTTCGCGCAGTTGAGCAGGGGACGAAGAGGAAAAGGAAGAAAGAACAGGGAGACCTGGTTGTTGTGAAGGTTGGGGTTGAGATGAAACTGAGTTTGAAGACATGGCGAAGCGCGGTGTCAACAACTTCAAGTTGAATAGAAGAGGAAATGTCGCGCGCATGCATCTTGGCCAGGCAATTTGGCCTTGGCTAGATGACATAGGCAAAGAAGACAACAGAACCTTGGCGGTTGGCGGTCACGCGAGCGCTACAGTTAGTGCCTGCGCAGTTCAGACTTAACGACCAGTGACTCAGGTCGCGGCCGGCGGTGGGAGCTGGTGCACCCTGCGGCGAAGAGAGGAGGGAAGAAGAGGGAGAACCAAGGGGGAACAAGAAAGATATAGAGGAACAAAGACCACCACCTTATGCGACGTTCACAACAGACTCCTGTCATCACAACTGGCTATCGTCATTCAGACATCCACCGGCACAACATGGAACTCCCCATGGTATGCGTACATCCTATTCGGCCTCCCCACGTGGGCGACGGACCCCTGTTGGGCGTCTTCTTCATTCATGAGACATGCTTGTTATAATGGGGGGCGCTCTTCCTGCTTCTGGCTGTACCCCTGACTGTCCGAGGCACTCTCCAGAAGGGAGCCGTGGACACCGAGTATACCTTCCTGGTGGCGGCCCAGTTCAGACCATCGACTCCTTGAAATCCGTGTCGTAGACCACTATCGCCATTGTCATGACTGACTAGATAAGGTCGGCCACTTGTACCGTGACAAGGCTGGGTCTTTCCGTGGTAAGTTTGAGGTGGACAAATACAGGAATTGACCTCGGTGGGTCCTGGAGTCGGCCGAGTATTACCGCAAAGGGCCTTGGCCGTCGATATTGTCAGTGGCCTCCGCGAGAGAGAGATAAAGAGAAGTGCCTGAAGGGAGGCTGCCGCTCAATCTTCATATGAGCAAGCCATGCTGACAGTCAGTCATATGGTGCTGAAGCTGCTCAACAAAAGAAGACTGCGACGAAATTGAGTAGGCCCCAGAGTCCATCAGATATTTCAAGGCTCAACATCCCTCATGCTGCTCTTGAACCTTTCAATGGCTCGCTGTTTCGTCTCATGCCAATTGACATAAGGCTTTGGGTACCCGAGCTTCTCAAAGTCGGCTCTCTCCAAGCGATTGTACGGATCAAAAATCGCCTTGCCCTTGACACTCCTCAGCTCCGGTATCCATTTGCGGATATACTCGCCTTCAGGATCATTCTTCTCGGCCTGGCTAACTGGATTGAACACGGTATAACCAGGCTCCCATCCCTGGGTGTTGTTGTTGAGGTCCCAATCGATGAGAGTTTCAGCAAAGTAACGCTCGCCACGCCGATAGTCGATCAAGAGGTTACAATAGAGGTAGGACGACACATTCATGCGCAAACGGTTATGCATGTACGCCTCAGCCTTGATTTGGCGCATCCCGGCGTCGACAAAAGGCACCCCAAGCGTCCCCTTCTCCCATCGATCGTATCCCTCTTCGTCATCCTCCCATTGCACGAATTCAAATTTGAGATTTTGCGGCAGGTTCATTGCCGTGTGTGGCGTGGTCAGCGTTGTTTGCCGATATAGCTCGCGGAACACGAGCTCACGCACCCACCCAGATAATCCAGCGTCGGCACCGTGCGACGAAAAATCGGCTGAGCCAGAATTATGCTTGCGAACAGCCGTCAGCACTTCTCGTACAGAAATTACCCCCGAGCTCAGATATGCCGAGAGCCGTGACGTTGAGTCTTTTGCCGGGTTGGACCGTGTAGCTGCATAGTCGGCGAGCTTATCGGAGAGAAATTCGTTCAGCCGCTGTACGGCGGCGTCATGGCCTGCTGGCCAAAGTGCCCGGATGCTCGATCGTTCTGCTTCGCTTGAGAATTGTTTCTCTTCAGGGGGCCTGGGGACGGGGCTGCCGAAAAAAGACAGCAGAGCTTTCTTGGCCTTAGGTGCATTTCTAGCAGGAGGCGGTACAGTATGCAGCAAACTTGGGTTGGCTTTCACCTCGGCTAACCAGGCTTTGTGGTAAGGAGTGAATATTTTCATCGGGGTACCACTGCTCGTGAGCATCGTGCCCGGTTCCATAACCGTCTGGTCGTGATGGAGAGAGACATGAAATCCACCATGGCCGGAGTCTGCGTTTTTGGCTTCCTGCAGGAACTTGATGTCACGGCGAAGCTCGTCGATTTCATACTCGAAATTGGCAAAAACGTGCGAAATACCGTTCTCACGGATGAACTGAACGATGGTTGGCACCTGGTCGAGACGCCTGGTGGCCTCAAGAAAGACCAACGGAATATGCAGGCTGTTCAACTCGGACTTCATGAGCTGCAGATTTTCGCAGACAAAGTCCATCCTGGCCGGTGAAGTGCCATGTCTTCTAAGTTCCCCAGGACAGTGCAGATAAACACAAAGCAAGGGCGCATTAGACTCTTTGGCAAACGCGGATGCCGCATTCAAGGCTCGGTTGTCGTAGATTCGAAGATCTTTGCTCCGAAACCAATGCAAGACAAGACCGACACCCTTGGGCGGTTGTTGTGACACCAGAAGGGGCGTGAGCTGATCATAAGGGGTATTTGCATCAATCTCTTTGGCTCGTTTCGTGCTTGGACGCCGAAGCTCTGGATGTTCTGGTTCTTTCCTTTTGGGCATGCTTTCCATTTGGTGTCTTCCACTCGCTTTCTCTTCACATGGATGGCGTGGACATGCAAAGTACAAAGGAGGGCAGCTTCTTGCTAAATGGGTTTGGATAATGCCCCGGGCATGTATTTACAATACCTTAGGGGTGGAGCATGGCCAGAAGCCAGCTATTCTGGTAAGCCACATACATGTGCCGTGGATCAACATTGCATTATCATCCATGCGGCACGTCGATCGGGGCCTTCAGGATCGGAGCTAGCATCTCGTTCAGCAGGAATGGGTCTGGGATCTGAATCTATCTCCAGGTGGACGGTGGTGGGTTTACGGGGTTCAAAGTTGCTGCAAAGTCATGACGTAGCATATAAGCAGAAACTGGAAGTCCTCTTGCCAAGGCTGAGTTGAGCCTGATGCGATAACCTGCTATCCCTGCAGTCACGGCGGGAATCGTTTTGGATACAGTATAGGGACAGTAATACCTAATGTTGGCAAAAATCCTCAAGAATTAATCTGGTTCTTTCCTTACATGAGTTGTGTTTCCCTCAGAACACATTACAAGGTGAAGGGAGAGCTGAACACCTAAGCAGTGAACCCAACTCCTTCATCATCATAGTGAATATTTTATTGCCATCGTGGCTATGGTGTTGTTTTGTACCGGTAAATGCATTCGCCTGTCCTTGATCCAATCCTCCAGTAGTGTATGGAAATGCCAAATCTGGGCGTACTTGTGCGCAAAATCCTGCTGAATTATATTTCAAATATTTTTTATTTTCCTAGGGAAAGAGTGTTACAGGACATTCTTTGAATCGACATGATCGAATTTGTTCGAGGTTCAGAAAACCACGACTTGCCGAACTACGCAGGTATGCAATATAAATAATGTCAGCCAAATGGTCGTGCCCTGCGACAGACACATACTGTATATACCTGCAGGATACTATCATTTCATATTGCACTGTCAATTATTAGGGAGGGACCTCCTGCCCCGCTGATGCCAATGTCAGATTTGATCTCTGGCAGAACTAACCCTCGTGCAGTACTGGACTTGTCGGTAGGTAGAAAGAGCACCACCGAGTCCAGAGGGTCGTGTCGGCAGATGTTCCTGGCCCGGGTCCCATTCTACAGTAGGTCGACGACGAAGCAGAGACCCGAGACAAGGGATACAATATTGATTCGAATAGTAGACATAACTGTGGATTGGCCATGCAACGGGGAGGGTCCAAGGTCGCACTATTGGGAGATGCCTCGATGTACCAGTGTAAGCGATGAAAGAGAAACGAGCTTCTAGAAAGAAAACTGGGTTGAAGAAGTTGAGGGGTCCAACCACGAGCGGGAAGTGGCACCCAACTGAGACCACTATTTCGGGGCTTCTACAACCCTGCCCCTGGAAGGGGAGTTCCCCGAGACGTCGGATGAGCCTTTCGAACGTTCCGTATCGGGGGGTCATTGTGGGAACTTCCAAGGCCATAGTCCCTTTTTGCAGGGAGGAGCCGGTCTCGGTTACGGGATTTTGTGCCCACTTTTCAACTCAAGATCGAGGTGAGGGTTGACAACTACCCGCTAACTCTGCCCAGAAGCACAGAAGATGCCGGACTAACACACCGCGGAAAAAACGACCGCGCCGTGTGATTGTTCCATTGCAATCCATTGCTCGTTCGTGGTATAGACCAGACCTCGGAGATTTGAGGACCGACGGTGCAGGTCAATTCACATGTTAGTGACAAGTTAGCCTGGGCAATTCGAATCTCGCTCTCATACTGGTTGGCGGACGAGATTCCTTATTGGCATTTGCCGGCCCTCGACCGGCCGGTGACCGCGGCAGCCGTCAGAAAGAGATCACAATTCCGAGTCCAGCTCCACAACTGCCTTGAAGTCGCGGCGGCATACCGCTTCAGACCAACCCGGCCGTCTGCATACCAAATGGCGCTGGATTAAGGTTTGATTTGATAGATTGGCTCCTGCATGTTGCCGGTGCAGTGTTCTGTTTGAAGCTGCCACCTTCGTCTAGGCACCATTGGCATGATATCAGGGCAGGGGTCAGATGTAGATTGGGGGGAATCATGGCTAGTACCATACTAGTAGTAGCAGTCATAAGTGGCCGACGTGGTCGAGAAGCGGTTGTGCTTAGGTAGAATATAACAATTGTGGATGTAACACAGTTGCAGTTGACATTATTCTGCGATTGTACAGTTGTAATCTGACATTCAACCAGCCTTTTCTGGCATACACCAAAGGGCGCACAGTTGTATTGCCCTCAGACCGTAGTTAGGCCTTTGACTCGAACAGTTTCTTGTGGCCCAAGGCTTCGGACCTTTTATTCAGCTGTGGCACTGTCCGAAGTAGCATCCATATCGGTTCGGCTACTTTCGCGTTACCAAAATCGCCTCGCCTTGCCTCGTATTGGTACTGTGCCACGTCATGGCGGGTCTGGCAGCCAACAGTTACAAGGGCTTCGTAGCTGTGTGCGCCTCCAACACGTGGATAGCGGAGCTTTGGAACGCCTGGTGGATATGGTCACACCGAAAAGAGCCCGGCATCATGGCTCACTAAGGCCTCCGTGGCCCTTTCTATACGTTGTGGACAAAGGCTGAAAAGGTGGTGTTGCTTTGCCTGAACGACTACTGTAATAGTAGGATACAATGTTGTACAGCGTATCTATAGTCACTGTAATCTGCCGTTGCGTGTGTGCTCGGCTCAACAGCAGCCCGGGAATTTCTGCGTTCGAAGCTCACTAATCTAAGAGCTCCTAATGCTAGCAAGTCGTGTTCAATACGAGTAATGATGGTCGCAGCACTCAGTCGGTAAGTTCCGAATGGTGTGCTGGATACGACAACCCCTGTCTTGAAGTTCGATGAATTTTAGATGGCCAGACAGAGGGATGAACGATCGTCACAGGTTGTTTCGTTTACGCGGACAGCAGCTGACCACCACGACTGATACACCCAGAGCACAGACATGGAAGACACAGTTCCAGGATACGTGGTACTGTACCTGCCTAGATCCTTTGCCCTTTTACTGGCCTCCTTGCAACTAGAGAACGAAAGAATTGTAAAAAAGTAAGCACTGTCCAATCTCACTACTGGGCGTGGCAAGACCATCTGACGAGACTGATCAACCGTGCTCGTCCACGCCGTGAGATGCACAGATCTCACCGCAAATCTTGCACACTTGCCGTCGAGATGGTGAGGATGGATGACGACGATCAGTTGAGTCTGACATGCCGAGAACTTCCGAGTCAGCGGTCTGCAGTGCTGAACAAGGACTGCTGCATAAGGTAAGGTAGCACTGAGCAGAGCCTGGAGGGCTGTGCACAACTGAAACCCTTGCATATAACGTTCAACTAGCCCAATATCAGGACAATTGAATATTGATTGTCTCGCGCCCAGGCCTCGGTGCATTGTTGCGAGCCAGATGCTGAAACAGTCCAAGCTGGGTCAAACCAGGGAGTTTGCGTGATAATTCGACAGAGAATATGAGAGGCTTGAACCTTAATTTTTTTTTGCAAGCCGGGTTGATGTTTAGCCAAGTCTCGCTTGGAGAGTAGTGGCGATCAAAATGGCTGATCATTTCTTCAGAGGGATCTTCGACTGCAACTTTCTCCATCCTGTGGCAGACGTGACACGAGGGTCGACAAATTCAAGTTACTCGAAGACGAGTGGAGAAAGGAGCATTTTGAGTTGGAATGAGCTGGTTTACACCTACTAGCAGGACGGGCGAGACCGGGCAAAGAAACTGAACCTCGCGGTTGTACAACAAGGTAATGTACTGTAGAACAATAGAAATGCCCTTCTTTTGGTGGCTGCAGTATAGAGTGTGGCCGCAACAACTCCTACTACAGTACTGCAACTACTACTGGTGGAATAGAGGTGGTGAGGACACCACAGCCAGTCGTTTGCACAGCGAGTGCTCCCAAGTTCTCCCAGTCAGAGTCCAGAGTGCCGCGTGGCGCGTGTCTCAGACGCCCATAGGACGCCCTGCTACTAGTAATAGTAGTACAACGTCGTTCAGGGAGTGTCGGTGTCAACCCAAACCTTGAACCAGGCTCTCTCCCTGCAATGCAGCCTGTGAGAGATACAGCACAACCGGGATTGTAGCTGGACTGTTCCAGTTACCTATCTTGGCCATCGCTGCCGCCTTCACGTAGTACTACTATTGTGCCTCAGGTACGATGGTGCAGTGCAGTGCACTGTGCAGTCTCGAGGATTTTACCCGCACCGTACAGTAGGGAGAGATGGTTTAAGATAAGGTAAGCATGTGTTGTGTTCCAGTCGCGTTTTCATCGTGTCTGCTCGCTTCTGCCAAGGGGCATAACCAGTTCGCGGCCCAGTGTCCACATTCAGTTAATTGCCAGCGGTGGCTTCCCGCGGGCTGCACCTGACTCGAGAAATAACCGTCGAGATCCCGAGTCGAGGCTGACACTGAGCCCCAAATTCCGAGAAGGCTGCGGTGGCTGATTCGTCGTCACCGATGCGAACCCTACCACGATCATACATCGAGATGCCATTATTACTCAGGATGCCGTGTTATTGTTGCAGAAATTTTCACTTGGACATAACAACATTGTAGACAACACAAATCAAGCCAATCACTTGGATCATCTTCTGTTTCTCTTACCAAAGGTACTACGGCCGAGGAGCCAATTTATTCAATTCAATACTAATTGTCTCATCAAATCCGGAAGGAAATCATTCGTCCGGACGAGGGACACTGGCGGAGATACATGGTAAAATTTATGCTGGTGAAGGCAGTATTTTCCGGCGCAGGGTATAGCTGGTCGGGCCGCCTCCTCGACTACCTGGAAAATGTAGTACTAGACAAGTACCTTAGTTAGGTATATTATTGCTGGCCCAGAAGTCTTGCGAAAGTAATAAGCTGAGTGATGCTCCTTGTTCCTGGACCCGTGTATCGCAAGCCCACACTGCTTAAGATCTCTCCCAGAAGCTTCAGGCGCGGTAATCCACACAATAACAGAGGAAATCGTATGTTAGGTTAGCTTTGGAATCAAGCGGGTGAGGCACAACCCAGCAAGCGTCGGTGTTTGCGTAACGAAGGGCACGGTTGGGTGGCATGGTACGTGTCATCCACACCAACGAGTGGCCCACCAGCGGACCTGTGACACCCTCCAGGACGCCACCAAGACGCCGCGTTGGGTGCTGTTCCCGATCGACAAGGTGTGGAGCGGCGAAGGAGGATGATGAATCAGATCAATTGGACGAGTAAGATGCAGTGGTCGGGCAAGATGGGACAGGGGGCGGTAGCGTTCAAGTTGGTCCAACGAGGCCGAGGGTGGCAGGGATGGCAGGGATGGCAGGGATGCCTGGAGGCACTGGCAGCACTGACAGCACTGACAGCACTGGCAATCCAGCAGAAGGAGTGGGTTCCCACCGTCACAACGGCGGCTGCGCACTGACACTAACATGCTACTACTGAACGCTACGGCTGCTACTGATCCTGTTGCTGCTACGTAGCTGCACTGATTTGATGGCGGAAATCAATCAATCAATCGATTATTGATGAGCTGCTGAGTTTGATGAATAGGATTTCTTGCCTTGTCGGGCCAGAGTGTCGCGCCTAAACCGCCCTCATTCCAGCAGCAGCGTCATTGTCGCCATCCGAGTGTGCCTCAGCAGCCCTCATCCCGGCCTCCTAAGGAGCTGAGTTCGCTCGGATAACCGTGGCCTTCTTCCGGAAGAAGAGTACCTGGTCCTGGCTCTTTCCGTGTCTGCACAGTATGCGAGCCAGTCAGTAGTAGCCGCGGTAGTAGCAGTGATGATGGTAGTGCAGTGGTGCAGTGGTAATGGTGGTAGTAGTGGTGCTAGTCGTGGAAGTAGTAGCCTGAGCTGAGTGTGCCAGTGTGCCTTCGGGAGTGCCACCGATTCTCTGCGCTGCATAATTTTTCGTCCGCGCTCGCTCTCACCTCCCCGAAATAATCTCTCACATTTTTTTTCTTCACCTGACCGGCGGCACACATCAAATCTCGTGTCTGGCTCAAACTCAAGCCATTATTCATTCCTACCGCGTCCTGCCTACGGCAAAATTGTACACACCTCACTACTGTGCCAGAGGCCTTTGTCTTTCCACCTGCTTCTGCCTCACATCATCGTCTACTGCGAGGACCGCGTTTCGGAAAAATCCCTTGGCGTCGCCGAAGCTCGTTCTCGGTACCCGTTCCAGGATATCCACCGGCGGCTGCGGCAGCACAATTCCTGATAAGACCTAAATTCATCCACCATCCACCCCCATCCCAACCCAAGACAAAACCTTCCCACCTTCCTCCCACGCCCGCCGCGCCAGACCCAGCAAAGCAGCCCTCCATCCATCCATCCTCTCCTGCGAGTCAGCCATCCTACCCGACAAGACAGATCGAGGGCCCCAGCGACCCTCATCTATACTCGACTGCAATCCATCCTTCTTTGCGTGGTGCACACCATACCAACACCGCGCCCTTCCCCCTCCACTTTCAACGACGCGACCATAACCCTCCCCTGCCTGGGAAGCCTGACTTGACCTGAGCATCCGCCTTGTCGCGTGTCAGCCTACACACAGTGAAGGACCAGTTCGCTACCAGAACGCGCAGATACTCCGCCAGACCCTTTTCGCAGCTGCGTCTTTTGCGTACCTTGCAGGCAGTGCTCGCTGCTTCACTATCATCGCTCCGAAAATTTTCAACCTGTCCTGTCTTTACTGACAACACCAACCACCACCACTACTATCGACCCGCTTCTTGTCGATACTCGAGTATCCATCCGCAGTGTCGTCCTCATCCTTAATCACTTCGACTTCTCCCCATAGCTCAATGGTCGATTGAGTCCTTTGACTCCACTTGAATCTTCCATCTCGGTAATGGACCCTAGACAATCGCTGTCGCGGACGACGTCGTCCAACGTTGGGACGCCTCAAAATACATACAATCCAAACAACATGGCCTCGGCGTATGCCATGCCTCCGTACCAGAACAACACTCACCTCCCGCCCATCAACTACTCTCAGTTGCCCCCGGCGAACCAAAGTTACATGCAGCAGCAGTACCGCAATGACTTGCCGCGATACACTTCTGCCCCCAACACGGCGCCGGTTGCCTCTCCGGCACCGGACAATCGATACAATTCGCACATGAACCCACAAGGCAACATGGCCGGTCTGCCTCCGTCTTCCTTGCTTCCCCAGCCGCAGAGCCAGCAGCAGCAGCAACAGCAGCAGCAGGCACAACAGGCGCAACAGCAACAACAGCAGCAGCAACAACAGCAGCCGCCTCACCAGGGCTATCAAGGACAACAGCCGGCGCGCCAGACATACCCTCAGCCTCTCGCTCCTGCACCTCCTCGCCCCAGCCTCGATGCCCTTGCTCCCGCTTACGGCCAGCCTGACAATCGTCAACAGGCATGGTCTGGCGCTGAGTCGATACCCAGCATGGCGGCCGATGTTGGCCGAGACCCTACAAGAACACACGTGGTGGGATCCCAAGGCAGAAGAGGCATTTTGCCCAGCGCACCTGGTCGGCCACCTGTCATGCCCAACGGGGTCAATGGATCCCCCAAGAGCGCGGTCCCCCAGAAGGACGCTGATGGCAAATTTCCATGCCCAAATTGTACCAAAACTTACCTGCATGCCAAACATTTGAAGCGCCACATGTTGAGACGTAGGTCTAATCTCCCCTCCTTTGTTATCGTACGCTGATCTTGAACGCAGACACCGGTGACCGACCGTACATGTGTGTTCTGTGCAATGATACGTTCTCCAGGAGTGATATCCTGAAGCGTCACTTCCAAAAATGCTCGGTTAGACGTGGCAATCCTACTGGTGCGAGTCATTTGTCCAACCCCGCTGCGCACATCAAGAAGAACCAGCAGGCGGCTGCGAAAGCTGCCACCGCGTCGCCAGCGAGCGCGAACACGCCGTCCAGTGGAGTAATGCCCAATCCTCCGTACACCTCGGCGCCTATGAGCAGCACATCTGCGCCAGCAACCAGTGCTCCAGCCCCTGGAATGGGCTATGCCATCCAGTCCAATGGCCAGGCAGATATGCAACGTCAAGCCCAGTCGATGCAACCAGGTTCCGGCCCGGGGCCCATGGATCCTACCGGCAACAGCTCGTGGTCGATGCATAACCCGAGGAACAGTCAAATGATGTATCATTCGACCTCGACTCCTTCCGACCACTATGGCATGCAGCCCAGCGGGGGGGACGACAAGCGCAATGTCATGCCCCAGCCTCACCACATGGGGGATGAGTGGAATCACATGTTCCAGCCTGGCGGCAACGAACAGTACATGAACCCCATGTTTGGAGGATATGACCAATCTCAGAATGACGTGAAGAAAGATTTTGATACTCATGAAGGTGGATCGAATGGTTACTACATTCCCTCTACGAGCCTTGGAGCTGATGGTACGCTTGGACCCCCTCTCTGGAATCTGCATGCATCTCAGCAAGACTTGTTCCAAGCCAAGGTGAACTCACTATTAACGTTTGTTTTCCCCGGTGGAATACAGGAATCGCTCCAAGAGCAACAAAATAATCCCAACATATCATCCTGCCTAACGGTCGAAGCCGTCCAGCATTTTCTCGAGCTCTTCCCAAACTACCAGGGTCACTTCCCTTGGCTCCATCTGCCAACTTTCGACTTCTTGACCGCTTATGATGGCCTCATTCTGGTGATGATTTGTAGTGGGGCGGTCTACTCTGACCGCGTCTCCCAGAGCCAGGTTCGAGCTCTCATGCAGCTAGTGAAACAAGGCATTGAACGACATTCGCAGATTCTCAAGGCTCTGGAGTTAGGGTCTGCACCGACGCACTTTTCACCGTCAGGGGTGGAGTTCGAAGAGCTTCTTGCACTACAAATTCTGCAGAGCTTGTTTGTCTGGCACGGAGGCCCAGAGGAACGAGCCCTTGCACGCGCGGAAAGTCGCCGGGTGCTGTACCTGGCCCGACAGTTCAATATGTTGACTCTAGCGGGTCCAGACGACCCCCACACCTACAGTTATCTTCACAGTCTTCAACCGGGTGAGGAGGCCGATCCTTCTTTGTGGGAATGGCGCTCATGGGTGGCTCAAGAAAAGCGATCTCGTCTCATGTTCATGGTTTATCTGTGGGATGCAGCAATGTGTATCTACTTCAACATGGCGCCCCAGTTTCATTCCGCCGAGATCAAGCTCCCTCTCCCCTGCGATGATGCGGCGTGGGAAGCCCCGGACGCCGAGACCTGCGCTCAGGCACTGGGCCTACGAGGCCCGAGTGCGCAGTCGAGGATCAATACCAGCGGCTCACTCAGACTCAAGCAACTAGAAATGCACCATGCAATGAGTGCTTTACATAGCACGTCGGTACTCATGCAGCCACGCACTACCAATGTCTACTCGAAGTTTATTTTGATTCATGCGCTTCATGTGGAAATCTGGCAAGTTCAACGTCAGCGATCGTCGAACTATCAATCAGGCACCACACCCGCTTTCAACCAGACAGACAGTATGTACCAATCCGTCGACCTCGCACTTACGCGATGGAAACAGGCCTGGGACGAGGACTTCGCCCTTCAATATCCACCAGGCGACGGGTTTCACTCAGTTCCGAAGCGGCTCGGTTTCTGCCGTGATGGTGTGCTTTTCTATTGGCTTGCCCGTGCCTTTATGCAACCCGACCGAATGCATGACTGGCAGCTGCCTGCCGACGAGCGACTCCGCCAAGTTCTTTATGGACTCAAAAAGGCGCGGGAATGGAGCAGCACCGACTCCGCGAGACGGGGCGAGGAGCCTGGGAGCGTAGCCTTCATAGACGATGGATATGCTTCTGCAGAGCTTGAGCTTGACATGAGAAGGCTCTTTCGGCCGTTACACACGGTCTCGGACGAATCAACCGTCGCCATTCAATCGTAACGAGCCAAATGAGGGGGAATTTACGACAGCAGGCGATGGAAAAAAGTCGGAGCGCCACTTGATGTTCCGCAGGGTGTGCTTTCAGGCATGCAATCACTATTGAAGACATGAGACAATTCTGGGCGGCGTTCCTGCAACTATCCCACAACCGAAAAGCATTGCATATAGACAGGATCGAGGCTGTGACTGCTTGGAATGATGATCGAGGTGGTGACTGCGATCATTTGGCAGCAAACAGTCAGTCCGGACTTTACTTTTATTGCATGGGTGGCGCGACTTTTTGGCATTTTTATGCGAGGAGACTCGGGTGTATCATTCTTGAATCATGGGACTTGACCGGGCCAATGTCCTTTGTTGTCGGCATTTTAATGTTCCGGGCAATGAGTCCTTGTGGAGATGAGAAAGACAAGACCTCGGGCGGCTTTGACCTTGACGGCGGGAGGGATGTTGGGATTAATTTTGCTTCGGAGTTACGGTCTTGTTTGAAAAGGGTCGATATTTTTCGACAAAGTCATGCCCCATGGCTGGCATTGTTTGCTTTTTCGCACCTGCATTCGGCATTGATACACGGCGTTATGTTTTGCAAGGGACCAAACCTGCTTACCACGGTGGAAGCATCGAGCTTACTACGGTTTGAGCATTTGCCGGTGGAGGGGTTGGTTCTGAAATGGAGTACTTCACCAGCAACCTGCCTGGTTGTGGGTTCGTTGTTGTCGAAAGAGTAAAAGGAAATGTCCTGGAGGCCTTGACACAGGGGTCGGGCCCCAAGAAGACATTGATGCTGGATCAGGCACAAACGAACGCCTCGGCGAAGAAGCCTCAGTCGGGAGAAAAACAGAGAAAAACAGGAAAAAATATCACATCAAAAAAAGCGTTGGTCAGTTTTCCAGAGCACATAGATAGAGGCAAAACGCAACACAATGAGGCATATCTGCCACCTTTTCAACCTAACAAAAAGCAGAACTGAAGCCTTCCCAGTATACCTACCGTCCAGTATCCACGCAGTGAATAGAAGGGGCGGCGAGTAAGGTAGTACGTAGCAAGGCACCTAGGTGCAAGGGAGGTTGGTTATATGGTCCCGATACAGGAAAGTCAAGTGAGTACCCCGGATCTCCACCAGACCTTAGTCTTCCATCTTAATCTAGCCACAGGACTATAGTGGCACCAAGGTCAGGCACGTATAGCCTGGGCCTAGCAAGGTATTAAGAGGAGACATACCCACACCACCACCGCTATCGCCACGGGACCCATGGGGCGGTAATAGAGCTATACTATCGTTCTACGACAGACAAGGGATGGCCTGGTAGACGGATATGTCAGTTTCCGAATTCTGGACCCGTTTTGAGACCCGTATGTCCTTATATAGACTTGTGGCAACGAAGTTTACTATGTAGATAGCATGTTCCGCTCCCTTGAGCATTTGCGGATGTGGACCTGGCACCTGTCCTCCACCTCCACCTCTATCTCTATCTCTTATTATTTTGTGCTGCTGTCTAATGTGATGCAGGACTCCGCCGACTCAGATGCCGCGGTTCTTGTGCACAAATGGCGATCTCCATGGCATTAGATACTCAAGGACGACAAATGTCATACTCCAAGGCGGCGGCCGACAACCCCTCGAGAGTCGACCTTAAGGCTAGATATAGCTGCCATTTTCGTAATGATTCGTCCATCAGATGACGCGGTTGTCCGATTCCATGCTTTCCGTGCCTTTTTCCCCTTCCTTTCTTTTGCTCTTGGCTTTGGACGGCAATATTGCAAACCCTTTTTTCGAGACGCCCACGACGAATTCCCCAATAGGAATATTCAATTGCATTGCAATAACCATTGAATCCCCGTCTCCAACAACCACCAGCTGACCAGCTCATGCAGCCATCTGACAGGCTTCCTTTCTAGAGGCAACACGGCCTCCACATCCCGCCGCTTCCACTGCACCGTTTGCGTAAGGAACAGCGTGTCCTTATCTGTTCTTCTTTGAACGCCGGTCACCAGCCTGCCGTCGATAGGGGGCATTCCTTTGATCGGCAGAGGCACCATGGCAAATTCAACCCTGGCCGCCGTCCGGGCCTGCACACGGTAAATGCCACACACCACGTCTCCCGGGACAAAGTCCAGGTTCTGGATGTGCGCGACATCGAATGTTTGTCCGGCCTTGGCCAGCTCGGAGTTCGACGTGGTAGACTTTGTCCACACGAGGAGTCGCATTAGGAGTGCTTGAGGAGTCCTGGCAAAGCATGCCATGTTTCTCCGCAGATACCGGTTCAACAACTGCTCCGGGTGGTCGGCCAGTGCTGTTGGAAGCTTTGCTGTCGGCACACTTTTCCATGCAATGTCGTGGATGATGTGGAATGCAGACGGCTCTTCGGCCAATTCGGCCGGCAGGGAATCGATGGCGGTCGCCTCGTCGTCGTCGTCGCCCTTCTCTTTCTCCACCTCGAGGTTCGGTAGTCCGAGGCCCGAAGAATGTTTGATCCTGTGTGAGAGACTTTGGTGCAGAGAGATTGTATACAGGATCCCAGAGCTACCGGCCACGACGAGGGCCGTGAGGACGAGATTGTGTGCCATTCCTGACTGCCGGTGTACAGAAAGGGGCGTGTATACGACCTTACCTAGTTATGTGCAGGGGAACAAGGAAGATCGGTGGGAGGATTGTAGGGTATTATTGACCAATCTTTGTATTTCGGCACAAACTTACATGCTGTTCCTGTGAAGCAGGCTTCTCTCGAGCTTCGACAAGTTTCGGACAAGACAGCCTGGTCTTGGGTAGCTGTGGTCGGACCCGAATACGAGCCTCCAAGTCTGGGCTCTTCTTGCCAATTCGTGCCGGTAGTAGATTATTGGAGGATGGTACTAGTAGTGGCATTCTAACCAGTGTTGAAAAGGGGCAACTTTACCGACGCGTAGCGTTCAAGTTCGGGCGCGTTGGACTCTCACACGGGCAGTACACACGCGTTAAGTGCTTGCATGGCAGTCGCACTGCAGATGAAATGCCAGTGAGATTGACGGCGCTTTTCACGGTACTATCACCCTGGAGAATCAGCATTCGATTCTGAAGCGCCCATTTCAATCGTGCACCATGTTTGCGTAGTCGGCGAACGAAAGCAATGGAGTCGTTCGATGCTTCTCCCCGCGCGTCCAAACGCAGGCGGACAGGCACATATGCGACCAGACGAACGACTTTGAACACCCTCTCCGCCGACCCAGTCGATGGCCCGGGGGACACGGCTCAGCAAACTGCGAATTTATTAGAAGGTGACATATATCCCGCCTCCAATGGGTCTATGGAAGAGGCAGGCACAAATGAGGGCGTTGATGGCGAAGAGAAGGGGACTGCAGCAAAGCCTCATCCACCCTCACAAGTTTCACAAGGCCAGGACATTGAAGGCTCAGCAGATGGCTTGGACAACACTGGACAGCAAAGCACCCGAAAGAGGCGCAGAGACAGTACAAGAGCAAGTGCCGCATCTCCACCGCAAGAGGTTGCCCAGCTCAATGATAATACTACTGGGGATCACGATGATGAAGACCAAACAGGCCAGGATGAGACTCCTGCAAAACAAGGTCCAGCTGCTGATACACAGCTCCGGTCCAGCGGACGTCTGAGACGACCGCCTTCGCGGTATACATCGCCGCAAGCGTCTACCGGCACTTCGGCTTCAGCAGGCTCACACAAGCAGCCCGCACAACGGAGGGGTCGGCCCAGATCTAAGCCTACTGTGGCCTCGTTGCCGGACGCCATTGACGGGGCCGCTGAAGCTGCATCGCCTATACCGAAAGGCATTCTTACGCCCTCCCGACATGGGCTAGACAAGAGAATCGGGCCTCGCAAATCAGTGGCGTTTGATCAAAACGACAAGCAGATAGAGGAGCAGTTCGGATTCAAGGACATTGATAGCTCGAGCACAAAGCAGAAAAAAGCCAAATCGCCACGCGCATCCGGAGCGCCTACTGGCGAACACCTCGCTCCCCAAAAGGTCACAACATCGGAACAGCAGAAAACGGCAGCCGAGGCACCAACTGCTGGAGAGCTTGGCGACACTACGGAGCAATGCGATAATGATGGGGATGATGAGGATGATCTGACTTTTGATATGGCGTCCGACATGGTTGAGATGCTGTCTTTGTCGACGAACCCGTCGTTGTTGCAGCAACAATCACGAAACCTAAGCTCCTCGGGAGCTTACTACAAAGAGGATGAAGACAATGCGTGCACCACAAGAATCAAGACGGAGGTCATCAGTCGGATGAATAATCGTACACTCGGACCCATGTGCCAGCTCGAATCCCAATACAACACCCTGCACGCATTACTCATGGCGACAATTACGGCTGGGGAGTCAAACTCTCTTCTCCTTCTGGGCTCCCGTGGCAGCGGTAAATCACTGCTTACAGAACATGCAATTGCCGACTTGAGGAGGTCATATGGTGATGAGTTCCACGTTGTTCGGCTGAACGGCTTCTTTCAGACCGACGACAAGGTCGCCCTCCGCGAGATTTGGCGACAGCTAGGTCGCGAGATGGCTGTGCCCGAAGACGAAACTGGAGAGGTCTCCAGCTACGCAGACACGATGGCAAGTTTGCTGAGCCTGCTTTCGCACCCCGAGGAGTTTGCTGTCGTCGACCATGACCATGTCCATGGCCATCAACAAGAGGAAGAAGGTCCACTCAGAACCGCCGCTAAGAGTGTGATTTTTATTCTTGACGAGTTCGACCTCTTCACCACGCACCCGCGTCAGACGCTATTGTATAACTTGTTTGACATCGCCCAGGCTAAGAAAGCGCCTATTGCTGTCGTCGGTTGCTCCTGTCGTATGGATGTTGTCGACTGTCTGGAAAAGCGGGTCAAGAGCCGGTTCAGCCATCGTTGGCTGCATGTGTCTGGTGTGAAAACTCTGAGTGCTTTTACAGATGCCGTCGCCACGGTTCTGTGTGTCCCTGTAGAAGGTAAAGAAGCCCTTGGTGTGACGGCAGAGGAGCTCGAGTGGAGAGCAAGATGGAATCAGACCATAAAGGTGAGTTCAACAAACAAGATGGCTTTCTCTTGGCCGCGAAATAAGTCTCGAAATGGACCACGACTGACAGGAGACCGTGACATAGACTCGACTTCTCCCCGCGCCGGCGTGCCAAGTGTTGCTCAAGCAAATATTCTACACCACCAAATCAATTCCTGATGTCCTTATGGCTCTATACCACCCTGTCGCCTTGTTGGATGTACCTTCGGAGAGTGGGGATATACCAGCCCGCAACTCGCAAGATGTGACAACACTCATTCTAAATGAGGCAACAACCTTGTCGTCTCCGCCATCACTTCTCACACTGCTCCCGCACCTACCCACTTTGCATCTCACCTTGCTCATCTGTGCCGCTCGACTTGAGACAATCCATGACCTCACGACCTTGAATTTCGCAATTGTGCATGCCCACTACACCGAGCTTCTCACGCGGTCGAAAATGCAACGTTCCGTCTTGTCATCTTTGACCAGGGGTGGTGCTGTCACTGGCGCTGCTCTCAGATCGTGGAGCAAGGAGACGGCACGTGCGGCATGGGAGGAGCTGATGCAGTGGGATTTTCTTGTGCCAGTCAGTGGGCTTGCTGGAAGCGGGACAATTGGAAAGCTATCTGATGAAGCCTTAGGCGGCGACGGCGCAGTTACCAAGCTGGTCCGGGTGGATGTGACACTCGATGAGGTCGCTTGGGCTGTCAAAGAGAAGTTGGACAGTGTCGGCCCCGGCGAAATATTGGAGAAATGGTGCAAAGAAGTCTAGGCAGCTGCATAGCTACAGCCTGCGACGTGGTGAAAAGGCCGATGGCTGGGCTTGAAACCGCCAAAGCTGCCGCCTGGGTTGAGAATAGCGGTGTTTGCCGCATGAAGCATGATGTAGCCAAGGTCTTGACACCGCTCGGGAAATTGTCGTAAGCTGGTCGCACGGCATGAGACATTGCTTCTGGCTGGTTTCAACTGGCCGCAAGGGCTTGTTATCCAGAGTGTCGCATGGCCGGGGTTATGACCGGGGCTATGGCACAGACCATCAGCGACTCCGTCCTGCAGTCTTTTCCATATAGTCCATGAATGGGAGACGGCCTGGAACGTCGCTCAAGGTGATGGCCAAGGTTAGCGACGCCAGGGGCGGTAACGGCGGCAGATGGCAGAGCCAATAATGGCCCTGCCGGACAACGCATACACCACAGCACACATGGGGGCGTGACTCCTGCTCCATGCGTTACCTAAACTAGTGTCTTTGCTGCCAGCCAGATTTCTGACACGTCAAGAGTCTGCACTTCCCGCTCAGGGTTCGGGCGTTCAACGGGACGAGTAACTCCTAGAATAAGGCCGTGGCTAGTTCCGGGCACCTTCCAGCTTGCCGAAAGTACCAGTCTGGCCGAGGGGCAGGCGTCCTGCAAGCACGGAGCTGCAGCAAGTCCGCAAGCATTCGCGCTAGAGGACTTCACGGCGCCTAGGGCAAACGCATGTATGCTGCTTGCCAGTGTGGCACCCTTGGGTTGTTCTGGATGGAAGAGCAGAGGCCATCTCCAAGGCAATGATCTGACGATGCCCTGCGGCGGAGGAGGTTATCTGCGTCAGATCGAAGTGGCAAGCGGCCGAGCTCCCTGGCACGACGAAAGTGAGCTGCTCGTCTGGATGAGGGCCGGATTGAACTGGTGCCAGTGGATGGGACCGATCAGTGGCAGCGCAAGGATAGAGTCGCCATACACCAGGAACTGCGCCTGCGATTCAAGTTCAACTCCACGAAACAGAGTTCCACCGAGTCGCTCCTTCCCTCGGTGCCGGTCCGTCTTTGGTGCTGCTTTAGCTTGCCCTCCGTCGAACTCTATTCTGTCTTCATCAACACTGGCAGTCAACTTGAACAGCTCTCTTTCTCTTCCAACCCGGTTTCTCTTCTTCTCTCCTCTTACTCCTTCGCATGGACCGCCCCTCCGTGGCCTCGTTCCTCCTGTCGAGGTGAGGTACTTGACCGTCGTCTTGCGAATACGTTACTTGCCCTGCCATGAGTGATGATGGTGATTTGGCTCAGGCGCTTTCTGCGGCCGGTCAGTGGGACCTACAAATCACCCACAGCCTACTGTAAAGCTCGTGACTTGGCTGTCAGTCCTGTCAATCTGAGATATAGCACTCAAGGCCCAGCTCAAAAGTGCTCTGCAGCCTTGCTCCTAAATATTGCGCGAAAACAACCATGCAGCGACCAAACGACATCACCGCACGAGAGCATGGAGTCTCCGTTTCTGGGCTGAGCGCACTTTTTGACCATCATGCTGTTGGCTTCTCCATGCGCGGTGGATTCGGTAACTGGCTGGTCAGCGATTTAACCATTCACCCTACCGGGAGACGAACCGTGGATCAGCTTGAATCTTGGGACAACGACATGCCCACCTTGATGTAGGTGCAAATGGGGTACTGTGCAAAAGTGTCCTTTGGCATTGGGATTCCAACGGATACTGCCTCGTGCCATTGTTGTTCACTTGGACGACGTTCATCCAACCTGAAAACTGGAACATGGTTGGCTGACACAGAGCCGCATGCGGGCGTTGTGCCCAGCAAATCGGCCTTTCTTATCTTTTTGGAGCTTCACTCAATCAGGTCACTTCTTACTGTGGTCAACAGCATGCATATGTGCGCCTATGGCTGCTTACATTAGTGAAGTTGCCGAGTATCAATGTTGGAAGGCTCTCAGGCTATGGGACTGCAGCACATGCAACCAACGCAGCTAGGGGATCAGAGCCAACGACAAGAGAGATGTCTGGGGAGGCATCGATATTATTCCGTTTCCCCGACCAATCCAGGGACATCCCAGGGCATCAAATCATACTGGTGCGAATCGCAGAAGTCGACTCACCAATGCTTGAGTCCATCACTCTGCCCGCTGATAGTTTGGCGCTCGTGTCGCCTTCACAGCGAGCAATGAGGGACACTCGGTGCATGCATGGGAAGACTAGCATGATTCTGTCCCCACGAGTTTGCATGACCACAGCCAAACGCGCAACAGGGGAATGCCATTGTTGGCAGGCACCATATGAGGCTGGATGGGAATGCCGATATTGCCTCCTTAAAGTCCGATGCCTCCGCAAGAGGGCTCGTCGACTTTCTTCTGCCTTATTTTGATTTCCCGCTGCTAGCAGAAAAGATTCAGATACTGTGGAAACAAATTATATGGCAAAATCAAGACCAGTCCGAGGTTTTCAAGCTACGAATGCTGGAGCCCAGCCAATTATCAAAGGTTTGACTACCGCTTCGATGCATAGTCCTCGTGCTGTGGTGCTTTAGCTGTACCACATGAAGTTCTGACAATCCTTGATAGTACCTGGCAACACATCCCACCCCCGCGGGTCAGCTTACGGCATACCTGAATCCATCACCAGTCAATTGGAGCGGTCCACCCTTCTTCCTCGATTGAACGATCTGTGCCCAACAGTGGCACAGGGAACAATGAATGCACACAGACTTCTTGGAGCTCCCAAGATCAATTCTAAAGGGAACAACAAGCCTCCACCGCCTCGACCCCCTCCCAAGCCGCAGGAACCACCGCCGTTACCTGGAGTCTCATGACCTCCTTGCGATGGTTTGTATTCGGGATGCTATTGAAAGCATTCCACCATGTTGGCAGTGATTAATGCGTGGGATGGCAGAGCCTGGCAGAGGCAATGAAACATTTCTCTTCGGGTCGAGATCAGCAATTCCTCTGCTCTCAATTTGGATTGCAAGTCATGCTCCGTTGAGGTACTAGTCAGATGAAGATGTGAGGTATTCTTCACTCTTCTGCCGCCATCGGCAATGCCATATGTTACCCGAATTCTACCCTCAAGAGCATGTTCCTCGCAACCTTGCACCTTCTGGATTGGGTGCTGTCGGCGAACTAAGCATTGGCACAGCCAGATGGTAGGGTAACAACGAGGTCAAAGATTGTGGGCGGCAGATTTTGGGCACGCATCTATAATGTTTCATTCGCAGCCTCGAAAACACTGTCTAGATTACTTCTGAAGCCTCCTGTGGCAGAAGGGGACGGGCTCTACTTCATTGCTCTACCTCATACCTCTGGTCAGAGGAGCCGAGCATGGAGAAATGCCGGTGACTTTGTGAAAGGGCGACCGCTCGGCCGTGCATGCACCGTGCATGTCAGATGAATGATTCGCCCACGGAAACTCCGCAGAGGGACTAGGGTCCTGTCCTTTGCCCCGATAGATCGACAGATCAACCTCGAGGAGAATCCGCCGACAGTTTGGCCGCCGACAACTTGAAAGTGTGTGACTCGGAACAGAATAAGCAGTGTCCCTTCCCAGCATACAGTATATTAAAGTGTCACCACCTTGACCTCAGTGGTTGGGCTATGGGAGCCGTGCGTTGGTGCGGCCTCCTTCAGGTTGTATCTTGCGCTGACCCAGGGAAAGGTACACGTAAGTGACTACCACGCAGCGAGTGCCACAGACTGGGAGGGCACAGGAAGGGGCTGGCGGTAAAAGATTGAACAGGACTCTGCCTCACCACCGGTTGGACTAGTGACGCCCATGGACACCACGAGTGGACGCCTCGTAATAATGGGCTACGCGGGCCAGGGCACGCTCGATAAAAGGTGCTGGAAAGGGCAGGTGGTTTTGGAAGGCAGACATGCCGAGAAAGACTTCGCATGCAGTCAGTTGGGCTGAAGACTGCCGAGATGTCGTCGTCCAGACTGTCGTTGTAGTTGTAATTCGAGCCAGGCTTGAACGCCTTTTACAAGGAAGGGTTCGTAGAGAAGAGAAGGTGGTTTGACAACTAGTAGGTACCTGCTACCAGTAGTACCGAAGTCGAGCAGACGGAAAGAATGGCAGGCGGAGTCAGTCTGGGATTGAAGCTCGAGTTGTACTGCCGCTGCTGCCACCTCTACTAGTAGTCGAATCTTGGATTGCAGAGGCTTGCAACTTGAAGCGATCAGCGGCGCAGCGCAGTTTTGGAGGGGCAGCTTCATCGACGCCAACCACTGCGGGCACTGCACACCACTGCAATCAGACACTGCATATCACGACCAACGCCAACTTGAACGCCAACAGCGCAGTTCCCTCACCAGCTAATAAAACTTGAAAGTCATCACAACCCCCCAAAAGTGCACCGCACAGGTGCACCGTACTATTTAGCCTAGTACCTACAATGTACAGTACCTAACCTACCAGGTAGATACCTTGGTATCGTCCTGTGCCTGACCCTTTCGTCTTCGACCTTTGCTCTCATCCGCCTCCCGCCTCCTGCCTCCATCCACATCAGGACCGGGTCTAGCAGCACCATCACCACCATCACCCAGTGTCTGCCCTGTCGCCTCGCTAGGCATCTCACCATTAATCAGCGTCACGTCTCTCTTCCCTCTAGAGCGGCTATCATGATATCACCGCCTCACAAGGATGAATGGTAAACTGACTTGCTCAGGCCTCCATCGTACAGCCCCTGGTTGTCACCTGCATGATACAGTACTTCGTTCTGCTTTTCGGTGCCTTTCGGCGTTGTTGCTCTGCTTCTCATTCCCACGTCGGTCCTCCTGCATAACGGCCAAGCACATCACACGTATCCTGGTATCGGGACCAGGGCGGTTCCCCTACACATAATGCGCGCATCCTCTCATTTTCCACCCGGCGGTTACACAACGCCCAGTCCCTCCGTTTCGCAAGTCCTTTCTACCCTATTCTTCTCAACCTTCCCTCCTCGACCCATGCCCCAGAGCCAGGGCCGGGCGGTTTACAAGAGGCGGGAGAGTCGCCTACCAGACCAATACCCTGGTTGCTCTGGTTCTTGACTTGGTTTGCTCTATGCGGGGCAACCCGGCATCGCTGCTGTTCGAAGGATCTGACAGGTCAGACTTGATTGTCAGCATCAGAGATACAGTGATCTATTTTGCACTATTCCCCTTCCCGCCTCTTCTTGCCGTGCTTACAGTCAACTTGCGGGTCTGTCTAATCATTGTCCGAGTTGTGCCATGCTTGAACCCATAGCTTCGGGTCGCGCCCGGGACAAGATTGAACTTATTGGCAAAACCCAGCCTGTGTTATCCTACAAGGGCGTTCAAGCTTATATAGCGTCGTCGTCTGTGCGTCCTTTTGGGAGCCTGCTATGCTTGAACAACCTGATCACCCGCATCAGCCCTTCTTTTTGGTTTACATCCCATTTCTAAACACCGAACTTCTGGAGTTGGGAACGGAAAGTCCCATACAGAGCCAAGGTGGTGTGTTTTCTCCGCGTAATGGCCAAACATCCTTCCAAGGAGGACTGGGAGGAGAAGAAGGCTGTGATCCGCCAAATGTATTTGTACGAAAACCGTACTTGCGCTCAGGTGCAAGACTACCTCCAAGAACACGGCTTCCACGTAAATACCCGCCAGATCAAAAACAAGTTGAACGAATGGGGTTTCGAGCGCAAGAAGACCCGGGCGGAACAATACCTGGCCATGTTGTATGTGGCTAACATCTATGCAGCCCATGGATCCGACGTCATCTTCAACGTACCCAAGCGGGAAGAAAGGCAGGACTACAGCACGAGAAAGATTAGAAAAGAGTGTGACCGTATCAGAAAAAAGCGTGATCGCGATCGACCCCTGTCCGAGCCACAAACTCTGGGAGAGGCCCAGAAGATATTGGTGGAGGCCGATATTGAATGCAGAGGAACATCTGGCCCCAGGAGTCCAGATCAAGGCCGTCAGCGTATCACCAGCAGCCATGGATGCTCTCCCAGGGAAATAACATTCGATTTCCGGCGTGCCGACAGTCCCGATATGCGAGCCCTCATCGCAGATATCAATCAAAGTGATGCAGCGAGTGGAACAGGAACACCCGTGTCAGTTGAAGCTATGAGGGATTCTCGAAAACATTGTGGATCTGAGAGCTCTGTTCGGTCATGTTCTAGCCAGCGAGAACATAAAGTGAACGCAAGCAAATGGGTTAAGCCATATTATACGCAGTGTTTTGCAACCCCCGTCAGCAAAGGCACATTTGAAGGCCGGAAACGCCAGGCAATGCAAATCCTGGACTCGATTCTGAAGCAGGACAACCCATACATCTTTCCAACACTTGCCGAAATGGTCATGATATTCGGATCCAATCAACGGACCGGCGAGTTGGCTGAATTCTTGTCCGACAGCTGTTCTGTCATCGACGCTTGCCAGGGCTCGCGCGGGAGTTTCACGTATGCCACGCCCTTCCGATACACGTTGGCCTTCACCAAGGAGAACCAAAACCTAATGAGACAGTACGGCGCTCAATTGCATCGTTCAATGACAGAGATACGGCAGATCTGGGGAGAGGAGCACCCAAATTTCCTGGTCAATGCCAACTTCTGTGCATGGCACTGGATGCAGAACCTGGACTACCATCTGGCCATCCCATTGTTGAGACACTGTTTGCCGATTTGCGAGCGTGTCATGGGACCCTGTAGCCTCGTGACGATCAATTGCCTGGTCATCACGTCGCGTGCTCATGCCGAGGTCCGTAACAATGTTTGGGCACGGCACTGTCTTGAAACGGCCATGTTGCGCATCGACGGTGAACGTGAGGACCTCGAACAGTTCCGTCTCGTCCTCCTGCACAGATTGGGGGAACTGAACATGCAGACGGGCAACTACCAGGCCACCGAGATGCAGTTCTGGAAAGTCCTGCAAGATCGGGCACGGATATGTGGCCTCGACGCTGAAGCAACTTGGTCCGCGGCCCACAGTCTTTGCGAACTCTTTGCGACCACGGCCCGAGGAGATCTTGCTGCCGAGCTGCTCGACTATATGAGGGACCGTTTGGAGTGGGTGAGCATCCGCCGCGCATACTACCTTGGCAAGACCGAAACTGGTTGTTCTGGGGAGCCTCCCGTTCCGCCGTGGTGGTGGCCGTACGGAACAGAAGATGATTGAGGCTGGCAAGACGCTCAATTTCTTCCCCTCTCCTCCCCAATAAGTCTTCCGACACCACGGTCTGTCTCAGAGATTGCGCCAAAGAACCTAGTTCAAGTTAATGTATTCGCATCGGAGGTTCCGGGATGGTGGCTCGGTCCTGCGAATGCAAGCATTGAGCTTGCGCTTTCGGTGGTTTCTCACTTCTTTCTTTGCAATCCAAAACGCCCTCGGGGTTTAGTTGCGTTCCCTTACCCCATCGTCTTCAGGACCGTCTGAATTATCCCCTTCTCTCGGACTTTGTATACAGGCTTTGACCCTGAATCAACGAGTGCAAACGCCGTCATCATGTCATACCAGGCCCAGACAGTGTTGGAGAGGTTTTGTCACCAGCGAGCGAGCATGTGGTTGGCCGTGGCAGGACCAGTGGGCGAGGTGGGCGATAAGCAATCCGATACAAGTCCTCTCACACATGTTTTGTTGCACCAGGTCTTGGTCGGACCTTCAAGTTATGTTATGCTATGCTATGCTGCGCTCTGCGGGGGTATTTTCTGCTCTGCTATCTTTGGGGTTTCAGTTGCACGAATAACAGCACGAAGTGCGAGTATACCCTCTGTGAATTTTCCCTTTTGGTTGCACAGGAGAGTCAAGGCGTGGTTGACGGTTTGAGCTTATTGGCCAGGTTAGGTACTTTTAACATACTTTAATAACAGTGATTGAGCCGCACCAGGAAATCGCGTAGGAAATCTATGTCACGTTCCGGGGAAGTGGCAGTGAGCGACTTCTATCTCTGCTTCTCCCTCTTCTATTTCTGAGCGGCATCGACCACATTGGAATCGATGTGCACAACAAGGCTGCGTACGAGTTGTCGGCGGTTGCTTTTCTGCTGGGCATCCAAAGTCACCATGCGCAAAGACAGTGGGCTCGGCACCGGCATTGCCACGGGCATCGACAGATTCTATCCGTCTCTGTCGTTGAGGGGTGCCTTTGTACCGAAGGTCAACAACACACGGCGCCAGTTCAAGGTCAACTTTGGCTTTCCACCGACATACAAGAACGACAGAAGGGCGGCCAAGCCCGAAACGGCCGCGACCGCCGCGTTCATGTCGGCGTATCCGATGCGGTCGCGGAGGGCGCCGCTGACGACCGGACCGATGGTCAAGCCGGCGCTGAAGACGACGGAGTTGAACGCATAGAGCTGAGCGTAGGGCCCGTTCTGGCCGAAGAGAGCCGAGTTCGCCTTGGCGTACTTTTGCATGACGGCGCTGGCCTCGACGATGCTGGGGGATCCGATTGCAGCCAGACCGATGCCGTTGAGAGCCAGTAGAGCGCAGTAAGCGATGATCTTGTTGTGGTTGTGATTCTGGTCGACTTGCATGGTGGGAAGACGGAGCAGGATGAGCGTGGGGACGAGATACCCGAATCCGAGCACTGAGGCCGGCTTTGTGCCGTACTTGTCGACCGCCCAGCCTGCAATAGGCCCACAGAGCAGGTACGGAATGTCGAGGGCGATGAACAAAAGACCGGCTTGCAGCGAGTCGAAGTCGAAGAGACTTTGGGCCTCGGTCGGGATGGTTGCGTCAAACGTGGCCAGCAAAAAGGCTTGGACGAAGGCAAGCAGTAGAGCCACGAGGAGGCGTGCGTCGCCAAGACAGTACAGAATGGGCATGGCTCGAATTAATCCGTTCTGACTCTCTGGAGGAATAAAATAATGACAAAGGTCGACGTCGTCGTCGTCATCATCATCATCAGCTCCTCCTCTCCCTCGCGCCTTTTTGGGCAACAGGGCATCTTCCTCGCTGCTGTCTTTGTTGTTGCCATTGTGCGAGCGGATACCAATGCCCCTTGTTCCGTGACGGGTACTACCTCGCTGATGGACACCTCTGGCGCGTCCGGGGCTAGCACTCATTGTTGCAGGGTCTTGGTCCTGGGACTCTGGTGAACTGACATTGCCATGCTCCTCTTCGTACTTGACTGCGACTTTCGTCTCGACCACTAATACCCGCAGAAGGAAATCGACAGCGAGTAATGCCGAGCCCAGACCGAAAACTCCAAGATAACCCGTTTTCCGATACAGAACTCCGCCTAGGACAGGGGCTGCAAGCTCGCCAACAGAAATGAAGGAGAAAATCTGAGGTATTGTATGCCAGAGTCAGTCTCTCATTATTCATGCTCCGAGTATCACAACACACGGCAACGCAGAGGTAACACATGCGATGTGGGAGTGGCTTCAGGATACTCTGGATGGTTGATCACTGATATGGGAACGTACCGATCCGATCACTTTTCCAAGATGGTTCGGTCCGACAGTGTCCAGCACCATAGCCAACCCGACCGTCCAGACAACTGCGGCACTGGTGCCTTGGAGAATCCTCGCCACAACCAGCATGGCGATGTTACGGCCAAGGGCCAACATGAGCGTTGCGGCCAATAAGGCAGCAAGGCCGCACAGGAAGGGAGTCCGGCGCGCGTTAGTCCTGTCGGCGACAATACCCACGGGAATTGAGAAGATGACACTAGCACCTGCATAGGCGGCCAAGAGGCCAGAGACGTAGGATTGGATCTTGTCATCAGCGAGGCCCATTCGCTCTTTGAGCATGAATGGCAGGATTGGGACGACTAGGCCATACAGAAACAAGTCCGTGAACATACCGACTGCCACGGTGGTGAGGATGAAGAGGCTGTTGGCACGCCATCGGAGGCCTAGAGGACGTTTAGGGCCCGATGATCGCATGACGCCCGCGCTGTAATGGTTGAAGAGTACCGCGGTGCATAAAAGGAGAAGCTGAAGCGAGTTGTGGTGCAAGAGAGTTAGGGTGCCATCTTAGAACCGTAACAATGTTAACGATACCAATAAAATAGTGGCGTCTAGTTCGACACAATCGTTCGAAATCGTCGCAGTAAAGGTGTTGATACAATTACTATTGTGGTGGTGATGGTAATGAGGGTGATGGATGTTGTTGCATCGTACCTGCAGTTGGGTTTGATATAAACCATGACCTCATTAATTGTGGACCCCAGCCTTGCACAGCCTTGCGCTCCACAGGCATCCCATACAAACACCACGGACATCAGCCTCAATTTTGTGGAGTGCTGTTGTGGTCCATAACAGTCTCCGGTGAATTAGGGTTCGCAGATGGTTGGTTTGGATCCAAAAGAGAGCCTCTGAATGGAAATAGCTCATGTACTTAGCAACAAACTGAGCAGCACTTTACACTGCAAAGACGGAGGCTGCCGATTCGCCATATTCAGGGCTGTCGATATATGGCATCGGCCATCTTCGTCACTTGTACCATTTCTTTCACATCGTGGATTCGCACAATCTCAGCACCTCCCTCGATACTGGCAGTCACCGCCGCAGCCGTGCCATAGCTTCGTTCAGTCGCCTCTTTTACCCCGGTTATCTTTCCAATGAAGCCTTTGCGACTTGGTCCCATAAGCCAAGGGAATTGTTTTAGGGGAATGGATGTGTCAGAATGCTCTCTGAGCTCTCGTAAGCTGCGGAGTAACTCGAGATTCTGATTCTGGTCCTTTGCAAATCCCAACCCCGGATCCAGGATGATGCGCCACGGTGGGATCCCAGCAGCTAGCGCAGCTTCAACGCGGCTACTGAGCTCTTGTGCGACGCCCGTGATAACTCCTTGCGGGTAGTCGGTCAATTTTGTCATTGTATGCGGGTCGCCCCTCATGTGCATAAGGACAATGGTCTTTCCCAAGCTGGCAACGGTAGGCAGCATCCGCTCGTCCAACAACCCCGCCGAAACATCGTTTACAATGTCAGCACCGGCAAGGATGCTTTCTCGGGCCACTGTCGAGTGGAAGGTGTCAATGCTGATGGCAAGCCGTTCGGTTTCCTTCATGTCACGTAAAGCACGGATGATTGGAAGGATCCGCTTGAGCTCCTCTTCCGGCCCAAGATACTCTGCTCGAGGACGTGTGCTTTGGCCGCCGATATCGATGATCGTGGCGCCCGAAGCGACAAAATTTTGCACGGTCGATCTAATGGTCTCAATATCCGCGGCGGCGTGGACACCCCCATCTGAGAAGGAGTCAGGTGTGAGGTTCAAGATGGCCATGACATGGGTTTTGCGGGTCGCGTCTTGCGTACGAAGAAGCGGTAGTTGAGGGTTTAGAACGAAAACAGGAGACATGCTGCTGTCTCTCTCTGGGAGCGCTCCGAGGAACTGGGAGATCGGCCGCGCCGAAGCTGCTGATGAGTTGCTCAAGGGTACATGTGCATTAGGGAGGATACTAGTCGCCGGTCACGATCAGTGTATCAGAGAATGTGTCAACGTCGCCGACTTACTCTGCAAGAGGTCTTAGCACAAACTCCCTTTCCAGCATTAGTTTGTGGGGCACCTCGAGCCTGGGGTGTTTGATCCGCTCTTGGTTGTACAGGATGATGTCTAAGTCGATAGTCCTTGGCCCTTTGTCGATAATACGCTTTCTGCCCAGGTCGTTCTCGATGGTTTGCAACAAATCCAGCAGTGGCAACGGCTCCAGAGCCGTTTCAATGAGACAGACACCGTTCAAGAATGGGTCTTGATCGTCATAATACATGGGCTTCGTTTCATAAAGATGGCTTAGCTTGACGATTTTGAGCCCTTCACTTTTCATCCTGGTCAATGCTGCTTCGATGGTTGCAATCCTGTCCCCTAAGTTGCTGCCGAATGCCACCGCAACTTTGTTGGCCACGACCGCAGCCGGGTCTGGAGTCTTCATCCGCGGCATCGAAAGATGAAAAGGTCTGGCCGGAGAAAGTGTCTTTTTGGGATTTTTTGGCCTAGTCCCAGTCTTGCCAACAACAGAGTTGAACGGCGGTCCTGCACATTTGCTACAATAGAACCGAAGTGCAGGCCATTTGACTGGGTTAGTAGGATTGTTACGTCCACGATAGATAGTAGATATAGGTTCCCAAGTCAACGTTAATCGACGGCCTTGGCTTTGGGCAAGCCTGAAAAAAGTCATCAAGTACGCAAAATATGCTCCAAGTGCCGTGGACGCGTAGCCCTTCTCTGACTTCTGGCTGGTGAAGGTACAAGGGACTCGAATTTCAAAATGAGAGGTTAGGCGAGGCGTTGAACCAATTGATACCACACAGCAAAAGTCCGCTGCCAGTGGCAGTCTGAGTGGCAGGATCTGATATTCATTTTAGCGAGGAGATCGGGTCTAACCGCCTTTAGAATCGGGTCTTGCTCTTCACTCTCAGACTCGGAATGTTAGCCGAGCACAATTTGCGGGGAGCAGAGCAGCCTGAGGTGCTTCCCAGCAGCCGTCGGAGTCTGTCTTTCCAAGGTTTTGTATAATATGACTTGAACATGATGCGGCGCCAAATTCCAGAGGGGTGGACTGTGAAGAAGCTCTCTTACAATGGAATGAGTGATACCCTACAACAAACCAAAGGCGAGACTGACCCGCAGTAATAATCGACCTGTCTCACCACCTGTGTTCATGTGGCATGTTAAGTACCCCGGACGGTGGACCTGGGGTTCACTTCATCACTGCACGCTGGCAGAGATGCCTCGGTACTTTTCCAAACAAATACCAGACATGCCTTGACACCACATCGTCCTCCGCTTCTGCTTATGCCAGCCGCCCTCCCCCGTTCTTCTATTTCTTCAGTTAATAAATCACGTACGCCTTCTCATTGAAGTGGTCTTGATCACCCTCCCACGAGACTTGTCCCCCGTCCTCTTGATCTCGAGAACCACGGTGTTTACGAGAAACCGCTTCCCACCGCCTGTGACTATCCCTCTCAATCCACGCCATCCGCACGACTAGACACGATGTCGTCCCCTCAGAAACTCAGAACAACCGCCACCGATTTGCTCGGGATCAAGCATCCGGTGCTGCTGGCCGGCATGAACGTTGCAGCTGGACCAAAATTAGCCGCCGCAGTGACCAATGCTGGGGGTCTGGGTGTCATTGGAGGTGTAGGTCTACCAAAACAAGTACATATGACCCTAGCATATTCTAATATGCGCACAGGTTGGGTATACTCCGGATATGCTTCGCGAGCAGATCGCCGAGATTAAGAGTTACTTGAACGACAAGAACGCCCCTTTTGGTGTCGACCTTCTTCTTCCCCAGGTCGGTGGCAGTGCACGAAAGACAAAGTGAGATAATATATCAGGCCGCTATACGGAGATAGCCACTGACACAGGCTCAGCTATGACTACACAAAGGGGAAACTCAACGAGCTGGTTGATATCATCATCGATTCTGGCGCTAAACTCTTTGGTGAGTCTCCTTCCTCGAAGCCTTGCATGGTATGATCATGATTGTAATTCCTCAAATTTAGTTTCTGCCGTCGGTGTCCCTCCAAGGGCCGTCGTGGACAAACTGCACAAGAACGGGATTTTGTACATGGTGAGTCGCCATCTTTGTGCACTTCTCGTTAACGCTTGAAGTGTGACCCCTTGGAAGCTTGCCGAAGAAATCTATGAGCAGTTCAGACTTGACGCACGAGGAACATCACTTACTGCTTTCTAACATGATGAAGATGAACCCTGGACTAACTGGCATTGTGATTAGAATATGATTGGTCACGTCAAGCATGTGAAGAAGTGCCTAGATCTGGACGCCGACTTGATCTGCGCCCAAGGAGGCGAGGGTGGTGGCCACACAGTGAGTATCTTGCCTCTGAGGCCGACTTTGGTCGACCACCATTCTGACACGGATACAGGGCGATATCCCAACCAGCGTGCTCATTCCTGCCGTTGCCAAAATTTTGGCTGATGCCCCACCCTCGAAATTTACTGGCAAACCAGTGCAACTTATAGCAGCCGGTGGAATGTTCAATGGACAATCTCTTGCCAGCGCTCTGATGCTAGGTGCGTCAGCAGTCTGGGTCGGCACTCGGTTCGTCCTGTCCAAAGAGGCCGGTGCTTCCCAGGCACACCAAGAGGCTGTCCGGACCGCAGGCTTCGATGACAATGTACGCACCATCATCTTCACTGGACGGCCACTCCGCGTTAGAAATAACGAATACATCCGCAACTGGGAAGAAAACCGACAGGCTGAGATCAAGGCTCTGACTGAGAAGGGCGTCATTCCGGTACGTATCTCCCATTGAGTTTTACGAGGCGCTCGTCAGTCCAGGTGGCTAACTTTCCTTGCGTCCATAGGTGGAGCATGACTTCGAAACGAAAGGCGACGACTTGACTGACGAGGACATGGATAACGCCCGCCCTTTCTTGATGGGCAAGGCCGCTGCTATCGTGAACGAGAAGAAATCGGCACGAGAAATTGTCGACGAGTTCGTCAACCAGGCAGTTGAATGCTTGCAGAAGGGGAACGCATTGATCGTTTCGCAAAGCAGACTATAGCTCGTATCATAGGGTTGTGGCTTGCTAGGACATGGCTAAATATATGTCTTGACCACAAACCGGCATGGCGACAACAGACTGTAGTACCTAGCCTTGGACCGTCACTTTTGAACAAGAGGTACTGTATTAGACTATTAGGTACGATACATGCGAGATGGACGATATAAGGGCAGACCTGGAGTCTGCATCGACATCGAATTGAACTGCACGCCGCCCTTAGTCACCTGGGAGTGGCAACTGGTCGTGATTACTAAGCGGCGAACTGCGCTCTGCTTGGCGCAGCCTAACCCCTTTGGGTCGACAATGGCGAAAATGTGGGATTAGAAGTTGTTGCAACACCGGCACTTCAGGCGTCGCATCACTTTGCCAACCCATTTCGCCTCGATTTAAACTTATTACCATACTCCAGAATCCGTGTACCACTGATTTCTGGCGTCAAAAACTTGATATCGAGAGAAAGCGGCCGTTCCCACACACACGCCTACAAAATGTCAAAAACCGCAAGGTATGTTTTACTGACATCTCTTGCCTTCGTTCGCAAGCGGTTTGCTCCAAAAACTCGGCAAGAGAAAAAGGGATCGATGGCTAACTGTGGCTTGTTCTTTCCAGTCGCCCTGACTGGGCCGATGATGTTTCGGACTCGGAGCAGATCAACGATCCCACAGCGCTACCGCCGCCAGTGACGACGGTGAACAAGGACGGAACCAAGACGACCATCCTATACCGGCTCGACGACCAAGGTCGCAAGGTCAAGGTGACTCGCAAGACGCGGACGGTGGTGCACAAGGAACGCGTGAACCCAGTGGTGGCAGAGCGGCGGGAATGGTCCAAGTTCGGGCTTGAAAAGAACAAGCCCAAAGGGCCACAGCCGGACACGACGTCGGTGGGCGAGAACATTGTGTTCCGACCCAGCCGTGACTGGAAGAATGTGCAGGCCGAAGAGGCCAAGTCGGGGGGCGGCAAGGCCGAGGAAAAGAGTCTCAAGGAGCAGCTGCGCGACAAGAAGGTCAAGTGTCGAATCTGTCAGGGAGAGCATTTCACCGCTCGATGTCCCTTCAAGGACACTATGGCCCCGGCCGACGAAGGTGCCACCCCGGTGGCGGATCCCATGGCCGACGACGAAGAGAAGGCCGCAGGTGGCCTTGGTGCCGGTGGTTCCAGCTACGTGCCGCCGCATATGAGAAAGGGCGCCGCAGGTGCCGGCGAGAGAATGGGTGGCAAATTCGAGAGGGACGATCTGGCTACGTTGCGCGTCACAAACGTGAGTATTGGCGTCTTTCGATTCCTTGTGCTTTTTCCCACCTATCTCCCTCCTGGGTTCTGCTCAGCGCTCAGCGCGACCCTCGAGAAAATGCAACAACTGCAACCATACTCGTTCTGCATGCATATGTCTACAAGAATTGACTGACCGTGATTCTTCTGCTATATAGGTGTCTGAAATGGCCGAGGAGCAGGAACTGCGTGATCTCTTCGAACGCTTCGGCCGCGTCACCCGTGTTTTCCTCGCCAAAGACAGGGACACCGGCCGGGCAAAGGGCTTCGCCTTTATTTCTTTTGTCGACAGAGCCGATGCCGCCAGGGCTTGTGAGAAGATGGATGGCTTTGGTTACAGGCATTTGATTCTGAGAGTCGAGTTTGCCAAGAGGACTACCTAGTGCAGCCGCCGTCAGTTCAAGTTGGCGATTTGCGACGTCTGGTCTACGATGCAAGATTGCGCGATATGCTTATTTCCTTTTCCTGCCTGGTCACTTTCCGCGGCTTCTCTATGAGTTTAAAAAATGAATCACAGTGTCTATGAACGGAACATGCATTTCACGGCGTTACAAGTAGAAGTTTCAGTGTCTGACCAGGGAACCAATATGCATAAAACTCTCCAAAATACGCATCTTCTCCAAACCATCGCATACTCGGAGCGAATTAGCACAAGTCTTCCAATCAGGTGTTTCTGGCCCCTGGCGGCGGCATAAGAGGCCCGCTTCAGCACCTGAGCTTCTGTTGCCTGAGCTTACGATGCGAAGCACAGCAGCCATCAGCGGACCCGATGACTCGAAGACGACTCCTCCACTGCGTGGGGACCACTGAAACAAGGTCTCAGCGCTGCGTTTTGTTGGCTCGTACAGGACTTCCATAAGGCTGCTGGCCGAAAGGCCGGCAAGTCATCCCTCGTTCGATCAGCTTACTCGCAATAAAAAAGTCGACGGGCCAATTGGTCACCTATGAGCAGGGTTACTAGAAGGCGTGACTCGTAAAGTAGGTAGGCATTACAGGCAGTTGCTGATAAACACTTTGCGCTTCGACAACGGCATCACTTAAAGCAACGTATGCTTCCCAAGGCCCCGCAGAGAACAGCGCGCCACATGGGCTTCAGCAATCAGTAGCAAGAGACAACTGGCAGGTCCGAAACAATGCCAATGAAAACTTGACCGGGGCTGGCGAGACCGTGTCGTTTAACAGCTGGCCGGCGAGTCAGGCACCGCTGGGCCTACTGATGCCCAGAGGATTCTTTCTCGGTGGATAAAGCATCACATTGTTGATGGTTATTGAGATACCTGTTCTAGCATAGTGGGCACCGGCCTGTCAAGGTCGCGCTCCGGCACGGATTGCCCTGACAGGATGACTGCCTGGGCAGTGCAGGAGCCTGGCATAGTTGAAAGCTCAGCGGAGCCGCGAGCGTCAAGGCTTGACGTACAAGGATCACCCTGACCATGTCGAGCTTCAGGATTGAAGGCAGCCGGGATCAAAATCGCCCGATGCGGCAAACTAATCCAGCACTGCTGGTGCCCGGCATGTCTGGAAAAGGTGTCTTTCTGAATACCCCCTGGGGATCAGCCACAAGTCTTTGAAAATCCCAGACCTGTCGCTGGACCTGCATTGGGGAACACAAGCCGTCGGGAACCGTTTTTGAGGCGCAGAAGCAGATGGAATGATCGCTCTGGGAGTGCAGAGTGATACCCGGGCTGCCAGTGACGTTCTTCAAAGATCACTTTGTGAGTCGATATGCAGGATTCAAAGCAGGGCCGAATCCTTGCGCCTGGAACTATTCCAAATTTAGGAGACTGAAGGAGTTTGAGCGGACGAAGAATGGCACTCGGAGGCTCCAGCTTGCCCACCCGGATCCCTCCCAAGGCCTTTGGCGGCCATAGACAGCCATCTCAAGGTGATACCGGTCACAAAGTCCAAGATGAACAGGTGGTCCAAGCTGTGTCATAAGCGGTCACGGTGCCACCTGTCAGCGCTGCAGGATTTGCCAGTCCAACAATGCCTCAGATCCAGACCGCTTGCACTCCAGGCCATCTGGTGGGCGGTGACGACAGCGGAGCTAACAGCCTGAAGCATTGTATGAGGATGCTTCGTCTCCTGGAGATTCGTGATGGTCGGGATATTTCTGCACAGCCTTCAAATCCACTGGCAGCTGTTGATCTCACCTGTCACCTCCATTCCTGTGGATGACTGGACACTGGTTGGCCAACTGTCTGCGTCATTGAGCCGAATCTCATGCCGATCGGTAAGGAGTTGGCGGAGGAGAGGAGAGGAGATGCTTCTCTGAAGTCAGCAATTGCGACCGTATGATACACCGACGAGATAGCCTAGCAGGCGGCCGGAGGTGTGGGTTTAGGTGCACCAGTAAGGTACTAACTATGTGGCGCACCGTCGATGCTCGAGAAGCTGAGGCAACCGGGCTCCATTCACAATGCGAAGGAGAAGAAAGGGGTGTCGAAGGCGGCTGGAAGTATGAAGTCGAGTAGTCGACATTTGACTCCTACGCTTGCTGCAATGTCAGCTTTGCAGTTTCATCCCTGTACGGGTCGGGCAACGGAGTCCGTTGTTATGAGTAGGGCCGCGAAGAGATGAGGTCTTTAGGGCGCAAAATTGTGAGGCACTTGAGAATGAAGCAAGGCTGCGGTGGAGATGCTGGACTCTGGGCTGCGGCACGGACCAACAGAAGATGGATGGAGGAGACGGTGGGAGGCACTGGATACTATGATGATTCAACCAGGCTTGTGATCGTAGTGGTTGTAGCTGAGGTACAGTAACAGTAGTGGTCGTAGAATTGGAAGTGAGCGAAGCCAACATCGCTGCAGACTTTCCTTCCTGGTAAAGCGAACCGCGCGAAAGTCAATTCCAACAACTGGCACTCGATTCCAACTACAGTACAGCTTCAAACACCGCAAGGCCAGCTACAAGATCAACTTCGAGCTCGGCTTCCTCTACACCACCGCCTGCAGTCCGGCCTCCTGATGTCCTCACGCCAGCAGGATCATTGAGGACCCTTCCGTCTGTCATTAACGTAAGTTGCCCTGCTTTGTTCTCAACAAGCAGGCTGTCAACACCATACGATACGGCCAGGTTCCAGCTGCTACGAGCTCGCGGGTCCGTGTCGACACCCTGCTCGATTCCAAACGCTCTCGCCGCCTTTCTCGCAGACGTGCACGACATACTTGCAGGTGACAGGAGGCTGCGGCCCGCTACCCACTATGGGTATATCGTCCCAGCATCCAATCGCCGGTCGCCTCCTGCTACATCCTTCCCCTTGTGGTCAGATCATATCGAGACCTCCTTCGTACCAGTCGGCACGGCTACCAGAGCCATTGTCAGTAGCTGTGACTGTGATTGGCCGTTCTCACAAAACCTTGTCTGGTTGAGGCCCGGAGTGTGCTGAGAATTCATGCTTTTCGCAGACGAACAAGGCCAGCAGGATGTTGCTTTGCGCTTTGCGCTTTGCACCATTCGATGGAAAGCCTCATCTCCAAAGCCACAATCTCTTCGCCCGATCTCCGGACCTTGTCAGGGCCTCACCAGTCGGCACACTACCTCTCTCGCCTCAGCCGTTACCGTGATTTGAAGCGGAAGCCTCAGGGTCCCATACCAGCATGATCCCAGCCACTGGTTTGTGGCCATTGGCTCGTTCGCAAATCGCCCGCTAATCAGTCCGCCAGCGGACGGCTTCTCGCACTCGACGCGCTCTCTAGGCTCAGACATACGTTTCCGTGGTTATGTCCAGGGCACTTGAATTAAATTCAGCAACAGGCGGGGCCACGAGGCACCGCACCGGTCCGGCTGAACCTCGCCATTCCTGATCACGCTGAGTGCGCTCCGTGACGCCACATGGTCAGCTCAGGCCCAGAGATCTTGCAAGACAAAGGAACCCCGGGCAGTACTCACTGGTGCCGTTCTTCTGTCGCCTAACTGACGACTTGTCTTTTGCCCGGCCACGTGCAAGAGAGGCATCTCAAGCACAGCATTGCCTCTTTGGCGAATACCTTCGGGTTGGGGGCGTTTCCGCTGAAACACTCCTTTTGACAGGCCTGTGCTGAATGCATTCTTTGCTCCTGCACTATGTACCGAATTGACCTGTGGCTTCCAAATCTTCTCTACTGTCGCTCGTCGCGCAATGATACGACAGCCTAGTTGGTGTTGTGGCAATTTTTAGTCTCCAAGCCGGGGCATATGAAGAAGGCCGCCTGCAGCACAGTCGGGCGGTCTCAAGGCTCAGATGCCAGGCCTCGCACATCCATTGGCTTGTGAATATGCAGGCTTCCTTTGAATGGTCCTTGCCAACAACGTTTGGTTAATCCGCGCCCTCACCGAATACTGGTAGCCAAGTGTCAGATCTTGAGACCGCCCCGATGGCTGAGCTAGTGTTTTCTACATGCGATGAAGATGTTCCGAGCTGCAATGCTAACCTGGGGAACTGGGCCAGAAAGGAGGCCCAAGGCTGGTGCGGGACCCCAAAGTCCTGATGTTAACTGCTGGATGCGCGCTCATTTGAACGCCTCTCTGTTTCTTCGACTGCTCAGGAGTTCCTTCTCAACCTAGCTTGATCTTGTTTCCTATGAAGAACTTGACCTTCACACAGCTATATCTTGTCCATCCTTTTCCAAAGCCATACACTTACAGCACATATCCAACGACCTGCGTGCGCTTACCAGCAAACGTTCGTGAATACGAAGCGTAGCTGTATGGTGGCAGCACCCTCAGGCACGATCAACTAGGCGCATGGTGTTCTGCCCGGTTGCATTGGCCAACATTGCCGAACCGCCCAAAGGACGTGGCAGAGCCGCTCCGAGAGAATTTTGACCATCAACCTATGAAAAGCGCTGAGATCACTGTATTCGATGAGGCAAGGGATTTGTGACAGTTACGCTCACCGATCTGGTGTGATAACTGTGAGCGTCTTCATCTTTTCGTTGGAGGTCTCGAGGCTGACCTACGGCCAAAATTCAGAGAACAATACTGGCGGAGAGTTCTTCACACGGGGACATAGCGATACAGGTGCTCACAGTAAGTATACCATTTACCGCGATTCATGTCCATTGCCTCGACCTCCACAAGAAAAAGCATTCTTCGAAAGTAGCTATCGCAGCTGCGCCATCTCTCAGCCCACTCAGTGCTGACCGCTTGACAGATCTGATATCCTTGAAGAGTTGGCGGCCTTCCTCCCATCCTCGCTCGCTATTGGCAGGCATCCCTGCAAAGGACAGACCGGGCCCTGGCAATAAAAAGAGCGCCGTGTCTCAAGCCCTTCGACGACATTGGCGGGCACATCGACCACTGCACCAAACCACTGCTGGATAGAGCCACGGCACCCACCGTGCCGCTGAGCAACGGCCTCGACAAGCATAGCTCGGTTTGGACCGTGCTGCTTGAGGTCACCCTAAACCCATCCACCGGAGCTGATTCAGCCTTGCCATTTGCTGATCCAGCTGCAGTGGTGACAGCATGGATCCCAGTACGTACTTTGTTCAGAGAGTGTACACCTGCATGTTTTTTTTGTTTTTCCCTTCTGCCTTCACTGTTCTCCTCCTTCAGCAGATCAACCAGTGTACCGCACCACACTTCGGCAATCTGGCATCAATATGCTGTGTTCGCAAGGGCTGCCAATCTTGCGGACAAAGTGTATTCGTTTGGCGTCGTGGCCACCTACGTTGCTCTGACCAGGGGAGCCCCGCTCGTCCTACATTGATTGCCAAATTGAAGTCCATTTGGTAATTTTGCACGATGAAAAGCCCCTCAGCCCAGCCGATATGCATGGACTTTGTGCCAGGCTTCCTCGTCCTTTTATCAAATCCTGCATTTGAACACTCTTTCATCACTACTAGCTAATAAGCCGGGCTGCAGCATTACTTCAGCATTCTTCCCCATTTGACTTTCCAATTTCTTCCGAATCCAAATATCTCGGCCAGGGGCGTCCCTTCTCAAATCCCTCCTACCCTGCCAATGACTTTCCATACTCCGGACGAAGGCCGCAAAGTGCCCTGACGAACGGTGCACCCGGAGCGGGAGTGGCCATCTCTTCCAACTCCAATCTGGACTTCAATAGTAGCTCCCTACTGAATGAATCACCGTGAGTAGCCGAACCCAAGTTCCCCCCGCTGGTTCATGCACCGTGGCGATGTCCAATGGTCTCCACATGTCGTCGGCTGGTGGCTGACAGAAGGGCCTCGAGCCTTGAACGTTGGGCACCAGCGCTCCATATTGTCCACTCTGGGAGGGGTGGGCGCTGGCGAAGGAAGTGGTGCAGATAGGCCCTGACTTTGCTGTGAGAAGGTGCTGGGCTGGTCTTGCTTCGTCTGACCCCGGCCGTTGCACTTGGAAGGATTTCACATATAATCTGATGGCAAGGTTCGATGTTTGAGTCTTACTAACGCTCAAGATCGTTGTAGGTTTCACTCGCACACCCAGGAAACGCAGCTCCTGCTGAGTCCTCCCGATTCCAGCAGTGGCTCGGCGAGCGCGAGTGGCAACTCTACAGCTTCCTCCATCGTCTTCACGACTCTTCCCAAGCCATTCCCCAGCAATGCAGGCCCGACAGACCATTTTCCGAGCGCACCTCCATCGGTTCTCTCGTCCAACTGGGCAGGGTCTGCAATGACGGTAATGGACCGTCCTCGGTTGTAAGCCTCCATCTGCTGAAAGCTCGGCTCCGTCAGGTCTTTGATTGGTGCTAAGTGAAGTGTTACAGCCCTCCGCCTTTGTCACCTCCTGTGAACTACAATTCGGCAAACGGCATGGGAACTGCGTTGTTGAGTAATAGGCCCATGGTGGACCGGCTGCCACCCTCCTATCAACCCAATGGACATTCGTCAATAAGTCCAGGGCTATTCCAACAGCCAGGGCCCAGGTATCCACCCAGCACTTATCATCGAAATAGCATCGGCCATCCATACATTGCTGACGGTCTATATCCGGGACAAAACATGTCAGCCTCTATCCACGAGCAACCAAGCCCTGCCAAGCAGGACGGTCCGCCATTCGGGGACACGGTCGTTCTATATCCGGTGCTCACCGTACGCAACCAGCAACTGATCCCCGAGATCACAGCTAGTATACAGAAGGGGTTCTTTCAGGTGGACCGGAAGTGGACTTGTTACCGACGGAATTACTTTGCAGTGACCTGCTCCTTTGCGTTCAAGAACCATGGGGCCGAAGGGCCATTCTACCTGCAAAGGAATGGGCACGAAGAACAAATCCATCAATTTGCCGTCTCCATCTCGGCCAAAACAGCACTGACGGGGAATGGGGAGAGCGAAAGTCGCGGTCTTGTTCAGCATACGCCCAAGAGAGACAAGGCCACCGAGTCGGTTCCGGGCAGACACTTGATTTCACCCACGCCCAACCAGTCAATGGGTCCCAATGGCGTGTACTTGGGTGCAGGCTCATTGTACGGCGGTTCGCAGCATATGTCATCAGCAATGATGGGGAGTTATGGAGGGGCTTTTGAGAATTCCAGCGCCAACTCCATTCCCCCATTGCACACTTTCGAAAGAATTCAGTTTCAGAAGGCTACCGCCAACAACGGGAAGCGCCGTGCACAGCAGCAATATTTCTTGGTGGTGGTCGAGCTATCGGCGAATATCGCGCGGTCGCCCGGTGAGGAGAACTGGGTCGTGATTGCAACCAAAGAGTCGGACCCCATGGTTGTCCGGGGCAGGTCCCCCGGACACTATAAGGATAATGGACGCCGGGACAGTCAGACCAGTATGGATCCGGATCGAGGCAGCGGACACGGGGCGGCCGAGGGTGCGCCGCCAGGGTCCCTTCCGCCGGGCAGCTATGGGCATCCGTCCATGAGCTGGATGGCCGGTCATCGTCACAACGCACATACTCATTACGGCGGGTCCGGGTCCACCTATCGCCAGGCCCAGGCTATGGAAAATGAGTACTCGCCTGCGAGCATGGCCTCGTCAAGCACTCTGACTGAAACGTCGACCGAAGCCGATCTCAATCCCTCCGAGACGCTCTCCAAGAAGTCGTCTTGCACTTTCTCGCCCGATCGCTCCGTCTCAACCCCGCGGTCGGAGAGCAGTGAGGACGCGCTGTTCAACCTTGACGGAGGACACCACCACCACACCCTGACGCGGAAACGGGCCTATGAGGATGACGACGGGGACGCTCATTTGCACTTCCATCTTCCAGCCCCCTTCACCGACAGCGTCTCGTCCCTGAGTGATTTCTCCACAATGCCATACTCGAAGCTCCTGTGTGCATCTTGAAGACGTCATGGCGCATACTGAGAGATTGTCACCCCGAGTCTCGAGCGCCACAAGTCTCGAGCGCGAACGGACGACAACCAACTCATTCTCTTGTGGTAATCCATCTTCCTATACGAGTTTTGCAATTTCCTTAACATGACAGTTCCGGAAGTTTTCTGTAGCACGGCGAGAAGGAAATACACCCGTCGAGACATGGAAGGCGTCACAAGACCTATAGAGATACCCCCCCGGGAAGATGGTGCATGGCGCAGTGACGGGGTTATGGACAGGAGAAACGGAGCACGACCGGGTTTTTCATTCGTTTGACAGCCACCTATGAGCATGATGACCTACGGAGTTTGGCTTGACTTACTGGACTGGGCACGGAACAAGAGACTGGCAGTTGACAGGATGGATTCATCCAACGGGCGTCATGAGTAGTCTGGACCGCTGTCACCAGAAGGCACCAAAGGGCCTTGATCTGCCAGGGACACAATTGGCGCACAACATGCTTTAGGGGCAGTGCATGGGACGGAGAACACACATTCGCGGCGTTGAGTCCAAACACAGACGGACGCAAGGCATTGCACCTGGTCAAGGAGCACGACGACGACATGGACGACGTATGACCTTTTGTTCCTTCATTTGCACGGCATTGCTGCCACGGGGTTTATTAGATGGAGCTTTCTGCCATTGCATGGCCCTCACGGGCAGCACATCAATGATTAGGCAGGGACAGCCTGAGAGATGGGAGTGTCGGGCACACTGGCACTGGAGGAAAGTGAAGAGGCAGCCGTGGACCTGGACCGGGACCGGGACCGGGATATGGAGTTTCCTTGTTTCCACTTTTTTTCAGGTAGTTTTGGCCTTATGGCTCTATCACATTCGTTTCTCCCTTCTCTCCATGTCTTGACGGCTGTGCCGACCTGGATGCCCCATAACAAACCTCATGTGACACTGCACACGAGTTCACCGCCTACTAGTAATAGTAGGACCGAATAGGGGGTCATTGCCATGTGGTTGTGGTGGATTGTCAAACCGAAGGATGCAAGTGGTGTGCTATGCAGTGGTGTGGTGTGGCGGTTCGGCCCCCAGCGGTTGTGCTCGGTCGTCAATGCACCTCCTACCCATTTCAGTGCTTGCAATCCCTGCCCGTAGTTGACTGGCTTCGCTGCTGCCAGTAGCATCCCCGTCGTTCCGTTCAGAGAGTCTACACATCCATGACCTGGGTGGCCCTTGCAAAATAGCTCGAACCGACCACCGACGGAAGGCGTGGTGGCCGAGCTTTTGAAAGGCGGACAGGGAAGGGCAGGGCAGGCAGCTGTGGAAAGGTGTTGTTCATCCATCCCAAGCCAACCTAAGGATAGAATAAAATGGCTGGCACACATACTGGCACGGCAGAGAGAGATTGGGTGCTTCGTCAGCAAAAACGACCGTCTCCCAGTCCTCTCAAACAGTGAATCACTATTAATTACTCTGACCCACGAAATGGTTGATTGACTACCCGGTAGCGACTACCAGGATGATAGACGATGGGTGGGCACCGCGCCACATTGCAGTGCAGTCTCTCCGTTCCCTTCGACCGGCTAGCGCTGCACTGCACTCCACTGCACCGGCGGTTGATGGTATTTTTGTTCTTTGCTCCCCTGCTCGATGACGATGACGACCAGAGGAGCGCCTAGGTAGCTCCTGTTCTCTCAACTCATCTTGTCAACCGACATGGGTCCCCAAGTACAGGCAGGTGGGCGTCTAATGTTGCGGAGGAGTAGGCAGGAGGGGTTAGAAAGGGAGGGAGGCCCGGCCAGCGAGAATAACAAAACAGGCTCCTCGCACTGCTGTGGTGGCATTGGCCGGGGGCGGCAGGGCAGGCTGAAGTCCAGCTCAGCTGAGGTGCCAAAAAGGATTCAGTGCAGGGCAGGGCCTGGAGGACAGGGAAGTGCAGTGCTTGATTGCGTGTTTAATTGCTTGCCTGCGGGGATTGAGGAGCAATTGCATTGGATGGATTGGAGAACCGAGAGCCGGCTCAAATTGATGAAGATCATGATACATACCTAATGTACAATATGTGAAGCCAAGAAAGAATGTGATGCCAGTGTGCACTGCAGTAAGGCGCGACCAGGTGCTGAATCACCAGGGCCGAGCAGAGCAGAGCATAGCAGGGCAGGCCAGGACAAGGCAGCAGCGAAAGGCAGCCACTTCCTTTTGCTAGGTATGTAAGCGCACTCAATGGAATGGCATCAAGTCGGCTGGGTCAATGCTTGGGAGACCCGATGACACCCGTCTGAACAGCCTCCGAGCCCGCCAAAGAAAGTACCTACCTTAGGTATCAGAATATTGCAAAAGACTGTCAGTGTCAGCATCAATACAACCTTCAACTGGCAAGAAATGCAGAGGAGGATCGGATGCGCATGGGCATGGGCATGGGCATCATCAGCCGCACCATGCCATTGTACACCCGGGGCCAGGCTGGAGGCTGGAGGCTGGGGCACAACATCCGAACTTCAAGCCTGGACGGACGAGGTAACTGCCACTTACTGCCAATGTGCTCTGGCCTGTCCGCAAGCAAACAATCCTTGAACCCTTGCATCCGAACTTGATAATGCAACGAAAGACAGACAGACAGTATTTGCTCGAACTGCCGCGCCGCATCCAATTCCTCACCCTGCAGTGGCTTACTAGTAGACCAGGGCGCACGCTCGCGCTGTCACCGTCACTGGCACCGGCACTGCTCGCTTGCAGCTTGCAGATCAGACTCTGCGAATGCATGGTTGATCCCTGCTGGCACTGTACAACTTACATGTACATCTGCAACCAGCTGAGCCCAGGAGGAACTTGAAGTCGAGCGACCGCATCCCGACGATACTGTACGTCCGATAATGTCGGTCAGATTCCAAAGGCTTTGGAAAAAAAAAAGGCCAGCCTCCTAAGGTCACTGTATACTCACCGCTACATCGACAGATGCTGTCAGTCTACTATCCAGGTAGCTACAATACCTGTCCTTGCCAATGCAATACTGTACACGTCGATCGATCAAGGTTCAAGTCGAAGATGTAATTAAACTCGACACTAAACATCTGACAAGCTCAAGTTTATTGATCGTCGCGTCACGGCCAGACCCGCACCGCCGCCGTATTTCGAAGTATCCCATCTTTTACAACTTGGACACTACAGCCCGTAGTACAAGCCAGTACTTCCGTGGTCCATCCGATCCGATCTGATCCGAGTTTTCTCAGGACTAGCACTACTACTAGCATGGCATGTCCGCCTCCCCTTCAAGTTCAGTGGAGTCGGCGTGGCCATGCATGTGGGTGTGGATGTCTGGGGACTTAACTTTCAACTTTAGGTACAGTCGACTTTCTTCTGCTTGGAAACCCTGGCATGGTACAGTACGGCACATGATATACAGAGACTTGTCCTTCACACATCACCACTGGCTCCTGAAGTCGTATCTGCTGAGGAGTAGGCTGGATTGCATTGCGACCATGATGGTACAAGCGATAGCGATACTAGTAGACGCCATAGAGATGGAGGTCCAGTACATCATGTTCGGTGTGCGCTGTATGTAACGCTTGATTGAACATTAAGGTAGGTAGGTGCTTTGAGCGCTGCTGCGTGAGATATCATGCCGTGCCGTGCGGGTAATTACTAATATAGAAAAGCACGAAAGAAAAGAGAACAGAACTCCCCCGGATGCCGAGGACACCAATGTAAAAACGGGTTCTGGTTTGGTTCTGGTTCGGGTCTGGTTCGCATCAAGTCAATCCCCAACAGCGAGCTGATAAATCCACCTCTTCAATTTGAGAATCACCGTCCAACCGCACCTGAGGATCCTGTTGAAGGAGGTGCAACTGTCAACGTTTTTCCACAGTGGTCCGGCAACACCGAGGCCACTGCTGTTCAAGTTGGCGAGTTCCACACCTGAGACGATTCTTTTCTTTTCGTGGCACATAGGAGGCGTTCTAGGAGGATTCGGGCTCCGGCCGCCTGGCAACCAGCAAGCTTCTTTGTGCGCATCACTGACAGAAAAACAACGGTTGATAAGTGGACACCCTCCCAGCCCAGTCAAGAGCCCGAGAAGAAAAGTCATTGCCTCAACGGGTCATTTCCTTTTGCAATATATTGTTGTTCCATGGCTACCTGAGAGAAGCAGCCAGCCCAGCGAAGCAACCCATTGAATGAGCATCACAGATACCCTGCATACCTCGCATTACCACCGTTGCTGTTCTCCTGAAGACAAAAAGTCATCTTGACCGGGTTTTGATTACCCCATACTTCTCCCTCCACTTCATATTCCATACTTACTCTCTCCTCTTCGTATTGTGTTTTTACCACCTAAGTCGACGGTCGGTAGAACTTGGACTCAACAAAGGGCATCTTAGCGACCTCGGCCTGTCTGACATTCTTGCGGACTTTGATCCCGACTTTGGTGCCTTTTTTGTGGAATCCGTTTTTGACGTAGCCCATAGCGATGTTCTGCCCTCCTAAACTGGGACTGGGACAGCCAGAGGTGACGTGGCCGATGACTTGATTGTCGGATCCGGGATCGACGATCTCAGCCCCCTCTCGTGCCGCGGGGCCTTTTTCCACGAGGAAGCCAACCCGACGCTGCGGCATGGTTTTGGGAGACGCCAATTGCTTGTTGATGATTTCGTGACCGTTGAATGGTGGCTGGGGGTTTTCGCCGCGGCGGGACTTGCCCACCAACCAGCCCAACGAGGCTACTGGAGGGGTGATGGTGTCATTCAGGTCGTGGCCGTACAGACACATGCCGGCCTCCAGGCGGAGCGAGTCTCGGGCTCCCAAGCCGGCCCAGCGGACTTTGGACGAGTCGGCCGTCAGGGCTTTCGCGATCGAGGTGGCTAGCTCCGTGGCGTCGCCGTTCTCGGGCGGGATCGAGATCTCGAACCCGTCCTCGCCGGTGTATCCGGTGCGAGTAATCAGTAGGGACGGGGTGTTCATGCCCGTCTCCGGTAGGGTCAACTGCAGCCATCGGCTGGTGCCAAAGTACAGCGAGTCCAATTTGGTGTCGTACGATTCGTCCTCGGTATCGTTGTACACGAGAGACTGGAGCACGGATGCCGCAGCAGGACCCTGTAGCGCGATCAGGGCATGGTGATCCAGAACATGCCAGTTGATGGCTTTGTCTTTCGGGTTGCCTTTGGACTTCAAGAACTCGTCCATCTCCGCCTCGATGAATGCGAGATCGCCCTTGCGGCAGCCTGCATTGGTCACAAAGTAAAAGCTGTCCTTGCCGATGCGCGTAATGACCGTGTCGTCGACGATACCGCCCTGCTTGTTCAGCAGACAGGAGAGCGTCGAGTGGTGTTTCTCAATCTCGTTGATTGCGCTCGGCGTGATCGTCATCAGGAATTCCTCGGCCAATTCGCCAGACATTTTATGTTGTACCATGTGCGACACATCGAAGAGCGATGCGTTGCTTCGTGTCCAGAGATGCGATTCCCGATGCGACTGGTCCGGATATTCTAGTGGCATGGCAAACTCGGCGAACGGTACCATCTTAGCGCCCAGCGAGGTATGCAGCTCGTACAGTGGTGTCCGTTTGAGCTCTTGCTCACCGGACTCCGAAGAGGTCGAGTAGCTGTGCCGTTGTGCAAACTTCGTCACAAACCTGGACCGCGATGTCCATTGCTGCAAGGTGGTTGATCTTACTAATGACAATGCCGGTGGAGTTTTCCAATGATACGGTGGTGAAGCATCTTGCCGTTGGCATGTTGATAGAGATGGGATAAATGAAGAGGCGCTGTTGAGACTACTCAGTTCTCTCCGTGGCATCCATCGTATGGGCCTACCCGCCCCCGAGCTCGCTGCCAGCAATGGCCTCAGGCCCCGATAAGGAGACATGGTAACCGAAAAGCTGACGGATGGGGTAGAAGGACAATAACCCGGCTTTTTCGCTGGAATAGGAGGGTTTCAAGTATCCTCCTCCACAACCTGATATTCAGACCAGGTTCATCCCGCACCGATCAATAACTTGTGGCCTCACCTGTATCGTGCCCGGGTCGTCTTTATGAGTCGACGGTTGCCTTTCTGACTCGTTTAAGAGCAAGCAAGTTGTTGTCGTTACCTAGGTAGGGAGATAGTGACTGATATCGCGCGGCACGGCAACTCGGCCGCGAGGTCGGAGACTTGGGCGGGCACGGTTGCTAACCTGATAAAGTTAAGCGTCTTGGCGCCACTGCCGTTTCCGCGTCCCAGTCTGCAAGTTTTACAATGTCGAGATTCGCTTTCCTCCGTTTTTCTTTCCTTGCTGTATGGTCTCCGCGTTCAAAGAATCGCATTCAAAGCTTACGCACAGCAGAGAGACAGATTTCTGTCAGACTGCATACCCCATGTTTTCTTCGTAGGAGGAAAACCCAGCTTTGGGAGAAAGTCCCCGGACCGCCCTACCCTTCGAAACTCTTGTTTCGAGGAACGTCAGGACCTGCCGAAAGGCGCCGCCATAAAGGCATTTTCACTGCGGCTCTCTTTACTTATTCTCTGCCTCCCGCTCTCCCTCGAAACCATGCCTGCTTGACCTCCGACCTTGCTGTCGTTTGTACTCCGTGCGGATGCCCGATCTGTTGTCCCGTTGTTTCAATGCCGAAGGTTGTCTGGGTGGATGAAGACATGAGTCCGCCCCTCGGGCTTCGGCTAGATGCCATTGACGCAAAGAACACGAGACTTGATCGTGGCCATCTGCCGGAAGAGATGGTGAGGGTATACTGGGACATCGGTTTGTAGGCATTGTGCGTTCGAGGGACCAAGAGTTGGACTGGAGGTTGCGCAATTCGTCACATGCATATAGTTATGCGATTGCTCAGCATACGTCTTGTCTCTTTCTGCTTCGGCGGGAAGGGAGAGGCTGCGGAGTAACTCGACGGGGCTTATTCTTGAGGCGCGGAGCACCACTACATTTTTTTGGGTCTATAGCTTATGGCAAAGCGGCAGCCGAAACCCCTCATGGGAACCGGTCTTGCAGAAGTCCTGTCGAAGGGACTAGACCCGTCTCCGGTGCGGCTGCAAGAAACAAAAACGCCCAGCGGGCACTGCGAAGAGGTGGACAGAACATATCAACGCAACACCCGAGGGCTTGTGGTTTCAAAAGGATGAGACTTCAATCAATAGAGTCAAGCACTTAGGCCTCCATGACCTCGAAATGAGCATGGCTGGCCATTGACGAGAAACGATTGTATATCTCTGATGGAACATGAACACAAACCCCGGCCTGAGTTATAAGGACCGTCAGAGGTAGATTCCCCTCATTAGTGCATGATATATATCAAATTCATAGATTCAATTTTAATCATGGCTCATTTATTCTTTTCCGTTGCGGACGTCGAGACTGGCACCTTGACCCTTTGTTTCTGCTTGTCTGCTGTCTGTAGCCCGCGAACCCACAGTATAATGTAGACCGCGACCTCCCACACCAGCGCAATGACCGTGGAGCAAGCGACGCTCCAGACGTTGATGCTCACTCCGCCGTACGGACATCGGGGGAACCCGAGCAACCACTCAATATACCAAGGGAACCAACCACGCGGGTAGGTGAAGACGGGCGTCTTTGCATGCCAGAACTGCAGTGCAAACCGCAAGCCGCTCGTACAGGTCCATCGAACCGCAGAGGCTTTGGTGTCGAAGGATGCTCGGGCAGCCGAAACAGCGGCGGCTGGTAACATTTGTCAGTCTCGGCGTCCGCAACGAAAAGGACCAGCTCTGGGTCTATGGTGCCCTCCACTGCCCCAGTTTATATCTTACCTTTCTTGTCGTATTCTTCCATGGCCTTGTCATGCTGCCTGCGCAACTTGGCCCACTTGGAGAACTCGTCCTGGGCGCTGACGGCGTTCATTTCGCGTTTCAGCCGCACCACCTCTCGCCGGAGCCGGATCTGCTCTCGGATGTCGTGCGACGACTGAAAGGGTAGCCGACAGCAGATTTGCCATAGCTTTTTGCAAGTAATTAGCGACTTGTTCGACAAGCAACGAACGCAAACGCAGGAAACCACCAGATGTGGTACCAAAGCCTCGGACTTGCAGAAACTAACTGCGCAAGATGCACACCGCACCATTGCATAGGTGTACTAGTACATACCAGATCATTGATAGGTTTGGACCCGATCGTCAGGACCAGATGGCAGAATAGTTGGATGAGGAACACAGTCACAAGAAGGGAGACCATGTTGTCGGCAGAAGCGTTCGGTCGGAGAGCTTCTAGTTGTCCTGATAGCTTGTCCAAGGCGCAGACCCGGAGGTCATGTACGTGGGTTGATCGAGTGCTTGCAACGACGGGAGGGGTGTGCTTTATAATGTTCTTGTGGACGTGAGGACCTCTGCGGGCCAGACACGATTTGCAGAGTTGTCTATCGTTTGGTACGAAGGTTTAAGTTAACCTTGTGGTGGTGTGCGGGCTGCGGTGATGCGATGCCACAATTTCCAAAACCCAAGTACTACTAAATGTCGCGAGTCGGGAATGACGTAGATCTGCCATTAGCTTGACTCGCGTTGAAACTTCGCTCACTACTATACATAAGAACCTAACTACCTAGGTAGGTAACCAGAAGAACCATTGCTACTCATGCTAGGTACAGAGATAGCGCCATTGTAACTACGAGGTGCCTTAATCTTCGTAGAAACGAGGCAGCACTGGCTGGGGAGGATATGCGGTGGCGGTATTCGAGCGAGCTCCATTGGTTAGGGCGGTCAGCAGGTCTGCAATAGTTCTACAGTCCCTGGAGAACAACTACACTACTGCCTGACGGTGAGATTACACGCTTCTGACTACGCCTAGGTGGTAGGTAGATGCGCCGGCGGCAGTAGCTCCAAGCGAAAAGAAAGTAAATTGACAGTCTCAATCATGCGTTTTGATTTTGCCATCCAGACTTGCTATGAAATGATGTGGACAACGTAATGACAAAGGCCAACGCTGACGCTCAAGCTCGCGCAAAATGTACGTCCATGCTCTGACCTACAACAAGAGGTCGCCAGTGCCAGCCATGCCTGCTTGAGGATGATATATCTGCTGCGGCGCACTCTGGCTGACAACATAAGGGTTCCCTGCTATGCTGTCCGATGTAGGGCTGGTCAAAATGTCTCCACCACTATTATCGCTGAGACTGAGATTCTTGAAATATTCGTCTGCTGCCTGAACCGCGGCCTGTTGCCCTGCAAGCGGTGTACCGCCTGGCGTCGTAACTGTCGTGTTCAATAGGGAAGGGTAAGCCAGGCTCATGCCAGGCGAGCCCAGCGCCCGGTTCAAGTCCTCTTTCTTACGCTGCAGAGCTGGCGAGTCTTGAAGTCGACGAGGCCGTGCAGCTCGGAAAACCTGTTGCACGGGCTTCAAATAGATGGTGGCGAGGGTCCCGATTCCCAGGCACAGCTCTTCCAAAGTGTGAGGATCGAGCTTCTCGCTTTCCGCTGTAATCGGTGGTTTGACGCCCATGACGACTTTCTTGGCCGTCACTGGGTCAGTGGACAAGAGTCGCCAATACATAAACCCACGGTCGCGGAGGTCGGGGTCGTCTGTTTCCTCTGTACACCATTTGAGCACTTGCGGGACAATGGAAGAACCCTTGGTCGGGCGTTGCAGAAACAGTTTGACCGTTGCTGTCAATAGAGCAAGTTGGACCTCAGTCGGCTCTTCGTGGAACGTCGAGAGGTAGTCCTGAAGCAATGAGTCCGCGTTATCGATCCGGTCTGCATACTCGCCTATGATCCAGATGACTGCTGCCTTGGCTTCGGATTCGTCAAGCTCGTCGATCTGCCCGATGACAGTGGAGATGACTGATTCGTATTGGTTGGGGTACTTTCGGAAGATGTTCTTAATCACCACGGTTGCTTCCTGGACAATGTAGGGGATCTTTGCATTGACGAGGTCGAGGAGCGTGTCAATGCACTGACGAGCTGCAGACTCAATTTTGATAGCGAGCTTTCCAATTGCACGAACCGCCTTGCGGACGAATTGTACATCAATCTCCGTTGCATATTCTCGGAGCTCGTTAAGCACAATCGAGATATTCTTGTTGTTCGCCAGCATGAAGATCAATTCGAGCTTTGTAACTTTGACGTAGATGGGGTCGTTGTACTTGCAGAAGAAGACGCGGATGTCGTGCTGAAGAGCTTCAGGTCGTTGTTGAAGAATGAGGATGGCGTTTCTCAGAGCCAGATATTGAATCTCTGGCGGTTTCGATAAAAGCGTGATGAGTGGTGGTGACAGCTTGCGAGATAGTTCTTCCACTTTTCTGTCATCCGAGATGTAGTTCATCAAGTACATGATGACACGGATACATGTGAGAACCACCGCGGAGTTGGAATGAGCAAGCCGAGAGGATATCCGCTCTGCTAACAGGAGTGCTTCTTCCGATTCTTGAGGGACATAGGACGTCAACGCTTCAAGTATATATGTCTGGGACCACTCGTTGCAGTCCGGAAGAATAGACACAATCTTGGACGCGCTGGCGTAATCAATCGTTAATCGGATGTTTTCGTTTCTCTCCCAGATATCTTGCAGTGCGGCGAGCGCACTGGCAACAACCGTAGGGTTGTCGTCCTTGAGCATCCTGTTGAGCCTATCTATCAGATCTGACACTTCAATGAGACGTTTGTCATGGTCGTAGACTTTGGCAACTGTGATCGCGGCAGTCTTTCTGACATAAGGATCCTGATCCCCCATCAACCACTTCAGTGGCTCGATGGTGGCTTCAACAAATTCTCTTACGTGGACATATGACATTGTCCGCAGAGCAAGCGCACGGATCAAGGGGTTTGGATCTTGCATATCCTACGTACTCAGTACATTCCTGAAACCACAGTGGAGAAGCTTACCTCTTGTAAAACAGGTAGAGCCCGAAGCGCAACGTCGGGTTTCAGACGGGCGTAGTGCTGGAGGTAGAGGAAACACCTGAGGATGTTCAGTGACCGGTGTTTTTTCATGGCTGGGCGAGCCATTGGACGTACATCTTCTTGATCTCGAGCACTGGTATTTCCATACAGGCTACAATGTCAGGAAAGAGTGAAACCATGTCATTGTTGCTCATTGTCATGTTGGCAACAATTTTCTTGAGGGCATTCTTCTTTGCTGTATGATTCTTGTCTTTCTTGCCGCCGCCATTGAGCTCTTGCCGGAGCTCGGCCACTTTGCCCTGTTGATTCATGTAAGCAAAGATATTGGGAAAGCCGCCTTACCCTAGGGGAGAAGATGCATTGACGCTGACACTGGGATTTGGTCTACGGGAAAACTCAACCACGTACCCTTGCAAAGAGTTTTGCGTCTCCATGCCCGGAGGACATGTTCGGCAACTATCAAATTGATGGACGGTGAATGTGTATCTTCGCGTCGGCTGCCGCCGCTGCAATTGTCCGCCAGATTACCAAGGCTCAAACAAACAATATTCGAGAGGGCTCACGACGGTGGAGACATCATTGTAAAATCAAAGACTCAAGTGGACAGAGGCCTGAACTCCCTGACGAACCTTGTCAAACGATTTGTTGCATATGATGGCCGGTCCATGTGAGGTGAGAGGGTATCTAGGCGGCCTTTCAGGAGGCGCGATACAAGATCACAACTTGAGCCGTAGTAATAGGAGTGAGGGCGTCGCTGCAGTGGCCGGAAAGCGTCGGCGATATGTTCTTCCGAACTCCGATACACAACTCCGCAGTCACTGCAGGTGCGCTGGGCCTCGTCCTCCGCTGCAAGACACCAACACTGGCAAGGGACGTGCAGTGTTACAGTACAACACCTTTGAACGTCAACCGAACAGAACACCCCAATCTGCCTCCATCTTCCCTGAAGTTGCGACAATATGTCTACTGCACAGCCCAAATGGGTTGTCGAGTTGAACAATGGCCTTCCAGCCAAACCCAAAAACGCCAATAGTATACCCGATCCGCCTGGGCTCTCAGCAGCCAAATCAGTCACAGGGAAACAGGTTGGTACACGTCGCCCGCTGGAACTACATTTGCTGACGCCTTCTAGAAGTCGCAAGTAGTGGGCAGGAAACCTCCAACCGCAGAGGAAACAGCGACCTTGAAACTCAAGAAAGCATGGGAGATTGCTCTTGCGCCCGCTAAGCAAGTCCCGATGCAGGCCATCATGGCCTACATGTCGGGAAACTCCCTCCAAATCTTCTCCATCATGATGGTATTTATGCTGTAAGACATCCTTCTGAAATCATACATGCAATTGGTACTGACTAAAGCAGCTTCAAGAACCCTATCCAAGCTATCTCGCAAACCAACATGGCCTTCTCGCGGTTCGAAAGTGCAGGATCTCGCGGGCAGATGCTGGGGATAAAGGCTGTCTACGTCTTGATGCAATGCCTGCTACTGGGGTTGGGTATCTACAAGGTGAACAGCATGGGTTTACTGCCTACAACGCGAAGTGACTGGCTGGCATGGGAATATGAAAGACAACCTCTGGAACGAGCATATTTTGCATTTGGTCAATGACAATGAAAACGTCTGGTAGTAATCCTGCCCATGGTGTGGGTGGCCGCGTTTGAAGACCGATCGCCCTATACAGATGTTGGAAGCCTTGTTTGCATCAACCAAGCTGGACCATCACTTCCGCCTCGATCGGTGCATTGACTTGCCGTTGAGGACGCTTAAAGGTTGCACGCGACTTCGTATCGTTGTTTCTCATAACGATGAACACCTTTTGGCTTTCTCATCGTCAGCCTATCGCCTTGTCGCCTTGTCGAGGCGGCGCAACCCGGGCTTTTCGCGGACGGTGGCCTTCAACTGCATCTCTCTGCGTCTTCAGCCGAGGCGCATCTGGAATCCTGTCGCTAGACTTCTCAACAATGTCTACGGGCTCTTGTTTCTGGGAGATATTGAGCTCTCCGCGTTCGATTGCGAGCGCTTGCAACTTTTCTGCCAGGCTCTCGTCGGTGCCCTTGGAGACGGATAGCGCCTGCAAATGTCAGCAGGTTCAATATCGAATGCACGAGGGGCACGGGACGCCATTCTCAAAGGGGTGGATGTCGCATGATGTGGTTGGAAGAATGCTCACCTGGAACGATTCGGAGAGGCTGTCAGGGCTGAATTCTTCTAACAGCTTGATGTCAACTTGTTTGACGTCGCGAAGCCAAGCGGGTTCAGTTCCGAGTTGGGCTCGAACAAACGTGGTTCTATCTCGGCAAGCCTTCGAGCACCACCTTTCCAACTCTGCCTTATCAACCAGAGCGAAATCTTTTCCTCCCTTCCCATTCCAAACCTTCTTGGCGTCGTGTGCCAATTTTTGATTTGGCTTCGGACAGAGGGCATAGCCGCATCGGTTATCCACGTTCCGTTCGTAGATAAGGTCGTCCAAATCTGAAGCTTGAAATAATCCCAGACACTCCTTGAACAAGGCCACATCGGAGGGCCGCGGACGTGCCGGGTCGGCGTCTGGACTTGATGGCAGGTCAAAAGCCTCGATCACAAGATCTGTGATCCGCGTTTGTAGTTTCTTTTTCTCCTGGATGTCCAAGGCGTGCCTGAGAGCGGTTGCACGAATGCGACTGGCGCTGTCATCCTTGGAGGTCTGGCCTGCCATGGCCTGCCATGTGCACCGTTCCGACCTTGAAGAGCGTCGGCGTGCGAAGATCTGGGAAGTGATTTCAAGTCTGTACGGGGATCCACCAACCTGTAATGTTAGGTTCACAACCTGAAGTGGCGATCGAAAGCTAAGCTAGAAAAGTGCGGCCTAACAACGACTTGGGGAAATCTGATACTGTAGCTAAGGCCGAGAGACTCGGAGTGGTAACAATAATCAGAGTTCACTGCAAGTTGTGGTTGTCCTGCCCCACGTCGACTTGCGCGGTCAAGGCTGCATCCAAAACGCCCGCCGCAACCGTAGCGATCTCCAGCACTGCCAGCTTGTTCCCTCCGTCTTCACTCCTGAATTCTACCAACCGCACATTCAGTGAGCTTGTCGTCTGTTCTCTGTTACTGCAGGCCATCTTTATTTGTTATCTCTTTCACCTTGGCGCAGCCTTCCGCGTAAGGTGGCGCAGATACTGCGTCACCGCTGTGTCGAGTAAGATCAATTGACGGCCACCTTATCACACCGCAAAGGCCTCAAGCTACGACCCACGCAGCTCGCCCCCGCGAAAATGCCTACGGTACCCTTCAAAGTCAAAGCGGTCTTTGACTACAAGTCAGAAGAGCCGGACGATTTGAATTTCGAGAATGGCCAGATAATTACTGTCACGGACGAGGAAGATGCAGATTGGTATACCGGGGAATACGTAAACGCCGCAGGAGAGAAGCTAGAAGGCATATTTCCCAAGAATTTCGTCGAGAAGTACGAGCCGGCCATTCCATCACGACCGGCACGAGCCCAAAGGCGTGTGCCGGTTGTTCCAGAGGCATCCGATCAAAAGGCAGAGGGTTCAACGTTACAGCATGAATCTCAAGCTGCGGAGGAGAACCCCGAGGCTGCTGGACCATCTAAGATCCAACAAGAAGAGGAGCAGGGGCGAGCCAAGGAGCCAGAGCCGCGCTCAATCGAGGCACCGGAGACGACTGTAGCGGTGAGCAACGCACCAGAGCCTGAGAGTGCGGCACCTGAAGCGGAACCGCATCATCCCTCACCAGCTTCTAAGCACGCACCACCTGTTGCAGAGAAGCCAATATCGAGTTCATTCAGAGATCGGATTGCAGCATTCAATAAACCTGCTGCTCCGCCAATCACTCCCTATAAGCCAGCCGGCACCTCGGCCTCTACCTTTATAAAGAAGCCCTTTGTTGCTCCTCCCCCCAGCAGAAACGCCTACATTCCGCCTCCGCGGGAACCGCCCTCCCAGAAACCATACAAGCGGGAGGAAGAAAGCGTTCAAAACGAGCCCGAAGCAAGAGAGTCGCCGGATGCCCCTGCACCCCAGTCTACTCAGCCCGAAACGCAGGCAGATGACCAACCGAAGCCTCAAAGCCTGAAAGACAGAATAGCTTTGTTGCAGAAACAGCAGTTAGAACAAGCAGCCCGGAATGCTGAGAAGAAAGAAAAGCCGAAGAAACCGCCGAAGAAACGTGCGGAGCACTCTGAATCTGCCGAGCACGCTGCACCCCCTGATGCAGGCTTGTCCAAGGTAGACACTAACGAGACTATTGGGCGCTCATCGACCGATTTGGGCGAAGAACATCATGACACCGTACATGGTCCTCCGGCTCGCCGCCCATCTAACCTTGCCAGTGTTACCTCTCAACCGCAGCCTTCTCGAGAGTTGGTCAGCGACACCAACGACGCCGATGATTCAGGGGCCGGGGATGACGAGGACGCACAAGAGACTTCTACAGAAGAAGAACGACCGAAACCCCAGGTCAGCGGACAACCAGGTCCCGGAGCTACGCAGGGAAGAGACCTCGAGCGTGAACCAGAAGCTGAAAACGAAGAGGATCAAGAAGATGAGGATGAAGAAGAAGAGGAAGAGGACCCTGAGGTTCGCCGACGAAGAGAGCTGAGAGACCGCATGGCCAAGATGAGTGGAGGCATGGGGATGATGGGAATGTTCGGAGCCCCTGCGCCAATGGGACAATCTGCAGCTGGCAGTAAAGCAAGGCCAGTCCAGTCCAGTCGACAAACTGCTGAAGGACAGCACCACGATACTTCCGAAGAGACAGCCCCAGCGGCTCCAGTGCGCATCATGGCACTGCCAGGTATGTCGAACGCTGCGCTGAAGCGACAGGAAGAAGCTGCAGTAAAAGAAGACAGCGACGAGGATGAAACCGCTCAACCCACGCCTCTTGTCTCTGCACAACACGGCGAAGATGTCGATTATGTTTCACGGCCGACGCAGCGGCAGTCGATTGATCGCCCCGCTCCACCGTTGCCTCCTCAAGGTAAGCTGGGGTTATCCTGTAACAAGAGGATACAGCTCTAACAGAACACAGACCGCGCGCCCCCTCCCGCACCACCACGCGAGGCGCGAGGCGCTCCACCACCTCCACCGGGCACAAGACCTGCCATACCACCTCCTCAGTCTCCGATATGTAAGTGAGAGTTCCAGTTGTTCCTGTTCTTTGCTGATTTTCTAGCCCGACCCCCTCCGCCAATCCTACAGGTTGAACAAACGGGGTCATTGGAGTTGTCCGATGGCGAAGATGAGGATGCCAGCGCAACCCCGGGCGACAGTGTTCCCGAGAAATCGGCCCTTGAAGGTACAGCTAACCCTCCTGCGGTTCCGCCCCCTCCCCCTGCGAGAGGACCCGATCCTCCCAGACTGGACGTAAGCGAATCTGCCACATTTTCGGCGAGTGAACAACGGTCCAGTCGACCTCCACCACCTATCCCGGTGAGCCCGACAGTTTCGTCTCCCCAGACGAGAGCACCTCCACCACCGCCGCCAGGACTGCCCCCTAGCCGCCGTTCGACAAGCGATTCGCGCGGCTTTACGGCCGCTCAGCCGCCTAGCGCTGGCGTAAGTGACGACGAGGAGGAGGCAGAGGTAACTGAATACGATGGTGACTACGATACCGACATTGCGTCCAGTGCCAAGCACAAAGATGCCTTGAAGTCTCACAATCGTGACTCGAGCGTGGATGAGGGAGTGCTCACAGATGATGGCACAAAGCCCCCAAGGAGCCCACCAGCCCGGGCAGCACCACCGGTACCCCCGGTCGCTGCACCCCGAGAAGTCCCTCCTCCGCCCCCTCCACAGTCCGCCCCTAAGACGAGGAGGTCCATGGACGCACCTCGTTCCGCTCCTCCACCTGTTCCAATTCCCAAGGTGGATAATGATGACGATTATGATCCGTTTCGATATATTGCACCTCCTTCGAGCTCCACGTCTGCTCACGGTAGGGCTCATTATGCTACTGTGTTGCAGTCTCCAAAAGAAGAGCTTGAAGAAGGGGATATCTATGGCTCTGCGCCTTCCCAGGCTCCCTTGCCACCCCCACCGGCGGAGCGAAACCCCCCACCACCTCCTCCCCCTGACAGGACGGAACATGTCCCTCATTCGTCCTACGGTGGACCAGCGCTGCCCACCAACTCTCCACGCCAATCACTCGATGTGAAAAGAACTGGCACGGGCCCGCGCCGCTCGATGGATCAGTCACGGGCTGGTGGTGAACAAGGCTTCATTGCCCATGATATCGATCTTGGAAACGGAACAATGTGGTGGACTCATGATAACACACCGCCCCCGTCCATACAGGGAAGACCGGATGTTTTGTACGAGGTCGAGACATCCTCGGCGAACCACGGCGGTAGGACCACCATCTCTCGAGATGTTTATGTCCTGTACATGGACTATTCCCAAACGACGATCAACGTCAATTTTGACGCGTCTAACCCATCTCACGCTACACTCGAGCAACACCACGAGCGGCCTCCACCTGCGCCACGACGAGACCAGCTTGAAGCCGCATCGAATCAGTTCGGCGCACAGATAGCTAAGGCCGCTGGAGCCCTTGTTGGTGCGACTGTCGGAGATGGCTCCGCCCGAGCTCTGATTCTTGAACTTCTGAAGCCATATCCCACGGCTCTATTGCCTGTTGGTACCAGAGCTTATGGTGCCCTTGTGTACGCCAACCTCGGCAATGCCTCGACGCAGCAATACGATGAAATCCGCCCCGGTGACATTGTGACTTTCCGCAATGCCAAGTTCTCAGGCCACAAAGGAGGTCTGCACGCCAAATACAGTATTGATGTCGGCAAGCCAGAGCATGTTGCAGTTGTGATCGGCTGGGATGGTACAAAGAAGAAAATCCGAGCCTGGGAACAAGGGCGAGATTTGGAGAAGGGCAAAAGACCCAAGGTTAAAGAGGAGAGCTTCAAGGTTAGTGACCTAAAGAGCGGAGAGGTCATGGTGTGGAGAGTCATGCCTCGAACTTGGGTTGGTTGGGAGACCATCAAGTCATGACACAGAGAGGCATTTGAACAACTTTGATCAGGAGTGATAGAATAATTCTACAGCCGACCCGCTGGAATGCTACCTACGTTTCATCCACAGTGGTTGATTATTCAAGTGCTGTTACCAGGTCTCAGATAGGATCACCCTGCCACCGGAATGTCGTTGGAGGGGAGTGCTGCTAAATCGTTTAGATTCTGCTTTCAAGTAGGGCCTGTGCCGACTCGATTCTGGCTCTTGCTCTTGAATGTTTAGCACGTACGACATAGGCAGCTATTGTTGGAAACTCGGCTTATCCACCGCAGTGCCGTTCGGCAGCAGGGCTCGTGCCGACCTGGACCGCCCCAAGTCTGGTTCATTTATATGGGACTGTTCTATGGGAGAATGAAACTGCCAGGTCCAGCGGAAGGCGGGGGACTGGCATGTTCCTTTGTTGCAATGGAAGTTGGCCTGATATACTACTGTAGTATTTAGTTGTAGTCGCAAGGCTGAGGGAAATGGTGTCATTAGAGCGGCATGAGATTGTTTTTCGACGGGCCGCGGCTGTGGTTTGGCGAGCGCTGCTCTAAGCGTCGGAGGGTCTTGGTTGACTGCTGCCATAATGCGTCTTTATCTCCATCTGGCCTGCAGTGTGACCTGGCACCACTGCACTGCCCGACGTTGGACACAGGACTAAGGTAGCCAAACATCGCACCACTTTCAAGCGCGCAAGGCCTAATCTTTTATTTAGCCATCCTTCGTCGACTTTCATTGCATTACTTCCAGTTTTGTCGCGGTGATTACCACTTCAGCACCGCATACGTACCGAACCCGACTTGACCTCACGAGACCCTCCGACCATGTCGTCCTCACTCGACGAAGAGGCAACCATTTCTATCCCCAGCATTGCGTTTGTTGCCGTGCTCGGATACTTCATCTATCGATACTTTTTCTCCGGTCCCAGACCTGGCACGGATGGCGGGTCTACATCGTCGTCGCGAAGTACAGGCTTCCGATTCACGCCGGCGCAAGTCGACCAGATAGCGCAGATGTTCCCTCAGCTCAACCGGCGGGATATCATGTGGGATCTGCATCGGAACCGTGGCAGCGTGCAAGCCACGACGGAGAGAGTGCTGATGGGACGGGGCTTGGATTCGGTATGTGATTGAGATCTATGATTTATTCATTGGCAATCGGACTATACCACTGGGTCGTGGACAGTCATGTTAACGTGAGAAATCCTCTATTCAAACAGGCGCCTCCCTCTTTCCAGCCGCCCATTTCATTCATGACCACATCGTCCGAACAGCCGATCTCTCGTCCTTCTACGACATCAGCCGCCAAAGCGGCAGCACCTCCCGACTTGATCACCCGCTACAACCTGCAGTCCAAGGTGAACTCGAAAGGCAAGGAGAGAGAAGAAGAGTCACCGCCACCCGGGTGGACGAGTAGCAAAGATGCGCGGCAGAAAATGCTGCAGCGACGGAGGGAGGAAATGATCTTGGCCGCCAGGAGGAAGCTCCAGGAGAAAGATGCGGCTGGTGGTGATGCGACTTCTTCAACGTAATCAACCGGACCAGCGACTCTCCACGTGAAATCATATACAGCAGGGTTCATGCATCAAGGTTGCCTGGAAGCAAGGTTGAACTAGGAGACGGACGCTTTGCCGCCGTCGGTCGATGCAAGGCATTCCTGACCAGACCGGACATATATGTTCTTTTTCATGCATTACGAATGAATGGTTCATGTCATGTCATGTCATTTCGTCGTCTTCTTCGTCGTACTCGTCATCATTATACCCTCGCCGTTCTCGCTCCTCTTCTTCCCGTTCCCGCCTGGCTTGTTCTCTGCTAGCGTCGATCTTGCGTAGGCCGTCTATCACGCCGGTGAGGAATCCTCGCGACTCGGATAATTCCATCGCGCCCAGGCCGTCTAAGCGCGTACCTTCCCCGTCGCCCGACAGGTGTTCGACCTCCTTGCGCATCTTCGCCAGGCGGACTTCTCGCACATCTCGGAGTAGCTGCCGTACCCTGTCGGGCTCCGAGACGTCGTCGCTGGCTGCATTGAGCAACATCTCCGACAACTCGTACCAGTGATATGGCAGCGCGTTCGGGACAGCAGATGCCGTACAGGACTCGACGAATGGCGGCGACGCATAGAACGACTTGCCCATGAAGTCCGTCTGTCTCGCTGGTGGAATAACGGGCGGTAGCGAAAATGAGTCGGGGAAATGTTCGGTCTCCAACTCGAGAATCTCTTCGAGGGCTTCAGGGTACAGCCAGGGTGGGGGGACTATGTTTGCCCTTCGTTGGCGTTTCAACAGAATCGCTAGCCATAATGGTAACGTTGTCTTTTGTGGTGGCATCAGAGGTCGTGTGGTGCCCTGTAAGGAGAAAAACAAGTAACTTCTCGTCAGCTTTTTCTTCGTCATCTTCTTTTTCCCCTTGAGTAGGGCCAATTGAAGAAAAGAGGAGGATCCTCGCACCTCATATGTTGCAGAGGGCGTGGGACTGACTTACGCCCAGCAAGTCGAGGCGTTCCAGGCGCTGCCGCGGGACAATGGTAACTTGTTCCATTTCGCACAGGAATGCTACCTCTGCGGGTGACAGGCCCGGCGGCTTTGGAAACGCCATTCGAAGGAATTAGTCCTGCGGTTTTTGTATTTGAGCCCAATTCAACGGATGAGAAGCCGCATGCATGATTTGGGGGACTGGGACGGCGAGGTGAGGCCAGTGATAAACTTGAAGTTGTTCGTTTAATGGATCGGACTTTGCGCGACGCGCCCGGCGCAAGGCTGTAAAAGGAGTTAGTCTCGTGCCGCCTTAACTGTCCTTAATTGGCCGCTGCGACGAGGCTGAGACGAAGCAGGATCAAGGACAAGTCAAGCAAGATGTGTCCTCAAACATAATCTACTTCTAGCTTGTCTGTTCGTGTCCCGGTCTTCATTTCACTTCAGGAACATATATCACAGAAATGCTGCCGCCATAGCATTGGACTGAATCACTACAGCGTCAGCAGAGCTCTGGCTCAATCTTTCCGTCGAGGTTGGTTTTGACCTGTTGAGCTCGCCCTAGATTCTCTTTGGAAGAGCCAGTGGTGGAACAACGATCACGGTACAACATTCACGGCTGCTGCATACGAGACGCCAAACCTCCACGAGGCAGGGCCATTTTGGGGGCGGTTCCAATACCCCTAGGAACCATGTCATACTTTACAAGCCCAGAATTTCTCCGAGTGCTTGTTCTAGGCTTGGTCACGAGCGCGCATATGACATGGCGACGGCTCGTCAACCAACTGGTGCCAGTGCCATATCTGGATGAATTCTTCCATGTACCGCAGGTCCAAGCCTACTGGCTAGGCAAATGGACACAGTGGGATCCGAAAATCACCACCCCACCGGGCCTATATATCTACTCCTACATTGTCAATTCGATCCGGGACTTCTTCTCAAAGGAGGACTTCAAACCATCCGTGAACGAATGGAGATCCACGAACGTCCTCCTGCTCTACCTGTTGCTGGTCGCATGCTACATCCTCACCACGGTGCAAAGGCGGCCAGTCAACCACGAAGGCGTACTCCAGCGCGAATTCGCCATTATTCTATTCCCGTTGATCTTCTTCTTCTCAGCCCTCTATTATACCGACCTCTTCAGCGTCTTCACCGTCGTGCTCACTCATATCTTCTGGACCGCCGGCAATTCTGCGACCACGGGCAGTAGCAAATTCATTTTTCAGATCCTCCACGTCGTCACTGGTCTGATCAGCTTGGCCACGCGACAGACGAACATTTTCTGGGTGGCCGTGTACCTGGGAGGACTTCAGGTTGTTGAAAGCGTCAAACGACGCCGTCAGAGTCACCAGGCTGATCATAACGATACTACGATCCAGATCCACGATCCTTCTGTACCTGAAGCATACTTTGGAGGTTGGTTCACAGAGCCCTACTTACAGTACACTCATCCCCAGACCATCAGATTGACTTACTTTTCATTTGGTAGACTACGTTAAGACCAGCATATCTCTCGTCCAGGCCAGCCTTACAATGCTGCCACAACTCCTGCTCGACTTGTGGCCGCACCTCTGTCTTCTTGTAGCCTTCGGGGCCTTCGTTGCATGGAACGGCGGCGTCGTCCTCGGCGACAAGGACAACCACGTGGCCACCATCCACCTCGCTCAAATGCTGTACATCTGGCCCTTGATCGTGTTTTTCTCCTGGCCCGTGCTACTTCCTCAATTCGCGACTTTCAGCAAACAGCATCGTCTGCCCCGACTGAGCACATCGCTGGCTGTGCTCGCACTCATGCTCATCACGGTCCATTTCAACACTGTTATCCATCCCTTCACACTCGCCGATAATCGCCATTACACCTTTTACGTCTTCCGAATTCTCAGGCGGCACTGGTCGCTGAAATACGCCGCCGTTCCTGTCTACTTTGTATGTGCATGCTTGGTGCTGGGGGCTCTCGGTGGCGGCGGCTACGCCGGCTCCCCTAGAACAAAAACAACAACCGAGTCGAACAGATTGGGTGTTGAGAAGAAGCCAGGGCAAGAGCGATCCACCAAAAAGGTCCTGTATGAAGCAAACGTTGACGAAGACGACACTGTGCGCGTGAGCTGGGTGCTCATCTGGCTGGTTGCCACGTCCATGTCCCTCGTCACCGCGCCGCTGGTCGAGCCTCGCTACTTCATTGTCCCATGGCTGACCTGGCGACTGGCGGTGCCTGAATATCGACACCCATCAGCAGCTGCTGTTGTCAGCGCAGCGGAAGAAAAGAGGAAACCGTCGTCTCCATCTTCGCAAAGTAGAACCGATTCCTCGGTACGGGAGGCCGAGGCTGCGTCCACCCGTTCGAGCAGCAGCACCACGCCGGTGCCCGGCGTACAGGCCCTCCTACGCACTGCGGCGTCGTACTCGTTCCCACTTGAATTACTATGGTACCTGCTGGTCAACCTGGTGACCTGCTACGTCTTTCTGTACAAGGGTTTTGAGTGGCCACAAGAGCCAGGGAATGTACAGAGATTCATGTGGTAATGAATGAAAAAGGGGCTATATAGACAGAGAAAAGCTGCTGCAATCATAGAAACCATGTTTCTGCTTTCTTAATGAAATGTACAAATAAGGTAATGATACGATACGCCTGTTCTTCTATAGACGGGAACCGTTTGCAGGCCCTGCGGGGTGCGTGTATCCAACATCATGATACTTGGAAACGAAGCTAGAGCGTTGCGATTCATGAGACAGCCCCGAGCCCTCGGTTTCCTGAGGCCAATACGCATGGACCATATTCCCCAGCTCAGCCGCCAGGGCAAGACTCGAAAACCAACTCGTAGAGCACGCATTCATTTGATAGGTCGTGGTCGTCGTAAGGAAGAGGTTGCATGGTGCCTTTTGTGGCAGAGGTATATATAGATGGATCGGCCCGCGCTGGGTATGTCAGCGGAGAAAGTCGTCAAGTGTGAATCTTGGTCATGTACTCGTTTAGCGCGCGTACTGTACACAGGACTCGAGATGGGTGCCGTCTAGCCTCAAACGTGAGCCACGCTACCCAGCCTCAAGACCGCGGCCACCTCGTCATCAATCAGGGGTCCATTGTACTCCTTCCTGCCGCGGATATAGTACCAGACGATGCTGAATATGACAACGCCCCCGGTCACCACGACCGAGTAGTTCATGGTCTGGTAGTCGACCGGGGTGGCGGGCGGCCATACGCTCCAGAAAATCACAAAGATCATGTACACGCAGGCATAGGCGTTGTTGAGTGTGCCCAATATGCCGGGAATATGCCAGGGACCCCAGACAAGTTCGGCTTGCACCACCGAGAAATGGCGCTCCCGTGCGTGGGCGGGTCCACCTACCGCAGTGGGCTCCGTATCGGGGCTCGGGGACGACAAGGAGTGTTTCATGTCCCGGCCGCCATCCTCGGCCACAGCGTGCTTCTCTGCTGGACCAGAGGAGCCAGGGCTAGTGTCGTCGTCCTCACCGAGCGGGACGCCGGGAGTCTCCTGCTTGTGGGGCAGTACGTGACCCTTGACGCGGTGATAGAGCAGGAAGGCCGCGGGCAAGAAGTACGAGCAGTAAAAGCCCGTGATGGTGAGAGAAATGACGTCGTTGAACGCTGTCGGTGAGCCAATGTAGATGAGGGTGAGAAGTGCCGCGAGGCCGGTCACCACGGCGACTCCGACGACGGGGATGCGGCGATGTGGCGACACATAGCTGATGGTCTTACTGAAGGGGGTGCCTTGGTCGCGTGCAAACGACCATGTCATCCTGCTGGCGGTGGTGATGATGCCCGTGGCGCACGCCCATGTCAGGGCAAGCACTATCGCACACATCACAGTGGCACCGGCAACAGATTGCACGCTGTCTGGGGGAGAGTCAGCATTGCAAATACTTATGGAGAGGACGGAACGCGAGACCAAAATTGCTTTCTGTTTCTCGGCCTAGAGACCAAGACTGGCTTCGACTTACCGTAGAAGATTTGGATAAACGGGTACCCCGTGGCTGTTCCCAGCACACGGTCGACGTCACCAAGACAGAACAACACCGTCAACATCATGGTGAACCCTACCATGCCATTGATGATCATGCTGCAAACGATGGCACGTGGGATGGTCTTGGCTGCATGCGCCACTTCCTCCGCCATGTGCACGGAAGCATCTGCCCCGACAAAAGTGGCGACATTACCTTTTGCGAGCTCAGGTTAGCAAACCATCCATGTTGAGGGGTAACAGGTGTTGGAATCAAAGACGCCATTTACCGAGAAAGCCCACACAATAAGATAATCCTTGGGTAGGCCAGCCACCTTCGTTGAGAGAAGTCGTAAAGACGAAAGAGGCCGAGTTGTGTGGAGAGTAGGTCCATAGAAGGGCCACGATGGTGATGAAGCCAGCAATGTGGAAAACAATGATAAAGATCTCGAACTTAGGGAGAGCACCGGGGATGACAACGTTGATGAAAATGGCCACGACAATCACGAGCCATGCGAAGAGCGTGCCTTGCCATTCTTTGGCGTTGTAGTTGGGGTAGTCGAGGATGATGATTCCTTGAAGCATGGTCCCGGCGAAGATGGTCTCGGTTGCAACGGTCGCTATCCACGCCAATGAGGTCAACCAGCCAATGATGTAGCTGCAAAACACCTTGTATCGTTGCGGGGCGAGCATGTAGACCCAGTAGTATTGGCCGCCGGCAATGGGGGCCATCGAGGCCAGTTCCGAGATAACCATGTACACCGACAGCGTTGACGACCAGGCTATGATGAAGCCATACACCAGGCCTGCCGGGCCGCCGTTGTCGAAAGCCTGGCTGAATAACGCCAGTACCGTCTCCCATGTAATCAGTTCGCAAAGCGCAAACCCGAACAGTGACCAAAAACCAAACCGTCGCTTCAGGACTTGTTTCTTGCCCAGCAAGGCCAAAGTGGTGCTATCGGTATCTTCTTCGAATCGAGACATGGTGCACACAGCAAGTGGCTTGACACTGGAGAGCGCACAAACCTCAGGCTTTTCCACCTGGAAATTGTGAAAGCAGCAAACAAGACCTTATAAATAAGTAGGCTGACACAGGGTTCCCGCCAGATATCACGTCCTCAAGCCTGGCCAGGGAGTTCGGCCGAGCCCTAAACAGCAGGAGGATATAATGTCCCGCGATCGACCACTCCGAGGGTCTCCAGGAATTGCGGTCGTAGCAGGGGAGGAACAGCAGAAGAAAATTCCTCGAGTGGGTAGAGACAAGAGTGGAGTTGTAAAGATGGGCATTGGAATAAGCTGATCATACGTGGGGATGGGACTGTTTGACGGCAGTACAGTGTGTACAGTAGCATCCCCTCGCACAACGGGAGCCTGTTACGTATCAAGATAACCACAACACGGGGTCAACACCCGATATGGACATGCAGAGGAAGAGGCACAGCCCGAGCCCCGGGGGGGTTTTGGAGCAAGCTCGCGTGAGAAGGCAGCTTGGGACCTGAGTTACATTGTAGAGGCTGAAGAGTGCACATCTTCCAATCACCGTCCACGGCTTCATTGGGAAAACAGTTCAAGTTTTGTCTGCGGATCGCTTGGCGCTATCCGCTCAGCCGTCGCCGCTTCATTAGTCAGTCGAGATCTTCTGGGAAGCTTACTGAAGCTTGTCCTCAAATGGACTATTTATCCTGTACTCTGCAGCCGGAGAGATAACACACCTTGCCCCTTGCCTTTTGTTATCATCCTGCTGGAAGGGCTGAGACGGATGATGGATACCTAGGTAAGCTTCATCAGGTACCTACAGACTCTTCAGATGCCGTCCATGGCGACGGCGGGAGCGGATACCTAGGTCTAGGTAACTCACGGCGAGGCCACAGGACAGCCCGTTTTTCGGGTGCAGTGTTAGCACAGCCACAGTGACGGCACGTGACGGCACGTGACAAATGTGGCACCCAACATGTGCAGTCGTGGTCTGTGGCGCAGTCGAGTTCTCGGCCCTTCGTGAAGGGGGCGGAAAATCAGGGTCGCAGGTGACGTAGTGCTGGCCTCCCCACTAGCGCTGCACTGACGACTGCCATGCCACTGCGCGCCCTCTTCGCCTGCAACGTGCTTTTCATATTATTGTGTCTGCCTCCTCTAACATCCATCCATATCCGAATTTCCCAAAACCCACGTTCTTCTATACACAGTTCGAAATAACAGCACTCAACTCGATCAAACCAGTCTGACAATTGCACCAACAAGATGTCGACTACCGTCCATGTCAAGAACATCTCTCCGGAGACCAGCGAGAAGGAGGTCAAGGACTTCTTCAGCTTCTGGTGAGCACAGGACCCCTAGCGCCCCGGTCAAAGCACATAAACTTATAATCTCATAGCGGCAAAATCACCTCGATCTCTGTGACTCCCGAATCCTCCGCCCCAGACGCTCCCAAATCGGCCACAGTAACCTTTGAGAAGGAAACGTAAGACGAACCCGAACACAGAATCCATGCCTGGTACCAGGCAGACCCTAACAAACAAAATAGTGCCGCTAAGACTGCCCTCCTACTCGACAACACTCAGCTCGGAAAGTCACAAGTCCACGTTTCCACCGCGAGCACAATCGATGACGTCGCCTCCAAGGCCGGTGCCACCGTGTCCTCTGCGGTTGGCGGAGATGACAACATTGCTCAGGAGGACAAGCCTCGGTCTCGAATTGTCGCCGAATACCTTGCCCACGGCTACACTCTGTCCGACAACGTCATCAAGAAGGCCATCGAGCTGGACAACAAGCATGGCTTCAGCAACCGGTTCACCGAAGCCCTGCACAAGTTCGACAGCAAGTACAAGGCAACCGACACCGCCAAGTCCGTGGACAGCAAGTATGGTGTCACTGATAAGGCTTTGAGCGCATGGGGTGGCCTAAACTCATACTTCGAGAGAGCCTTGGGCACTCCCACTGGCCAAAAGGTCAGAGAGTTCTACAAGCAGACCGACAAGCAAGTCCGAGATGTGCACAGTGAGGCACGCCGACTTGCAGACCTCAAGAGCGGCAAGACGAATGAGCCAGAGCAAGTCCCAGGAACCGACAAGACCGTCTGCAATTGTGGCGGCTCTGAGGGCGTTTGTGGATGTGCTCCCGGCCACTGCAACTGTGCCAACTGCGGCAAGAGTGACAACACCACCTCCAACCAACCGGAGCCAGTTAAGGGCACCGACAAGACCGTGTGTAAATGTGGTGGCTCTGAGGGCGCCTGTGCCTGCCCACCCGGTCATTGCGCATGTGCAAACTGTGCAAAGAGCAGTGATTCGGCCACGAGTGAGGCCAAAGAGGCGGCTCAGGCCAGCGGGCAACAGTTGCCTGCAGGAAGTGTTTAAAGCAAGACATAAGGAATGCTCAGGAACTGCCCGACCAGCTGCTGAGCTCAAATAATCCCTAGTAGTATTGCATTAGCTAGGTATCATCGAATGAATTGAATAATGGTTACGCTGCGACTTGATATGCTCTTAATCTTGTTCAATTCGTCACTCTATGACAAAAGAATTCCATGACAACATGTCTACTTCGCTCAATAACGCTGTATCCCATTCTGGGAAGGTATATATATCCATCCATTCAAACAACCGGCTTAAGCTTTCCAACGCCCGCTAGCAGACGAGCCCAAAGGAATGAAGTACCGCTCTCTAAAAAGTAAACTGCATCAGACCCGGGTTCAGGACGAGAGGCAACAAGAAGTGGAAAGCGACCAAGATGGCCAGAGGATAAATGGCGGTAAAGGTGGTTATGGTCCAATCATGAGGGACCATCGCACCCAGGGGCCCGACGCCAGCCATGACAATCATACCGATGATAAGGACGATACAAGAGCAAAAGGTGAACTTGAACTTTCTCAAAATGACGGGGACTTCCCTGAAGAAGGAGGTGGACTCGGCTTCCTTTGCGGTGGCGCCCCAGGTCATGTCGATGCTGAACAGGTAGCACAAAATAGCCTGGGAGACGTGCATAGAGATGCCGCCGAGGTAGATGGTCAAGAGAAGCAGCCAGGTGAAGTTCTCGAGCAGGGCGCCGAACAAGGAGCGGTTCTCGACGCGATACCTCAACACGGCCAGACTGACGGTGCCGAGGCCCTGGAAAATGACGACGATACCAAAGTAGACCTCAAACGAGGTCACGTAGGCGTGGTCCAGGTAGCCGTTCAACCAGCCGATCAAAAAGTAGTTCATCAGCGTCAAGGGCCAAGCGGAGGCGATGGCGAAGTAGGTGCCGATGTAGGCCATGATGGTCAGCTTGGCCATCAGGGTCATGGGGCTGGTAATGAAGCGGCGGAACAGTGGTGTAAAGGGACCCCGGGTGATCCAGTATCGGAAGGGATTGAACAGCAGCTCGGCACAGCCGTACGAGTACTTCTCCCACCGGGACAGTTCGTCGTAGACGGTCAGCGACACGCCCTCCTTGAACCCGTCACCGCAGTACGTGCTGAAGCGGATCACGTAGCCCAAAGCCTGCAGCCGCAGTGCCATGTCGAAGTCTTCCGACACCGTGTTCTCGGCCCAGTACTTTTCGCGCCCGCCGTCCTTGTCGTCGACGTACCGCACGTCTTGAACCGCGGACCATCGGAGCATCGCGTTGTGGCCCACAAACGCCGCCACGTCGCCGTTGGCCACGGCGAACCGGATCGCAGTATAGACGAGATTCGTGAAAAAGGTGATGGCCCGCTCGAAAAAGCTCGTCGTCACGTTCAACACCCCAGATGAGAACTGAATGATGGCCACTTCCGGCGCGGCTTCCATCTCTGACACCGCATCGAGCAGGCAGTCCTCCGGCACCCGCGTGTCCGAGTCGACCAAAAGGATGTAATCTCCCATTCGGATGTCGCCGCCGCCCCACGTCCGGCCCTGGTCCTCGTTGAGCACCTGCTCGAAACATGACTGGTAGAGGTGATCTTCGTTTTCTTGGTTCCACGTCGGTGTTCGCTCGACTTGGGCCATTTTGTCTTCGATCCGGTTGCTGACGTCCAGGCAGAAGTTCATGTTCGATGCCTTCTTGAATTTCCCGGCGCGGATGAAGACGTTATTTCCGTTGCCGTCTCCCTTGGGCGCGTGCTTCGGTCGTGCTACCCAGCCGATGCTGTTGTCTTCATAGTATTGTACTCGTCGGCGCGCATCGTCCTCGGATATCAGTTGCATGCCATCATCGTTGATGAAGATGTTGGCGCTCCCGCCCTGCAGTTCGTACGTCGAAATGGCTTTGTTGAGAGACACTATTGTCGGATGGATCACAGTGTCCAGGCCCTCCTTGTAGACAGGACATTGAATCGTGACGTGAGGTAGTGTGACGCCAGGTCCGGATAGACGCACCGGCGGCCGTGCTGAATAGAACCGCGAGTTTTCGGTCAACTGCCGGACCGGGCCGAAGATCTGAGAGACTCCGTTGACCAAGGTGGTGAAGAAGAACCACCCCAGCCACAGCTGCAAAGGGGCAGCGGCCAGAATGGCTAGTCGGGTGTAGCTGTGGTCAATCATGATCTCGGTGGCGATCTGCCTCCAGCCGATCGAAAGACAGAAGATTGTAATGATCGACACACATGCAACCAGGAAAGCTTGGTAGATGACCGTCTTGCGAGGCTTGTCCCATACCTCTTCCTCGTCCGCGTCGCTCGACTCGGTCGAGTTCTCTTTTGCTGTCTCGGTGACTTTGGGTCCTTCGAGCGCCTTCTTTTCATCTCCGACAGGGATATCAAAATCGTCATCCGAGCTGTCCATGTCCCACAGCATATTGACAAGGTATCTTTCAATCCGTTCGGCGCGGTCGATAACATCGGTTGGCGATTCGTCCCAGACAACGAGCATGCCCTGGCTGCGAACGAAGGCGGCATAGTGATGTCTCTTACAGAAAGAGAGTGCACTAATGTTTTCGATGACGTGAAGTTGTTGTCCGTGGTGGAAGGGCACGAAAGGTAGGTGGTATTCCTTGAGAAACGTCCTGATGGCACTCGTTTTGACAGTCATGGCAACCTGAATTGAAGTCAGCAGACGCTCGACCTTCCAAAACCGCCGATTTCGTAAAACGTACCTTGACATTCAGTTTCTTGACTTCGTCGTAGAACCCGTTGACGTGCCTGGGTAGTTCTGCCGGTTGACAGATGAAGTCGTCACGGCCTCGTTTCAGAACGACGCCTTCTGTGGAGTTGTCATCTGCCCACCTCTTTTCAAGCTGCTGCTGCCGCAGATATAGCAGCATAACTTCGAACTTGACATTTTTGCTGTGATGCGGCTTTGGCTCGTCTACCGGACTTGTTGCCTGTGTTGCTTGGACGTCTGTGGGACCTCTAGGCTCGTCGGTAGGGCTGTCACGGTCAGATTCCTGGGTAATTGTTTCTACCACCGGGGCTGGCGGTCTGGAGGTCGCCTTTGATCGACGCGAAGGCCAGTGGATTTGCCTTGTTGGTTTCAACATGTCGACTGCCGATGGGAAGAAAGAAGCAGTACTTTGTGGCCAGGTAGCAGTCGATCAGTTGAAACTGCAAAAAAGCAACAAGGCTGTGTACATATGGGGCGGCCATATGCTTCTGAAACAGGCGATCAACAGCCTCCCCATTCCTCGGAGCCATCCCGCAAAGGCAATAAGATTTTCCCACTAGGTCATCCCACCTTGGTGAGTGATCGCCTAGACTCCTAGTAGAGTGCAACTGCAGTCCTTTTCGGGAAGGCCTCGCGCTGAAGAATTGACATCATTGAGCGATAAAACGTCAATCGGCTCATAGGCGTGACCAACATGGTAGCCTTAGGCGAGCAATCCTCAAGAGGCAGCGTCTTTTGAGTCGAAAAACTAGGCGTCGCCTTCGTGCGGCGCCAGGATTCCAAAATCCGATCTTGATTCGAACAGATTGGCGCCTCGTTTATCTGATCCTCGGAAACGACGTGTTGACGCCAATAATGTGGTAAAAACGTGAGCGCAGGTGTCGGCTGGTGGTCCGAGCGGTGGTCAATGGATGTCATCTAGATCTTCTGCCCACGAGAAAGAGGTTCCACTTTTACCACCCAGGAAGCGGCACCGATTCGGTTTCTCCATCATTCGTTCGCCGCATGGGCTTTTTGCTGGCCCCGACTGGAGAGACCCTTGTGGCCCATCTCGGATCACGTACCGACTATTGCTCTAAACTTGCCTTACTACCGAACTCAATCCACAAGCCCTGTTGGGTTGATGCAGGTCGCGCGCTCCGATGGCATTTGTCTGGCTGTGCAGAATCGGGGAGCAACATGCGCGCCACCGATGATCGTAAGTGTCCGCAAATCTTTCTATCGGGACCAAGCATATTTCCAGGCTGTTCGTCCCTGTGAGAGCGATCGATTTCATTTCCTGAGTTCAGCATCCAGCTAGCAACCATGCCATACCGATCAGGTGCCCTCAGTAGCGCTCTCATATAAGAGACGGTGGCAGAGGAGTCTCACGAGTCTCCCGCCCATGAACCTCCATCCCCAGTGGGAACTGCTCCTGCCTCAGCCATAACCCCAGCTTCGGAAGCTCCGCAGTCAATAAGACGGTGGTCAACTGCTCAGTCCGATGGTCAACCCCGACTAGAACCCGCTGGCTACTTTCCTTCCGCGGTCGACACAGTTGCTTCTGAAGAAAATCCCACCCAGCCTCAGTCATCCAGCCGAAGAACTTCGGGCACGGGCCAAGAGAGCAAAGACTCGAGTCAACCCAGCTCCCGACGACCCTCGCAGAATCTGTGGACGAGATCAAGGTCCTTTGCCGGATCTTACATCAAGCCCCGTGTTCAGCCAGAGATAGGCAGGCCTCGTGGCTCTGAAGCACGACGTGGTTCAAGTGTCGCACCCCCCTTTAGTGCTGTGGGCGAAGAAGATGCGGTTGAGGTGGCTGTCGACGGCTCGGAGGCCACCAGCCGAAGGAGTTCGGGAAACAAGGCCGCATCCAGCACAACAGCTAGTCAGCCTGGAAGTCGGACGGGCTCATTTTCTGCCCCATTGAGAAAAGGCCTTAGCCATCAAGAGGGAATGCATCGTCGCTCCGAGAGTGGGACAAGGCCCCGGCGGGAGCAACGAGGGTCGATCTCAGAGTATATCAGGCCAAGGATGAGCGCAGAAAAGGGCCGCAGGCGGTCCTCTGGTACCAACAAACAGTCCACCGTGCCCTCGGAAACCGCACCTGTTTTCAGGCCAGTACTGGAGCGAATGCATTCTGCCCCTTCGAATTCCCTGTTCAAGAACCCAGTGGCCTGGACGCCATCCTTCAAGCCCTCAGACACTCCTCCGTACGGGAAGTACTCCCGCCACCCTTCGATCGCGGAAGATCCCATGGGAGAGCCGGTGGAAAAAGTGCGATCCTCGCTTTGTATCCACGAGAAGCACGTCCCTAAGCCAGGCGTGTATTTTCGGTCGCGTCGCATTAAAGAGCACAACACCGACCATTCTTGGCTGAAACAGCGCAAAGACCCGCGTCAAAAGTGGCTAACTATCATTCCTCTCATCGGTATCATCCTGGGATTCTGCATCGCAGGAGCGTACATCTTCCTCGGTGTCCAGGATGTGCCTATGCACAAATATTGCATGGTATATGAAGATACCTTCTCCTCGGGTACTCTGGATTCCAAAGTTTGGACCAAAGAAGTCGAAGTGGGAGGTTTCGGCAACGGCCAATTCGAGGAGACAACCGGAACGGATGAAAATGTCTTCATCAAGGATGGCATGCTTCAAATCAAGCCGACACTCCAAGATATCACCCTGCTGACCGGAAATCACACTTTAAACCTCACTCAGCTAGGAACATGTACTGGTACCAAATGGTCCGACTGTGTGGCCACGACCAATAGCACCAACGGCACCATCATCAACCCGGTGAAGTCAGGACGGATCAACACCAAAAAGGGCGCAAATATCAAGTATGGACGTATAGAGGTTGAAGCAAAAATGCCACAGGGTGATTGGCTCTGGCCTGCCGTATGGATGTTGCCCACAGATACGGTCTATGGCACATGGCCCCGAAGTGGAGAAATCGATATTGCAGAATCTCGCGGAAATAATTGGACGTACCCTACCGGCGGAAACAATATCATGTCCTCAACTTTGCACTGGGGGCCGGATAGCAGCAACGATGCGTGGTGGAGGACGTATGGCAAACAACATGCTCTTCACTCGACTTTCTCGGAAAAATTTCATACCTTTGGCCTTGAATGGAGTGAGAAATACTTGTACACTTACCTTGATGGTCGGTTGATGCAAGTCCTTTACAACAAATTCCGAACACCATTCTGGAAAAGAGGCCATTTCCCCCTGATGTATGCCAACGGGACTGCCATCGTCAACCCGTGGGGGCAAACTGGTAATGCCGCTACTCCTTTTGATCAGGACTTTTATCTGGTGCTGAATGTAGCCGTTGGCGGGACCAACGGCTGGTTCAAGGATGGTGAGGCGAGCAAGCCGTGGGTCGACGCCAGTCCCACAGCAAAAAGAGACTTTTGGGCTGCAAGGGATCAGTGGTATCCCACCTGGGATAATGAAAATGGACCTGCCATGCAGGTTAGAAGCGTCAAGATGTGGCAACAACAGGGTTATAACGGCTGCGGCAGTGATGCGAAGAGCATTTGAGATGCAATGTGTAACATTTAAAAATCAATGTGACTGTTTTTTTGAGCAATCTGCTTTCTCTTCAGGCCATTAGGCAGACGCAAAGTGTGGCCGGACAACATCGTGGAGCTTTCTTGTGATTCTGCTTGTGTAGATTGGTCACTTACGAATGGAATCACTTCTTGGAATCTTGGATACAGTCAGGCCATCCTTGACTACATACATCTTGATAGGACGGAATCGCTGCAAGTAGTAATGTTGTGTTGGTCAGTCTCGCACGATGAGTCAACATGGCGTGGCTGTATCAGCCTCTTGTTTCTCGGCGCCTAGAAGAGTGCCTCGCCATCAGTGATCCTCCGCCACAAGTAGCACTGCCTACCAGTATTGTCAGCACAATTCATTGGAGCGATCGCACGATCTTGATGACTTGTAGTTCTGCAAAGGGCTAAGCCCGGTAAAGAAAGCGACTGTTGTTGCAAAGACCAAGCAGGCCGGGAAAGTCGGCCTGCCCACTCACTCACCTTCTACATGTGGCCTCTCCGCCATCGAAAGCAGCGCATTCGGCACACAAAGGTCAAGTGAAGGAAGAACATCGACAAGGATGTTGGCTCTGCCGAAGAATGGTATTGGATTGGAATCTGCGAGCCCACGGCGGTAGTGTACGGTTGTAGTAGGTAAAAGAACAACGACGTTGTTATTATTTGTTGTCCCGCACTGGCAGGCAGCCTGGGGAATTGAGGCTTGGGCTTGGGCTTGGGCTTGGGCTTGGGGGTTTCTTCTCCACCGCAACTTGAACTTGAGCTTTGGGGGGAGGTTGCCGGTGCCAGTGGTAGAACCGCCCTTTGCACTACTACCTGGTACTAGTAGTACAAGACACAAAACTCTACCTGCGCCTCGCGACCAAGTGGTGTTCTTGCACTTCCAGTCACGGTTTTTCTCAGCTACACCCCTTTAAATCGCCGCATCGTTGCAATCGTCCCGGACGCATTGCTCTCAGTGTCTAGACCGTCTTTGAGTGTCTCATCTTTCGCCGGAGTATGAACAAGCCCTCAACCATCTCCACGGACCGCTTCTGTGAGGCTTGCGACGAGCCTGGGTAACTGGGCCGATCGTAAGCACTGTGGCCCAGTGCGAAAAACCAGTCAAATCAAGAAGTACGCGGCAACTTGGACCTTGGAAGCAATTCAGGAGCAGTGAGGAAGTATGTCCATTTTCACGGTCCAAGTGGATGTCACAGTACTAAACCTCCATTGTAGATTGACTGAGGCAGCGAAAGAAAATCCCCTACGATGTGCTTCGAACGCCTGATTGCGCTAAAATGCAATCACTATGAATCATACCAGTTGGACAAGCAGGGCTGCAAATACAAAGCTGGCCGCCAATGCCCAAATTATGTCCAGATGAAGATTCGCGAGGAAAAGAACAGGAGCTGCGTCAATTGTAAGGCTCATGGCCTGGCTATGTTTGGGGTAGCCAGCCCGAGCCTTAGGGGAAAGTAGGATGACAACTTGGACAGTGGATTGTTGGATGTACTGTACCGGTGGGATGGCCATAGCTAAGATGTTCGGGCAGCATGAACATTGCAAAAGAAGGCATACTGTCACAAGGATATGTTTCTGTGCATCATCGACCAGTTTGGTGGAGGTTCCGGTGTCCTCAGTTACAACAGTACCTAATGTGGACTACTGAAAATGCACCCAGGCCAGCAAAAGAGCCGGAAGGGCGACAAAAATGCCAGCCGATGTCAAAATCACTGTTCACGCAGACAGAATTGAAGATAGGACTAGTAACAGGGAGGGTTCATTTACGAATTGCATCGCACATGCATATAGATTAACTGTATGCATAGGTACGTTCTGTATGAATTCTCTTAAGCCTTGCACGAACATGGGGTTTATTACTAGCAGGTGCCTTGCAGTGTCTTAGTCAGAAAATGTGATCGGACACTGCCCGCCGTGACCTGATGTGCACCGCAGTCGCGTCCTGAAAAGACGTCATCGCCCAACGCAACCTCCCCACCACCCAACACTGCATCCATCATTGCTTCAAAGTACTTTATATCCTGCCTCTGCTCTTACGTTGTTATTTTTCTGTTCATCCATCCGTAAATACCCTGAAAACCAGCATCCCCGTTGAGTTACTCAGAAGTCAATCAGTGAGTCTACTCCGTATCCAAAGTGGCATACATCGAACTCCCATTAACCACGTCAACAGATATCTAGTCCTTTCCGTCAAAGCTCCCGTCACAATGTCTGCACCAAACGCAGGTCGTCAGTCTCCGGAACCTGAACAACAATCTGGCTCTCAGCTAGGGAACCAGGCTGGCAGTGGAAAGGTAAGATCCCATCGTCTTTAGTGGCTTTACACTCTAGTCAGTGTTGCTAGACCATCCTTCCGCCTTGCCCGCAGTACCCCAAATTTCGTATGAAGATGCTGACCATCTTGCACAGATCGACGAATCAAAGTCCAAGGACCAAGGCAAAGACAACCAGACGCAGGGCTTGTCGAGCAACCCAACCCCTGTACTTAAAGAGCATTCCGAGGCAACCACGAGTAAAAAATCATGATGGTTTGATGCTCGAGTCCTATGCAATGCACGGATAAGTGCTGGCAATCTGGGGGAACAGAGAAATGCATCACTGCATCTTCTATGATTGCAATGACAAAGAATAAAAGTCGAAGTGGTGGATACATCATGAAATAACGACTCATAATGGATACAATGCACAAGCATACCTCTCTGCCGAATATTTTCTGCTTGCCGTGGTGACCCCTCTGAGGCTCTCTGTAAAGATGTGCTCCCTCGTTTGCCAATATCCCTGTGGCATTTCCAGCTCCAATGTGCTGCCCCGAAACTCCTTGCGGTTGACCACAGGCCCATGACAATTGCACACTGCAAGTGCTTCGTCTGGCAGCGGCCCACGTCAAAGTTTCGTTGAATTGTGCATATCTCCACATGTGTCTGTGGTGGAGGTCCTCCTTTTTCCGGCAATCTATATATTCGATATATTGAGGGCGCCTGTTGATTTCTTGTTGGCTCTGCAGATGCCATAGGTGTTTACTACACTCACTGAACCCGCCCTCATGCTGATAAGCTGACATACGGCCTTGTGCCATGCGAGCGGGTTGGAGTCACATGCACGCCTTTCAAACCGTAGTTCAAGTCGCCTAAAAGCCCCTCCTAAGCTTCAAACGCCGAACGCCTGCAATCTAGGTATCTACTCTGTTGGGTTTCTTGAGCAATGCTGATTGGGGTCTTCAAATCATGATACGTCGATGACGTACCAGTTTGTAGGAACTAGTAGAACTGCCAGTACGACTCGGAGTGCTTGTTGGCGGTATAGTTGCACGCGGAGGCGGGTCGGCCCGTGCTCAGCGTCGACTAGCATGCCAATGGTGTTTCTCCCAGGTTGCTGCCACCTTACAATTTGCATCCCCAACTCAAAGCCCCGGGAGTCGGACTGCAGTGAACTGCGCCCAAAGAAACACGTGCACCATTGCATCTCAATGTCCGACTCGGAGTCCTGAAGCTCAGCTCGCAATGCTCCTTCATCTGCCACTACCCCTCAATGCCTTAGTGGTATTTTATCTGACCATCGCGAGCTCGGTGAGCGCAGCATTGGCAGATCAGTCCAACTTGAAGGGAGTCAATAATGAACCCTCGAAAAGACGAGGCTACTCGAGGGGAGAGCCCGTCCCCGTCAGTTGCTTGAACAGGACCATGTGAGCGCACACAACGACAAACTCTGGCACTTCAGGACATAACGGCTTACTTCTGAGAACTGCAGTGAGACCGGGGAACATGTACGTCTGTCTTTTCCATCGCGCCGAGGTCATGTAATGTTGCAGATCTATGTTTGCGCGCGAACAAGCTGAGGTACTCATATCAATATCTCTCGCCCCTAGATCACCGACGCACATGGCAACCTCCAATATATACCATTCCCGACATGCAACGAAACGAACCAGCCGTTATCCTTCCTCTACAACACGCCGCAGACGCAGACGTGTACGATCGACGCGCTTCCGGACGAACTATACCATTTATTCGAGTTTTTCGTGCACAGCGATGTGCCGCTGACGTGTCGCGTTCCATCGTACCCCTTAGAAGAGCAAGGCGCCTCACCAATATCCGGAACCACAGAAGCAGAAAAAAGTCTCTCATGGACACCATTCACAATTGCGCTCCAGGGCACGTTGCAGCTCTCCCACCTCCATCTCCACACCAACATCAATGTTCTGTTCCACATGTCACAGCAAGACAGCGCGTCGTCTAGTACCGACAACGAACTGTCGCATCTGATTGCTTCGACCGCATACTCTGTCCCCAACACCTCTTCGTCGTCCACCACACCGGTCGAAGGCACCAAGATCCTCCGCAACGAGCCCGTGGTACTTACATTCAATGTTGGCTGGATAGACGGTGCGGTGTTACCGGGCATGGTGGGCCGGCCTGTCCTGGGAGTTCGCGACCATAGTGTGGGCTTTTCGCTGCTCAGCTTCTTCGCCCTGTCTGCGAGTGCTGGCGTCGGCGCCATGGCCATGCTGATCTATGAGAGACGAAAGAGTGGCAGGAGCGGTATGTACGGCAATGGCATTCTGGGAGGCAATGTCGGCAATGGCGGCGTCGTCAGAAGTTCCGGATATGGTGGCTACGGGGGGTATTCCAGTATAGCGGGCAAAAGAGATTAAAATGATTTGAGCCTTGCTATGAGATGCGCCCCCGGAACGCAACAACCTTTTCAGTGACAGTCTCCCCCTGGTCAGTCACAAAATGAGCGATATTTTAAACTTCATTTGGACAACAATGCCATGATTGGATGACTGACTGGAACTGATATCTGGTACCTATTGCTGTTCTTGTATAGTAGGTATTGTCTTGGCCATCCGGACAATCACATTCCGAGAGTCATTCCTACTCATCTAAGGCAAATACCAAGGCATGTTACCGTAGGATAGTATAAATAACTGGCCTAGGGTAGTAGATGATATTCATTTTCTTGGTACTAATAGTAGTAGGATAGCTCTCGGCTGCCAGGTCGAGCAGCTTTGGCCCTCAAGTCTATCTTTCTTGGCAGCGAGAAAGGGGCTTCAGCCTTGCGACAGGACACATCTTGCCAGTGAGGCGCCTCCATAGCCCCAGCACCTACTCTCAGACTCCGTCATGCTGCAGTACTCATGCATAAAAGCTAGGAAAGCCCTGTAACGACTTCCATATCTACTTCCATATACGGCGGCCTCCTTCGGAAGAACATCTTTTACGGGTATGGCTCTACAAACATTGGACGAAATAAATTATGAGACGACAATGACGGGTCATTAACACATGAATTGTTCCGACGTGAAGATCAAACTCTTCTTTTGCGATGCATAACCCACTCTATACTCTCAGAGGAAGACACCACCGCCGAAAGCGGCCAACCTTGACCAAGTCTGCTCACTGGCTTCTACTACTCGTATACTAGGTCACCGTCCCCATAAGCTTTCTCCTTGTCTGATATCCACCAACAGCATCCTAGCTCTTCTAACGTAAACCCATATTCTCGACATCTCTGTCAAAGTCTGGTGTCGTCAACTCAGGTTGTACAAAAGGCTTGGAGAGGCGGTATGACCAGCCCGACTTGTCATTACCATTCTTCCTTCCGTCTTCCTTCTTTCCTTTCCCAGTCTCGAGACTTGACTTGTCATTCTTGTCCGCATTGTTGGTCGCGTTCGACAATTTTGTGATGACCTTGCTTAGTGTTTTGCCGACATCAGATGCTACAAGAGTAAGGCTCCGCCTCTTTGCCTTCGACAGTCGGCCAGATGCAATTTGGCTATGCTCACTGGAGTCACCCGATGCGCGTGGATAGGTATTGTCGGGGCTGGTTGCACTTCTCTGGAGAGCTAGCTCTTCTGGAACCTTCTCAGAGGGCGTCGTCGAGTTCACTTCGGAAATCCTGCTGAGCTGCGCAAAGGATTGATCTTGGATCAATGGTCGATCAGTACTTTTCCTCGCTCTGCCTTGATGAAACCATCTCTTCTTCAGGGACATTGGGACCTCGTGAGCATTTGCATCTAAGATTGAACTGTGAACAGCAAGTCTTATGCCTCGACGGGAGAATCTTTTCGCCAGAGAATCTTCACTTTGTTTATGTTTGACGGTCTTGCTGGGGGGAAGGACATCCTCGAGCGCAGGAACCTCAACTCCAGTGGCTGAGGACAAGTTTCGCCCATGCGCGCCGGGTTGGAAAGAGGGCACCGTTTCAGTTTTCGATGATGAGCTAGCTGGACTCTCTTCCTCGGCTTTGGTTGTAAGCTCGTGCAATTCTGAGATTGCCTTTCTGCTGGCAAAGATTGACTCGAGAATTGCGCGGTCCTCTTGCATCACATGAGGTGACGACTCCGCCAGGCGTTCTGGTGAACTACAATCAATCAGCTGGGTTCCTGCCAAATTCATGACGCCATTCTTACCTTCGTATTCCGTAGGCTTTGCCATGGTGAAGAACCGTCCGCATCACCACGAGCGCGGTCTTGTTCGCCTCGAGATGCTTGTGTAGCTTATTGACGGCCCGTTTCTTCTGTAACCAGGTGATGGAACTCGTTTTGCGTCCGTCCGCTTTCTGCATTTCTGCGCAGCAATCTCCTATGTCATCGAATATTCCCCCCAGATGAGTACGCATCTCGTTCAAATCCTCCTCAAAAGCTTCGGTATATTGTTCTCGGTTCGCACTGACGGCACTGTCAAGGGTTCTGAGCTCGGTTGCAAGGAGGATCAGCTCTTGGGCAACATTCGAAATGTCGGCAGCGGTACTTTCATGCACGCAGTCACAGTGAAGCTTGTGGAGGCCCCTGGATAGTGTTTCTGCTTGGTCTGCAAGTTCGTTATGACCAGGTGCTTCGTTCGGTGATTCAGCCATCACAACCAGTGATCCGATCGCGGGTCTTGGTTTGGGAGTTCTGTGGGCTCTTCGGGCTGGTCAACAATAACGTGAACATGCACTACAGTACACACACGGAAGGGGGTAGTCAAAGACGGTAGATCTGGGAAGGAATAACGAGAGAAGGAGCAGGTTACGCGGTCAGGACCCAAGTTAAAATCGCGCTTACCGCGGTGTTTCTGATTCACTACAAACAAGCTTGTGGTGTGCCAGTGAATGACAGGAAGGTTTCCAGAAGCGTTGGCCTTCCCGAACGCATTCACTTCAAGTTCAACTTGAGTAGGAAAAAACATGCTGCTTACCCACCGACTATCCGGTTTGTTCTTACACAGTAGTACCTGAGCCCCCATTCATCCTGGTCAATGCCATCCTCTCATTACCCGCATATCGGGTACTGGGACATCTGCACTCCACATTGACCTTGACGCTGGGCCGCATTTGTTAGCCGCCGTCATCGAGAGCCTTGGCCATTCGAGTAATACCAGGAATCTTTGCGGCAGAGTTTGCAACGGAGGCGGATGGCAGGGTAGCGATCTTGATCGAGCTTCATGTTCCACTGGCGTCTGCACCCATGACAGTGACCGCTATTGTTGATATCGTTGATGAGGGCATCCAAATTGGTCTGGAGATCGGACAACTCTTGACTCAGCTGCTCCTTCTCGTTCTTGTCGATCTTGAGGCCTTTCTTGAATTTATCGTGGGCAGTTCTCTGGAACTTCAGCTTCTCCCGGGCAGTTGCGATCTCTTGCTTCAGCTTTTCGATCTCTTTGTCTTTCGCAGTGTTGTCCTTGATCACCTGAACATCTAATTTGGGTTCAGGTTTAATTTTCTCCTTGGCACGTTGAACCTCAACCTTGGAGATCAGCAAGTCCGTCTGTAGACCCTTATTCAGGTTTCCGAGCAAGTCCGCCTTGGCTTCCGCTGCGATCTGGCCTGCCTGTGCCGCGCTCAGAGCTGCTCTCAAGCTTTCCGTCTTTGCCCCGAGGGTCTTTGCAGCTGACTCGTTTTCGGCTTTCAGCAGAGTAACATCGCCCTCTAGGAGTGCAATTTGCTGCTTGCTCTGTTCTAGTGCCTTGTCGAACTGGTTGCGCTCAGCCATGAACTGCGAGTGAATCTTGCTGCACATTTCGAAGCTGTCCGGGTCCAATTCCTCCATGAGCTTGGCGAAGAAGGGGTCCATTCCCAAGGTCGGAAGAAACTTTGCGTAGATACAGAAGAATGGTTTGACAAATGCTCTCTGGCTGCGCAACACGAAGTCGGCAATCTTACGCAGATCATCCGACAGTGGTAGTCCTGCCTGGAGTTCCTTCGCGAACCAACCGAGAGCCTTCTTCATCGATAATTCCTTCAAGGTGGAGATGTGGAGCTTGTCAGCAGCAGCATAGACATCCATCTCTTGAGAAATCGCAGCTGGGTTGCTGCACACGTTTTCGTCGTAGAGATCTTTCACAGTGCACTGCTTTCCGACCAGGATCGACCACTTTTGATCGATGCTGATCAAATCCCGGGGTGGCAGAGAGGAGTCCTTGCTCGGATTGGGAGCTGGCTTGCCAATGACAGTCTTGAGGAAAGTGTTGGTAACGGGGAAGGTTCTGTGGAAGTATTGGACTGGTGGCGAAACGCGCTGAGATCCGGTCAAATGAGCGAGGCCAGGGAAGTCCGAGATGTCGCCCCGGTACAGGAAACAAAGGACCTTGCGAAAGACAGGTGGGGGAATGTCGACTGTCACATAGGCTTCACCGAGGAGAAACTGTGATGTATAGGTATTAGCAGAGCAAACTGGATCGGTCCCAAAGGCGCAGCAGAGTCTTACGTCAGAATTGCATGTCGCTTCCTTGAGGACGGTGGATTGAGCGGCGAGGACCGATTTGTGGACAAAGAAAAACTCTCCTTCACAAATCAGGACGAAGTTGCATCCTTCCGCAGTGGAAAGGAGATTGCCGAGAGTACCCATCTTGACAGTTGCCGCGAGTTGCATAGGATTGTCCAACAGAGTGTAAGATGAAGCCGCGGTTTGATGTGGGAAGATGGAATGCCAGGGAGAGGAGGAAGAAGATTCGTGATGAAGGGGAGTTGAAGCGAGTTGAATCTCCAGCTTCCCGCGAAGTTGCCTGCAGTGAACAACGTCGCGTTGTGTGGCAGTATAACCACAACAACAGGGCCACACCGCCAAGCACGAGTCCTCAATCTTGCACACGACAATCGTAGGTTCAGCCCTTACTTCTATAAAGCGACACAATGCAAAAGCAGAGCCAGGGTTACCATAAACCATCCAGCACAGAGCATGAATTCATTGGAAGCAGTGAAACAGGACCGCTTCTCATCATCAATCACCGCTTCTCAAACCTCAATCACTGAACAGATCTTCCAGCGTCTGCAGCATCCTCTTCTGTAGTTCCCGCAATTCACCTTTGTCAATCCTTCCCTTTGATGAGCCGTCCTTCTCAGGACCTGTTTCCAGGATCACCAGATCATGCTTGATAGCGAAGAATGGAACACCTATTGCTCGTAGCTGTCTGTCAAAGTCCGCTGCCATTGCCTTCAGCTGAGCATACACCTTCTTGTCATATGCAACCAACTCTGCTTGATTTGCCGCAGGGTCAGATGGAGCCGCCGGCACCTCCTTGCCACCCAACGACTTCAATAACTCCGCTACCTGCTGAGAAGTACCAGACCTTCCTTGCTGCCTGGCCACAATGGCTTCCCTACCGGCCCACCATTGACGCTCGTGCTTGTGCTGTTCAGTAATGAGGTGTTTGATGCGACGGGCGGCTTGTTCGTTGGGAACGAGATGACGAGTGACATGTTTGAGGGCTGCTGGCCATGTGGTGATTGTCGATGCGTCCGGCACCGTAGGGGTTGAAGACATGCTGCGCACTTCTTCCTGTCGAATCGTCTGGCTTGGCAATGTTGAAGGCTTGGTTTGTTGTCGATGAACAGGAGGAGGGGTGATAGGTCTTTGCTGAGTTTCGGGCTGGGCAAGCAAGTATAACCCGGGTAGGACAGGCGCATGTGGTGTCCCAGCGGTCGGAGTGTACTGTTGAGACGCAGCATTGAACGTGCCCATTTCCGAGATGGTCGCTGCTGGTGGTGGCGGAGGAGCATAGCTATTCAGAGCGGCAAGCACCCTTTGGAGTTCCGGATTGCGATAACCTTCCATCTTCGCGGCAAACAGCAATGAAACTTCAAGGATGGCAGAAACAAAAGAACAGCGCCATAGGAGCAAGCAGACAGGAGCTGCTACTTGCCACAGCCCCGGTTGTGAACACTCTAATTCAACAGGTGATACTTTGCCACTTGGGGAGCGAGACACGGACACAGGAAGGGAAGAGTATGTAATTCAGGTATAGGCTAGCAGGTCATAAAATCACGCGGTAGAGTTCAACCATGGTGAATGTCTGGTGGTCTTGAAGTCCAGCTGCCTTGTACCACTACAACTTGAATGTTGTGTACTTGAAGGCATGAAGTTCAACTTGAAGTTGCCAGATTGAGCCGCTTGGCACAAATTCCATCGCTGGTTGGTTGAAGCGGGCGGGACCAGGAAGGCCCCTGCCAGGCAAGTCACTACCTAGGTACCTATGTATTCACTCACTTCTTTCATGCTACCAGTGTGAAGCATCCATTCCTCCGGTACCCCTGGCCTGCCTGGCCAGCTATTATGGCGAATTTCAGGGCAAAGTTAAGTTTAGAACATGCACCGCAGCGGCTACGGCATCGAGTGTCAACTCAAACGGCAGCATCATCCAGGTTGTTGATGGCTGTGGGACTTGCCCAGCATGCAGTGACGAGAGAGAGGTTGAGTCTATATCATCGTGAATTGTGTATTAGTCAAGGCAGTTCAGGATTAATGAAGCCATTCATGGCATATAGCGGCACTCCGGGCCGTGTGAACGTATCTCAGTCTCCGATTGACCGATGCTAAAAGCCGCCAGGAGTTTCGAAGCTGTGAATTGCTAAGTCATAGCACCAGCACCACGAGGAAGCGGAAAGAGTCCACCCAGAAGAATAGACCGCCGGTGTAGACTAAGGTCAATCAAGAAACCCATACTTGATAGTGGGATTGTCCCCCTCTAAGGTGTGAAAGCCAGTCGCCTAAAGCATTGATCCAGATGTGTGTACTATGCTAGTATCGTAAGGCATGCTTAACTCTGTCGGAACCGTACATTGGTAGGGCACCCGCCAAAAGAGACAAAAAAGAAATCCCCTACCATGGTTTGAACCAGCAAAAACTCAACCCTCGGAACCCAGCTACACGGTTGTAACTGAGGTCCGAGGGATGAGAAACCACTTGGTGGTTTTTTATCCGGTCGTTTCGTCAGGTGCACTCCTACCATAAGGCCTCACAAGTAGAGGACGCTATTTTCGGTAGGCACCTTCGTCCAGCCCTGGAGTCTCACTCTGCCGTACCACCGGTAAGGTGGGGGGGAATGCTTTACGCAGGTCTGTCCAGTCAGGGGTCCGCCTCTAGGATTCACGGCTTTGCCCAAGTGCAGCTGTCTCATATCTGGTGGCCACACCCTTACGCCTCGGCTAGCCTGGCCGCTCAAATTGAGCCACCAGGGCCGAGACCCGGGATAGATATGGGAATTGTTGGGGAGAATTCGGTGACTTTAATATATCTGGACAATAAACAAGTGAATTAGCGTGGTTGGCCAATCAGAGGCTGGGTATCCCAGCACTGGGCGGCGGCAGTATTCACTGCAGTGACCTTGGCGAAGGAGCGTGGGTACTAGGACCAGTATATTGACTCACTCTAATCATTATCACTCTCTTCCAATCCTGGGAGGCTCAACAGCTCGACCCTCACGTACTCAGGCCAGTCTCTGACCTCCATACCGGGACCTAAAAACCGCTCCCATCTTAAAGCTCTCGTGCCCCTTCTTCCCTTTCAGCGACAGTGTGAGAACAACGATCTTTGCAAGATGACTTCGGCTTTGCCGCTCCAGCACGATGAGGATATCTCTCAGATGCAAGCCAGCGCGAGTGCTGTTCGCCTGGTGCGCCAGACGTCCGCTCCGAGATACTTCGGTCCGATCGGTGTATCTTGCGCAGAGATTCCCTACCAATGATTGTCACCAACGGCGCCGAGACTCCCTCCCGCTTCAGGGGGCGCAAGAGACAGCCAGACCAGCGGAGACTTATTGAACAGGTAGGCATTGGCTGGTAATGACAGCTTTCCTGACCTTTCATGGACAGGGTTTCTGCTCGGCGAGGCGAACTGTGCGTTGGTTGTCTCCAAGTCTCAGCAGCCTTATCCATCCATCCGCATCACACCGGCCTCCATCCCAGTTGGGCACCTACCCAGATGCTTAGGGGATGCTTGGAGCGTCCGAAAGCAGTCTGCATGGTGAATCGAACGGTCACCCAAGGACAGAACAACCCCCCGGGCCGGAGTGAGCTCTCTAACACAACCCGGACAGAAACCACTTACACTGCTTCGAGCATACCAAGGCAGTTGGACAGAATGTCCATCAGAAAGCTTCTCTAAAACAAGAGAAACTCTCTCAGGCAGTCTCCTGACATCTTGCTCAATTGCTACGAGTTCAAGGTTCCTGTAAGCCTCGCAAGCCCACGACAATTGGTCAGAGACTCAACCCTACCATGTGGAGGCTGCCATGTGCAATTGCAAAACAGAGACTCGGTCAACATGGCAAGGCTGTCCGATTCACCGCAACTCAGCCTGGACGCAAAACATTCCGGGAGGCGGTGGGTAGGGGTTATCAGAGTCGTCGATCGTTTCTGCGCAGATGCATTTTTATACCTACGCTGCCATCTCGGCCGTCAAGCAGGGTGGTCATAGCATCCACTGATATATCGTAGCATTCTCATATGTCAATACTACTTTTCAAATGGTAGAACTTCCAATTCTGACATTGGTGGGTGTGATAAATGTCGACCAGCGTATTGCACCGCGCGCAATTACGCGACCGTAGACGGCATCTTCGCCGGGGTTTATGATTACCTAAGCCTCCTGCGGATGCTCGAAGCTCAAACTGCAGGGTGCAAGTTCCCCGAAATCTTCAAATCAATTATTCATTGCTGCCGGATTGAATCCATTTGAACGAAACCCACTGCAACTGCACAGCGACTGTTGATACCGGCAGGGAGAATCTCATGTGCACTGAATTCTGTTCCAGCGACTTCTAGTATTCAGTGTCCATTCTCTGTCCCTCGTGTACCACTACGGCCCTACAATCAAATCCAGCAGCCCAACTGCAACCAACAACACCAACAGCAGGAGCAGGAGCAGGAGCAGGGTAAACTCTTTCTCCCTCCGCCGGGCTCAAGCCCTGCCGCGACTTTTACTCTCGACTCTTGTGCTTCATACGAAGCCAACACTACTAGGACAATGTCCCGTCGTCCTCCCTCCGACGCCTTCACCCGCTTCACCTCGACGACACCGCACGCGATGCAACGGCCCGCAACGACATTTACATATCAGCCAGCGTCACGGCCGGCCGCCGATCCCTCTCGACAATCACCCTCTTCATCATCACAACCAACTACTTCTCGCTCGCAAGGTCCGCCGGGCGAGACGCCACAGGAGAGAGTTGCCCGACTCCGAGCGGCCGCCCGAGCGGCCAAAGAACAAGCGGCCTATTCACCACTAGAGCGGGCGATCGAGGTTGGACGTCGCGTGGCCGACCGCGCCCACCGGTTCACGACGTATGGATTGCTGCTGTTTGCGGGCGTCTCGACCGTCGTCGCCATCTACGGAACAACCAGCTTGATTGCCCACAACCGTCGACAGAAGCGGGCCTGGATCGAGCGCGAGCTGGACCGCCTAGATGAGGCCCGCCAGGCGTTCCTGAAGGGTGAAGCCAACGCCGAACAGCTGCATCTGTTGGAACAGGAACGGGCAGGCCAGGAAATGGAGGCCGCCAGGAAACGCGAGGCCGAGCGGAAAAAGAGCGAGAGCTACTGGAGCAAAATCAAGGGCATGGTCGGCGTCCAGATGGCAAAGGGCGACTTGGGTCAGGAGACCGAGGCCGAACGCGCAGAGAGAGAGGCGAGACAGCTCAGGCGGCAACAGAGAGATGCCGCCGCCGCCCAAGAAGGTTTTATCGAAGGCGAGGTGCGGCCTGTGGCTGTGGCCGTCGCGGAAAGCGGCATCAAGGGTGTTGGCATCGACTCCAAGGGCAGACCGGTGCCGGCGGATAAAGTGGAATATGTTGCGGCCAAGGCTGAAGACTCGAGGAGGACCGGCGAGAAAGATGTCACTGCACGCACGGGAACCAAGGGCGGTCCTTTGGATGCTCTAGCCGAGAATGTTGCCGAGGCCGTCAACCCTTCGACAGAAGGTCAAGGTTGGCTGAGTTGGCTCAGGGGCAGTAGATCTTAGGTGCAAAGCATGGGAAAAAGATAGCGGTGTGATGTGCAAAAGACATCAATTGTGTATTGATTGAAATGGTAGCGCAATGTGCATAAGGCTGGCGCTGCTGGGTCTGAAGGGACATATCAACTCCTGTAACAAGACAAAACTTCTAATCCTTCATGTGCCATTTCCTCAGCGGTAGGACGAGTTGCCGACCATGCAGCCCCTTCTATGCTATACTAGTAACGTGTCTTCATGCTCTCATGTTCCTTCATCGTAGTGTCATATGCGTCGTTCGCGAGGATGGGTCTGTTCAGGTCCACAGTATATGGCTGTAATGGCCGGGAACCTTTTGAAGACACTTTTCGCATCCCTGAAGGAATCCCATATGGAGTTTCGCCGTTCTTAAGCGTCCAGGACTATAACTCCCATCGAGATGGGCCATATGCCTCTCCATTGGTTGCGGTTCAAACCCACCATCTCTAGTCGCGTGTCGACCGCCTGACCCATTATTGTTGTGGTCAAGCAGCATCGCTGTGTCCGGATCCTGGTCTTCCGCCGGACTAGGCAGGCCGTCGCGGGTGATCCATGATTCCTGTTCGATCATGGGGCTCAGATTCGTGCGCAAAGGCGGGAAATGATGGCGCGGAACGCTGGGCAACTCGTTCACCCGATGATCAAAGTTGCAACTGATGGGGGTAGGGACTCTTTCCCTGTCGGAGGGACTTATAGTAGAGCTGAGGAAGTTCGAGTCTCGATACGGACCGATGATATCATTGGATCGAGCTCGCCTTACTTTCGTCTGTGCTCCGGCAATAGGGCCGAGATCCATCTCGACGTCAAGCGACGAATTCCCTGATTGTGGCCCTCGGTTCTCGTCGTTATGATTCGGCTGCTGTTGGAACGCCGTGGAAAACGCCTTGCAAGACGGATCATGTAGATCCCTTGAATGGCCAGTACTTTCATCGTCGGACGTGTCTACCGGCGTTGGGGGCTGCTGGTAGATAGACGTGAACATGGAAAAGGCCGGAGGGACGGAGACCTGCGTCCGGGATGGCGGTGATACACGGATTGGCAAGGAATGAGTTGCCCTCCTTTTCGGATCGCGGCCGAACAACAAATCCTCGCTCACATCTCCTGCCAACCTTCGCTTTCGCTTGTGGGAAGCGCTATCGAACTGAAAGGCAGAATGGACTTCGGCCATGGCTGAGTCGGTGGGGTTGAACGGATTGGGAGCGGACATAATAAATTGACCCCCTAGTGGTGACTGAACAAACGGACGATAGCCTCTTTATCTGTCTACAGACATGCCTGCGCTCTGAACGATGAGGGAGTCGATCAAACGTTGGCACTGTCGCGAGTTCCTGAGAACAGGTGATGAAACATGAACAATCTCGTTGAGGACCAACCAGGGCGCGTCGCCGAGGACAAGCGATCAGAGGCGAGTGACCACTCGTCAGATAAAGAGGCGAACCTCGGGAAGATGGCGATCCGGAAACGAGACTTGCTCAGCCTCAGTCGAATATGATATCGTGAAGCAGTAAGAAGAGATATTACAAAGTGTGAAGCTTGGAGATAGAGAGATCCTGGAGTCCAGAGTTTCGGAAGCCGCAGGACGGAAGTTTGTACGGGTTCATCATGACAAGGCAAGCACCACTGGAGTGAAGTAAGCAGTGGCAGTCGGTTAGGGGGCAGCCACTGCAACAGCCATAAATGTTTCAGCCACAGGTACTCCACGTGACATGATCAATTTCACGTGATCTAGTCACGTGTCAGAGGGTCTGGCCCTCAATGGCCGCGTTAGAGCCGTAGCACTGTAAATCATGGCTTGCGCCCTCACCGCCTTGACCCTCCGATTTTTTTTTGCCGCAACGCAATTGAGTCTCCATTCATTCGTTTGCGTATGAATCATAATCCCACTCGGATTGAAGTTAATGCTCCTTATTTATCCCAGTGACTGTCGAGCTCCGTTGTCGTATTTTTCCTCTTGCCTTTATAGCTTTACCTTCCTACAGTGTGTCTCTATTTCTACCCGCCTGTCCGTCTCACATCTCGTCCGATTGTCGAGTCACTTCGGTAGACCCTCGCCTCCGATTCTCTCACCGCAACCCACCAACAGACACATTAATCATGCCTGCGATCGACACAGCGTCACCGATCGAGGTGGCCGAGGATGTGCGAGTTCTAGGATACGATCCATTGATCCCACCGGCACTTCTGCAAAGCGAGATCCCGGCGTCACGGACGTCGCTGGAGACGGTGGCACGGGGGCGGAAAGAATGCAAAGAGATCATCCACCAGCGGGACGACCGACTGCTGGTGATGGTGGGACCATGCTCGATCCACGACCCGGCGACGGCACTCGAGTACGCCGAGCGACTGAAGAAACTGGCCGAGAAGCTGTCGGCGGACCTATGCATCGTGATGCGAGCATACCTGGAGAAGCCGCGGACGACGGTCGGCTGGAAGGGACTGATCAACGACCCGGACATTGACGAGTCGTACAAGATCAACAAGGGCCTGAAAGTCTCGCGCCAGCTCTACTCCGACCTGACCAACATGGGCATGCCGATCGCCAGTGAAATGCTCGATACCATCTCGCCTCAGTTCCTCGCCGACCTGATCTCCCTGGGCGCCATTGGCGCCAGAACCACCGAGTCCCAATTACATCGGGAACTGGCCTCGGGTCTCTCGTTCCCCATCGGCTTCAAGAACGGCACGGACGGTTCCTTGTCCGTGGCCATTGACGCCGTCGGCGCCGCTGCCGCCCGACACCACTTCATGGGTGTCACCAAGCAGGGCCTGGCCGCCATCACCAAGACGGCCGGGAACGAAGACGGATTTGTGATCCTGCGCGGCGGCTCCAAGGGCACAAACTACGACGCCGACAGCGTCAAGGCCGCCAGAGAGGCCCTGAGACAAAAGGGCCAGCGCGAGGTCATGATGATCGATTGCTCTCACGGCAACTCAAAGAAGAACCACCGGAATCAGCCCTTGGTTGCCCAGACTATCGGAGACCAATTGCGCCAGGGCGAAGACGCCATCGTTGCCGTTATGATCGAGTCCAACATCAATGAGGGCAACCAGAAGGTCCCTCCCGAGGGCGGTCTTGCCAGCCTGAAGAAGGGCGTCAGCATTACCGACGCCTGCATTGACTGGGACACCACCGTCGAGGTGCTCGAGCAGCTGGCTGATGCTGTCCGAACACGAAGACAGGTCAAGGCCAAGCAGCAGAACGGCACCAACGGTGTGAATGGTCACCATTGAGACGGTTGGACCACGAGCGATTGGCATGGCCAACCATACTCTTGCCCAGCCAGTGACTTTCTCCAGTGACTCTATCCGAAGAGAAAAGAATATGAAACTCATCGCTGGCATCGTCGTGGCTGGTCGACCCCGTTTCCTGGTCTGTTCGTCTTTGAGTAAAAGCTAGCCCATGATAGAGTGGGGGATTGGGCTCAAAAAGCCAAAATACCGCATCACATTTCGTTCAGGGTGATGGTGTTGGTGGAAGCACAGGAGTTACCTTATTTATCCTTACCTTATTTATCCTTTGGCTCTGAAACGAGCCTTCCGAGAAGGGAGAGGAGATACGTAGCCCTTTAAATGAGACAGGAGGAAATGATCGGAATCATTAAGTCGTATTATTAAGCATACATTGTGGACGATCATCCCATATGCCGTGCTATCCTCGTAACACCATGCTGCTATCAACCAGCCCATGCTTCTCTATGCGCTGACTGACTTGCGATATCAAGAGCGTAACAAACTACTTGTAAACCTTGCTGCCTGCCTCCACAAAGTCATGCGGCCCGAACATGTCCTTCCCATGTCTGCTCTGCCTGGGCCTTTTCATGTTTCGCCCATTCTCGCTGCTTGTTGAAAACCAGACTGAACCCCTCATCGGTGCGTTATGCGTTACCAGAAAGAGCACCAGCCAATGTAGTGCTGGCACAAGTTCTCCACGTTTGTCGCCTGGAGAATCAACCGATCCACTTGCTCAGCGACGCCGAGCCCACCCACGCCCGCCATGGTGGTCTCGGGCGCCGTGCCCGCAATCGAGACTGGCTTGTTCGGATCAGCCCCGATACCAGAAACATTGTTCATGGTGCCGCCATTGACGTTCATCAGAGCCTCGAGACCGAGCCCGTGCAAGTCCGCTGCCAAACGAGCAACACTGGTGCCAGGAGCCGCCGGCTTGAAATCCCGACCCGTCAATTTCTCCTTGACCCGCGCCAGCACTTGAAGAGCGCGGGCATTCTGGACTTCCTTGGCGTCCTGCGCGGCATTGTTGTTATCCTGTCCCTTGGCAGTGTCAAGGATGCTGCCACCGCCCATTGCCGGATCGAGGATGCTGCTGCGCCGGTGTCTGCGGCCCGGTGGAGCCCCGACATGACTTTGTGCTGTGCCACCCATCATCGCTGCCGGGTTGTTGGCGGTCTCCATCGGACTGCGTTCGAAGTCGGCGCCGGCTTGCGCGCCAGGAGCATCAATAATACTCTGTCGCCGTTCAGACCGGAAATGTGGTCGGGGAGGAGACTCGCGGGTGTTGAGTCGCCAGTTAAGCAACGGGTCGTGGATGAAAGCCTCGAGCACGGCGAGCAGAGACTCCTTGTTCTCCCGAATCACCCGCATCACGTTTTCACAGGTAATTCTGAATGACCCTTCGATGTTGCTCACCTCCATGGCAAACGTGAGCATCCGTGTAAGACGGAAGGGCACCCGTTCCGGATATTTCTCCCGATGCATTGCAACCTCGAAGCAATCACCGAAATCAATATGAATAATCTTGCCGGTGATCCGGTCGAGCATGAGGTTTGAAGGGTGACGGTCGCCCAATCCCAGAATATAGCCAACCATGGACATGACGGCCAAGGATCTGGTGTAGTTAGTTCGTCGATCCAGCCACGCCTCGGAACTCTTGGACTTAAGCCACAGCACGCGGTACAGATCCTTGCCCGTAGTGTTGTCCATTGCATACCCGAACACCTCTACCTTCTGCATGAGGGTGAGGTTGTCGTAATCGGGTGCCATTTGCAACATGATTCTATGCTCAATGTTGAGAAGGATACGCCGCGATTCTCGGTATTCCTTCACAAGGTTGTGGAGGGTATCGGAGTTCGGGACCCAGCCCAGCAAGCCAGAATTCTGCGACAGTGGAATGGCAGGGAAGCGCTGGATGTTGAGGTGGCGCTTAAAACACTCCGTGTCATTGTTGAGCAGTGTGTTGACAAGTCCAAAGAGCTGCATCACCCGTTCATCCTGACGGATGTCTTCGTGGCCCTTGAGGACAAATGCGTACTGCTGACCATCGGAGCCTCTCAAAGTCATTTTTCGTGGCCGTTGCTTGGAGGGTATTACGGTGAGGACGTGATCGAAGCTCACGATGCTGATGATCGGCTTGCCAGATTGGTATGTCCCAGGAACGGCGAGGTCGAGGTCATGTGCATCCTTCAACCGTGGCGAGACATACTTGAGATCGAGGCTCATCAACTGTGGCAGTTGACGAGCGATCTTGCGGAAAACGGCGTAGTACAAATCCCAGGCCTGGTTCAGATCGCCAATCTCCTTTGACCGACGGAAAGCATTGCAGAAGGCCCTAGCTTCGGCAAGGTCATGGCCGAATGCTTGGGCAAAAGAGATCTCTCTGAGGGTTTCAGGGCCACGGTCAAGGAGCTCATGTAGTGGAGCAAGCGTGGCAAGCATTCCTTCTACATCGTGATCTCCAAAGTAAAGGCGAGAAGCTTCCTCCAGGCCTTCGTGCCAAAGCTCGTGCCACAGCACCGCGACCCGAATTAATTCGTGACTGACGAGATCGGCTTGCTCGACAAGCCGTGGACTATGCACTCTCATACTGTCCATGATTTGGGTAGCGGAGTTCGCACGACGAGCAACCGACGATTTCATTGCCACCGTCAGAGGATAAACGAGAGCTTGAGGATGAGCTTTACCGACTTCTGCCAAAAGTCGATGCACAGCTGCTCTGACCCGGGCATTGGGTTGATTGATTCGTGCGATCAATTGTGGAATCACCTCCAACCACGTGTCGATGCTGACAGACGCAAAACCTTCAATGATCACTTGGTTCACTTCTGTGTGGCCGCCATGTGCAAACCAAAGTGTCAAGAGTCGTAGTGTGTCCTGGAGCGAGCTGGATTTGGACAATGCAATCGATCGGAAGAAGCCTCCTATAGCCGGAACGACATGATTCTGAATAACATGCTCCGGAATATTGCGGACCTTCTCCTGGTCCGTATGAGAGGCCATAGAAGTCACCACTTCAAAGTTTGCCAGGGCGTATGCATGCCATGCCTTATACCAAGACTCGTTGTACTGAGTTGCGGCCTGGTATGCGTTCAAGATATCCCGCACAGCATCCTGGGCACGAGGGCTTGTCCAGTCACCTCTGAGCAGGTAAGACTGCCACTCTCCTATCCGCAAGTAGCATTTTGCGAGTAATTTTGCCCGCTTTTCCAACTCTTCGTGCTTGCGTCTTTGGACAATCGTGTCATGGCCGTTCATATCAAGTCCATTCATCCCATTCAATCTGTCCGTGTGCATCCCAGTGGACAAAGCAGTGTTGGCCTGCTGGAAGTCATCCGACAGACGCATTGTGAACTCACGTAAATAGGCCAATGCTTGCTGTTGATTGCCGGTAGCCCAATTGAACTTGAGCCGAGCGTATGCTACAGGAGGTGGAGCTGAGCCTGCACCGGCGGCGAGATCGCTAACGCCCCCTAGCGAGGCTAAAGATCGTTCGGCCAGCCCGATACGGTCTGATTTGCGACAGAGGTTGGCGAACTTGATCCAAATGTCGGGATTCTCGGTAGGCGTAAGGACAAGGGCCCTGACCTTGAGCATACGCTGCCAGACCTCGACATTCGACTGGCAGCCTAGCAGTCTCTTATTCCACAGCATCTTCAAAGAGTTCTGCTTTTCAGGCTGTCCCTCGCTTTGTTTGTACACAATGATTTCCTCAAGCTCAGCGAGCATCTGTGTTCGAACGACGACGCTGTAAGCTCGGTTGTAAGACTCGCCAATTGTGGCAGTGATCTCGGAATTGACGCCATCTCGAGCGCGAACAATGAAGTTGTGCGCTTCCGCAAAGTTGTTGCGTTGGATGGCAAGAATCGCGCCGAAGAACGCTCGGTCGGGAGAGGTTTCCTTCATAACGCTGATGTAGTTGTCCATGAGGTCCCATTCACCCCGACCCCAAGCTGCAGCGGCAGCCAGCGCTGACATGTTTTTGCGATTCTCTTGACTTGCGTTATTCCAGTGCTCTTGTGCAATTTCGGACAGCATTTTCCATTCGCCCAAGGCATGCAGACAACGCATTTTGCCCATGACAATATCAAAGTTGTCAGGCTCGACTTTCTCGCGTTTCTGGTATGCGGCCAACGCCTCTTCCCACCGCTGCAATTTCTCGAACCATGCCTCTTTCAATTCAACCTCGCCGAAGACTTGCGCTCTACGCAAGATTCCAATAGCTGCATCGGACTGTTGAAGCTGGTTATTGATGCTGATAAGAGCCTCGACACTTTGACTGTTCTGATCTTGTTCGAACTCAAGTTCCTTGTAATGCAGAGCTTTTGCGAACGCATGGCATTTGGCAGCAAATCTCCCGAGTGTCCGTATGTCGATGGGAAGAGACTTGTCATCATGCTCCATGAACTCAGCCAGGTTGAGCAATGTTTGTAAGATGTCGGGAGGGATGTTCGTGGATGTCAGGGCTTTCTCAATCGAACGGATAAGCTCCTCTTGATACTGATCGTATAATTCTGTCCAACAGGAGACGAACGCAGAATTAAATAAGTCCTTGGCCAGCGGTTGATAAACGGTAGCGAGACTTGCACAAGCTCGCAAAGCATGTGATGGGGATTCCTTCAGTAGCTCGACACTGAATCTCCTCATCCATTCTTGCCAGTCTTCCTTTGTCGACTTTTGGGACGTGTCCCATGCGTTCTTGAGATGTTGTTGATTTACCGGAAGTCGCATGGAGGTGATGTTCGAATAGGAGGTATCCTCCGCGGGTATCCCATATTGTTCCTCGGGATAGAAGTCCACCGGCAGGGCTTTGCCTGTCTTGAAGTTCTCGATCAATTTCTGAAATCTTTCCGAGTTGATCTGGCCAGCTTTCGTTGCTCGCTCCACAAGGGGCAGATAATGTGCGAAATCTTGGCCTAGGTGATAGATCAAGGCGCAAACACAGTCCAGGGCGGCGGCCTTGAGGGAACGCTCTGAGGAGTTTGTGGCGACCTTTTCTGGAGAGGACAATATTTTGGCCAATGGATGGATCATGAGCGAGGCAAAGTCGGTCAGGTTCGCGGTTCTAGATAATTTACCCAGAGTCTCGATAGCGGCACGTCGAGCATTTGGGGGAGCGGTCGGATTCTCAAAAATGCCAACAATTGCTGGGACAATCATGTGCATGTATTCCTCGCCGCTGGACCCAAAGACCAGAAAAGTGTGCAAGATGCGGATCGAAGCTTCTCTTCGCGGGTCAATATCGTTCTCGATCACGGCAAGCATGAGCGGTAAGAGACCAGCCAGGTATCTGCGGAATTCTCCCTCTAGAGACTTCGAAATCGCCTCGATCAACGATAGGATTGTAGACTGGACTTGTCTCGATGTGTTCCAGAAATCTCTGATGACTTCGATGATTTCCGGCAGGAAAGCTCGAATGTGTTGACGCACGATATTGACAAGTACCGCAAGTTGGTTGAAGTAAGATTCCAGGCGTGTCGGGTGAGAACTGCGAATGACAGCGAGAAAACCTGGGATGATCTGACCCAAGAAGGGTACACATTTCATGCCAATAGTCTTGAAGATAGTCACCACTGCGTCGATGACTGCACTGTGATATTGAACAAGTGTGTGGTCCGCTAAGATTGTTTGCATGAGCGTATTGATGACAACCGTTGGGTAGTACTCCTCGTTTGATGGCGTCAAGCCTTGCATGATGAGGGCCACATCCGAAACAGGTTGTGTCTCGGTCTTGCTCTGCTTTTCAGCCACAGACTCGCTCAACTGCTGATACTTGTAAGGGTCAAGGGCTCCCAGCACGCCAACCAGCTTGATGGCATCGGTCCGAAGCTTTTCATGTGCCTCGGTCTTGATCGCATTGATCAAGATGCCGAGCAGCTCAGGGTATTCCAGGTATGGATCTATCACGTACTGCGAGTTCACAGCAAGAGAGCCCAATGTCTTCATCGCCGCTTCGCGCTTGTCATGTGATCCAAGGTCTTGTAATGCCTCGATGATGATAGGCATAAGCTCCGGAATATGGTTAACCATCGCCTCACCACCGACAGAGGTCAAGTCTCCAAGAGCCTCTATTGTCGTTGACGCCACCCCTGGATTTGGATCTGTAGCTTTCGGCAAGAGAGCAGAGACCATTGCCTCCACGTACGTCTTGACCAAAGAAGTTGCATTTGACACGAACAAACTGATCAGTCGAGCACTTTCTTCCTTCTGCTTCGCCGTGTTTGAGTAGCCGAGTCCAGTCAGGAGGTTGACCAGTAGCTTCCGCAGAGGCGGGAACACGTAGGCTGGATTGACGGTGGTTAGCCTGCCGATGATCTCAATGGCAGCTTCGCGAACGGCGAAAACCTCATCGTTGACAGCCAAAAAGAGACATCTGATGTTCTCAGGCCTGGCCAAGTGCTTGTCAAACTTCTTGTCTAGAGCGCGGAGAACCGTCATCCGGATTTCGGGATCCGGGTCCCCAACCGCCACAGTTAGCAGCTTGTCGACAACCTCGCTCACAACCTGGATGGCGTTGTTGCTGGTCTGGTGTAAGATGGGGTCCTGCATAAACAGCTGACAACACGTCAGAGCTGCCGCACGTCGGATCTCTGGATTGTCATGTGTGGCATAGCGAAGGGTGACATCCCGCACAAACTCGTTAAGAATGTGGCCGGAGAAATCAAACTTTCCAAGAGTTACGAGAGCAAGAGTAATCTCACTGTCCTTGTGTTCAGATGGGAAGCCACCATAGTCCTTAGCAAATGATGGAAGGGGTGGCGTGGCATTCGGCGGACATCCCAAAGGCCGGTAGGGAGACCGAACTAATATCAGACTGAGGAGATCCAATAACTTGTCCTGTATCGTTGACCGAATGGGTGGGATATTGTGTGCCATGTCTTCCAAGGCTGCTTCCATAGGCTCGGTAAGTCCACAGGCGAAGATTGGGTCGAGAAGAGCTTCCATATACTTGCTGAGAGTCTGTCCCACCGCGCCAGCAAGCATGCTGATACATTTGAACATTGGACCTTCGTCCACCGCCCCTCTGTTCTTGGTCTTCGCGCTCAGAGACTCCCGAATGTAAAGTATAATGCCATCCAGGTACTGTGCGATCGCGCTCCCAACGGCCTTGGCTATCTGCCCGATGGCCAGGAAAGCTTGGTTGCGTTCTTTTTCGCGCTTCAGTTGTGCTTGGAGGTAGATCATGAATTTGTGGAGGTAATTGTTGATGAACTCGAGCGGCGCATACTCGGCGAGGACAGGAATGATCTGGACGACTTGCGTCCGGATTCGGGGATCGCGATGGTCCTTTAATCGCAGGACAATCTCGCACGTATTTCTGTAAAAGTCATGCATAAACATGTTTCCTTGCTGAAGCAGTTCCATGAGGATCAGGAGTGAACCCAGCGTCTCATCGACGGTTGTGTTGGGCCGAAAGCCTTCCAGAGCCTTGGAGTATATTTTTGCAAACCAGTGGGCCTGGAACTGAGTATCCCTTGCAACCATAACCCCAAAGCACGCGCTGACAGCCTCGGCGGCTGTCTTTCGTATGAGATCCTTGGGATCTCGCAGCGCATTCCAGATCAGCTCAAATATCTGTGGAATGAAGCCGTAGACCAGGGTAGGGGAATTCTTCGCCAGCTCGCGTATCAGCAACACAGCAGCCAGTCTGCGACTCTCCTGTTTACTTTCCGGTTGCAGCCATTCAAAGGCCGATGTCATTTCGGCTTCGACCAGTTCCGCAGTATAAGCCCCTCCAGGCCGGGCAAGATGCCCCAGCGCCCGACTGGCAGCATCCAGGACAGTGTAATCATTGCTCTTCAGGGCCGCACGCAGATAGTTGGAGTACTTTGATGCCTTTTGAGCCGCATCGACCGCTTCACAGTCTATCAGACGGTCCAACGCTAGGACTCCGCCCAGCTTCTCGTTCGAATCCGGTGCTTGGACGATGAGGTTGCTGATGCGCTGGGTAACCCGGTCGTAAAATGCACTGAACCGCTCAGGGGACCATTCTGACAGGGTATTAGTTCATCGTCAGTACGAGATGCATCCTGAATGCCCTTACCTCGTGATAGCAGCGTGATGAGATCCCGCAACTCAGTCGCAGCCTTATTCTTGACTTCATCATTCTTGCTGCGCAATTCGGTAAAGATGCGCTCACTTGGGTCGGGACCCTGGCCTTGCACCGCCATGATGCAAGATCATGGTCCTTGGGCGACGAACACCCTGAACACCAGAACAGATTGTGGAAGGACACAGAGAAAGGTTGCCTGAATTGATGTAGCAGGAATGCAACTAACTGTCACGCGGTCTTCACTTCTGGGGTCGACGTTGGCCACTGCAGTTCACGTGCCACTACTCCGCACTACAACTAATACTGGGGAGTAGTGCACGCAATGCGCTTATCTATCTGCAAAAATATGGAGGGTGTTCGGCATATAAGCCCAGACGCTTTGAGCCAGATCACATCAAAACACGGAAACTGGCAGTCATGTTCTGTTGATATTGCTGACGTTGTAACTGTGGCTGTTATTCATGACGCGTAATCAATGGTGAAGCGGATCATAACAGACAACCCGCGGACTGGGCGTTAAGGTGGCATTGCCCAAGTCTTCAAAGCGAATATGACAAAGGAGGGCAGGGGACAATGTGATTGATTGCACTGGTTTGTATTCCAGTGGCTTCTTATCCGTTGCTGACGTCCCATCCTCTCTGCTGAAGGGCATCAAGCACCGCAGCAATGAGAAAAGGGTAGTGGTAGAAAGTAGCAGCAACAACAGACCACCCCCGAGGCCCAGCCCTCAGCCATTATCATGGGAGTAGAACCCACATAAGCTGGTGTTGCTGAGCTCTTTGGGGTGTCTGTTCGTGCGCTTGCTTCCACTTGCAAAAGTGTGCAATGTCTGGAGCATGTAGCCGAGCTTGTTCCAGAGCACACGTAAGGTTGTCCTCGGCAGAAAAGAATGTAGGTCAAACCTCTTGGTTCCACCTACAAGTCCGTCTTCTTTTCTTGGGAGGAGCTTTCACGTTTAAAGAAGATACTGGCTGTTATAGTGAGAATGAAAAACCTTCTACCTTGAGTATGCAACACAATGCTGAATGGTGGGAAGAAGGGGTACATAGACGGTGGAAATTTGCGCAAGGGATGGATAGGGAGATCTCAACTTCTGCAACTGGGGGCCCGCCGGCGCAATAGCCTCCGTGTATTGGTAGTGGTAGGGTCCGGATTCAAATCGGCGGAACTCCCTATGCCATCGTTAGCTCTGTCTCGGTTGGCAAAGCACAAATGGGAAGCCGCGCGATACCAGCCCAGCAGCAAGCAAAATCAGTGGACGCAAAGCGAAAGGTCGTCAGTGGCTTCATGTCCCCTCATCTTTGTTGGTCAGCCGGAATGGGTAATATGGAGGAGGGAATATGTGGCCTGAAAAGACTCTCATGTGCGATAAGCAATCGGTGAAGTTCCCCTTGCAAGACTCAAACGGTCTGCGGATTAATCAATCATAGCTAGCTCATGGCGACGTTGCCTTCGTGATCATACAATCCTCATAGCCTTGAAATTGACTTTCATTTTGCCTTAGCTGCGGCCTTCTGTGAGGCAGCTTCTCTGCTTTGAAGATCTCTTTCCATGGCCTCTGGGGTTTTGTAGCCTCCCAGTGTGACGGCTTGTTGTCGGCTAATGGTTTTGCCAATTGACGAGGCCAACTCAGGCCGAAGGCGTCTCAGTCGGTTAGCTCTTCTTTCGCCCTTGCTGAGCTTCTTCGAGGTTGGAGTCTGTAAGCTTTCGCTCGACGACGGAGCATCCTGCATCTAAAAACGTTAAGGACTGGCCCCCTAGACAACTGGTTCAACGCACCTTCGTGTCCGACTCCTTCTGAGCGCCACCGGATGGCTTGTTCTTTCCCTTCTTGGGCCCAGGAACTGCTGCATTGACAACCAGAGGATGAGGAGGAGGGAGGTGCCCAGCTGTGGCCAATGGAACATTTGTGGAGGCTGTGGATAGGTTGAGCAACGTCTGTCTCTGGGTCTCGTACAAGGTAAAGTTGCCGCCGATCAGGCACTCCAGCAGACTCTGAGGCTGTCCATGAAGTACTCGCTGCTCATATTCGTTGAGTTGATCCAAGAGCGTGCGATGTGCCGAGGAGAAACATGCCATGATGTTGTCGATCAAGCGTGTGCCGCCGGAGATATTATTATCGGGACGATTTGGATCGACAATGGTCAGCCGGCCATCTTTATCCTTGAAAGCATAAGGCATGTAGGAACTCTGAACGGCATGTTAGAAGAGCCAAATGAATGAAGATTGTACGCACCTTATCGACATATGCTGGCGGGTCGAGTCGGATCCCAACAGAATTCTTGTCAAAGACGTTGCCGTAAAGATTGAAAAACTCCAGCAAGACTTCCCCTAGATTCAAGCGTTGTTTTGTGGGTGGCATATGTTGAAGCAGGCTCGTAACTAGACATATGGTAGAGAAGCCGCCTAACCCGCCAGTAGCCACATCATTGAGGCCGCGAATCATGAGAAATTGTTTGACAATAGCCACGATAATGGGCATGGCCGGATACTCTTTCTTCCATTTCTGGAAAGTTTCCACAGCAGCAACACCAGAATCGTTGTCGAAACAGAGGTCCACCTTAAGGCCACTGATTCTATCAACGAATTTGATGATGGGAACCTTTGCAAAGGGGATGGTAATCACCGAGCCAGGTTTCGCCATGTTCTTGGTCCGAAGAAACTTGGCAAATATAGACAGGAGTCTTCTGCCTTCATCTTTCGTTGGAAGTTGTCCACGTCTATAGCCACGTGTAAAGTAGACCAGATCCATGTCGCCCGTTGGCAGGTATAATCCAGCGGCGTAGGACCCGAAAGCCTTGAGTTCACCAGGCATGCACTTTTGCAGGTCGCTACTAAGGCGCTGAAAGACACTGTCACGCACTTGCTGCTCGTAAGCCTTAGGCTTGATCCAGTGATAGAAGTCAATGATTTCCTTGTGTAGCCTGTGACAGTTAGCCTCACGAGACGCAGATGTGCATTGAAAGCGGACAAGACTCACGCAATGCCAGGAATATCAGTGCCGTCGGACGCAGTAAGCCAAGGTGCCGGATTCACGCCTTGTACTACTGCCCACCGCTGTTGTACCATGACGTCCCCAGAAGCCTTATTACGTGACGCTCTTCCCGGGGACTGGCTTCCAATAGTCTGTCCTCTCTTTCGTTTTCCAAGCACCTTATCTTCTGGGACGGCGGCGCTCTCTTCCGCCACCTCTACATCCACGGACCGGTCTTGAGGCGAGTCTAGAGGGGTTGGAGGAATAGAATCTGGAGGAGGTAGAGGAATAGAGTCGGAAGGCGGTGGAGGAATAGGTTCGGAAGGCGGTGGAGGAATAGAGTCGGAGGATGGTAGAGGAATTGAGTCTGAAGGCGGTGGAGGAGGAGATTCTGGAGGAGGCAAGATTGGTCCTGAATCTTCGGCATGGGGTTCATCTGCCTCGAATGAAATGAAGTCGTCCGCACTGGCGACAAGTCCTGGGTTTCGAGAAGACTCAATGCGCGCTTTTCGAATAAGTTTCAGCACGTCGGTACGCTTCGCAGTCCCTTCGGTGGTAGCGGGAGGGGGAAGAGCAGTGTAGGGATCCGGATTGGACCATTTGGGCGCTGGTGAAGGGTCGACCGTCGTGGCAGGTTCCCCAGTGCGCGCACGCTTTGTATTTCTCTCGTGCTCCTCGTCCTCAGACAGAGCCATCGCTTCCTCGTCGCTATCCGTCATTTCGTCAAGATTGCGGAATTTGGAGTCGGAACCCCGATCGCGAAAGGAAGAAGCTTCTTTTTCGTCATGTTGTAATCGGAACAATGGACGATTAGCTGCGGTTCTTGGAGGGAAAGGTCTGGCCAGTGGCGGGCGATTGCGATCGCGGTCTCTGCGCTGTGCGTCGTTTCGCGAAAATCCAGGTCTAGGCTGCGGGCGATAGGAATACTCATTTCTGTCTCCCTGGTCACGATTGTTGCCCTGAAAGTGGTACATTTCATTGCTACCAGTGGGAGCGCCAGGTCGCCATAAAGATGGCGCATCGTTGTCCTCACGCCGGGAAGGACGGTAAGAATCGATGTCACTGTGATGGCGCCGAGCGTCACCACCAGGTCGGTAGGAATCCATCAGGGTGACGGCTTTGTACCAGCTTCAAATTGAGATAGAGGTATCTTCTTAGCCATTCATAGTTGTTCGAACCTGGGGTGAGAGAAAGTTGTGAATCGCAGGCCGAAAATGTCGGCGCGACAGGTGCACTACACTAAACCCGGCAAGGCAGCCGATCGCGCCAGAGATCTCAAGTGACACAGACTTCACAAAAGTCTCATTTATGCGGTATTATTCCGTCACAACAATACGTTGTATACTGCCAGTGTCCCACTGAAATAAGCAAGCCACGACGCTCTTCTTGGTTCCATCCAGCGACCGTCGTCCCATGAAAAAGAAATGTGGCATCTATCCGTATCAACCACTTTTATCCTGCACCAATTAAGTGTATGAAGATCCTTGTTTTAGGTACTCATCGAGACCACACCGACCCATATCAATCACCAGCAGCCGGAATCACTCTTGACCAGCCTATCTCATTTCCAACCCCGCTATGAGACATGCTATCCCTTAGCCATTCGAGTGGATCCTGCTCAGTCCTCGCTGGAGGTTATCAATCAGGACTGTGTCCAGAGCATCCTCCTGAAAGCTGACTCTTTCTGTCCACCATTGAAGCCAGTTCTCTGCTCGTGAGCCCTCTTCAGCTCGCAACAATCCCACACTTACATCCACCAGATCTGGTCTCGTCCGAGAATGCCAGAAGACAGTTGCCCCGCAGGTTCCGCAGAAGTTCCGGAAGCAGTCTTTTGAGCTCTCGATCTCCTGCAGCGTGCCGATGCCATAATCAATTGGGCTGCCATCGCGTTGGCTGATATTGGCCTTGGGAATGAACGCCCAGGCCTGTATGGGAGATCCAGAACCAAGTCGGCAAGACCTGCACGCACAAGTCCCTGCAAGGTATTTATTCGCTCGCAGCCACCATTTCACATCCGTTGGATTTTCTGAGCTTGACGAATGATAAGGAACGAGCAGATCAGGAAAAGGTGAGGAACATGCGGTCGAGGCGGAATTCGGACGAGTCACCTGGAAGGCGACCCCTCCACAATAGCAACTTGCACTGAGCTGGTTGGTATGCATTCCCGGCTCACCCTCTGGAGCTGCCACGCCGCTGTTGCTATATGGCGGCTTGGCCCGCTCAGATCGACTCAAGGGGGGCCCGGCCGCTGTTAGCATGGTCGGGCCGTTCGAATCCTGTAAGAACAGAGGCGCTGAGCGGCCCTCGAAATCAGCTAGGCAGAGAGCCAACCCGCCGTCTTTGGTAGTGCCCACGAATTCATGCTGCATGACCTTTTCCAGACTAAGGCGGGAAACTTGCTCATGGCCAGGCACCTGATCAACGGACCCAGAGCAGACCATCCAAGAGTTCTCTTTGGACACATTATTGGCGAACATATGTGACCCGCAAGCAGGGCAGAAATACCTAGTCAGCCATGTAGACGAACGGTACTCGGTCAGATTTGCAACAGCCTTCGGTTTTGATGTGAGGGGAAGACAGGATAAGTATAGGAGCCCTGTCGTATATCGGCAAATGCTGCAAGAACAGGTGGAAACAGGGACTGGAAGGCTGGACTTCAGCTGCAATGATTCTGTGTTCTTGCCGCACAGGCAGGTGACATAGACTGTAGTCATGTTCTGAAGCGTGATTTTATCAGTAGTTGGGATCAGCACACTGGGATACAGACGGTGAAAGACCTGCAAAACCAGTCGACTGGGACAAGTCGTAGCATACGGCTGTAGAAGGAGTTGTTTGGCTTGCTAAACACTCACTGCATCGACATCGCTGTCGACTCCCGCATATTCTAGGTAGTAGGAGACACGAAGCGGGCATGCTGGCATCTCTGCCTGTCCCCCACTTCCTACTAGTACGAGATAGGGGGACCCCGGTGGGCTGATCGCCAAACACCGATAAAAACATGCTCAACTGCAGCCCCAGTTGCTCTCTTTCTCCCACTCTTCTTCTCTACTGCTACACAAAGAAGCAACCGAAGTCGCGTTCTTGACTTATCGACTTTCTTTCCTTGACGCAATCCGTCTTCCAACCAACAGTTGGAATCCAAAGAGTACAAGCTTTACACAGCTCCTGTCGTTTACATTATCGGCCAGCACAAAATGGGTACGATGGTCCACGCGTTCCAATTGTCTTGGACTTCAAACTCTGTTTGCTGACTGTGGAACTTCTTTTCTAGGTCCTTGCGGTTGCAGCTGTGGTTCCAGCTGTGAGTGATTGCCTGAAATACCTCAGTGTCCGACATTGGACTGTCGTTGCTTTTTGGTCTCGCCGAGGTGCAGCTGGCTAACAAGCACTTGAATACAGGCTCATGCCCTTCAGGCAAATGCACATGTGTACGCTCGGAAAATACCACCGTCTCAGAGCTTGCAGTGGTATCATCAACTGACTTTGTGTGCCAGAAATAAACGAACTTCGTGCCATGGCTTTGGGAACTCCCTTGGATCGGCCTGGTGCGCTTGACCTGCGGGAGCAAGCATACGTGCTAGCAACCAGACCAAGAACAAAGAAAAGGGAATGGAAACACAAAAGCCAAGAAGTTATGAGTGGTGTACTGTAGCCGAGGTGTGATGTGGTTGATGAGAGAGATGAGACGACGTGCTATGAGCGAAAAATGAGATGAGACGAGAAGATGTACCATGAGAGAGTTGAGATGAGCTGAGCTGAAACAGAACACTCATTATTGAAAAGTTGATGAAATGGGTCAAGAAACATGCTGCTGGACCTATGATCGGAGGTCAACTCAGTAGGTCTGCAATATAACAAGAAACCCTGCACACCTGGTATTCTTTGAGATGAGTTCTCGACCTCCAGTCTCTTGTGCCATTTCTCTCGAGTTTGCCTATTTCTCTCCCTTGGCCTCATGATATCGTGTGGTCTTCCTTCAGTGGCCATCATAAGACACATCCCTGTCTCCGGTTGCTGAGACATGCTTCAACAATTTTGCAACGTCCTTGATTGGTGTCAAGTCCTTTTCGACTTTGCATTCACCTCCCCACAAGCGCCTGAGCTGGTTTCGACCGCCACATTTCGGCATTGCGGTAATACGGGATGACACGCGGCACTGAACTGCTAACAGGCATAACTCTAAGACTTCCAGTATTGCAGTCTATGTCTTCTCGTTTGGAGTGTCACGGGCCCTGCACCCTCACCGGCTGCGCTCCTCCCCGACTTTCGTGTAGGTTCTGCACAAGTTGGAATTCCATCAAGAATTAACATGTTACGTCTTTGTGGTTTTGAGGTACCTACGTCTCAACCGCTTCGAAAGACTTTCGTCGTGATTGCCCATCGGCCTATCCCTGTGGATTGGGTAGGGATCTAAGCCCATACCGTGACCGATGAACCAAGTATACACAGGGGGTGAGGAGGTCCCGTCGGGCAAGATTAACGACTGGAGAGGCCTATCAAAAAATACTAGTAGTATCCAACACGTAGAAAGGGATACCTAGGTAAATCGTACAATGGTATGTCCATCCATAGACCAAAACAAGACGGCTTCCTAGGCCATGCGGGGAAGACTACGGTGCCGCGGCTTATCGATAATGATAACGATAACGATAACGATAAACAGTGACCACGGTAAGCCAATACTATTGGTGGGGGGCAATGTTGACCCCAACGTCATACGACAACTGAGGTATGTTGCTGTCCAGTGTCCGTTCTCCAAAATCTTTCAGCATACCACGATTCGCGTGTGGGATATTGAACCTTTCGCACGACCGAAACCATACTCGCTATACGACTCTCATACGCCCTGAGAGGTTCTACCTCAGTGACCATTTCCTAGCTCTGGAACACAAGACTAAAGCCACGCAGACTGACACCATGACTGAACCTCCGTCCCTGTCGTCCCGAGTTCGAGGCGGCCTAGTTGGGCTTGCGGTGTGCGACGCCCTAGGAGGACCTGTTGAATTCAAGCAACGCGGCACATTCCCCAAGGTGACATCGATGTTACCGAACGACAACTTCGGGGTAGGGGCGGGCTTTTTCACCGACGACACGTCCATGGCATTATGTCTAGGACATTCTCTGGTGGACTGCCACGGCGAGTCGAGGCTCGTCGACCAAGTCAGGCGGTACCTAGACTGGTGGAAGAATGGTTACATGTCGTCTACTGGGAAAACCTTTGACATTGGGGTGGCTACACTGAGGGCATTAGAGACATGGTCACACGAGTTGGACGCAAAGTACAACCACTTGCAGCCAGACTCGGTGGAAGCGGAAGAAGCACTCCGGGAGATTGAGAAGAAGATCCGAGACACGTTCTCGGAAGAAAAGTACTGCGGGAACGGCAGCTTGATGAGAGTGCTACCCACGGCCTTGATTGCCCGAAGCGAGCCGGAAGCGGTGGAGCTGGCGCGCGAGAGCTCCCTGACCACGCATCCTCACCTCCGTTGCGTACATGCATGTATGATCTATGCCACCATCGTCTACCAAGCACTCAACGGGGCCTCGAAAACGGAACTGGCTGTGAGCCTAGGCGAGACGGTCAACGACGATGCGGGCAATGTCACCGACTATGATCTGGAACCGGAGCTTAAAGACCGCTTACAAAGATATCGAGCTTTGGGAGACTGGGAGGCTACTGCGGTGGAAGAGATTAAAAGCTCGGGATATGTGGTGGACACTCTGGAGGCTTCTCTATGGGCATTTTTCAAGTCAAACAGTTTCGAGGAGGGCGCCGTTCTGGCCGTGAATCTGGGGGATGATGCCGATACCGTGGGGGCTGTCTATGGCGGACTTGCGGGAGCCTTCTACGGAATTGAACAGGTGCCGGAGCGATGGAGGCGCGATTTGCAGAGAATCGACCTGGTTGAGGAGCTCGTGGAAAAGATCCTCAAGTTCCGAGAGACCAATGTATAGAAGCAGCGGTTGGTGAACTTGTAGAAACCAATACAAGTTCTCCTTTAGCCGAACTCTGAGGAGTAGGCCATGTTGGTCGCAGACTCGAACACATGATGCTTAAGCCGCACATCCCGCAATGCTAGTACCAGGTACTGTAGACGAGTGTCTCGGAACTCAGAGTACGCTGTATATTCGTTACCGTACCATCAATCGAGATCTAGCGGATTGACCACGATGGCATCTTTGTTTTGCCACAATTCAGGCACCTGTTCAATGTTTGTACAACGTACTATGTACATCACTCGCTGCCAGTGAGAGACCTGAGTCCGACGTGAAACCCCCCACTTGTGACGTATCTCAGCCTGGCTTCCCCAGAAAACGCACTGCAGCCTTGCATCCCGCCACCACGGCCGTGCCTCGGACTCGGACTCGATATAAAAGGACCCCTCAGGCTGTGCTACCCCGGTCTTCCGTCTCAATATCAATAATATTCATCTACAATCTAATCAGACATCCATCCAAACCACGTACAACAAAGTCCAAAATGTCCAACTCAAACAACTACGGCTCCTTCGCCTCCGCCTCATCATCCACCTACATTTCATCTTCATCCTCATTCTCTTCCTCCAACAACAATAATCCATCGGTATCCAGCCACCGATACACCGAAACCATGACGAGTTCCGACCGCGACGGCACCACGATCCGACGCTCCGAAGAACAAAACGGCCAACCGACCCTGCACGAAGAGACTTATTATCCTCCCGCCGGTGGACGCATCACGAATGGTGGCCAACAGCAACAACAGACGCAAAATAGGATCGAAGATGTCACCGACAGTGATGCTGCCGCCGACCAAGCGGAAAGAGATCGATTGTACGAAGAGAGGATGGAGGATGAATATGCTAAGAGGGAGGGTGGTGCATAAAAACTGGTCATCATTTATACACTGGCATCCCGACCCATCCCATCCCATTGCATTCTATCGTATCCGTCGCCTTACCATTGGGTTGGGTGGTAAGCGGTGCTACATACACTGCAGCGCTACCAGTACTCTAGGACGGAACAACTATATTCGGTGCGACCTATGCGACTTCTCAACTCATATATGTACCTATATAATCTGAAACTTTTAGTTCACTGCCTGAATAAGATTGTGCTCAAGCCTCACTGCATGCAGTGCCACTGCAGTATCTTATATGCTTCTCCGCTCTGCCCCTCGCGAGATAAGTACCTAGGTAGTTGTACTTATTCTGATCTCCTTGGCGACAGGAATGGAAAGCACCACCCTTGGTCATATCTGTCGCGACACTATAACAAACACCGTGCCACCAGAGTCATAGGTACGCGGGCATGCAGTGGTGAACGGTCGTGGCTCATAGTCCATAGGTAGGTACCGAAGGTAAATTAGTCTTACGATGTTCACACGCCATGTCATAACAACGTCAATATCACTCGCGATCTAGGTATCAATCCATATGAATATGGCTTCGGGCGGCCAAGAAACAAAAGCAAAGCGTCCTTTGCGTAGGACGGAGACAAAGTGCTACCGGGAAGGCACCACAGTGGCACCATCAAAGACGAAACTTCCCACTGCCCTCTCCGTTTCTTGTCCCGGCTCGAGTTGTGAACCACAAACGGGAGACTCCTACTAGTACCCGGCTTGTCCCAAGGCCACTCCTTTCCCGATCGGCTGGCGTAACGCTGGGCGCACACCGATGCCGAGGGAGAGTCGGACGCCCTTTTCGCAATGCGAACTCTTCAACTCTATAGGTTGTTTTTGTTTTGGCAAACAGTCACTGCAGTTTGACCGACTTTATCCAGCTCAGGCATTGGGGCCAAGGCAGTGTCACGACTCAGGAGGTGCAATATCACCCTAAAAGGAAGCCCGGTATCGCCGCACGCTGGACGGGAACCACATCCATCAGAGACCACACCATATCGTGCCAGTATGTGACTCCGGACAAGCCCAAGCCCCGGTACTGCCCTTGGAATCACTCTCATATATGTAGCTCCTCGAGAGAGCCGACCGTGCCGACCTTCTTCAAGCCGGTCGAAATACTACCAGCAGGGCTAGGGGCGAGGTCCGTCTTTTTGGTACAAATCCATGTCGAAGCGTACATGTTGACACTAGGGAACCCCCAATCAGTCAACTGCTCACGGAGTAGCTATGGAAGCTGCCTGTCTTCTTGCCTTGAATTCGCCAAGACAAGGTAGAGCACACAACACGGGTATGCCTCGCAAGCCAAAGTGAGGGGAGAGAATAAACCTACCGATCGATACACTTCCCTGAATCCCTCCGCCCGACGCAATTTGCCTCGAATCCATTTTGTTCGAAAATGTCGGTGTACCACGGACGTAGAGCGGCCGAGCGGAACAGCACGCGCCCGCCCACCTTGAGTACCTTGTTGAGAGCGACAATCTGTTCCTTTGCGGCAGATTCGGCAGGGTTGAACCAATCCATGGAGTCCATGAGCTGTAGGCGGAAGGTTGATGTTAGCAGTCTTCCCAATAGAGGCTCTCACACAATGTAGGGCATATGGTGCAGAAATTGTTGTCTCGCAGGTATTCTTGGAATGGGAAAGTACTAACAATGGCAATGGTCAACGTGGACGGACTAATCCGCGCAATCACTTCCATGAACTCATCTGTATGTATCCGCAGGCCATCAAAGGTACCGGGCTTCGAAAGAGTCGTATGTGCCTTGGGTCCAAGGTAACGCGGATGACATCTAGGATGTACCTCGTCAACAAAACGGGGTCTTCGAACCGCATGACAAGGACAAAACAGCACTTACCGCTTCGAATACTTTCCTTGCAGACAGACATAGTAGAAATAGTTGTCCCGGCTCAGCTGCGTTGTTTCGACCACGGGATCTAACGTGTCAATGACGTACTGCCAAATGGCTTCACCACTCGTTTTCTTCGTTTTCGGCAGCTTCATGCGTTGACAATAGTCATCCACAATAAGCGCATGTTGGGCAGCGGGCACACCCGCAGCCTTCCAAGCCCACCATTCTGTCGACACAACGGCTCGGTGTAACGGCCAACTCAATAGAACCCGTCTTATGGAGGGCCAGATCTCTCTCTGCTCGTTCAATGTGTCCACTTTACACATCGTTTGGACCTTGGATGTCAATCCAAACAACTTGGTCAGCCGCCGAACCAGTTTGATTGCATGTCGGGACCCGCCTGTGGCGTAAAGCCCGCCGGGTGAGCTGAAGATCTGAGCTCGGTTAAGCCAGTACTGGAATGCCTGGCTCGACATGTGCGGGCTCAACTTTGTGAGAAGGAGATTGCGGAAATCGCGATGTGTGCCCTCGCCAAACAACTGCCAAACGTCACTGTAAGGCAATGCGGTGAAAGCGGCAACTTTGAGTTCAAGAAGATGATTCTGATTAGGATTCAGGTCGACTGCATGTATCCGTCTCGGCTTCTCTAGAAGGTAATCAAGGATATTGTCTCCAGCACTGGTGATGGTGAGGATAACGTCGTCTTTGTTGATGTTCAGAAGCTGGCGGTCGACCTTAGGATCCTCCCAGTTGAATGCGTAAATGTACTCGTTGCCAAACTGTTGGTGCTTGCTGAGTAGGTCATTGTAGTGTATTCTCCAATGATGTTGTTGGTAAAAGGTTGCCGGCAAGGGCAGGTTGGAGGTAAGGTTCACAATTGCCGATTCGTATGATTTGGAATGAGGCACGTTGTGCTCAGCATCCAACGTTCGTTGCTCCCGGAATTTCATGGGCGATAGGTAGGGGGATTCGGTCAGGGCGGCATCAAGTTTCGCAAGAACCTCCTCGCCGCGCTCGGCGTACATATCAGCATCACGTCTGCATCCAACAAAAATATAATATGGAATGCCGCCCAGGGAATAGTTTCGCTCGCTTGCCGACAGGATAGTGCCGAATCGATATTCCACGTAGTCCCGTCGACCGCCATCGAGATTGACTCGATCGGCATCAAACCAAGTCCGCCAAAACATCCGCCCAAACCAGTTGACGTGCCGATTGAAAGTTCCCCCGACGTAGTTTCGCGAAGATATGTCGACAATGCTTTGGACATAGAAATCGCAGATTCCGACAAGGCCAGTCGGGGCTAGGAAGCCTGAAATCAAGTCCACCACGCTGTAAAAGTCGGGGATCATTGACAAACTGTAGCTCATCGTGATGAGATCTGCCGAAGAGGGCGTACAAGCTAGTTGACGGGCATCCTGGCATAAGACGGTGACATTCTTCCAGCCATGTGCGCGGACTCGGTCATTGGCTACCTTGCAGAGCGAAGTGGATAGGTCGATGAGGAACACATGCTCAAAGAAACCCTCAATCCCCACCAACTTGTCCATGACTTCGATGTTGTAGCCGGTTCCTCCGCCCACATCGTACCATACCGGCTTACGGCCCGGCTTTGATTGCGCCCTCGACTGTAGCTCGGCGGCAAGGATTGCCAACATATCCTCCCTCCCTTGAAGCAGACGCTTTCTAGTGGCGTCGTAGACACTTGCCTTGAAACGTATGAGCCACGGAAAGAATGAAATCGGCAAACCTACCTGAGAGGAGTAGAAGCTCTCCAGCGCCGTCTGTTGCCCGCCGTCGGCCTTTTTTTCATGTGGCTTGATCATACAGGCATATGCGAATCGCACATATGGGTGGGAAGTGATCTTGTTGGCCCAGCTTGTCCCACAAATCCGGTATAGCACCGCGCCGAAAACTGCCACGAGAACGAAGAAAGCCATCCCTAACAACTCGAACTCAAGGCAAAGGTCCGTCAGGCGCTGCCGTCCAGGAAAGCTGAGGAGATCCATGGTTGCGAGTCAGGCACAGATGGGAGAGGATCAGATGCACCTGATGGAGAGCAAAAAAGAGTCGGACTGCAGCAAAGTTGTGAAATGCTCCCACCTTAAAAGAGTTGTCTAACAAACAACGAGGCATCTGGCGACACAGCACCCGCTGAGGAGTGTCCGGCGAATCAAGGTCATTGTTAGAGCCATATGCGAGATTGAATGGCAGCTACAGCAAGCTTTGAACGGGCGGAAAGGGGCCATCGGGGCGAACAGCAGCGCTCACGCACAGTTAACCTCGATTCGTGCTTGAGAGTCCGTTTGCAGACGGGATTTCGAGGGACGTTGAATGACAGGACGCAACGTCCAAGTCTGTTGTCTCGAACGGACCAATGGGCACATGAGATGCGGCCATGCGACGTCTAGACTTGGCACCGAATCCAATTCTCGTGCCAGTCGAGAATCGTTGGATTTCGAACAATGTTTGATTTCTGACACACGTGCGGTTATCTGTAACTTTCAACATCTTTCAACCAATCATGGTCCCTTTGATCCGCGTGTCAAAAGACATACGGGGTAGGGTCCTTATCGTATTGTGGAAATGTGGGAGAGACTCGGAGGTTGGGCGTAAGGCCTACGCAGGGTCATTCATCGCTTGTCGGCCCACCTTCCAACCGCGCGATCAAATCACGTGCCATATCACGTGCCCTCGCGGCCTCACGAGCGTGTTCGCCGCTCGAAGTCTCCTCTTCTTCAAGTTGGTCGGACGAAGCCGGAGTGTCAGGAGAGGTGTGCCGTAAACGGGACGCTTGTGTCCTGCCAATATCATCGTGAAGATCAGCGATCCAGAGGCAGACCATTGCACGCAGCCGAATCAATTCAGGCTCGTCCATATACGGCAATGTAGCCATACAGGTGTCCATCCGGTTGGCTATCTCATTGGCCTGGTCAAGCTCTCTCACCTTGGTACGGATATGAAAGGGAGATCTATCAGCATAGGGCGAGGAGTTGGGTGACTCGGCCCGACCTTCACCTGCCCCAAGGTCGAAGACTGCTGTCAATGTTTCTTCGTGTGCAACGTAGATCCAAATGTTGAACATTGCGAGGTAGAAGTCGACGGCGTTGATAGCTCCCGGCCAGCTTTTATGATAAGGATGCCTGATGATGAGTCTCTCGTAGAAACGTTTAGCATTCTGAAACCCTTCGCGGGTGAATTCTATTCCTGGCCGCGAGTCACCACCAGCCGCTTGTCCAGAACATCCGTTACGCAGCAGGACCTCTGCGGCAATTCCCATATAGCCACGGTTGCGAACGGCAGCATTGCGGCTGACAATGTCTTCTCTCAACATCAACCCAAGCGCCCGGGCGGCCCGGCCGAAATCCTGTGTCAGCAGACTTCGATGCACTATGGCCGTCAGCGCCGCAAGGTGTTGAAGATGTAAACTTCGCGGTTTATCATCTAATTTTGCAGGCTGAGTAGAGGGCGGTTCCCCAGTAGCAGATAATCTGTCTTCAAGCCAGCTTGCTTTGGACTTTTCCCCGGCGTGAGGGAAAGGAAAGGGAGGAGGGAGCTGATCAAGCGGCTGACCAGCAACACGTCGCTGGAGCCTCTCCAGGGGAGTGACTACGGCAGTGTACTCAATGTCATCCTTGCTCTTAATGGATTCCTGTGAGAAGTCCTGCTCTTGCTCATGGACCGCATCCTGCGTCCTGGCCCTCTTGCGCTTTTTCCTGGGAGACTGTGGTTCTGCAGTGAAGGCGGGAATACGCACGGTACTAACAACCGGCGAGAATATTGTGGGCATCGTAATGATCGGCTTCCTCCGAGTTTTGGAGGAATCTAAACGGTTATTCCTTCATCGCGTTGGATGTTGTTGCAGGCGCCCACAAAGAATTGAATCGCGTGTGCATGAGGTCGCAGTAGAAGAGCGGACGCCAGCACCAACAGACCAGAGGTGATCTCATCGGAAACTCGAAGCACACGACTCCCGCATTATTGCACAAACGCTCAGGCTGTGGTTGGACAAGTGGAAACGATAGAAGAATCAATGGTTCGTCCGGACGGGTGCTACTATTGGCTGGGAGTGGCTTGTTTCGGAAGGCCTCCTGGTTGTTTGAGCAATCAAGCGGACGGTGCAGCGACAATAATGGTTCAAGTTGACAGGCTGCGTCTGTGCTCACTGACTGCGCTGCATCTTGGTTTTGGGGCCGCTTTGTCATTTCAGCCTTCCAACAACACAGCACATAACTCAAACGTCTGTAACAGCCACGCTTGCACTCTCCTTCACTGTCCATGGCTGCTCCAACCACCACTTGAGGCGGTTGGCCACAAACTGGAGTGAAGTTTGGGCACGTAGTTGTTTGCATCCTATTTCAAGCGCCTTAGTGAACCTCTTCGAATGCTGACATCGCCAAATCATCCGTTGGTGCCGGCGTTGCCCACTCTCCCGCTTCAACTCTCGACCACCTTCAACGACACCTTTGACCCCGCGCTCAACTGACGGATTAACGGATCAGATTCGATCTAATCTGCTTTATTTATGACACGGTCATGATACCAGACTAGCCTTGCCTTTGAAGCACCTACGAACATCATCGACAAATATGGGAAATACGCCTTCTGTCCCGCACGGGCAGCCTGATGACGGACAGTTGGAAGAGCTAGGACATACACGAACCGCCACACAGCGATGGCGTGATGACTTTGGAGGCGATGGGAGAAGTTCGCGCATAGGAAGACGGAATCCTCAGTCTTTGAGGATGGCCGGACAGAGAGCCAGCTCACTTTATGACACATTCCGAAATCACAGATCTGCAGACTCAGTCAATGCTCGACCAAGCGCAGGCCGTCCGGTATCCGGTGAAGTTGGCTACGAGCAGGAGAATAGGCCACTAGTTGGTGGAGGGGATGTCGAGATGATGGACACAATACGAACACCCATTACTTCCCTGCCTACATTTCGAAGACGGACAGCCATGTCTCGGCTCGGATCGCGACTGCTACCAGAGTCTGTTGCTAGAAGCATATTGAATAGTGGCGAGGAAACTGCGCAGGAGGGCGAGGCACTGCGAAATGCGATGGTCGAAGGTTCACGAACGTCCATTTATGAGATGCCGCATGGCGAAGCGAGCGGTCGGGTATCCTTGACAGGCTCGATTCGAAGACGAGGCGACAACCGTTCCCACCTCAGGCGCCGTGCTATACGAGGACCATACCCCCTTTCACATGAAAGACAGGAATCCTTCGAGAACGGGAGCTCAAGGGGTGAATCTTTGGACCGTGTTCGAAGATTATCCCCGCCCGCCGTTGACTCTGTTCGACCGCGGAATCGATTCAGTCGAATCCGGAGCTCCGTTTCTATTTCCTCCAGGATTTCTAGCATGTTTGGCCACTCAACGGATCAGTTCGAGACCACCCTAGCAGGACGAGATATTTCCCGCGGACCGATCAGTGACTCTATGACCAACGGATCAAATCACTCACTTCCCTCGTTGCAATCCGTCGACCCTCGTCATGACGGCGAGGAAGCTCCGCATGAGCTGGATGCAGTCGAGCCAGAGGCTCGTAACCTCCTGTCAGGAGGACGAGTTACTTCCGGGATGAGCACTATTAGGCGCTTTCAGCCAGGCTTGCGATCACGATCGACCCGACTCATTCGTCGAGGTGAACACCCACCGTTGTCGCAGGTCCTTCAACTGGCAGCTGCCGCCATTGCAGCCCAGCTTTCAGGTCATGCTACCACTGGTCACCCCGGTGGACGCCATACCGGGGGCGGTGATACATTTGACGGCAACATACAAGATTTTGTTCAGACACTGCAAGATGCGGCAACAGCACAATCAGGGGACAATCTCGATGGAAGTGCAGCCGACGGTGAACTACCACCGGTCAATTTTATGAGAGTATTCCAGTTTCCCAATGACGAGAACGGTTCCCCTATCGCTTCCCAAGCACAATCCAGAGATGTTGATCAGATGGACCTGGATTCGATCCCAGGAGCGGGCGAGAATGACCGGTCCGTGACGTTGGTCCTTGTTGGCGTCCGCTCGCTGCCTCATGGGCGTGATCACTCCGGTGGCGACAACGGCACCCTGGGCCCAAGCCTGGACACTCTCTTGAGCCTGCCATTCCTACCGCCTACAAATGTCCTTCGCAACGGCAGTTCTGGCGCACTGTTTCGTCGATCAGAGGGAAGAGCACGATCAAATCCTCGAAGACATTCCATGACAAATTTTAGCTTCCCTGCACAGCATGAGACTCAACGACATCAGCGGAGTAGGACGAATGTGAATCGATCTTCGAATCATTCAGACCGAAATGTGCCGACAACCCCTGAAGCGGGCGGTGCCTCACATCTGATATCGGAAAGCCCACCAGGCCCTAATCCTCCTCCATCTACTCCAGCAGATATTAGGAGTGGTCAGGCAACACCCATCCGTCGACCGTCTTCCGCTTCGGCTGTACAGAATCCAGTTCTCCCGGATCTTGCAGAAGACCGCCCCCAACAGGAGGACCCAGAGAGCTCCTCACACGAACCAGCTTTCAATGCGGCTCGACAGCGAAGGCGGAGTGACTCGGAATTCGCTCGTCGCCCAGAGCTGGGATCCGGTTCAGCGAGACGAAACGGGGTGGTGGAGCCTGATCATCCTTCTTCAGGGGTCGCTCGCAGTTGGTTGATTTATGTTGTTGGCACGAATGTTTCACCGGATCATCCAGCTTTCACCATGCCCAGCTTGTTTACGGACAGCCCGTCGTACGAAGATATGCAGTTACTGTCTACCCTCCTTGGGCCAGTCAAGCCCCCTGTGGCGACACAGGAGGATGTGAGCTCCGCCGGGGGCTTGTATCGGTTGGTGGTCCAGAACGACAGCTTCGTTGGTGAAGCTATCACTGATGGTGATGCAACTTCTATCATTGTCAACGCTGGGGAGCGTTGCCTCATCTGCCTGTCCGACTATGCAGATTCAGAAGAACTGCGTCGGCTTGATAAGTGCCATCACTTATACCATCGCGACTGTATCGATGAGGTTTGTCTGCCTCCTCTTGGCACGTGATAGAAAACATACTGACCATGCTATAGTGGCTCACGACTGGCCGTAACAGTTGTCCGATGTGCCGGGGGCAGGGTGTGCCGGAGAAAGCGAGAGCTTCCAATGTTCCTCCCAGTTCCCCCATGCCGACCACGATATGATACTGCAGCTTGGATCGTTCACTCGATCGAAAGATGGTCTCTCAACTCATGATACCCGACGAACTACTTCCCAGCATATCCCGGAACGACTTTCGACACTTGCACGGTTGGGTAGCTGTGGCTCTGTTTCCAATACGGCGCATAATTGATTTGAGGCGTGCACCAAAGCGGGCAACGTCTCCTGAGTTGGGCTGTGAGCTGGGTCTCTGCCAACTGACTATTGGAAGCTACGAATGCATCTGGATGTCCCAGGTCAGACACGAATTTGCTTGCGCGTTTACATACCCCAGCAGTGTTGTGTTTAGAGTCAGATTGTTTCGAGGTGGTCTCTTTTTTTGCACTTGGCTTGTATGCTCTTCATGACCTGCAATGTACACCGACTCGGATTGGTGCAATGGCTGCCTGCTTTGAGACGCAAGGGGATCCTTGTAATATGAAAGGCACCGTGCCACTGCATGCTTTTGACTCCTCCATAATGCATACCTTTACCCACTAGTATTACTGCATCACTGCTTCGATCGATCCGAAACTGGCGGCCCACAACGGCAGCCGCTGCTCCAACTTGAAGTGCATTAGACCCTATGTCATGTGCCTACCGAAGGCGTTGTTGCTGTGCTGAACCAGCGGCCCACAGACCTCAGTTGTAGAGAGTGATTTGAGGGACAGCGACCCTATACAACCCCGGACATGGTGCCACGTCAACGCAGCTCCAACTATCCCGCACTTCCAGCGTACCTTACTAGTAGGCCGTGGTCAGGACTCTAAACTGCCTTCAAAATCAGGCCAGTGAGTAGCAATTCTGGGTACCAGGTACACATGGCCTCAGAGACTGCTCGAAGAATGCACAAGGATTTCTTTCTCAACAATGTTCCTAACTTGACCAGACCGTTCTGGCAAGTTCACTGAATGATCATGGAAACGTGCCTCTCCGCGTCGTGAGGAAATGGCCGATAAGAGGATCCAGATGATGGTGGAGTGCAGGGGCTTCCGCTCACGCTCTGTGCAACATGAGGACTGTCACCGACCTGTGAGGTCGAGGACGGTAGAGGAGGGTGGGAAGGATCACAGGCAAGCTGCAGGAGGACAATTACTGGAGAGAATACTGCTCATCGATCGCTGTCAATGTCATTCATTATTGTTCATTATTACCTGGGATTAGGTGCTAGTACCACAGGACGAACATGGTTGTTATGCGGCATGAAATGTGTCCTACTGCCGCTGCCTGCGCCTTCACCTCGAAGTGGCGTCCATCATCCTGCACCTGTTCTCCCCTCCAAGTCACCATCAGCGGACCCTCCCTTGTGCCTCCCTTCTACTACTGCTACTACTCGAAGCAACTTGAACGACGCTCTCCAGAGTTCTGAATACCGTCCATCAGGGGAAATCACCCGTCTTTTCTCTAGGCGGACGATAGCGCTTGACAAAATCCATATCATTCCATCTATTCATATCGTTGAAAAGCCACGCCCTCCCCTGTGGAACTGTGCCAAATGAAGCGTGGGCCCTATCTTTAGACACTGGCCTCATTGCCGTCGGCCCAAACCGTCATGCTCATCTCAGGGCCGACACTATTGCTAGGCTGGCTTCAAGTCTGAAAGCCACCAAGAACCTGCGAAAGATTCTACGGGGCCAGCTAAAAGTGATCCCCATCCCACAACCCCAAGTGGGAGCTGTGTGAGATGGGTGGTGGAAACAGCCCCTGGCCCCCTGCTGGCGAACTTCCGACTTTTGCAGCTCCCGTTGCTGCTGCGGCCCGTATTGAAGCTAGAAACGGCCAACTCTAGAATCCAAGCCGCAGGTTATGTTTCGGGATTATCGGCAGGCATGAGAACAACCACTGGCGTCAGGGATTTTTGCAGCCTGAGAGATATGGGTCTACGTCCTCCCACAGCGCCAATTCGAGTACCTTCCCTCTTGCAGTGGAAGTGGCCGCCCATGTGGATATTCTTGTGGGCAGAAAAAGGATCTACAACATGGCTTGAGCCACAAAAGACTCTGAAAGTAAAATTGGCTTTCGACGCTGTACGGTGCTGCTGCAACCCTTACTATGCAGCCAGCACAAGGTGGGCTCGTTATTCGTCCGCCCATTGCAATTGGCTTTATTGGACCTCTCACGGCACATCACTGATCATGTCGACGCCTATATGCACTAAAGTTAACCCTGGTCACAATAGTTCATCTTGAGCGCCGACCGAGCTTGACCAGCGAAACTCTCTTGTCCGTCGAATCAGCGAATGAGCAGGCGTGGACGAGCGGACAACGGCAAGATTGGCTACATAGAACCATACACCCTCGCGCCATCCCTATCTCCGTTGGACAACGGGTATGCAGCTCAAATTTCACTCCCACTTTGCGTTCCGCGACCGCAGGACCTGTGCAGGCAACGAGCTTACCGGCAGATCGTATCACTCCGATAAACATGACAACCGGGCATATGCCACTCAGTTATGAGCAAGAACCACGGATGTACATAAACCTAGGAGTTCTTGCACATGAACGTTGCCCCCAACTTACAGCGGTAAGGTAGTAACTACATACTTCCAATGCTCGAGACACAAGCATGTATACTACAGCTTATAGTCCTAGCAGGGAGTTGCTCTAGGAGCCACTAATCAAGAAGGCTAACATATCCCAACCATGCTGGTGGACAGCATGCTGACAAACTCCAGATGCCCCCATCTGGTGCTGTCAGGAAGTACTGCGATACTAGTAGCACTCTCGCTGTCAAAGATGGGTCTTCCCCCATTCACGTTTGGCGCCACTGATGCAGAATAAAATACTTTACGGCGTGTTCCTTCGGGCTAGGAAACACCAGCCAAACCGTGCGGACCGAGAAACGTGGCTTTAGCTTCAATTGCTGGGTCGTCGCGACGCCTCTCCAGAGGACCCCCCCCTGGGCATGTTACAGTACACCTGAACTGCTCATCATTAGGAGATGCCGTCGAACAGATAAACGCATAAAACATCGCTGCTTCATTCTGGCCACGCAGCTGATCCGATAAGTCGACACTAAAGGCCGTTCCGGCGCTTCAGTACAGTATTATGAAGAAGTCCAGATGCCAGCACGCGAGGGGTTGGATGGTGTTTATACTCATCATCCGGAGTCGATGGAAGGAGGAGAAGGCTCCGAGGCTACCAAAGAAAGAGCAGCTTGTACATACCACTGTACTGTAATTGTTTGCCGGAGAAGCATCTGTTTCCAGGATGACACCTGTACAGGCCCACTCGACTCGACAGGGAAGGCCAGGGAGTCCACAGAGTCTCCCCCGGGTCATCGCAAGCGGCTCTCACATGGATAACATCAGCTACTCGTCATTCTTCCTCCGCTCAGAGGGAAACCAACGCTCTGGTCAAGCCAATTTCCTCTGCAACCAGGATCCGTTTCCGGACTACAATTGGCCACAGACACCTTGGGCGCAAGGCGTGCGTCCTCAATCCGGACCTGTTCACCCTCCTGGGCTTGCAAACAGCCAGTACAAGTGCATAGACTTGTCTCGGAAGCCGGGGTGCATTGATCCGCTCCACCCAAAATTCAGTATCATTGCAGGACATAATTGTTGCAAGACCAGAATCAGATCTACTAGTACCACAGTAGACCAGCTTACCGTATGCGGCCTTTCAAACCAACACTGGGACGAGCACACAGTGCGACTGGGCCGAGGCGGGCTCCTGTCTTTGAGAGGAAGATGCCGAATACTAAAAGTCTCGGCGGACGCAATGGGGAACAGAGCCGCTCGACGATTCATCAACCGGACAGGCCGGCGACTGGTACTGCTGGAGCTTCCAATATTGTTGATGTTCTCGATGCCAGCGCTCGATCGACGTGGGATCGACCTCGAGTGGCCCCCGGTTGAGCACTTACCCAGGTCTGACGACAGTGTGAACTAAAAAGGGTGCTGGAGTGCGGATTTCTACTAGCACCCTGGTCCGACCGTCCTGCCCGAGCACGACCGTCAGGGAATAGCGCCCTGCATTTTGCTGGGTTTTGGCATGGGGCCTGACAAGCCGAACAGACCACCCCCTCCGAATTTCCACTCCGAACATTTCACATCTTTCATAATAGTTTCAAAGGCCCGCAGACTCGGTGGTGTGGATGAACTTTGTGTCGCTTTGTAAAACAGATCTTTTACTCGCGCACCGCCACCATACCTCCGAATCCAACGACACCAGACGCCTCTACATGCAAAAATTTCCATCAATCGACGATATGTTGCGGCGCATCAGGTCAACTTCTTAACCAGTCCTTACAAAAACCTCCGAGATTGACAACTTAATCGACGTTTGCGACACAACAATCGTCCAAATCCAGCCAGCCATCGTCTACCCCCAGGGATCATATCATCGCGCCGTGAGGGACAAGTTCACCCACACTCCACAGACGATCTGAGCTGCGGGAGTCCCTTCAGCCTCGTTGACTGTGATGCTTTTCCTGAACGCTTCGAAAGGAAGCCAGGTCATGGTTTGAAGCACTCCGGAAAAACCAGCGCGCAAGACTCGTTGTCCCTCGTGGGTGGTGAATCTCGTAGCTCGGCCGCAAGCCTACTACCTACTTCACGATCGACACCAGATCCTTGATCGACAGTCTACGACGTACCCAGGATTGCTACCACTACTGGTTTAATCAGGCTCTGGATGACCATATCAACGATTATCCTTTTGTCATACTCTACTTTGACAGCCTGCATCGTACGATACTTGCCGCCGCCATTCTGGTTTCACTGAGCTGGATTTGTCCGCCGCGGTCTCTCTCTCCGCGTATCACAAGGTCACGAATACGGTGGTCGGGCGCTCTCATCCACAGCAAGTAGATCCCAGCATACAAACATTTAATCACTACCCAGCATTGCGTTCCTCTCAATTGAAAGCTGAAGCATTTCCCACGAATACGTTGCCTCAGTTCGTTTGTTTGTGCGACGGAGCGTTTCGCATAATCTCTGCCACTCAACCATCGCGGAATGAGTGGTCCCTTCGACCATGGCATGAATATGCCACTGCCCAACATGATGGGCGCCAGCTTCCCTGTCTTCAATGGCAATTTTCCTGCAGCATATCCCAGGCTCTCAGGTCCACCACCGACGCATTTTGACGGGAGTGCATTCTGGTACAACCCCAACAATGCCGAGCAAACCTATGATAGAGATGCCGGCGTCTTCGGTGGTCGAGGTGTCCCCTTCCCGTCAACAGCTATGGAGTCTTCAAGCGTCAAACACCGCAGGACGCGAAGTGGCTGTTTTACTTGTCGGAGTAGAAGAGTCAAGGTAACTCGCCAAAGCAATCTCATCCATTGAATTTGCCGCTAATTCTTGCCCAGTGTGACGAAACCAGGCCTATATGTGATAGTATGCCACCAGCTACAAATGCGATGAAAGGAGTACTGACGCAGCCGTAGGATGCAAGAAAGGGAATCGCGAGTGCGAATTTCCACAACCGACCACCTCTTCGAAACGATCCAAGCATGGTGAAAGCCGAAGTCCGAAGGATCCGACTGTCAAACATGAGACCAAGCATGACAACATGTCAGGGTTAGCCACCATCAAGGACGAAGGCGAAGACTATGACGATGACGATGACAACTCCTGGAAGTCGCCCACGGAACGTCCTCCGCTCAGTCGTCTCCGAACCGATAGCGCACAGTCGATACGCCAGACGAGCAAATCCAATCATATTTTGGGAGGCTCAACGATGGGGAAAGAACATACCAGCCCCCAGTCAACAGAAGCATCCGATACGCGGTCAAGGGACGAGACACCGGCGTCGTCATTACGGACTGTTGCCAACTCGGCCGAGATGCAAGCCCGACATGCGAAGATCAAGACGCTTAAACCAGACCTGCAGAAGTACTTGCAGTTTCAGCAAGAGTACATGACATATTATCATTATTTCTTCAAACTGGACCCTACCGACTTTGTACACAGTGAATTCATCGATCTCGCTCTAGGCTACGAGCCATTGCTGTACGCCGCGGTAGGGTTTGCGGCCTATCACTACGAGCTGCAACAGCCCGATCCTAAATTGTCGCATTTCCTGGGCTACCATAGCAAGTCTTTGTCGATGCTTCGGAAGTCGTTGGAGAGCAACGCGAAGATCACCGAAGCTACTTTATTGACAGTGTTGCAACTGGCAACATTTGAAGAGTATATTGGAGACTGGGTGAACCTCGTTGGGCATCACCGAGCCGCCTGCACCATGATTCGGGAACTATTTACATCCCACTCGATGATGGAGACCGACTTGGGCCGGCGTATATTCAGCTGGTATGCTCGACTAGATGTCACAGTTGGTCTAATGGCCGGCAAGGTGACCAGGCTGGATCGAGAATGGTTTGAAGCCAACTCTACCTGGTACTATAACCAGATCAACAACGATCCGGACGGCGATCTGGACATTGAGAATACCTTGGCGTACTTTGTGGCTGCTAATCGACTCATTGGGATGGACCTCGCAGTTTTGTTTGCACAATTTCGGCAGCATAGGGACGGCCAGGAAGCGACATTCCGAGCCGAGGTTGGCAAGGTGGTTGAAAGACTTGAATCTATGAAGCGCGAAATCGAGCTATTCAACGATGAATACTACCGGATACAAGAATTTCCGGTCGAGAAGATCAGACCGTTGACGCCTGACGACATTGTCAATCCTTACGCGCCTGGGGGACTTTTCAAGGATGTCCTGTGGCCGTTGAACTTCATGTGGATTGACTGGTATAGCATCGAACAAATGCAGAAGTATCAGATGGCTTTGCTACTCAAGGAACCAATACCCCCGGAAGTGGAGCAGCTAAGCCTCGAACAATACCGCATCATCGAAGCCATTGACCGGTGGCCAGAGGCGCCAAATGGAGCAATTCTCGGCGCACATGCAAGTCTTGGCCTTTCGTCGGTTTTCTTGAAAAGAGATCCTAGGTATATAATGTGGGCACGAAAGAAGTTCGCCACAGTGGAGCGGCTGGGCTATATCTACCCGCCATCGTTCCGCCGTAACATGGCAATGTTGTGGGGACTGACACGCGAGGAAGTGGGAGAGAATGAATCGGTGGAAAATTGGTGGCTTCCAAACGACGAAGGAAATCTCCCCATGTTGAAGGACCTTCGCAGGGTCGTTCAGGAAAGGCATGAAAACGACGACCAAATGTCGTCAGGAATGGAATCTCTGGAGAATGTCAGGGATCTGAAGGCTATTTTTGCAAAGTTGGATATCCGAACCCAGGGCCCTCCGGATTCGGCATCCATGACAGACAACCGCAGTCCCACGAGTGAGGGCACTCCTGGAATGAGTGACCGAGGAAGCCATGCCAATTTTAGCCCGACAAATGTGAACTTTGGGCATGATCATGGCGGCAACATTCCGGTTCAAATGAATGCAGGTTATGGGCCAATGCTTCAACGGGCCTACACGAAGCCCTGAATGAGGGTGGGTCCGAAGAACTATCCGAGTCAAACCACCGAGTTGTCCTCCGTTGGACGTCGGGCATGAACAAGTCAAAGCTTGTGAGTCCAGGCAGGGCCATTGTCAGAGCGTACGCCCTCTGAGGCTAGATGACTTCAAGTGCAAGCTTGAAGACTCATGATTTGTCAAGCGGCAACCTCCCATCTTCAGATGAACCTGGGGAGTTGGCGAGAAGCCGTGGCCAGTGGCGTTGTGGACGTGCTTTCCGGATTGCAGCCTTGTGTCTGCTTCTGACACTGGCTTGTTCTGGCACTCTACACGCTTCATCGCACTCTGCCTGGTGAAGTCAGTTCAAGGAGACTGTCTGCCGCCTACAATCAGTCTTCTCACCGAGGACCTGCATACAGCCGTGCTCTCGGCCGAGGACTGGATGTGGATACGTTCTCCGTTGTCACTGGATAAACATGTTGTCATGAATCTTATGTTAGAGAAGTGGCACATGCATGCAGCACAAGCCTCTTATGGTCGTAGGCGCCTACGGACCTTCCACTTGATACGCGCCGCAAGAGTGGAAAGCCGTGGGAGCACGGTTCAGAAGAGAACGCCATTGGTCCGTCCCCCAGAAAAACCTTCAGTGTCATTTCTAGCAGTGGGACACGACGATTGAAAAAGGCCAGCAAAGGACGTTCAACGAACACACAGACCTGCGCCGGCCGTACTGTGTCGTCTTGCTCTTCCGATGTCTTGTAGAAAAGCTACCGGAGAATGTCGCCCCGTCATTAACAACAATTATGATGACACGATATCATTATGGCCTTGTTGGGTGAAGGCGGTTCAGACCTTGGATTTTGATGCCAACCAGAACTGTCTTTGGTGGTTGGGAACAAGCATTGGCACCGTCTTCAACGTCAACACTCGGCATCGTCGTGGCCGTCGTGGTCATGAAAGGCTCCCAACAGGAGCAATAGCTCGCAGCACTACCGGGGTGTGAGATTTGCTTCAAGGCTTTTGAGAGCGAATGAATTGCATGAATTGTTACTATAGTATACCATTCTTTCGGAGGGCTAGTACTAGTACTGTACCAGATAGTTAGTAGTAGGCTGGGATCAGACTCGCTAGGTTAATCCATGGGCCGCTCGGAGAAGATGCAGATTTCGATGCGGCCTCGGATGAAACTTGAACTTGCATGTTTCGTTTGTACACTAGGTAGAGTTAACAAAAAACACCGACTCGGACACGCTAGGCGATTCCAAGGCAATGCATTTTTCCGGTTTAGTTGTTTGATAATTTGTAATGATAAGCTGCAATGCAGATGGACTGTAGTCTGCAGATAGATTGCTGACTGCAGGGAGCTTTACTGCCGTAGGATTAGATTGAAGACGAGAGTTTGTTGTCATCTTGTATCTTGGTACGGTTGTGCAAGGTAAGGTGCTGTACAAGTTTGGTTCACCGTCACTGGGTCTGGTCACTACACTGGTTGTCATGTCAATCCGTTGTGAAAATAGGTAAGGTAATCAGGGCATGTCGATGTCGTATCGGTCGTGTCGTGTCATGGATATCATTAATGCATGTTGTTGTACTACTTGAGGTCATAAGGTAAGGGAATGTAAGTCATGTAAGGTAGGTGTCCAAACATAGCTGTCCTACCCACCGTACCCAGGAGCAATCTACGTTTAGGTGGTAGTACATAAGTATGTATAACAGGGGCATTTTTTTGGCTGGTATTTATACCTTCCACAATGTTGCTAGGTAAGCATACAGTACAGGACTACAAAGTAGTCGTTAGCCAGCTTCTCACGCGATCGGACCTGCAGGGCTCACTGAGAAAGAGACCCCCCTCGACTACGCGTGTCCATATCCATTGGAAGAGCATGATATCCGTGTCCACCATGACCATGACCCCTATGTCGCTCCCCGCCTTTCAGACATGCAGGCATATGCAATAGATGCCCCCTCCGGTCGCGGACAAATTTTGCATATAGCCCCGCAGACAGGTACAGGGCAGCCAGCGACACAAGGGCAGGATATCGAAACTGATCCGGACGTGGCCAGGCGATGGTGGTAGCAAAGGCACAGAGTTCGAAAAGGTTCTGCAGCGACATCTCGACGGCGGAAAAGGAGCCTCGATACGCTGGCAGGATCGACTCTTGGATAATCAGCTGGGCACACAGATCAAATGACCACAGACCGAATCGGGAGAGAATGACGCCGGTGATGAATAGCGGCAGGATGATTCGGTTGCTGCCGAGACCAGAAGATGCTGTTGTCATCCAAAGCAGACCCACGGCAATGCTGGAACATAGTGTCTGCCATGATAGGAACCAGATCCCCGCGCGCACAGGACCGATTTTGTCCATGGCCCTGGGGGCCACGAAGGTCGATGAGATTTCTGAGATGGTCGATATGGTTCGAAGTATCCCCACCATGGTCGATGTGATTTTGGGGTCTGGGATGGCGAGCAGGAATGTGGTCATTTGTCCGGAGAAGGAGAGGACGGTCAAATAGAGTCCTGAGAGGGCGAGGGATGGCAGGAACGCCGGTTGGGACATATAGATGCGCAGAGGGGTGATGATGGGTAATAGATATTTCGTAATGACAGAGGAAGAAGGAGTCTGCGTGATATGTTGTTGTTGTTGTTGTTCTTGTTCCTGTTCTTGTTGCATTTCGATGGAATTAGAGTCGTCGGGTTCTGTGTGCGTGGACCTGGACCTGGACCGATCATCGGCCCGGTCACCTAGTGCTGGTACTTTGTGAAATACCCGTGCGATCAGGAAATATTCGGCTCCTACCGACAAAACGTTGGTGATCAACGTGGCCCACACGGCAATGACGGGGGACCAGCCGTGCAGCAGAGCGATGGCCAACGGAGCCACCAATTTGCAGAACAGGTCGATGCGACGCATCTGCGCATTGAGGGCCTGGAGAAAAGCTTCGTCGGCACCGGCAATGACGACCACCCAGTCTCGCTCCACGGACACGGTGTTGGTGATGGAGCCGAGTTTCTCAATACAAGCCAGGACGACCAAAAGACCCAGGAGGGCGGTGACGAATATAGGCGATAGGTCTGCTTTGTGGCGGAACAGCAGCGCAAATATCAGACATGACATGGCAACCCCTAATCGCTGACTCACTATGGACAGGCGGATGATCCATAGCCGGTCGCTCGAGTCGATCATGTGGCCGAGAGTGGGTGAGAGGGCAATGGCTGCCAATGCCCGAAGTAGTGCGTAGATCGACATGGGGAGTAGCGTTCCAGGATAGACGGTGGCAAGGAAGAGAATCGCACCGAATTCAAAGCCCCGTGCGTTCCACATGGATAGAAAGTGCGAGGTGTAGAGGGAGGTCGTGAGATGGGTTTTTGATGCCATGATTTTGAATGGCCTGTCGGGGCTGGAGCTGATGGAATGGATGGCTGTCTGGTGGGACAAGCGGTGGTTATGATCACGGTCCGTACGGCGTAGGAGATGTGAGGCCTAACAAGGATTGCGTCAAGCTCTTTTCGTCTCTCGTCCTAACCCTCGTAGAATCGAAGACATGAGTTTCTTTGGTCTATTGGTTGGGTGCCCTCAATGAGGGGCCCATAGGGTGTCGTGAGGATCAAAGAGCTGTCGGATCGTCTTGAGACCACTGGGATGAAGTGCGAAATACCGGAAGCAATTGGTAATATCCAGCTTCTGAAGTGAATATACAAGATAAGGACAATAAGGTGCCAACCAGGTAACTGCAAGGCGAGAGGTTCCCAAAGCCCTCAGGTGAGCGTCAGCCTTGTGGTGGATCAAAGTTCCGCCGAACCGAACCGCGCTTACATAATGAGGGCAACGCGTCGGCTGAGGCTCATCATTGGCATTGAGATCCCAAAGTGACACTTGCTTCAATTGACGGGTGCCAAATATTGTCCCACTGCATTCGTTCTCCCATCTCGCTCGCACACAGTGTACCGTGTCCAGTTCCTTACGGCCTGTTGCATCTTCACCTTCAACTGCGACGCTCTGCACGAAAGCACTGACGGCCAAGTCAAGCACATTCCTGTCCGGAACAGACCACCTGTCGCGGTTCAAGTTGTGCATGTGAACTGCTCAGCAACAATGTCCGGCGCCGCAGTTGACCACTCTTTTGATGATGACCATGCGGTCCTGGACGACGACTTCCTTAACGATGGTAACGAACAGCGGGTTCCTGATAAACCTGGTCCTTAGACTAACAGGCTTCAAGAGGTCGAACCGGACGAGCCCTCATACAACAATACATCCGACCGTGCTCCCCTAACAGGCAACATTCAATCGTCGTCCTCGGGGGCACCTCTGAACCAAAATTATTTGACCTCGCGCATCCCTGGAGAGGATAGACGGGCACCACAAAACACCATTGACGAAACTGTGTGGGAAACCGTTTCTCGGGATCTGCTCGCCGTGTGGGAGAAGATGAAACAAGTGCTGTACCCCAAGTACTTGCTTGGTGGCATGCTGCAGAGGCAAGGCTCTGGCATGGGCGATGTCGAGAGTCAGGGTTTCGGCCGTGACCTACGAGGGTTGATAGGAAGATGGCCTGATGCAGATGGGATTCTACAAGGTTCATTGAGTGAGGGTCTTCGAGATTGGGATCTCTGGTAAGTCCAAACTGAGCAGATAAGTGTGTCCTGACTTCTAACCACGTATTGCAGGGGGCCGCTCATATTTTGCCTACTTCTCAGCCTATTTCTTTCAATGCGAGCCAGCAAGGCCCAAAGCGATCTGGTCTTTTCGGGGGTATTTTCGATGGTCTGGATCGGCGAGGCGGTGGTTACTCTCCAGATCAAACTGCTAGGAGGAAATATGTACGAACATCAGGCCCACTCTTGTGTGTTGCGCTGTGATACTGACTTAAATGACCAGTTCTTTCATGCAGTCCGTCTCCATCATCGGCTACACTTTGTTTCCACTCACAATTGCGGCTCTTCTTAGCGCGCTGGGACTGCCGATGATTGCACGTATTCCAGTCTACATTGTTCTTGTGGCATGGTCACTGGCTGCCGGGGTTAGTATTCTTGGAGGGTCAGGAGTGGTTAAAAATAGGGTCGCCCTCAGTGTGTACCCTTTGTTTGTGTTCTATGTGGGCATTGGATGCCTATGTTTTATTAGCTAGATTGGATCAGAATCGTCTACCAGTGTCGGATTGCGAGCCTGGACTAGTCCGGCAGAGATATCCCTCCCCGAACGTCACTATAGCAGCATTGATGGACATTGCCATAAGTGTACACAATAGATGGTTCGTTGCTTTCTGAAAAGTACGAGAGGTTAACAATGGCCATGTTCCAAAAGATGCCTGTACTATACAATGTAATTCTGATCTGGCCTGTTCAAGTTGGTGGTGGGCGCGTTGGACGGTTGGTTCGTAATGGTTCAAGTTGTGCGGAGACTGATAATAAGCCGCAGCGCATTATTGATTGTGTACCTTATTGATTGTAATCCGCCATTCACTGCATCCACCGCATTCATTGTCCCCTCGGCCTGTCAAACACTGTTGTCCACCGTCACCTTCTGCACCGTGACCAGCGTTTCTCTGCGACTCTTCATCACTAGTCATTACTCGGCACGAACTCCTCGTGACCAGTGTCGTTGGATTGCAGTGCGATCAGCCCACTTACGAGCAGACTCCACATTCGGTATCACGACCAACTTGAGGTGTTGTAATCCTGTTGTCGTTCTCTTGCCATCCCACTATTCTAGTCTTTCCAGTGCAACAACCACGCCAAAGACATTACAATACGTCGTCGTGGTGCATGTAAGAGTCGTCACGGACAGAACGCCCACCCCCACGACCAATTCTAGCCTTGCCGCCGATCGAAACTTTTGAAGCGAGATTATACCGGACACACAGGCCTTGTTGGCTACATCCTACACTGAAGATGTCGTTGGAAAACGAGGCAGGCAGGGCTGTCCCCGACATTGAACAAGCAGCAGAACACATTGAGCAGACACCTGGAGATGGCAGCTCCGATGGCGAGGGCGGGGAGCGAACAGCAAGAGAAAGGCTGAAGAAAACATCCATTGCCGGACTTGTTCAGTCTTCGGAGGCAAGGGCTGGCACCACGAATGAATCCGTCAACGCCGAGTCTGTCCCAGCAACTCACCGTGAGGACACTTCTCGCGGACGACCTTCTAAGAAGAGATCATTCGAAGACCTACAGACTGAAGACGCTAGAGCGGGACTGGAAAACGGTGGCCCACCCGTGCCCAAGAAGGGTCTACACAAGAGAATGAGATCCAGAGAAGTCTCTGGCAGTGATGATGTTGCAGAAATCGAGAAACTAGAAGACATCGCCAGCCCTGTCCGGGAGGAAACCGACGCAGAAGCAAAACAGTCTCCCAGCGGACCTGGAGTGTTGGTTGATGCGACAGAAAAAGGGGACGAACCCAAGACTACCGAGACAGACGCCCAGGACGTGACGGCCAAACCAGAGACTGGCGCTGTCGATGCCGCAGCTGAGAAGCCCAAGAACTCCTCGTCAACGGAGAAACCACAGCCACAGGCGAAAATCCCACCCTCATCTGCCTTTGCCAATACTTCTACTGCGTCACCCTTCAGCAATGTCAAATCGCCCTCAAAGGAGACTGCCACCGTTTCTTCACCTGAAAAATCCACCTCTACGTCGGCTTTTGCTTCATCTGGCTTGTCGGCATTCGCCTCTTCGGAGAAGTCACCATTCGGAGCGGTAGGCTCTACTGCCAAAGTCTCAGGGGGGTTTGGTGGATCAGCAGGCCCCAGCGGCTTTGGATCGTCCTCTAGTGGCTTTGGGTCTGCCTCGCCTTTTGCGACCAAGCCTGCTTCGGGATTTGGGTCAGGTGGTGTCTTTGGAGGCGTATTTGGAGTGGCCAAACCTTTTGGCAGTAGTGGACTCTCGTCTTTTGCAGGTCCAGCGGGGTCAGCCAGCTCCTTTGGAAAAGCCAAACCCATTGGCACGGCAAACAACGACGATGAGGAAGGGAGCGACAACGGCGAAGACAATGACGAGAAGCCGGAAACAGAGGAGGATGTTCAGCAAGACCCTCGATTCAAACAGCAAGAACGTCGTAAGTAATGATCATGAGAAGTTCAAGACAGAGACTGACCCTTTTGCTAGTGGAAACGGGCGAGGAAGACGAGCAGACCATCTTCCAGTGCCGAGCCAAGTTGTATCACTTCGACAAGGAGTGGAAGGAACGTGGCGCCGGAGTTTTCAAGATCAACATCCGTTACGAGAGCAAAACAATCGGCGAAGATGCCGAGGGTGAAGCAGAGAAGACCGCAGGAGAAGAGGAGGAGGAGGAAGAAGACGACGTCGAGGCTGGTGGACAGCCCGAGTTTTCGACGGTCGAACGGAAAGCTCGCCTGATCATGCGGACGGATGGCGTTCATAAGGTTGTTCTCAACACGCCCGTTTTCAAGAATATGAAAGTTGGCACTGGTGATGGCAAGGAACCGAATGGGAAGACGATGCTCATCGCCGGACTAGATGAAGGAAAGCCTTCACTTTTCCAGATCAAGGTAAGCAAGTGCTTGAAAGGTGTGCTGGGGTTTCTCACTAACACACCGTGATCACAGGTTGGAAAAGAAGATGCTGTGAGGGAGATGTATCACAAGATTCGTGAACTGCAGGAAGACTTGTAGACATGATGCCAGTCTCGTCTTTTCATTGATGCAGCTACAGTGCGGGCCAAGGTATCGAAGTCAGCTTCAGAGGGAGGACGGCAGGATAGTGGTCGCTACTGTGCGATCATGTTTCGCAAGCCTTGCCACGATTTTTCTTGTCGCCAGCACATACATCCTATGAAGTCAGGAGACTAGATGGAGCGATGCGCAATGGGACTAATGGCGGTTAAGAAAGGTTGGTGATATTGTCTTGGGCAGCAGACGTTGGCCACCACAATAAAAGAATGAGGCAGACGTTGAAGTTGTCGGAAGTCATGATGCAACTCGAATTCTTGATTTACTTTGCACCGACTAGAATCAGTCGATTGCTGTTCTAAGATGTCATACAATGATTGGCATGAATGCAATTCTGATCTATAATATTACAGTTCCAGTAGATCACACAACTGCAATATCAGTGTTGAAATTTGCTGCTGAATACCGATTGCAGCCTTGCCCCCCGGAGGCTGCGATCCTTCGGGCCAATGACATCACGCAAGGCTGGGCGCAATTGCCCGGACCAAGACGTCGTCGACTCGACCTTGTATACCTTGTACCCACGTAAACATATAATGATATGACAGCTCGTTCTCTTCTAATGTCACAAACAGACAGCTAGCAAGGTGATCTCGTCAGAGTTCTATCTCGGTGCCATGCATCATCCTACGGTGAGATATCTGCACGGACACAAACACGCCACTACTATTCGCTAGAGGGAACATCGCCGCCGTGCATCATAGATGCCTACCTAGTTACGATACATCATGATATCTGCAGATGCACTGGCAGTATGCAAGACCTACTTGCTGTTTTAATACTAAGCCACCAGACCTAACCAGGTATCTATGTCACTCGAGGACTCCAGCTCGACCTTACCAATCTTCAAGCCGTCACTGACCTGTCGAAATACTGTATACTCGTCTAATGTCAAGAGGGGCAGTCGTGGGTTCACAGGCCCCTCTTTCTCTTGTTGACTAGCCGGCTAGCCCTAGCCCATCGGAATCCCAGACTCATTTATACTCGACTACATTCTTCAGAGGAGAGTGTCACAATACACAGAACAAAATAAAGCAAACCCCGCTTTTCACTTTTCAATTCCGTTCGGTGCAAGAGCATCAACACAGAAAGAGTCCGCGTCAGTATAAAATGCCATCCTCCGAGGCAGAGGCAGAGGCCGCCGAGCGCCTCGAGGCAGAACTTTCCCTTCTTCAGGCAATGTATCCTGGAGCCATGGGTTACGATCCCAAGAGTCGCGAGGTGCATTACACATCCACGTTAACATCAACATCTGCATACACTTTGGCCACTACGGCTACAGCTCCATCTTCGAGCGCCCCAACCCTGACTCTACGTCTGCCGGACACCTATCCCATCAAAGGGGTTCCAGAGGTAATAGCGGCGCGGGACGGGGCAAAGCACGACATCCGGAACAGGACGAAGAGGGCTTTGGAGTCTGGTAGTATTTCTGCCGAAGAAAGCGGCGGTGGAGAAGTCATCGATCAGATCATCGAAGTTTTCGAGTCTGTCGCTGCTGCTGCTTCTGCTTCTGCTGTACCTGACGGCGACGGAGACGGTGGCCGAGAGGGTACACGTTCAGAGTCCAAGACGAGCACAAGCATCACCGATGACGGTCTCGGGATCGATGTCCCCGTTGCAGACACCACTTCAGAGATCCGCGACCCTCAGCCTGATATCAGACCACTCACCAAAACAGTCATAATCTGGCTCCATCACCTGCTGGCTTTGTCGAAGCGGAAACTTGCGGTGAACCCCACAGTTCAGACCGGCCCACCGTCATTGTCATTGTCATCTTCAGCCTCTGGAATCTCCGGCCTCACGAAACCAGGATATCCTGGAATAATGATCTTTTCGGGTCCTAGAGATCTTGTCGACGCGCACGTGGCGCAGCTCAAGAGGCTAAATTGGCAGGCGTTTCAGGTGAGGTATGATTCGGATGATGATATTGTCAAAGCTTCTGGCGCTGGTCAAAATCGGAGTGGGAACCCCGATCCTATTCCTGGTCGAAACGATAACGACAAGCAGAAACAAAAACACAAGCAAAAACAATCTCTTACCCAGAACCAGAAACAGTCGAAAAGACAGTCCGGCGAAAAAGAAACGCCGACTAGACAAAAAGATGGCCGGGAAGAAGAAGTAGCTGGATCAAGATCAGGCTCGGGTTCGGAATGGCATTTCTCCCATGGCCAAGGCAAGATCGTCGAAGTCGAAACCATGGCCGAAGTCGTCAAGGCGATTGTGGATGACGACAAGAAAGAGATTTTTCTGCGCGCCGTTGGCGTCAAGTGATGATAGCCCAAAACACACACCACTTCCTTGAGGGTCCGGAACTCCGAGTGCCTTTTCAAGGTCGTGGACTGCTTGAGTAAGGTATCCTTCGCTGCGCCAGAAGCGACCTTGCTACTGTACGGTAGATCCGGCACATCGATCCACCTATATCAAGCATAGGACTACTACTACAGTATTACTATGTACAGTAGCGTACATTTACATGTACCAGCAAAGTATATCCAATCCAGTTCAGTATGGCGGTATATTTAGTTCCGTCTTCTCTACAAACTATCCTCTCTCCACCGCGACCTCACCCTCTGCCAACCCTCACGCTCGCCCAGACCACCACGCTTTTCCAACCCCAGGCCTCGCTCAATCCATTCCTGACTACCCATCTCGCTGAGCCGGCTGAGCGCACGGGCGAAAGCGAAACGCTCCTCATCACCACTAAACAAGCTACTCTGCTTGAGCATGCTCATGCTCATGCCCAGGTCGTCCATGAGATTGCGCATAACATCATCCACGTCGGCGCCTTCGCCGTCGGTATCTGCGGCACGGGCATGGTCGACTACCTTCTTGTCACTTCTGTCAGCATTGTCGCTTTTGCTTTTGTTGCTGCTGCTACTACTGTCAGCCACTTTATCCTTGACACCCTGCAACGACTCCTCCAACTCGGCCTTTGACATGAACAGCTGGGACAAGGGAACGGCGGTGGTCAGGACCAATTTAGCATGGGACTCATAGACGGCGTCGATGAAAGTAATAAAACGACGGGCCCAGTCTCGCTCGCGGTGCGTCATGGCAGGCACGTCGGTGACGACAAAGGCGTCGAAATGTCGCATCATCTCAATGTAGTCGGCGGCACCCGTGGCGCGACCGATGAGGTCGTGGAAAGTAAATTTGGCGCAGCGGCCTGACACCAGGGGAATCTGCACCTCTCGTCCCCACACTGTAATGGTGGCCGGGTGAGGCGGGTCGTGTTCGGGATCACCGAGAAAGTGAAACCATTTGTTGGCGTGGGTTTCGGTCGCCCGGTCCAGCGGGTGGTGGTAGACGCCCGAGGGCGGACGCGGCAGTTTGCGGTAGTCGGTCGACGAGTCGAGGTTAATGACTTTCAGCTGCTTTTTGAGGAGGTTGATGCACGGAATAAACGATTGTCGCTGGATCCCGTTTTTATATAAATCGTCCGGGTGTCGGTTTGACGTGGTCACCAGCACCACGCCGTGCGACATCAGAGCCTCCAACAGCCGCCGGAGGATCATGGCGTCCGCCACATCGGTGCATTGGAACTCGTCGAAGCAGAGCACGGTCGCAGTCTCGGCAATGTCGGCCGCCACAAAGGGAACCGCGTCGAACTCGTTGCCGTACTGCGTCCGCACCTTGTGCAGTCGTTTGTGCACGTCTTGCATGAAGTTGTGGAAGTGGATTCGTGTCTTGGCCGTGATGTTGGGCGGCAGTGTGTCGTAGAACAAGTCCATCAGCATCGTCTTGCCGGATCCCACGTCCCCGTACATGTACAGTCCTTTGGGGAGCTCGGGAGGGATTTCGTTGATCACTTTCTTCTTCTTTTTCCCAGAGCCGAATAAGGATCCCAGAAGGGACTTTTTCGGTGGGTGCAGGTCGTTGATGTCCGGGTGGATCACTTTGGGCGGCTTGTAGTCTCGGAGTGTTTCGTGGAGATCTTGTAGATGTTCCACCAGGCCTGTATCGCGTTAGCTATCAGCTCTTGCCGCCCGGCTATGGACGACAGTGGGGTGTGCGATGAGGGAGGTGGTGAAAAACACCGAGTCCTATGCTAGTGAGAGAGGACATGACAGCGCAGCAGGATTAAGACCGACCGCAAAGTATATGGCCGTGCCATAGCTGGCCACCGCTCGGCCTTTTTAATAGCAAAGTTGCACGGGGGTCAGTGACTGCTCACCTCTTTGATGCTGGTCGTCCCTCAATCTTCCAGTCTGAACCCGTTCATCATACTCCTCCAATGGACCACGAGTGGCCGTGGCCACATCGCTCACGGTCGCAAAGTGCCGTTTTTGTCTTCGGCGGGCTTGACCTCGAATTTGAGCTGGGATTGGAATCGCTGTCGCAGCCACATTGGGCGTGCGGTGGTCCAAGTCGATGCCAACACCACTGTTTCTGCTCGTAGTACCAAATCCAGCTGCAGCCCCTGCTAGTGTCTCTCCCTTTTTTGATGCTGGTCCATCCCGTCCAGCTAATAGACTGCTTGATCCTCCTGGGAGCCCAAACTGTGACCTCTGAGCGTGTGTGCTGTAGTGGGACTGCCGCCGACTCCCATTATTGATATTGCGAGGATGAGAGGAGGAGAAAGATCTCGTCCAGGTCTTTTCCGTACAGCAGCAATTGGATCCTGGTAGACTCCGTGCTTGGGCCTGGGTGTGATGTGCGCGTCTTGTCTGTCGTCGCAAAGGCGGGCGAAGAGCAGCGTGACTGGGAGATTCGCAACAAGCCTCGGCAACAACTGCTCTGAGGTAAGTCTGGAGGGCACCGTGGACGGGAGCGGCAGTGGGCGTACTCGATCGCAGAGCAGTAGCTTTCATTGTGCTTGGGGTGTGCTACGTGAAGTGGTCTGGACAAGGCGCACACCGCGCCAGAAACAGTCGGCCGTCACAAGACACTGAAGAAAGAGGCTGCGACGACAAGCTAGACAAGAAGCACCAGGCCCAGGACCGAACGCCCAGAAAAGGAGGGAGGAAGTGATCGCACTGGAATCTGGATCCCGACAAAGCAACAAAGCTGACCGCGGTTGATCTGATCTGCGCAGAGACGTGAGATGTGAGGTGGATGTGGGTGTGAAGCGAGCGATGCTGCAATGGCATCACAGGCTCTCTCTCGCTTTCGCTCTCCGAGTCTCCAACCAACAAACCATTCGCCTCGGAACCAAAGCCGCGATTCTTCGCCGGGTTTCGGTCTCTTTGGCCGTTGGTGATTGGATGCCTCGTGCCATCCCATCGAGAAGTTCCGTCGGCAATTCATTTCATCCCGACGACACTATCTACACCGTACACTGTACTTCAGGGTTAAGTTACCTACTAGTAGGTATGTATCACCTGTGTGTATGAGATCAGCCCTTGCTTACGGTGGGCAGAAACAAAGATCTTGCATGAATCAAGAGCTCGTGCTGCATTTTTCTCAGTCCAACTACAGCCACCGTCGATTAACTTTTCTCATGAGAGCACTGGAACCATTCGAATGAACAGGTGCATAGCTCTGCTGGTTTCCTGCTGTACGGCAATTGAACCACGGTAATAGTCGTAGCTCCAGCCAAAAACCAATCGATAGCAAGTCGGAGCACTGACTCATGCCTGCCTTCCACTGTCCTCACACCATACCATTCCAGCCAAAAGCAAAGCAGACTCCTTTCCAAAAGGAGAAAAATGAGTAGCAAGGAAACGCACCCTCCAACGATGTTGACTCCAAGAACCAGCAAGTGGCAAGTCTGTCTTCCGCTCTGCTGTCGTCCAAAGAAGCAAAGCCCATGAAGTCTGCTGTCGTAGTAGTAGCAAAACGAATTCCATCCTAATGAATCCCAGCAATAGCCATCGTAGAGCGCCAAACTGAATGTCGCCGCATAAACACCGTAAACACATAGCTCATAATGACTCCAGCCAGCCAGCCCTTTGTTGACGATTGTATCATCTCTCTCTCACTCTCTCCGCGCCGGGCCACGCAGCACATCTTGTCTTGCCCATCAAATCAAGCTGGACTGTGATGATGGTTGACATACAAGGTCAACTTGGGATTTCTCTGCAATGCCACATCCAAATTGTCATCGTTCTGCAGGTCGAGAAGGCTATTTGTCGCTTCATCCTTGTACTGAATCACGATATTCTCGCCGACCTTCAATCGGTCCATCAGCTTCTCTTTCAACTGTGAGAACAAGATGTCCTGCGGCACTCGGATGGCAATGATGTCGTCCTGGTAAAAAACCTTGATCTTCATCATGGCACTCGAGTTGCCGGCCTTGAGGCTGGACGACGTCGACGCTTGCGTCAGATTACTGGCCTGCGAATGAAGATAAGGTGGTCCACCCAGGCCCAGACCCTGCATCTGCGATCGTTGTTGCGACGTTCGTGCTCCTTGAGGCCCTGGAGGTGGCATTCCACCATAGCCCGCACCCGCTCCAACACCTCCTGGCTGCTGCTGCGGCGGTTGTTGTGGGTTGGACGATGTTCGAGAAGCCGGCTGCTGCTGAAACGATTGCTGAGAACCCCCTGATAGTCGATAATCCTCTCCCAAGGCGTTCGGGTCGATTTCAAAGTCCTGCCCCGGCCGTGGCTTGAACAGGTTTCGGACCAGCATGCTCTTGGAGATGTGAGGTGGCATGGTCAGTATCTTTTTGATGTACTCGTCGAGGTTCTGGCGACGTCCATTCGAAATGGCATCCGTGACATGGGCCACCGGTCCCGGCATGAATGGCAAGGTGCGAGGCTTGCCCTTGTTGCCGGCCTCTTCGGGAAACATTTCCAACAGCGCAATCTGGAAGTCGTAGAAGTCGGCGTAATACCGTGACAACTCCCACCACCGACCATCTTCCATCTGGCATTCGATGATGTACCAATACATGTCGTTGTCGAAGCAATATCTCGGGACCGACGCGCTAATGGGCGCCAGGGGGATTTGTGATTGTTGTGATGTTCGCGAATCTGCCCGTTGCATATCCTGTTGTTCACAATTAAAGTCAGCACTCATCGACCGCAAGACTCTCCTGGCTGCCATGCCACTTACATAGTTGTTGCTGGAAAGTGAATGTTGCGAACTGCCGTTCTGCAAACTCATCCGCGCCATATCCGCCGAAATTTGTGCTTGAGGGCTGTCGAACTTGCCCAGGCTAATGCTGCTGTTCTTGTACTCGGCCGCAAACTTCTTCCACTCCTCCACTCGTGGCACCCCGGCTTTCCGTACGGCTTCGAGGGGATCGGGCACCGACTGCATCGTGGTGGTGTCCTTGATATCGACAAAAGAAACTGGGATCAATCCAGGACCTCCTAGCCGTCCTATCGGCTTTGCGACGAACCATTCAGAAGTGGATTGAGCCACAACGATGATTGCTTCTCCGGCTTTTGCATCCAGCTCATCGGCCCTTTCGGCATTGAAATCGTATTGCACCACCCCATACACCATGGCCCCGGGATTCCGTGCCGTCATACTGGGTCCTCTCTGATGCGTAGAAGGTCGGGTGGTGGCGGCAGACTCGGACCGCATGTGGCCAGAGTTGGTTGAGCCTTTCTCGGAGAAGCCGGAATCATGACCGTCTAGCTTTTCGCCCGGCGATGACAGTGAATTCCCACTTTGTCGCTGCTGCTTACCCACCACTTCGAAAAATGCGACCGGCACTAGACCTCTTGCTGATGGAATGAGCGGGTTGCACGCCTCATACCACTCGGTGTCATCTTCGCGACTCAGCACGTGAAAAAAGTCCCCTTTGTGGAACGCCAGCTCTTGTCCATTGCCGTTCTGAGGCTGGTAGTCGTAGAGGGCCTTGATGACCTTTTTCGGTGGGAGGGCTTGTATCGTCTTTGGTGTAATCGAGAGGCTTGGGCCATGCTTGGACTCCTTGTCGCCTTTCAGAGATCGGCGGATGGCCTAGATAGATCGGAGACGTAAGTAACAGAGCCAGAGTCTCTAGAATGTGGCGCGAAGATGAATGCGACCGTGACTGCGAGTGAATGCGAACATGCAGAGACAAGAATAGACATACCTTCATTGTCGCATTTGATGGCCCCGCAGTGGCCTGAGAGAAGGAACCTTTTCAACGACGAAGGCTTTTTGAGTCGGTTCTAGATTAGATGGGGCGCATATGCAGTCGGTCGCAGGATGAAACGAGACTTCGTGATAGCTTGGGCGGCGTGGTCTGGTCAAGTCCGAAAGAGAACCAGGTTGGCAAGGGGTGTGGCCTGTTTCGAGTGTGCGACAAAGGTCGAGATGGATGTCCAGGGCCAGGGTGTGCCTAGGGGCGTCCGTCTCGGTTGATGGAGGAGGGATCGAATGCGGACAATGCGGACAAAGCGCGTGGTCAAGGATCTGGGGTCAAAGGCGGCGGAAGAAAGAGTCCAAGTTGTACGTGAGTGGGAGTAATGCCAGTGGTAGGAGAGGCACAAAGCAAAGACCGGGACAAGGGCCCGAGGTTTGACAGGCGAGAGACAAAGAGATCGACTGGACTCAGCGCTCGGGCTCTCGACCTCAGCCGTGCACAGCTCAGCCTGGGTTCAGCTGCGAGTGACGGAAATGTGAGAGAGATGGATTTGATGGTGTTGTTGTCTTTAGGTACTGTATGTCTGATGTTCTTGAATTGTCGTAGTGTCGTGATGCTTCTCATGGATTATCTCCACTACTTGTACCTCAGCTGTTGAAGCCTTTTTGTCTGTATACCGTGGGCTTCATTCTAACCACGAGCCTATCCGCATCTACTGCTAGATTACCGTATCATATGGAAACTATGTCCAACCTATCCATCTCTGGTCGAATCTTTTTCTCAAATAGACTCCCAGTCTCACCTCACCCAAGCGTCTCCCTTTGTTTACCACAATTTGGCTGTGGCAGCCGCAACCAGCTGAGCTGTAACAAGCCGAGCCACCGAAGAGGATGCTAGCTTCTTCTCCTCCAGCTGAAAAATGATGTGCCAACAAGTGAGCAGCCCAGATGCCCACAACGTGGACATGGATAGTCCTCATGTCCCGCCATTCTCCGGCCTCGTCTTGCTGTAGATGTGGACCTGACACACGGCCTTGACACCTGCCACGGCCCTTGCGCTCATGGATTTTACTGCCGGTTGTATGCACGGTCTAGCTGACAGCCAGCCAGCTTAATAGTCTGGAGGGTGACCCGACCGGATTCTTCATGGCTTACTTGCATGGACCTCACTCTTCATCGCCGTCTATCTTGGTCAGGCTGAATAAAAGACCACCGCAAGCCAACAACCAACCGCTGTCAATTGGCAAAAACATCATTGTCCTTTGATACGGGCTGAGAATGCTGGAAGGAGAGCCAGATTTTGGATTGGCACAGACTTTCTCCTGAGATCTATGGTCCATCATGCATAAATAAAAGCTCGTGCCTTACACTGAGGCAGCTTCGTAGCCTTGCATCCCAGCTCGTCGATGTCCATCTCCTGGATATTTGGACTTGGACCTGTACATAGCAAGGTCACTTGCCCAGCACCTCCTTACTAGGAGTGCACCGAGTTCGAACCTGGTCTTGCCATTCCGCCATGCTCTTATAGCCGTGGGACATGCAACTGCGCGTCTCCATTTTCCAAATTCCGGTGCAACAGCCGAAGATAGCACAGTTAGTCGGCCGCTGCTGAGGTAAAGAAACACTGTCCAAAACGCTGCAATGACTTGCTGAAAACAGTACAAAAATGAAGCAGGGAGACTGGGCCATTCAAATCTGACCCTTGATGTCGACCTGCCCGAATGCTCGGTTTTTGGCGATCTGGAAAATCGATCCCACCTTGCCGGTCAGGAAGCGAACATCCCCGTCACGTTCTTCCAACAACTGTGGCGATGATTCTTCTGGAACATGATCTAGGATGAACTGGCAGGCCTCTTCATCCGATTCGAACCCAAGTTCTTCGGTCACAAAACGCAACCGTACATCAGGTTTGTAACTGTTCAAGGTCAGCATTTGACATGGGGATTGACAGATCGAGGAAACTTACGCTTTGCACAAACAGGCCAACGCTGCGAGTCGCTCGCGTTCTACAAACATATCCATCAAGTACGCACCCATGTCCGGGACAGTAAGATATAGCTTGAAGAACTTGTGATAATTTCCTAGTGCAAGGGCAGAGCGTACCTCCAGAGCATGTTTGATGGCCGGTTCTTTCTTGTCTGCGGGGGTTAGATCAGAGAGCACGTCATTCATGTCAGTCTGGTTGCAGGTGTGGATGAAATAGAGGATACGGTATGCCTTGAACTCCACAGGGTGACCGCCAAGATTCTGTTTGTACAACTCCCGAAGTTGAGTCTGGCACTGGTTATACTCACCCAGGTCACCCTTTTCCAGTGCGATTCGTGCATGATATTCATAAACGCTCGTGGTGAATTCATTTTTGATGTGTTGCACGGTCAGATCTTGCCGCAGTGACTTAAACTGGTCGCAGATGTAGGCGTAGTTGCCGTCACTGCGCCACTTCTTCTTGAGTAGTTCCAGCGTCTTGCGCAAAACCTCCAGAGGCCGAACATCATCAGGATTTGGTGCAGAAGTCAATCGGAAGTAGTTTTTCTCAAGCTTTTGTGACCGACCCACGATCGGCCCAGTCATTTTCGCATCTGGTGAGGCTCCGCGAGATGATTCTTGTGTACGTGGAGAGTTTGATCCGGCACGCGAGTCCTCAAACCGTCGTCTGCGGGATTCCAAACTTGCGTTTGTTTTACTTACGGAGGTGCTCATGTCGAGCTTGGGCCGCTTGTCAGAAGAAGAAAATGAAATCCGGTCTGCAAGCGGTTGCGCGTTGGCTCTCCATGGTGGTACCGCAGTGCCCTCAACGCTATCTTTAGACATTTCGGTAGACTTGCGCTTACGTGGAGCGTCAGGATGTGGCGGATTTGTGGCCGGAGTTGGAGCTGCAACAGGTACAAACGGAACATAGGATGGAGGGGGAACAGGGGCAAGAACAGCACGATTTCGTTCCTCCAGGATTATCTGCTGCGGTAGCGGGACCTCTTTCCAGTTGATTGTGTCTAGTGTTCCGCTTTGTGTGGCCTCTGTGATTATATCCCTGAGCTTGGCTTCAACCTCCGCTTTGCTGATTCCAGGAACGGCGGCAGCCTGGGCAAATGATCGGTTGACATAGTCACGAACTTCTGGAGACCAATTCATTTTCTTTTTCGCAGGTGGGGCTGATGAGGCAGGTCCCGCGACAGTGTTTGTTGAAGGTGAAGGTGAAGGCATGTACTGCGGAGGCGGGTAGTAGTTCGGCGGTGGAGGAAGAGGCGCAGTTGCACTGAAGGCTTGACGAGCTGGAACTTGAATGTAAGCATTCTGGGTCGTCTGGTACGGAGGCTGTGCCTGCCATGATGGCAGGCCATGAGCTGACGAGTTTGAGTACATTATTGTGAGTCGCAAAAGAAGACGCAGATGAGAGAAGACGACGCAGGAAATACGGTCTGGAGCCTGGTGGAAGTCAAGAGTGGCCGTCACTCACGTGGGTGAACAAGAAGACTCGATTTGGAAAAGCTGCGCCAAGGATACCTCGATAGAGGGTCACGTGTGAATCTCACAGGCGAGGCTGAGTAAGGCTGAACAGGTTCAAATGATCACGTCTTTATTATGTTTCAGGCCGTGCACTTCACTAGGTATCTTCAATCTTCATGCTTTATTCTAGGTAGGATCACTCACATTGAAAATTTTCATGGCGCTATTCTCTCCGACACCTCAGATGATTCTGCCTTTGGAGTGTCAGACTGCTTCAAAAGTTCACCGTACATCAAATACACCACATCAACGGTGAAGCATTACTGCATTCACACCCAACAAACAGCCGTCATCGACATTACTTGTCATAGTACTCGATAAGAGGTTGTCATAGTTCACCAGCTGAGGCCCATCTGCAGAGAGCGACAAAGGATCCTCGGCTGTCCTGTCCTGCAGTCTGGCGCAAGATGATACTCGGCCTGAACAAAAGGCCGGATGTTCCTCAAAAAGCCAGAGTTGACTGCTGGCTGCCGCCCAACTCTCGCCCAAGATGAGACGCTACTCGTCGTTCAAGATGGCGTGGGCCTTTACGAAGGGTTAGCAATGATTGCCTGCTCAGTGGCCATCAGTCGCTCACGATGTGACTAGGAAATATAAAATCGCCTCGTGTCAGAAAGGCCATGCCTACTTGACTTCTCACAGAGCATGTTACGTTGATGATGTGGATCCACGGGCAAACTCCTGGGCTATAGAGCTCAAAGACGTCGAGCGACATGAACATCAGGTGTGTCTCGTTACTTCGAAAACGGATTCGGGCTAAATCGTGTCTGAAAGGCAGGATTCCTGAAATCATCGCCCAAGATAACGCTGCATCCCAAACCGCTGAAGCACGGCTTCGGCTCGATCAGGCCCGGCGTGCCTCAATCCCCAGCCTTTCAGAGGGTGGCGTCCGCATCTTCTCCAACGTCTCGCTCTACTAGTCCATTTCGACCGTCAGCGGTGTCCACTCCGGAGCCCACCGTTGTCGAGGGAACTTGGGTGTGTCCCATCTGTTCCTTTTCCAATCCTGTACCGTCAAACTTTGACCCTACAATTGTGACAGAAAGTTTTCCGGTGCCCCCATGCCTCGCCTGTGGCATAAAACCACCTTTTGCTACTGTGCTTAAAGCGGCCATTGCTGCTAATGTTCAACATGTTCCGGAGAGCTTGCCTTCATCTGGAGCGGCAGCCTCGAGCTTAGGCTCTATACATGGAACGAGTCATTCCCAGGACGATGGCAATACATCGGATACTATCCCTTGCCCTCGTTGTACGTTCCATAACTACCCAGGCATGCGGATATGCGAGATGTGTTCTGCGCCGCTTCCAATGCCGAGGCGTGCCCAGATAGCTGATTTCGAGAGCTCAGCGGCGCGATCTGGGTCTCCGGGGCCCGAAATTTCCGGGCTCACTCTGGAGGAAGAGCATGAGCCTCTCTGCGTGAAGTTCTCTTTCCGTAATGGTGGCGACAGAGTCTTCTATGAACGGCTGAAAAACGCCATGATCCAGCGGAAATGGCTCCTACAAAATGCGCCACCAGTTCCTAGAGCAGAGGTCGACCGCTCCCAGACGCCTTTCGACAGCCCCAAAGCTACCCCGGGGTCTGCGTCACGACCAGTATCTGTGGGAATCGCAGGGCTGGAGCAACGTGGCTTGCAGACCCGCAAGATCAACGAAACAGTCCTGGGCAATGCTTTCGAAGACCTGGAGGCTCTAATGGCGTCCGCCAAAGACGTGGTGGCTCTAGCCGAGCGCTTTGCGACAGAGTCGGGTTCAAGCATAGGTTTGTCTGGTTCAGCCTCTGACCCGGTGCTGTCCCAATCCGCCGCTGCATTAGGAATGGTCACTACAAAAGATCTGCTGGGAGACAGTTCCACTTCTCTCTACATTTCTGAACTGGCAAGGAACCTTGCCGAATATGCCACAGATGATCGGCGCGGGATTCTTCGGGGCCAAGGGGGAACCATGAGTCTCGTCGACCTCTGGGCAATGTTCAATAGAAGCCAAAACGGGGTGGAGTTGGTCAGCCCTTCCGACTTTCGCAAAGCCGCTGAAGCATGGGACAAGCTTGCGCTACCGATCAAGCTGCGGAGATTTAAGAGTGGACTTTTGGTTGTACAACGACGAGACGCGAGTGATGAGAAGACAATCAGCCAGATCAAAGAGTGGCTGGATTCCATGAGAACAGCAAAGGTCGACCAAGCGCCGCCCTGGGACTGGAGCGTCTTTGGTTTTGGAGTTACAGCACAACAGGCGGCCGCTCGTTTCGGGTGGAGTCTTGGGGTGGCTACGGAAGAGCTCGAGATGGCGGAGGAGAGAGGAGCGCTGTGTCGGGAAGAGGGTGTGGAAGGGCTGAAATTTTGGCTGAACTTCTTGATTGAAGATGAATAGAATGACTACCAGGAATAAGTAAAGTCATTCCCATTGGACTAGTTTTCGTGTTCTCTATAGCATCTCTGTCCACAGAGCCTTGTGCCGGCTCTGGGTCCCCCTTTACCACGCGGCCTGTGAGAAACTTGAACTTGGGTTCAACTCAGGGGCTCATGGTCCTCTCGGCGCACTTGCCACGTTGGGATTGAGGACTCCTGAACTTCAAGTTGAACACCATCGCCCGACGAAGAGCCCGGCCTGTTGTGACGACCAAGACTGTGTATATCTCCTCTAGTAATCCCACCGGTACAATGAAACTGTCCGACCCGAGTCATTCGTTATCATAGTACCAGCTGAAATATGGCTCGACTAGGGCGCGGGGGCTTCCTGGCCCTTGCGGTCATCTTCCACCTGGTCTATATCTATTCCATATTCGACATCTACTTTGTGAGCCCGATCGTCCATGGCATGAGACCGTACAAGGTCGAACAAGAGCGTGCGCCTTCAAAACGACTTGTACTCTTCGTCGGCGATGGACTCCGAGCGGACAAAGCGTTTCAATCATTCCCTGATCCCTCTCCGCCCGACCCAGCCAACGCCGACTTGACCCCTCGGCCCCTCGCTCCTTTTCTACGTTCACGGGTCCTCGAACATGGTACCTTTGGAGTGTCGCATACACGTGTGCCGACAGAATCGCGACCGGGCCATGTCGCTCTCATTGCCGGACTGTACGAAGACGTATCCGCCGTCACGACTGGCTGGAAACTCAATCCCGTGGACTTCGACAGCGTCTTCAACCGCAGTCGACATACGTGGAGTTGGGGCAGTCCCGACATTCTACCCATGTTCAAGGAAGGGGCGGTGTCAGGTCGCGTGGATGCTGATTCATATGGTGAAGAGTTTGAGGACTTCACGCAAGATGCGACACAGTTAGACACCTGGGTGTTCGATAGGGTCAAGGCACTGTTTCAATCGGCTAGCACAAATTCAACCCTGAATGCCATGCTTCGCGAGGATAAACTCGTCTTGTTCCTGCATCTTCTTGGCTTGGACACCAGTGGGCATGCTTACCGACCTTACTCCAAGGAGTACCTGCATAATATCAAGGTTGTGGATCAGGGTGTTGAAGAAATCACCCAGTTAATCGAGGACTTCTACGGAGATGGCGAGACATCCTACGTTTTCACCGCTGACCATGGAATGAGTGATTGGGGAAGCCACGGCGACGGCCATCCTGACAATACAAGGACACCTCTAATTGTATGGGGTGCTGGTGTTGCCCGACCGCAAGTCTATCCCGATTCAAAGGCGCCAGGCCATGAGGATGGCTTCTCCTCTGACTGGGGTCTTGACCACATCCAACGCCATGATGTGGACCAGGCGGACGTGGCCGCGCTGATGACCTACCTTGCCGGGTTGGAATTTCCCGTTAACTCAGTTGGGAAGCTACCCTTGTCATATCTTGCAGCTACTCTACCGGAGAAGGCGGCTGCAGCACTTGTCAACGTCAAGGAAGTCCTCGAGATGTATCATGTCAAAGAAGGAGAGAAGATGATGACCTCACTGCACTATCAGCCATATCCTCCTTTTTCAAAACCAAATGGCTCCGTTGCTGACAGGATCTCGGCCATTGAAAGTGCAATCCAGAGGGGTGACCATGAGCATGCCATCGCCTTGTCTGCTGATCTTTTCCATCATGCTCTCCAAGGTTTGAGGTACTTGCAGACATATGACTGGCTTTTCCTTCGAGCTCTCATCACAGTGGGATATCTCGGCTGGATTACTTTCGCTATCACCACGGTCCTTGACCTTCACGTGCTTCATGGAGCAGTGCCGGACGAGAGGACAACAGCGTCGACATTTGCGTTCACTTCTATCTTGGTTGTATTATACTCGTTTTTTGTTGTCGAAAAGTCTCCCCTTACATATTACGCATATGCCCTCTTCCCGGTCCTGTTCTGGGAGGAGGTTTTTGCTCGCAGGAAGGCTTTAATTTCTGGGTGTCGGGTACTGTTTGGTCATGTCCAGCGATTTTCCGATGGCTTGTCGCTTGGCTTCCAGGTTCTCTTCTTTTTGGGAGTTGTCGAAGCTTTGGTAAGTCCGATCACCTCGGTCAAATTTGCGAGAGAGGCTTTTTTTTCTAACTGTGCTCAGGTACAATCGTACTTTCATCGTAGCATTCTCACTGCTTGCTATATCTTGGGTGCATTTTACCCGTTGGTGTATGGGGCGGGATTTGTTAAACAGAACCAAGTCCTCATACTAGTCTGGATCGTTGGCTGTCTCTTGTTGAGCATATTTACCCTTCTCCCAGCGATTAAGGTCGAAGACGCCGACACCATCACCGCCGGAGGGCTTCTCATGTTCGGAGCTGGTCTCTTATATTTGTACTTTGAGGAAAACATTACTACGCGATCAAAGTCCACCACAACAAAAGACGCACGGCCCAATGTTCTCTCTCGCACCATCATGGGCTTGCAAGTCGGCATCATCCTACTCACCATTATTGTGACGCGGTCCAGTGTGGCCTCTATTCAAGCAAAGAAAGGTCTACCGCTAGGCAACCAAGTTGTTGGTTGGTTTGTGTTTGTGGCTTCGATGGTTCTCCCTTTCGTCCACCGCGTCGCCCCGAACAGACACTATCTCCACCGCCTGATAATCATATTCCTCACATTCTCACCCTGTTTCATCATCTTGACGATTTCCTACGAAGGGTTGTTTTATGTGGCATTCTGTTCGACCCTGCTCGCTTGGGTGCGTCTGGAACATGCCATCCAGCTACACGAGCACGACGCTGCTTCGGCTGCGCAGACACCACCATCGAAGAAATCTGAGGATTCGGCGGCGGCTACGGTGTCTACGGCCGGAGTCACAATCACATCGACCTCAGCAACCGGTCTGAACCTGCACCCAGAACAGACCTTCCGAACCCTGGCACTCCCGGATCTCCGGCGGGCCCTGTTTGTCCTGTTTTTCCTGCAGTCGGCTTTCTTCTCCACCGGAAACATCGCCTCAGTATCCAGTTTCAGTCTGGACGCGGTGTACCGGCTCATCCCGGTGTTTGACCCCTTTTCCCAAGGCGCTCTACTGCTGTTCAAACTCATGGTTCCTTTTGCCATCATCTCGGCCGCCCTGGGGATCCTCAACCGTCGACTGGGTCTCCAAAGCTCCGCGTTGTTCATGACCGTCATGGCCGTCAGTGATATCATGACGTTGAATTTCTTTTGGATGGTCAAAGACGAAGGGAGCTGGCTTGATATCGGCACGACTATATCCCACTTTGTCATTGGGAGCGTGCTCTGCGTGTTTGTCGCCGGCTTGGAGGGCGTTAGTCATGTTCTCATTAGCGGAGTGGATGTTGCCGATGTGGATGTCGGTGGAGATGGTCCTGTTACTGGTGCAGAGGGTTATGAGGACAGGGTAAAGAAAGCCGGAGGAGTCGATGTGGTCAACAAAGGCGCTGGTGCAGAACAAGCGCCGGACCTAAAGCCTGAGAAAGAGGCACAGGATATTGGCAATGGTCATGTCAATGGCAATATTCAGGGCAGGCACGGGCAGCACGATACGGAGAAGAGGCCCGTCATTGAATAGTGAAAACATGGATTGAGGGGTTTGAAGATAGATCCAGTAGGTGCCTAATTGCATGGTCGCATTTTCTTCAAGAACAACCCCTATTTACTACGAGTCGTGATCTTGTCTCTCCCCTCAGGCTCCAGTCTACTTTGATATTGACAGATACGGCGGGCTCAACTAGGGCGCATGATAAGAGGTGTACAACTTAGTGCGAATAGACAGGTGTACAGTAGGGAGGCTCAGCGGGTTGGTTTGATTTGAATTGGATTTCTCCTTTCAGACGCCGTGACTGCTCAAAAGCCACGGCAGGATGGGGTATGGGTATCTAAGCACGTTTGTGATGTCGATACTGGTATCCGAGGGTGTTTCCTCCGGGATTTTCTTCAACTCATAACACCAATAGTCACATAGCACCCCTCGTTGCCCTTTGGTTGCATGATTCCAAGGAACTGATCTTCCCTTTTTCCGGTTGATCTCCTTTCCATTGATGAATGGAAGGTCTCGATGAGACCGGGACATTGTTTTTTAGAGTCATTATGCCTTATGATCGGACCCGGCGCCCCTGTCTTGTAATCCCGTGGTGTTCTTAGAATGGTCATAGTCACGCTGGCGGGCACTGTTGCCCTCCGCGGCAAGATTGACATCCTTGACGGGTTCCTTGGACTCTGCGCCGGCAAGGGTGGCGTTGTGACCGGCCAGCGGACCGCGTGGGTGATCACCTTCCTGCTGCAGACGGCGGAACTCAACGTTGACGTCGTTGGGGTCGCTCAAACCACTACCGCCCGTGGCGCCCGCGCCCTCGGGGCCCGAGGTGTGTTTCTTGCTGGTGTGGTGGCCCTCATGGCGTAGTTCGGTCGACGTCTGCCCTTGGCCTGGGTGACCTAGGCCCTTGTGTACGTCTGCAGAAGTGGCGCCCGGAAGCGTGCTCAGTGCGTCTGTCTGCACGCCTTCCTTGCCGTGGCTGCGTAGCACGTCTGGGTTGTTGGCTTGGCCTGGAACCTCGCCTACTGGGTTCGGTTGGAAGGTTGACTCTTTGGGTGCTGAACCCGGTGGAAGCGTCTGTGCTGAAAATTCGGGCGCGTAGTCGGCCGGACTGGCTTTGACGCCCATTTGGTGCTGTTCCCAATGTTAGTATGAGGATGTCCGAAGAAGACTGCACATATGAGTCGAGGTAGTGGGCGTTCGACTTACTCCGCCAGTGTGGATGGGTTCGGAGCGTGGCTTCGAGGGATGGAATTCGCCCTGGGCGTTGGTCATCGAGTCGGCGTTGCGTGATGCCATGGTGTGTAGTTGTGTGGTTGTGGTAGTGCTACTGTAGTTTGTTTCGTAAAGGTAGGAAGATGTTTGTCGTCGGTTTCAGTCAGCTAAGTCAATGGAGGACTAGAAACAAGAGACAAAAGGGCAATGTGCGTGTCTAATATGCAGTGATGGATGTTTGCTCGTCAGTGACGGAGTCGTGTGCCAGTGTCGTAGTTGTAGTCGGCGTTGACGTCATGCTGGAGAATGCGTGATCTCATTGAAGTTTACAACGTACTGTGACATTATTGTCGACTGCCACTTTCTAGACTCTTCGCGCGCCATGGGATCTGATATACACAGTACTACTACAAGTATTGTGCCTACAATGTGGGTAGCCAAGTATGCGATGATAGTTCGGCGTTATCATTTGATATTGCAGGAAAGGCGTCCTAGGAGGGACTGAATAAGTCGAGCCTTACATGATTGACGTCACTCAGCCTCGTGCAGCGGCAGGCCACAAGGCTGTGCGTTATTACAATGTACAATGTACAGTCTGCAACTTGAACCCCTAATACTACACTCAGCTGGGGATATGAAGCTACAAAGTACAAAATCGTCCTAAGGATTCAACATAAGACCTCTTGGTCCTTGAGGGTATTCAAGTTGGAGGGGTGGCAGACCAGTCGCCTCAAAAGGTAGAGACGATCCTAGGTAGTAGACCAGTATTACTATCCAAGACTCGGACGTGACATCAGCCTCTTCTGCCCGATCACCACGATCACTGTTCCATAAGATCCAAAACAAACACCTCAGATCCCTTATCCTCTCTGTACCACTTACAATCCCAATCACGCCTAAAGAAACAACACTTCACCTCGCTCACCTGGATTCTGACTCCGAGTTGTCTCACTTAAACTCTATCAGCAACAATGCCCGAAGACGTCAAATCCAAAGGCGGCGCCACGATTGAAAAGGGCGATACTGTCAGAGCCCCCGTAAGTACAAAGGAGATCCTTTTACAAGTCACCCGAGGTTTCCATGACACTGCATGATTATTCTTATTTTGCGCCCGAGTTCACACACCACCCACTCGGATTATGGGTATTATAGTACCGAGGCGGCAAACACGAAGGTCAAGTCGAACAGATTGTGACCGACGAGAAACAAGCCCGCAATCTCGACGCCAAGGGCGCCAGCCACGCCCCGGCCGTGGTCTTCCATGACCAGAATAATAAAAAGGTCGCGCATAAGCCGGAGACGGTGACGGATGTGGATAAGGAGTGAAAATGGCCGAGAGAAGAACCACATCGTGGAAGTTTTGTCGTTACAACTACCTGTACCTCAATTAGTTGATAGTAATAAATAATAATACCTTCCCTGACCAAAGATCAGACCAGTCCGGTCGTCAAATTAAGCTCGGAATTGACGATATTATTAGCAACCATCCGGCACTGTATATTGAGAAGCTCGTTTTGGAATGTATGTATAAACCTATGTACTGTATGTATGTATGCCAGCGGTTCACATCGGTTGACAAGTTCAAAGACCCGTTCTCTCGCCGCTCGATGACTCCCTGCTCTGGGTTCTTCTGTGCACGGCTGCAGGTCATATCCGTTTCGCTGTATATGTATGTAATTAGGCCTGCATCGTCATCTGATGAAAAATCTGGATGCTGCCGTGACCGCTTGAGCCCCTATTTGACAACAGCAAGAAGAAACCCGTCATAGGTCTTCTCCGAGACAGTCTGGATGACCACGGCATCGACCCTGTCATTTTTCCCTATGGCCTCAATCAGCTTCCTTGAGCCGGCCACCCGGGCATCCTTTTGCGCCTCGGCCTCATCGGCAAGCTTGCCCCATCGAACAACATTGTCAGTGTAGATGCAGGTCCGTGGCTTAACCATTTGCAGAGCAAGGTCAAAATATGCCAAGTTGTTCTCTTTGTCGGCATCGATGAAGACAAAATCAAATGGTTCACGCTTGCCGGCCTTGACCTCATCCACGAGAGCCGGTAGAACCTCCAATCCCGGGCCGAGTAGGACGTCGACTTGATTGCTCAGGCCGGCATTGGCAATGTTCTCCTCGGCAACCTCTTTGTGCTTGGGATTGACCTCCACGCTAGTGACTCTGCCATCCGGGCCAGCGCCGGATGCCATCCAAATAGAAGCATAGCCTCCTAAGGTTCCAACCTCTAGGATGTTTTTGGCTCCTGCAATTTGGATTTGAATTGACAGCAGCTTCCCCTGGGCGGGATAGGAAGCAATGTCAGGGAGTCCTTTCTTCAAAGAGTTGTAGTAGGCAAACTCCAGAGCATCATGGTATTTGTTCCGTGAAGGTGCGAGTAAATGGGCCGAAGTGTAGGCGTCAACGGCTTTCCATTTGGGATTGTCCTCGCGACTGACGTGCCCTAGGAACTTGGTGGCCATGATGGGGAATGATTGAGAGTGCAGTCTATAGCGTGGGATCTCTCTTTGATGGACAGCTTGGCTATCTCTGAATGAAACAAGCGGCGTAGGCCCCATTATTTAAGCAGCCTCGCTTCAGCCTCGGCCTTTCTGCGCGAGAGCTCGGCCGAAATGTCCTGATGGAGTGGTGTCGCCATGACCGTTGCAATGGTATAATCGCCGTCGTGGCTGATGCTGAGTTGCGCGGCCTGTTCAGTAATAGTAGTACGGTTAATTTGAGCCGAATCTTGTTCCAGGCGTATATCGCAGATCATTTGGACGCGGCCTCCGGCTTCGGGCTCGACTCGTAGATCGCGGAACCCAAGCAGAGTAGCATCCCAGGCCTTCTTAGCTGCTTCTTTGGCCGCCCAGCGACCGGCCAGCCAGGCAGCAAGCTGGTGTCTCTTTGGCCCATCGTGTACTTGTGAGTCATTCCACCTGGGGAATCGCCGCGCTAGGTCGTCAAGCTCTTTGGGGTGTAGGAAACGTGCGGCCAGTCTAGTTAGTCGCTTGTAATCCGGGTTCAGAGGACACAAGATTCTATTGGTGGCAATAATATCTGTGCCGACACGTAATGAGAGAGGGAATGGTACCCTCATTGAGCTGGTCTTTACATGTAGAGGGACAAGGCCCGTGCAAGCTCACTTCAAGGGGACAAGAGCCTGACTGGGGCGAGGAGTGAAGAATCCCAATCGGAGAAGATGCGGAGTTGGTCGGCGGAAGATCAAGCCGAAGCCAGAGCCAACGACAACTACAACTTCAATGCGAGGACCTGCCACCTAATGATAAGAGTGGCAGTCGGCATCGATTTGATCACTTCCTCAGAACTAGGTATCCTCGGTTAGCACTCATCTCAGCCTATGTCGATAAAGCGACTTGAAAGGGGTGTTCACTCCATCGCTCCTAGAGTATCTCGAGCCCTTCGCCTCGCGCCGCAGAATCCTGCGCTGAACTCCGTCCATTGGCGGACTCGGCAACCGGCAGTGATTCATAATCCAGCAGACCAGGCCATATTGTCTGGGTGATTCTTTGTTGCATAAGCTATTGTCCCAGACAGCAGTCGGTCAAGATGAAGCACGTTAGATGTTCAGGGTCGCCATATGAAGTAAGTGGACAGAGCCCAATCGTGGGTAGTCTCGAATGTCTAACATGGTATAGATTGGCCAACAACACGGTCAAGCTGCCAAAGCCGAGGTGGAGGGGAGTATTGCCTTCTACGCCGACTTCTTTCAGCAACGCACCAAGCTTTCATGGCCTCAGGTGCGCGATGTAGCACGGAAATTCCTACCGTGGCTGGATGCCCGGTACCCTGAATACGTCGAGGAAATGAAAGGCATTGCCGATGGCGCCGGGCTTGATCTGGAGTCGATTGTCGCTCTCAATGTCCGCACCGAGATCGCCTTTGGCATGTTAAGTGATGGCTGTACCGCGCTGGCATGGAAGACTTCCGAGGCGAGTTTCATCGCCCAGAACTGGGACTGGAGGGCTGAACAAGCCCCCAACATCATCTCACTCTGGATCGACCAATCTCCCAAGCCACGGATACACATGATGACCGAAGGGGGCATCATTGGCAAGATCGGACTGAATTCGGCCGGGGTCGGAGTCACTCTCAATGCGATCCAGGCGCCTGGTGTTGCCTACGACAAACTCCCCTGTCACCTCGCCCTCCGGACAGTGCTCAACAGTACTTCTAGGGAAGAAGCCGCCAACACGCTTCACCGGGTGGGAGTGGCATCGGCTTGTCATATCACAATCGCAGATGCCTCGACAGGGGCCGTGGGGCTGGAATGCACCGCTCGCGACATCGTTGACTTGCCCATGGATCAGAAAGGGACGTGCACGCACTCCAACCATCTGGTCAAACAACACGAAGTCGAAGGGACATTATGGCTGAAAGACTCGCCTTTCAGACTGGACCGAATTCAAGAACTAATCAAAGGGGTCGATCAGCCGTCTTTACAAAATCTGAGCGAGATGCTGAAGGATGAAAAGAACTACCCCACTGCCATCTGCAGAGCTCCGGGCGAGAAAGGCTCAAGTCAGACGCTGTTCTCAATCATCATGGACTTGAAGCAGGGCTTTGCGAGGGTGAAAATGGGAAGGCCGACCGAGGACGGAGAAACTTTTGAATTGAGACCATAGCCGCATCAATAGTGTAGCATCGGGCAGGAAGAGTCGTATCCTCCGTAACCGAAGAGCCTGGCCAATATAACGTAGCTCATTGCGTCCCATCCATCTCATTTATTTACAAGACGGCGCCATTTCTAATCGTGGACCCGGCACCCCCCGAACTGTTTATTGCACTTCGACCGAGGGTTTTAATGCGCCTCCTTGCCGGAGACCTTGTTCTTCTTCTCTTCCTGCTCGACTGACTGCAAAAATTCTCTGTGACCCGGTCAGGCACGTGTTGCGGAATGTCGATTCTGCCGGAGTGGTTCTTACTGGATAAACTTCTCCTCATCCTTGCTCGAGGCGTTGATGGGAGGTGTGTTTGTTGCTTTGGACGATCCACCTCTCGTCATCAGGTATGGGATCGAGAAAGTAACGCCCAGGGTGGCCATGGCCAACTATACGTTGTCAGTTCATCGAAGTTGGAACCGAACCAGGAATCCAAGGGCTGAGGAGCAGGGACGAATGCCCTTCCCGGGGGTGACCGTACCCAGTGTGAACCGATCTGGCGGCCTGCGACATTGTACATAACAACCATCTTGACGGATCAAAAGAGGAGTATCGGCTAGTCGTAGGATATAGGACGGGTACGTTGGCTGCTGAAGGGACCAGGACTGTTCGTCTGTCTGTGACCGGCGATGCAATTGTGGTTGCAGCTTCACCAAAAGAGCTCGAGCGGCTAGTCCTGAAAGGGAAGAGTGTCGGAAAGGAAGTATACGGTGTGCTATGCGGCTTGATGCGCAGTCATTCTGGCGGACTGTATGCACCACACGTACAGATCTTCCAGGCACTCCCGGCGACAGAACACCGGCACTTCGTCATCGGGCCCGAACCAGTCGACCGACGGACGCTCCCCGGATTCAACCCGTACAGACAGAGAGCTGCGCCCGTTGCCACTACGACGCAGAAGTCACGGCGTCCTTAAGGCAACAGGCAGCAGGCAGCTTCATTCCCTTTCTTTTCACCCGCTCTCGACATCAAGATGGCCGGCGACAGAAACAATAATCTCCCGAACAGTGCCTTTCCAAGAGAAAAATTACCCAAAGATCTCCAGAAGCTTGTCGACAAGCAAGACGACTATTGGGAAGATATATATGACGGAACGGGCCCCGATACCACCGAAACAAGTGTGCGATATGCTGCCTACGCAAACCGTCTGCGGACGGTGATGCTGAGCGCCCATCGCTATGTCGCATACACCTCCGACATTGGCGAATCCTTCCGTCCTGTCGCTCATCCCTGGCTGGTCCGAGGCGCATACGCGGTGTCATGGGCATATATCCTCGGCGATGTGAGCCACGAAGGATGGAAGGCGTACAAGAGAAACCAGCGTCTGCTATCCCCACAATCCGAAGAATACCACGACGCAACCCAGAAAGACGTCAAAGAGACGGGCCAATCTTTAGTATATAAAAATCCTGTTCAGATTCCTGCCATCGAGGACTATCGGAGTGTCATGGTCCAACGAGCAGTCTTTCAGAGCATCGCCTCCATGGGACTGCCGGCTTTCACCATTCACAGCATAGTGAAGTACTCTGGAAAGGCATTGAGGAACGCGAAGAACACGACTATCAGAACGTGGGCTCCGATTGGGGTAAGCTGAATTCAAGTTCTTGGGCGTACGGTGCAAAGACACTAACACTGTCACAGCTCGGTTTGTCGGCCGTGCCGGCGCTTCCCTATCTATTCGATAAGCCTGTCGAAGAAGCTGTAGAATGGGTCTTCTATCAGGCATTCCGGGCCATTGGTGGTGAAAAGGCTGTGGGCGATAGACATTCAACCGGGCGAGAAAAGCAACTACAGATCGAGGCGAAAGCGGCCAAGGCTAAGAAAGAGCTTTAATAAAAATATGCCATACAAGACGGGAGGGAACAAGTGTAGGTGGGAACCCGTCTATCTGTACATTGCTGCATGGTGTTTCGACCATTTGGGTTTGTCTGGAAGGCATTTTTGAGAAAAGTGTGCGGCCACCGAACGCTTTGCTAAGTGGTGTTGGTGATTGAAGCGTGAGGGAGCTGGTGGGGATCACCAGGTGATGAAGAGCTCCATACTCAATCTATTCTCCGATACCTATCAGTGCATTGAGTGCATTGGCTTTTTTAGTCGAGGACATTGGAGTCGCGATATTCACAATGTACATTGTACTTTATACAGTTAGGTAGAGGCAGGTGTTCAGCCTCGTGGCCCGGCCTCTGTCCGATAAGAGAAGGAGACTCCCCGCCGATAGCCGGTCGGCGGTTGTTGTCCCGTTATGATGGGAAAGTTGACACACTACAAGAATGCCATCACCCCCTCCAACTGCAACACATTTTCAAAAAGATGCTGTACCACGTTCAACGAGACCATCTTCCGTGCCTGAGACAGACACAACCAGTCACCCTGTGCTTACCTTGAGAACGTCCAATGGCACATCGCGTAAGCTAGTCTTCCTTCTTGGCCGTCCTCTCCATGGGAGTCTACCAGTACGACATTCGCGCACACACCTGCGTCATCAAGCATGCCCGGCCTCGACCCTGACTCTCGGCGGTACCACGACCCTTCGAAGACCTCATCTGTGAAGACAAAAGATCGACAAACAGAGAATGTGTTGCAATGGAATACTGCAAACCTGGGACTGCAGATTGGGGCTGATCTCGCTTCTGCTGCGAGTGCGTCGGCCTTGATAGCGCCCGTTATATGCGTGATTGATCGGTACGTACTATATGTATATATCGCGTGTTATTGGCGTTGCAAATAGTAAGAAGCAGCATTTGCGTTTGGCTCGCAGGGTATCTTCCACGGGAGAACTTGCCAGACGAGGCTTGATCGGAGCTTTTCAGAACCGCCCAAGGGCTCTCTGTATGTATGGCCATGCCAGCCAGCTAACCCTTCCCGTGATTATATCAAGCATCAGTCGTTCAAGCGTTATACGGCTCACGCCTTACTCTTGATTTTCAAGACAGAACCTCACTGCCGGAGCGTGTGTACCGCACGATGTGTTTATCGAATATATATACATTGCCTCGATATCGGGTGCCAGATCCTGAGAGCCCCCGTCGATGTTTTGTTACCTCCATACTACATCAACATTGCCTGTTTTTGATCACCAGTCCTCCTTGCTGTGAGCCCGAGGTGCTCAACCAAAAGGATCCACAATCACGCCCGCAGGAGACCATGACTGACTCGCATCCGTACGTGACGTCTACAGATCGATTGTCGAAAAAGCAGCTCGAGGGGTTTCTTTTTCATCTTGTCTTGTTGGAGCACTGCGGCCGGCGATCACACGACCACACAAATTCATCTTTTCGCGACCATTTCTCCTCATCCTGTCGCTCTACTTCAGCACCTACACGACGGCCAATGCGGTCGACACGATCTCCTCAACCATTTCGTCCACTCCCGCCTCCGCCGTCACAACAGGCCCTACAAAGTTCGTGGCGACGTCGGCGGTCAACATGAGTATGTGCGTGTACAAAGACTCATGGTTTGTGAGGATGTTTGGAGCGGGAGCTGGTGTCACAGCAACGCCGGTGGTGCCTTCTCCTACCACTGGCGCTGTTCCTCGACTGTCTTATGCCTTGTTTGCCCTGCGAGACAGTCTGACCATCTTCGCCTCGTTTAATCTCCCTCCCATGATTGCGCCCCAGCTGGAAAGGCTGCCTGTGTCGTCCTTTCTCGGCACAGAGACGGCGCGGACCAACGCGGCGCAGTTTCTCGCCCCGGCGGCCGTGCAGTTGGTTTCGACCCCTATCCACCTTTTGGGTCTGGATCTGTATAATCGGAAAGGATCTCTGGGGTTTCGCCAACGATATACTCGGATCGTGAGAGATTGGGCCGTCAGTGCTTTTGCGCGGATGGGCCGGATTATTGTGAGTCTTGCCCATTTTCCGGATATCTTTCTGTCCTTTCCGTTGCCCTTGGATTGGCGGCGTTACTTGGAGTGCTAATTTGATCGTCCAATCTATTCCAGCCTGCATTTGGCGTTGGTGGCGTTGTGAACTCCAACATGCGCCGAAACCTCATGACTAAGATTGAATCCTTATGATTGATTGATATGCGCTTCAGCGAACTATCCAGACAAATGGACAGACATACGATTGACAGAAAAACAAATGATCGAGACGAGGCAAGACAAAACATTCCAGCCGGACGCAATAGATGAATGAATGAACTGACGAAGAGGTAACTCCACACCACCAACCACCAACCACCAACCGCCCTGAATTAGCCGTGGTAGATATAGATATATATATTCGGTGGCCCGGCATTGTTGTCGAGAAGATTCCCAAGCTGTTCCACCACTGCTTTGCAGAGGTGCACTGTTGTCTCCGTCTGTCAGCTCATGTTGTACTTGACGACAAACTACCGACCGCCAGTCAAGGTGCTGAACAGAACAAGTGATATAGCGATCTGGGAATGTCCTACCACTAATGCCGCTGTGGAATGTCGAACCAACCACCTATGGCATGGCACTTCTTATTTCCTCATTCCCCTCAACCGATGCAAGCCAACGGCCCTCCTCCAGCTCTCATCCCACCACCCGACCGGGAAAAATGTGTTGGCAAACCAGGTCCTCCAGGCGCCCGTGCCCCTCCACACCTCCAATGGCGGATTGCGTCGACGGCCGACGATGTCGGCGACGACATCACGGGCCCATTTGTGCGGGTCTTCTCGATGCGGGAATGCGTTCCTCATGGCACTCTCCGTCTGCTCCCGGACGGGCGAGTAAATCGAGCCCGGGGGTAAACTGGCATTTCCGCCCTGGTGGTTCGCATGGAACCGCGAATGAACACAGCCGGTCTTGAGGTCGACGACGCGGATATTGAACGGTTCCAGCTCGATACGCATGTGCGTGCTGAACATGGCCGCTGCGGCCTTGGATGCGTGGTAGACCGAATTGTGTGGCGTCGGTTCCACGCTAGATATCGACGTGTTGTTGATTATCAGGCTGGGGGCTCCGGGGGAGCGGTTGGATTCGGTACCATCTGTGTTTGTGGTTGCAGCGTTGATCAAGAGTGGTAGAAACGCTTGCGTCACGCTGATGTACGACCATACGTTGAGGTCGAAGAGCGCTTTTGCGTCCGGGATCGAAATGTCCGCCACGGGCATGTTGTAGCCTGGATGGATGCAAGTTAGACTTGATAAAAGTGGTATGGTGGTCAATATCCAGGATGAGATACATTCATGTCTCCACTGGCAAAATGTAAATGCAATTGAAAATGGAGTGAGTGCAATGTGCAAGACAGTATGATATGCCCGGCAGATAAAAAAGTGGACAAAAACAGAAAAGATACATACCTCCTCCGGCATTGTTCACCAAGATATCCAGTCTCCCTTTCTCTTTCTGCTCGTCAAGTCTCCCCCCGTCGCCAGTAGTCTCAGACTGCAACGACATCGATGACTCGGACGACGAAGTCAACTCCCTCACCCTCCCAACACACTCCTCAATCGACCCTTGATCACAGACATCCATCTTCAAACATACAATATCGGACTCTGACTTATTTCTCAAGTCGCCCCCCATTCGGTCCACGTTCCTGGCCGTAGCAAAGACCCAGAACCCGGCGTCGTGGAATGCCAGTGCTAGGGCGTGGCCTAGACTATGTTCGGAACAGCCGGTGATGAGGACGATTGGTTTGTGTTTCTGTTTCTGTTGCTGATCGCTGTTGCTGTTGCTGTTGCCGTTGCCATTGAGACCGTTGAGATTTTGTTGGTTCGTCATGATAAAACGAATCCTGAAAAGAAGGGAAAAGGCACAGGTGGTAAACCACGTAGTGAACCGCCAGCCAAAAAGCTGTAGACTCTAAGTCGTATGATTAGATTTGGCGACTGTGAACTGAGACACAGTATATAGTATCTAGGTACCTACTGTGGTTGGTACAATATATAATTCCAGTAGTGAGTGAAATTTAATAGAGTTATATTTACGGTGGCGCCGCGGCTATCAATCAGACACGTCTCAGGTAGATAGATACCTATATCCACATCCCTGTCTGGTCTGACCTAGAGTGGGAGATTAGACAGAGTCAAAGACCAAGGTACTCACCCATACAAGCCACATCGTGCCATCAGAAATGAGATTGCATAAAGTCGCAGGAGAGAAACGAATATAACCATTGAATGAGTGGCGAAAATGACTACTATAGCCTTGACAAAACTACCCCCAAACCCCAATGCTATACGATCCCAGCCAGCAGCCTCAGTTCGGTCAATTGTTACAGTATGTTGCATCCCATATCTCCAGCCTTGCTCACCAGGCCCATGTGTTTCAAACTGCCCAGGTCGATGCCCTTATCAGCTTCGTTGTGTACTTGTGTTGTTCCACCACTTCCATCATGAAGACCGAAGGTCTCGATTCGATCCCTCTCATCTACCGAGAACTTTCGGTACTGTAGATCCCTGGTCTCTGACCCGTCATAACAATTCTCTTTCTCGGCCCAGCGGCTTTTTCATTGTCCAGCCCATTCTGTCTCTGTGCCTCGGCCCCCATTCCTTCCGCAATGAATCCGATGATATAGGCGCCACCTCCCAGCGCAGCGACAATCAATGCCGTCCGTTTCACGCTCTTCGTAAACCTCGTCCAGACTCCCTCGTGGTGCATGTTGGCGCCGTCGGTGTTTGGTGGAAATGCGGATGATGATCCAATCTCATCGGTATTAGAATTCTGGGATGCTGCATTGGGACGGATGGTGCCTGAAAACACATCCTCTTGTCGCCTGACCCTCGTGTGACCTGCATTGCCAAACAGCCGCGACGGCGTCGCAGTAGTCGCCGCTGGTGCCACGTTCGGTTCAACATCTGTCGGGATCCCATCTCCCAGGGCAGCAGTCGCGACTGTTGATCCAGCACCAGCTTGAGCCATTGTAGCAGTGGAGGTGACCGCCGTAGCTGTCTTAGGAGCAGGCTTCAATTCGTCCACCTTCTTGATGGCAGAACCATGCTCACGCGGTTTCTTCTTGAAGATGAGCATGTTTTCGCTCCCATTGAAGAGTGAGTACCCGGCTCTCTTCAGAGCGGCAAAATGCTTCAGAAACTCGGGAGCGTTCTTGAGCCTGCTCAAGACACCTACAGCATCGGCGGCTTTCTGCGTTGGCTTGGCCGGTTCGTTCATAGGCGAAAACTGCACTTTTCCAGTGGCAGGGTCATAAGCGAGGATGATGAACTGTGAATCGTACGTCTTCTCTCTCAGGCTCTCGATCGGAGGAGGCTGTTCATCGTTCCATTCTGGCGATCCAGACGGGGTTATGAACGGCTCGGGTACTTTATTCGGTTCTGTGACGAGTTCTGACGAGGATTTGGGCTGAGTGCTGACACCTTGGAGCGACTCGTCGCGCTGTAGTCCTGCCTGGTTTCCCAAGTCTGATGCAGACTCATGCTCCTTGGGAACAACCCTGCTTTCCTCCGATTGAGCAGGAGGTTTCTGTGGAGCGTTCCACACTGTCTGTGGTCTCCCACTTTCAATGGCTCGAATGGCCAGCTGCGCTTCGTGCAATCCCCTTCGGACCTCTTTTGCCCCATCAATAACCGTATTTAGGTCCCTAGATGGCGACGAAGACCCCTGTATTCGTGCCAACTCATCGTTGACCTCTCGAAGCTGACTTCGAACCTCTTTAGCACCGTCCACAAGGTCGGCCAGCTTGGGTTCGAATTGGCTGATATGTGCATCTATGACCGGATTAGTGGACACCCCAGGCTTGACACTGGCGGTCATGAGAGGATGCATCTTCGCTGGTGATTGCTCTGACTCCACATTTCCAGGAGCAGCTTGATCTTGTTGCCGATGGTTAATGTCGATCGGGCCATATTCTTCCTCGTATGCTGCTCGTAAATCGGAAGCTAGTCGAGAAAGTTGGGCCTTTTGAGCCTTGGCTTCCTCCTCGGCGTTCAAGGACGCCTGTCTCAGATCAAAAGTACGCTGTGATCTTTCCTTCTCCGCATCCAACTCCTCCCGTGACGGAGTGAGCGTTTGCACCTTGGGCTTCTTCTCGGTGGATTTGTAGATGGATGGAGTGTTCGTCAGCGATTCGTCTTTGAACACGAGTTTGTCAACCAGCTCTTTCGTTTTTTCTGACGATACATATCTCTTGTAATTATCGTTGAAAGCATTCATGGATTGCATCGTTTTCGCCACTATCCCATTTGGATAGTCTCGAACATGATCCCACACGTGGTTGAGCTTGGCCCTGAGGGTGCTGGCTGAAACGTCAACCTTATCCTCATTAGGGGTTGCTGCTTCTGACTGATGTCTTGCATATTCTGTCTCGAGTTTGGCTCTTGCCTTCCGCTTGAGTGCGTCTGTCTCTTGCTTGGTCGTTCTTGACGTTCTTGTGGCCGCACGAACATCACTGGCCCGAAGAAGGTCAACGTCCTCTTCCGTGGTCTCAAACGGAGCTTCTCGAGGGGTTGGCTTGTCAACACCAGCCTCGGCCTCCTTTGACCGTATCGAAGACGCAGAAACGTGGCGATCCACGGCCGTCTCCAGCTTCGAAGACTTGCTCTTGAACTGCCTGTCACCAGTAGCTTGTACGCGATTGAGAGCTGGCTCAAGCTTGGGGCTGGTGGTCTTTACCACTTCCTTCTTCGTAGAGTCTGTTGTATCAATGGACGAGTCTTGACCTCTCTTCTCAGTCAACTGGACAGGCGATTGAGTTGCCTGGTTCGGGATCTTTTCACCATGGCTGAACCTGCCAGCATATGTCGTTCCAGAAAATAGCGGAGCGTTGTCATCTGGCTCGGCGACTTCTCGGCGATGGCTGGAAGTAGTCTGTTCGTCAGAGCCTGATTCAGCTTTGTGGTCGGGGCTGGCTTCGGTATACGTAGCGGATGTGTCGATGTTATTGCCCTTACTCCTAGCCAACAAGCCGCGCATTTCATCCTGTCTGGAACTGGCGAAACCACGATGGAAATCAGGAGAGTGGGATTCCTGTTTGGCCTCCTTCGATCGTTCTGGTGAAGCATCATATCCATAGACCTTGTGGGGCTTATGCGTCTTCCCTGGGATGCCAACACCGTGTTCCGAGAACAGATTCTCGAGGAATGGCTTCTTCGATTCTACTTGTGGCTTGACGTTGGTCTCGGTATTTTTGACCGGCACGTTCCTCATGGAAATCGGATCATACCGATAGTGTGCTTGCTCAGGAGTGGCAGCCTCGTTGTCATTCCTTGTTACACTCGACGTTTCAACTGTGGTGCTTGCTGGCTCTTGTTGAGCCGACTTCCCTTCTTCAGTCACTGACGGCCCACCGGATGACTTTCCTGCATTCTCTCGCGTAGTCTCTCCATGGGACAGCCAAGAGAACGGCGTCCATGATGGATAACTGGTCCAAGAATGGTTTGCCAGCCTTCTGCCGAACAGGGTCCCATAAGGATCTTTTGAGATGGCTCGATCAATAGCCGCCTTGAAAGATTCGAAGTCGCTATGGAAGCTATCGCGATCGCGATCGTGATCTTCTGCGGATGGCTTCCCCGTCGACGAGTTTGGTGACCCTGGAGCATTCTGACCACAATGTCTTCTAGAACCGAGGCGACCGGACATATGCCATGGCCAGTGTGCACACTCGTCCTTCTCCCACATTGCCCGTCTCCTGAGGTACTTGGAGTATCTTGACCTCATGATCTTCTCATGCCTCCTGAACCGGTCCTCTAGACTCTCATCTGCTGAAGCGGAAGGCCATTCACCCGAGTGGCGACTCCACCACCATAGCGTTCGTACATGGCCAGCATAGCGGGGATTGGTCCGAGGTAGGGTAGTCCGCAGGCAACGGGCTTGTCTGTAAGGGAAACAGGGCAGATGGCCCCGCGAGATAGGAGGGACCGGCATTCTGGTCGATCTGCCGCACAAGTGGATGCTCACTGATCGTGCTTCAAAAAAGAAGCAAGAAATATTTCAATGATGTCTCTACGACACCCCCAAGTCAAAAGACTCGGAATGGCGATGTCCAGGGGGGCGGTAATGTCGGCAATGAACAGCAGCACGGATGACCCGCCCTCAGGCAGATGAGACACACATCTGCTGTGTCTGAGAAACAGATCAAATCACTGGCCTCCGTCGTCCAAGGCTGGAGAGATGGATAAGGTAGATGTGAGCCCAGCATGCAGCGATGAAGCCAATGGCTGGGTTACGCTTACAATGCTGATGAGGAGGGGAAGCGCTTGTACGAGGGTGCGGCCACGGACTCTGGCGCTGTGGTGCACACTGGCAGGCAACAACACGCGTGCGATAACGATAGCGATAGCGATAAGGAAAGGCGGGACTCGGAATGCGGAGAAAACATGATCCACACTGGCGGCACTCAGCTCACTGCAGTGCCGCAGACTTGAACCCAAACCATCCCTTTGTGGCAGCTTTGCCGTGGTCAAGTTGTTTGCAAAAAGAATCCAGTTCGATCTGCAGTTGTGACTCCGACTATCGCAGCCGGCGGTCGATCTGTTCGCACCCACAATTTGAACATTGGGACAGACATATCCGGCATCCTCCCAAGATAAGCCACTTTATGCTTGTCTCGGGTCATCTTATGCTGGAGACACTCTCTATACCAACATTACTACTCGTGTGACCACACCTACGGTCTCTCATGCATCGATTTCCCTGTTATCCTTCCTCGCTCTTTGTCCATAATGAAACATGAAACAGGCCGCCTTGACCCGACATGCTGCTTCTCTGCAAAGCTATCACATAGCACGCATTACCAGCAATAATACCAGTACAGCCGTCCTGAGTCCGAATAGCTCGTCGCAACCCAAGCTAGTCGCGTATTCATGCTGGCCATCTTCACATCGACTCTATTCAGCACATACTGCCCCTCAATCCGAGCGGGCAGACAGGGTTGGAGTCCTACCTCAGAATGAGCAGGCTGGGTCTTATGCAAGACGTGAAAAGCAAAGGTTGACAAATAAAGAATTCTTCACAAGTCTTCTTAGCTCTGCACCTACCAAGCGAGATGCAAAAGCCTTCATATCTAGGCTGAAAAGCCCGACCGGTACATCGAGTGCCTCAGGACCCGGCATACTTCCTGCATCAAAGAAGGCTCAAGCCCCGTCCAAGGTCGGAGACCTGTTATATCGGAATCGGGCCGTGGAAGCAAGCCCTGTCTTTACACAATTCGAGAAAGAGTCGGAGCAAACAATAGAAGAGCAAGAGACTCTGCACGTCGCTCTGCTGAAGATCAGCAATGTAAGCTGCATGCCTGACGATATTGTCGGTGGCATCGCCAAAACTCTCTCATCTCTAGCTCGCCTGGGCATGGTGCCTTGTGTGGTGCTCGAAGAGTCAGATCAATTGGGCGACGCCAGCTTCCGCGGCCACTTTCGAAGGACGGCTGACCGAATGGTGGACGCCATTGATGGTGTGAATGAGTCCGGGGCCGGAAGACTTGACAACATCTTCAACGTTGGATCGGACGGACGTCCGAGTGTCTTCCTTCGAAAGCTCTTGACGCGTCCTCTACGCAGAGGTAAAATTGCGGTAGTTGTGCCAATTGCTTATTCGGAAGAGAATCAACATGCAGTCTCAATTACTGCTGACGAAGCTGTATTGGCACTTACCAGAGAACTTGCAGGCCTTGACTTCAATCCGGCAGCTGGCGAACCTATCAAGCAGCGTACCCAGAAGATGGATTCCACATGGAAACAGATTTCTTTGGACAGGATTATTGTTATTGACGAGACCGGAGCCATTCCGAGCACGAAATCTGTCGATCGGAAGCATGTCTTCGTCAACCTCCAGCAAGAATATTCGTCAATGCAGGAAGAACTGCGGAGCTCGACAGATGGAAACGTCTCGCCCAAGCATGCGGCTAATCTGAAATTGTTTCGGGATACCCTGCAATTGTTGCCTCACTCGGCCTCTGGCCTTTTGACCACTCCACTCGAGGCCGCCAACACATCACGGACCTCAACCGAGGATGTCTCCACTGTCGGGACCAGAAGACAGAAGAACCCTCTGATCCATAATCTTCTGACCGACAAGCCTGCGTATTCATCATCGTTGCCGACTCGAAGACTCGGCCAGGATAATCCATCTACGTCTTCGAGCAATTCGACCTTTGTCAAGCGAGGGATGCCGTTGGTAGTCCTGCCCCATCCGGACGTGCAGCCCTGGACGGCCGGGGGGACCCCTCGTTTGAAGCTGACCGACCCTCGAATTGACCTCGACAGACTGGTTTACCTGATCGAGGATTCGTTCAATAGAAAACTGGATGTGGATGCCTACTTGAAGCGGGTCAACGATAGAATAGCTGGAGTCATCATCGCTGGGGAGTACGAAGGCGGTGCCATCCTGACCTGGGAGACACCGCAGGGTGCGTCTGACAGCGACAACGCCCGTCTGGTCCCTTATCTGGACAAGTTCGCCGTATTAAAAAGAAGCCAAGGGGCTGGGGGCGTTGCCGACATAGTCTTCAATGCCATGGTCAGAAGCTGTTTCCCGAACGGTGTCTGTTGGCGCAGTAGGAAGGACAACCCGGTTAACAAGTGGTACTTTGAAAGGTCACGCGGAACATGGAAGATCCCAGAGACCAACTGGACCATGTTTTGGACGACGCCGGGGCTCGAAGACCCGGATAAAAGTCGAACGTTCCTAGACTACGAGAGTGTCTGTCGAAACGTCCAGCCAACGTGGGCCGACGGCAAAAAAATCGCGGATTAGAGGTTCAATAACATCGATTGTGGGTATGTTGCCTTTTCAAAAACTCCGCGCTCAACCAACAGTATACCCAATAGACTATGACAATGACACACTAGTACAGACAGTACAGAGCACGAAATAAAAGTAAGATATCAAGTGCAGCGGCCATCAGACGCCTGGCTTCTTTTCAGTAGTGACTTTCGACACCATGCGCATGGACTCTCTGGGCTCGACCTGATCAAACGAGCCATTTGGCACGATTCTGTCGTCCCGAGCCTGGGCTCCATGGTTGTCGGAGCCTGAAGGTCCCGGCCTCTTCAATTGCTGCACATTGCCACGGAACAAAGCTAGCAGATAGCTTGAGGTGAGGATCTCGGTTGTGTTAGGAGCGCCATCCTCGCTGAGATCATTTGCATGTATGCGACAGAGGCCATCTGGCCGGGCGTCTGACTCGCGGCGTGCTGCTGCCGCTGCCTCCGCCTCGGTGTCGTTCTTGACAGGCTTGTGGTTCTTGGATATCCAGACATTTCCGAGCGCGGCGCTGGCAAAGATACTCAGGCCCAAGATGGGCAAGATGGAAACAAACGCCCACATGGTGGCGGTGGCGCCCTGTTTCCGGATGGCCAACTGCTCGGCAGGCGGGAGCTTGCTGATGGCGTCGAGAGAGTCGTTGTTATGCATGTTGAACGAGACATCGGCAGTGTTGCTGCCGGACTTGACGGTGCTTGAGCCAAAGTAGTCGCTCATTTGGTTCTGGAAAACCGAGCCCATGATGGTCAGGGCCAGGGTGCCGCCGAAGGGCATGGAGAAGCGCAACAGACTGTACACCGGGGCCAGGCGGTCGCGGAACATGCCGGCCAAATGCAGGTTCGAGGGCATGAATCGCAGGCCTGTGCCGGCGCCAGCCACGACCATCATGACATTCACCAAAGTGGCGTTGCGCGATTTGACCGCGTACGCTAGGGTGGAGATGCCTGCCGTTTCGATGACGGTGCCGACGAGCAACGGCCAGAACGTCTGGCGCGGCCGCACATTGCAGACGTAGACGGCGCTGTAGACGCCGACCCCGAGCCCTGGGACGTAGTAGAGCAGCTGGGTGCCGGCGTGGCTGGCCTTGTCGCCCTCGACGACGGTAAAGTAGATGCCAATGAAATAAAAGACGGAATAGAGTGCCGAACCGGCCGAGGCGGCAAGGGCGCAGATCAGACTGACGTCCTTGGAGGCCAGGACCGAGCTGGGAATCATCGGGACCGTCTTGGGGAAGAGACGGTTCAGCAGCCGCGTAGGCGCCAGAAGGGCTTCGTAGGCGAGGAAGACCAGACACAGGATCGCTCCAATCACCAGACTTGATATCACCGCTGCAGATCGCCATGGGTACGTCGAGCCGCCCCAGGCTGTGCCCAGAATGACCAGCCCGACACCGACGATAAACAAAAAGATGCCACCAAAGTCGAGGGTCGAGATACCCGTGGTGAAGGCCTGCAGACGGGATTGTCCGGCCGGTGGTCGCGACAACGAGACTCGGCCTGGCTTCAGGTCTTTGCGTAATATGGAGATTGTGAGGACGCTCACGACCGACATGCCGGCGCAGAGGACGAAACAATACCGCCAGTTGGTATTGGTGAGATAGCCGCCAATGACTGGGCCAACACCTGCAGATAGTAGTTGTCAGGCGCAATTACTTTGGAAGATTGTATATGCGGGCAGCTGGAATCCAGGTTTTAGAACTTACTGTAACCCACTCCATTCATTAGCTGGAAGATACTGGTGTTGACAGCTTGCTCGCGCAGCGACACCTGATCCGCGAGAACGATCATGACCACATTCGAGATTCCGGCCGTGCCCACACCTTGCAAAGCTCGGCCTAGCAGCAGAACAGCCCAGTCCGGGGCTGCTGCACAGAGAACGCTGCCAATGGTGAGAAGCACAACGGCGCACTGGAGGGATGAATGTCGTCCAAAGATGTCTGCCAATTGACCCCATAGGGGAATGAAGGCGGTCGACGTCAATGTGAATGCGGTGACGATCCAGTTCAACTGGTTAAATTTGTCTGTCATGACTCGTTGTCAGTCTTGAACCGGCTTATGCATCATGAAGTCTTCGAAGTAGAACACCCATATCAGCAAGTGACTTACTGAAGTGGGACGCGACTTGAGGAAGAGCTGTTGCAACAATCGTCAAGTCGAGACTGGATACGAAAAAGGCGGGCACGAGACAAAAGAGAAGCTTCCATCGGTATTTGCGCGCAGTGCTCTTGTCCTGTACACATTGCGGGCATTTCTGCTTTGACTCAGGGACTGAGTTAGGAGCACTCGCTTCTTGGGCCTTCCGCGCCCTATATTCTTTGATTTTGCGATATGTGTATATGAACACCATGTTGGGCACGACGATGCGCTGGGTGTACTTGAACGGTCAACGTGAAACAAGTGAGAATTGAATTGTTGGTAGGACTCGACATGGGAAATACTGGAACAGGAACAGCAATACGACTTGACATTATATGTCTGCTTCAAATTGGGAGACGCCGTGGTCACGACAGTCACAGTCAATGCGAAATCATTGAGCACTGCACCGGTGGGGCATGCTATGGTTTCCTGGGGCTGAATCACAGCCTGCTCCGCGGAATGGCCCTGGTATGGCAATAAAAACGAGGTATTCGCGAATAGAGCCGGAAGGGGAATGGTGCGCTTGTGGGACCGTGCCTCAGATGGAAGATCCCGCGAACAGGCTCCATCAGGCTGAAAGCTCCTATGGCAGAAGAGACGCTGCAGTGGTGGCTAGGCTGAAGCGTTTCTGGTGCGTCTAGGAGGTTTTTTTTGTTTAAGCTTCCAGGAAATGACTGAGCTGTCAATGCGCGTGGCGCAGGGCTGAACGATCTATCCGAAAGCGGTATATCTTGCGAAGGGATGATTTGGCGAGTCTCGCTTCCGACGTACAACGGTACAGTGTTACCGTTGTAGAGCCCAACTTGAAGAGACGGCAGGCAGCCTTGCATTCCAGGTGGTAACCACTGTACTACACAGTACTGCAAAGAGTAGTCTCCAGCACTGCACTTGATTCCCAAGTGCGCTGCCATACCGTTTGCAGCGGATGGAGTACGTTGGATCATGTTCGCCCGAAACACATATCCTGTATAACTGAATGCCAGCCAGTGTCGATGCTCACCTAAAGGACTACCGATGGATTCTCTTTTTTGCGACTCAGGTGCTTCATACGAGTTCGTTGCACATCAAAACGTCGATACAGGCATGAATTCAACATGCCAATATGCATCACCTGCAGCACTCCGGTGAAAAACCTGTACACCGTCTACAGCAAGGCCGACGACCGCACGCTGGGGAAAGGAGTCCGCCTGACTCAATGTCCCAATTGTAAGCGCTTCGCCGACAAGTACGTCGAGCATGATTTTGTGGTTCTGTTCATCGATCTCGTCTTGATCAAGCCTCAGGTACGGGTACTTTCTAAATGTCAGCCGGCAGCGGGGTCTGATCACCATTCAGGTCTATCGCCATTTATTGTTCAACAGACTTGGTCGCGCTGACGACAAGTTCGACCCGAGCATTCTGCGACTGGGCATTCTGCTCATTTTGTTCGATGTCTATATTACATGGGCAAGGATTGAGAGGACGAGCGCCGCTACTGGGGGCGGCGGGAGCGGCTCCCAGCTCGCCGAGATGCCTATCCTTACGCAGTATCTCTTCTTCCTGACCATGAACGTCCTGGCTACAGTTGCTCAACATGCTGTCATTCGGATGCTAGCACGAGTCCTTCTCTCCTACGTTCAGAAGAAGGAAGACAATATCGACACCAAATCCCCAGTCTCGGCTTCAGCTTCAGCTTCAGCTTCGTCTTCTTCGACTCCGGACGATAGAGAGAGAGCAGGAAACTGGTCCGTGACCACAAACTATGCCAGCCCTAGCGCAATTAGTACCGCATTGCTGGTGTCAAGCTGCACAAAATTGTTCCCGATACTGCTTGTCATCTGGCCGACCGAGGCCAAAGACGGGGAATCATTCGGGTTTCCGTTAAGGGCGAGGAACTACGTCGGGTGGGCCGTCCTCCTCAACAACATCGAGGCGCTATTAGTTCTGCTGAACTGTGGCTATCTCGTCGCAACTGGTCTGGCTGTGTCTGGGGTACTGGCAAGGTGGATAGTGGAAAGTTGCTTCTTGAGTATCCTAGGCTTGAGTAGGGATGCTGGTCCCCTGGGCGACCTTCTTGCAACCTATCGATACCTCCGACAGTGGCTTCCTGGAGGATGATTGTACCCAGAAGAAACGAAAGGTAGTTAACTTCCGCATCAGTCGATGATCAAAGGAACACCGTTACCTGTCTCGCTCTTCACATTTACAAGAAATTGTAGTGCCAGTTAGTGACGGCCTTCGTTTAATAGGTATGATCGCTGCTCATTTGATATGGGCCACCATATGGGCCACCGCGGACGCCCATAAGTGAAAGTTTATCCGAAGTTTATCCGACCGCGCGACTTCACAAATATCCGCATACCATGCGAACAACTTCCACAAACGAGTCGGCCCCCGTGCTTAACGTCGATTCCCCGCCTTCCATCTTGCTTTCTCGTAGCCCGGCATGGACGAATCTTCAGGCCGCGGGCATAGGGAGAAAAAGCCAACTGACAAGGTCAAAGAGCAAGTATCATCCAAGATAGACAAGATCGAGGACGACAAGGTTGTGATTCTGCCCACATACATTGCGCCCAACGACCCCAAGTTCTTCCAAGAGCAGAAAGAAGTTCCCAAGATATACGACCATACGAAGATCGCACCCAATGGCGACAAGATTGACTTTTACTCTCTAGGCACACAGTACGCATAATTCCTTTCCCAGACTCCGTCCACAAACTCCAACTGACTTGTCTTGGACAGTGTGGAGAGCAAAGAAAAGCGATATTATGTCCGCGCAAAGCGAGATCCCGAAACCTTGTACTTCCACGCGGCCGAAGCGCCCCCTCAATACGCGCGACTCAGCGACGAGAACCATCCACAATGCGGCGTCGAGGGCCTCAAGAACGTCTTCACCAAAGACATGTTAGGCAAGAGTGGGGAGTTTGGCAGCTACACGACTCGAGCCAACGTGTTTGCACGCGAAGGCAAGTTTTTCTTCGAGGCAAAGGTCATCAGTCTGGCGCCTCCGGGCAGAGAAGCGCCCGACCGCGCTCTGGCAGACACACAGAATCCGGACCGGACAGCCACGAACCGCGGTGGACTTCGAGTCGGCTTCTGCAGGCGGGAACACCACTGGAGTGAAAATCTAGGCGGAAACGCGTACAGCTATGCCGTGGTGCTCCGAAGCGGGCGGTCGCGGGAATACGGGAGCGTGCGCTTCAACACCATGATGTACCACATGCAGGGCGAGGACCCCGAAGACCTGTCTCCAGGAGATGTGGTCGGGCTTATGATCACGCTCCCGCCGCTCGAGGTACACCAAAAAGTTGTCCAAGGCACTTTTAATCCAGCCGACTATCCCCATTTAAAATGCGGCCCTGCCGTGATCAAGAAAAAGTCGGGAGGAGCGGGAAAGAAGACCGCCAAGGGCGGTGGCGGAAGTAAACCAAAGGATGGCGATCATCATCTCGGCGGAAAGAGCAGCAAAGAAGACACGCATCACCGAAAACCCAACAACAACACTCGCAGCGCCATCCGGAGCGCATTGCGCCCTCTTGCCGGCCACGCGGTCCCCGCCGACACCGACATCATTCGCGACCGCAACCCCTTTCTTCACAAGGGCATGACCTACTTCGAATGTCCCGAATACACGCCCAACCACGATCTCAGCCGGCCGACATTAAACTCGAAAAACAAATCCGTCAACCCAGAGACAGGCAAGAAATACGACCTGGTCACCGACCCGCATCCGAACCACGAACTGCCACATTTGCGTACGCTTCCGGGAAGCAAGATCGAGCTCTGGGTCAATGGGAAATACCACGGCGTCATCTGGGAGCACCTCTTTGCCTTTTTGCCTCCTGCCTCCTCCATCGAAAAGGGCAGTCGCGCAGTCACGGGCCATGGCGACGTCGACGATGGTCTGTTGGGCTACTACCCGGCTATCAGTCACTACACGGGCGGGGCGATTGAATGCAAATTCGACGAGCCGTGGTGGTACGGATACAGCCAGGACCCCAGCGGGCCCCATCACCCCGATGCTCGTCCCATCGGCAACCGGTATCAGGAACAGATTGTCGATGATATGGTCAATGACCTGGTCGATGAGATCTATCAGGAAAAATTGTACAATGACCCGGAATGGATGAAGAAACGAGTCTTGAATGCCGCCCAGCCCGCCAATCTTCAACACGGCTGAATTGAATTATCCAGACAGACACGTACTGTATGAGGCATGACTGTTATGGTAGGGCCACGTTTTCATGACGTTTCGTGGTATTGTATCAGGACACTGGCATTTTCATTCCGGGACCATCGGCTTGTTCTTAGGAGCAAGCCAGTACAGGCAGGCGGTTTGAGGCCCCGGCAAGTAGTGGCGTGCTCCCGCGGTTAGGGAAAACACCGTGTTTCAGGTTCTGGACAGGCTGCAGTGGGCTGGCATTCGGTTATTAGCGGGGTCAAGGTCGAAAAGTTGTTTTGTACTGTAGTAGCATAGTGAGATACCCTTTCAAGTTCTGCATCATGATGGATGGATAGAGAATGGTAGTACCTTGATTATTCGTTCTATCTGACTCAACAAGCCATTGCTCAGACAAGAGGCTTGCAACGCGCACAACTCGAACTCAATTGGAGTCCGAGCTAGACAAAGGAGAATGCTGTTGAGGCCTCGATTTTGTTCACCACAGCAGCACCAGGCTTGTGCATGGCACTCAGTGCGTGGAAGGTCAATCTGGGAGGGAGGCATGCCGGTGGAACATGCCGCCTTCATTATTCCTCACTCGGCCTGCACTGCAGCCCACGTTGGTGGTCATCCCGCCGAGTTCATGCTGTTGGCGGCGTAAACGAACGAGCCAACCAGCCAACAGGGTCTGGAAAGCAGTGACCAGGATAAGATACTGTACAGACCTACTCATGTAGTTTCATTATTGCAAGCCACTCACCACTGAAGTGACACGGCGTCAGATAATGCTAAACGTTGCCAGTGGCTGCAATACTCTAGTACTCACTCCCCCTTGATCCTGTTCATGGGGGCCGGAGTCTAGATGGAGGTCGTCGGTCCATTCAGCTCGAGAAAGAGAGACCCCTGCAAGGACCTGATTGAACTCTTCGAGGGAGCCAGCCTTATCTTTTCGTTCCAGGCCTCAGCTTCCAGCTACTAGTACCTTACCTTGCCTACCTTATGCAAGCCATGGGATATTTTTCAAACAAGCAATTTTCGACCAGACCAGGTCATGCACACACCATCGAGGTCGAGAAGCCACCGCTAGGAGCTAAGATGCAGTGTCTTCTGCTATTAGTACCATGGGCGTGGTGCTGCCGGGGCCTGGCCTGGCAGCTCGTCGATCGAAGCCAAGAACAGAAAGCAGCATTCTTCACCACTGGCAGCAGCAGCCAGTTTCTGAACGCGCGTGTATGCTCGGTCCTGCCGTCGAAAACGATAGCCTTCCGGCTCGTCGGTGAAGATTGCTAGGATCCGGGTCTCTCCTCTGGGCCAGCCACGGGCTGACTCAACCCATTTGTGGCCCAGGAAGCTGTCCACATCCCGATGCTGTGCAACCGAGCCAGACTTTGGGCTTTGTTCGTGTCTTGTCCTGAATGGTGGACGTGGTGGTTAACACAGGACGCAGGCAGGCGGTCTGCATGACAGGTCACGATAGCCTATTGGGACTTTCCACCAAACATAGCCTATTAGATAGTGACTCAAAGTCAGACTCAGCCCTCAATACAAGCTGCATTTCCTCGTCAGCCCGAGCCTTTTCGTCTTCTCTTCTCATCTCTTCTGCTTCCAGTGTTCACTCCATGTTCCGGCTTCATCCACGACTGGAAAATGCTTCCGACAAGCTAGCATTGACCTGTGGTTCTCTGAGTTATCTCGGCTCTCTGCTAATACATCCACACTCTGGGGAAAGGGTTGGCCGAAAAATCATGAATGTCATGTCGGTTGAGATTTGTGTCCAAGCAGGTAAGTAAACCAGGATCGGGATGGGCTTTTACCCGCCGCCGGAAAACCCAGTTCTCCTGCACAAAGCCTATACCAAGCATCCCAGGCGTCCCAGGAGGACCGAGATATCCGCATAGTTCCGTCACCACAGTTGTGATAAAGAGAGTGTTCCTTAGGTGTGTCCTTTGGCTGGGTACCTGAAGCAAGGAGAACCCGATCGCGCTGTGTGTGCTATTTGGAGATCAGTTGTGCAACCCCCTCGACACTCTTGTGCAACAAAGCAATCTCGGACCCCACATGACCTTATCCCTGAGCCCAATCAACCACGCAATAGCCGCCTGCTTCCACCACTGACTGTTGCGATTCATTGTAGTGATTGGCGCATACCGCGATGCCTCCAAACTGGTTCAACGGCTGAAAGACAAGCAGGAGACATCGGGAGAGTTCATTCTGCCAGAGCATTTGACCAAAGATTTCGAAGACAGTTTGAAACTTGGCTGTGTGGCAGTCCAAACTCAATATGACCATGATGTTCGTCGCTTCGGAGAGACGTACGCTCGCGGGGATGCCATTGCACGGGAGCAGATGAAGGACATATTGATCGCTTTGCAACAGGCAGTCATCACCCATCTGCGGGAGGTGTATATGGACGAAACGTCGCTTGACCTCCATTCGCTCAAAGAAACCTCCGATGATAGCCGTGTCAATGCCACGGTCTGCTTGGGTCAGCTTTACCAACGCATGTCGACAGCCACAGCGGCATTGAAGCAGATTTCCAGACCAGGCTTTGTCGAGTCGAACGGGGCGAAAGTACCCGGTTGTTCAGAATATTCAAGCAGCCGAAGCACTCACTCCTCTGTAGGTGGGCGACCCTCCGAAAGCCAGTCGACAGCTTCGTATACCACGTACAATTCGAGGTCGGCTGCTGGAAACGATCGCAAACCGTCGGGAGTCTCAATGCCGCAAAGAAGGTCTTCATCGAACTCGGTCTTCTCGAATACCAGCGAACGAGAACCGCCCGCACGCGTGACACCGGGTGAAGACAATGTTCCGGCACTTCCTTTCTTCATGCACATACAGACCAATCGGGTTGTCCAAACAGCGCCCAGCGATGGTCAAAAGCGTAACCTTTCACCTAATCCCGATGCATCGCCGCCACCGCCGTATATGGCGAACCTATCATCACCAGTTTCTGGGTCTGAGGAAAAGGGACAAAGATTTCCTCCACACTCCGCTTTCTACCAGCCTCCAGCTTCCAACGCCCATGTCAGCCCATTGCAAAGCCCAGGAAGCCAGAGGAGGGCTGGCATTCTGGGCAACGGGAACGAACGCCACAGTCCACCACACGTTCAGACATCCCAGGTTCATGAGCTCGGTTGTGGAATATCGCGAGAAACCGACCCAGGGGTGCTCGGAATATCCAGGAAAACCACCCAAAACAGTTGGAGTCAGGAAGTGCCCTTGAACCCCGACTACAGTACCTTGGAGTACGTGGACGAACCCGATGCGCGCAGTCTTCCATCAGCCTCGTCCGCGGCATCACAAGAGTACCAGCGAAAGGCCCAGCAAAGACAGCAAGCAATGCAGCGAGCATACCAGCAGCAGCGGCCACAGGACCCGATTGTCCGAGCGGATGCCTACAACACAGGCGCTCCAACAAGCATTGATCCGGTCGATTATATTGTTGAAGCACGAGTATGTGTCAATTGTCTTCACGATGTTTGCGAACAGCTGACTCTTCTAGGATCCTGCAATGCCTTCATCACCGAGGCCGTCATCAATCCATTCTTCGAGCTCGGCAGGGTCAAGAATCAGGGCGTTCACGTTCAAACGAGCACTTCCGCCGGGATTGGCCAAAGCCATTAGTAAACCTGCGCCCTTGCCATTGGAAGCACCGCCTCGCTATGTCAGACCCCAGACGCCTGACCCGGGGGACGAGCGAGGGACACACATACATAACCCTCCATCACCTTCCATCGAGCAGTCGAATACAGTTTCTCTGACAGCGGCCTCAACCACTCGACGTTTCGAGTCCGATATGCGACCACCTACCTCACCACATTTCCGAACAGTGGATTCCGTGTTGAACTTGCCAACCGAGTCCAGTCCCGGCGAATTTTGCAAGGGCGCAGTCCGAGCACAAATAGGCGCCCGGAAGAAGGGCTTCTCGCTGGAGTCCAGACGGAGCACCAAGAAAGGGCAGGAATTCTTCTTCGAATGCACAAAATGCAGTTTTCAAGTTCCTGCGGCTGTGTCGACGGCGCTTCCCAGTGGCGGACGAGGCGCGGTCAAGCGAGAGAAAATGTTCCACCCTCAAATTTGGGTTTCTCCAGGAGGCATCAAATACCGATGGGTCTTCCTGGCTAAGAGTCACGTTCCAAGCAAACTCGCGGCGACGAAAGGGACGACGACGGGCAGGAGCTCTGCGCATAAGAATAGTAACGCGGCTGCCGAAGACGTGTTTGGCTGTTATATTTGTCACTCAGAAGGCGCGGCTAGGGGGTGGCTGGACGATAACTGTCAGACTCCTCAGCGTGCAGAGTCACGGCCGGTAATGGGACTCGGAAGCCTCGAAGAAGGAAACACAGCGACCGGGGGAAAGGGTGGCGATAATGAAGACGATAAAACCTCGAAGACCACGCCGACATTCACTGGTGTTCGGGCATTCCTGGCCCATCTGGAAACGCACCGGACAGCAAGTCGAACTCCCGGGTTCATCGTGGCAACTGAGATGAATTGTATCGTGGGCCGGGTCGCGGACGACAGTGAAGATTTTGACCTGAATTTGCCGCCGTTGTTGCCGTGTCCGTAGTTAAGCGGGTAGAGACTGAAAGCCGGCGATATATTTGTTCCCCAGTCGAAGCGCGGAATATTAGGTACCTACGTATGTACCATTAAGTTTGTCACCGAGTATGACATCTCCCATGTGTCACAGACAGACATTGCAAGTGGAGCGAAGGCTCGGCCCTTGCCAGGAAAACTTTTCTGTGGGACAGACCGAACAGCAGAACGACGAAGGTTTTTCGGCAATGGAGTAGCCAACCATGTCCGCTCACTTTTTCGAGAAAATAATGGCCACGTGCCCAGCGTTGGTGCTTCGTGGACCTTCATGTTGAAGCTTCAAGAAGGAGGTCGAGGATGACCGTATTTGTACAGGTGTTGATGATGCGGTTATGCTGTCGTGCAAACAGGAAAGGTATGTAAACGGCGGATTTACAACGACGTTCGTTCAGTGACAGCGCCAATCCTTTGGTCAATAATCGATCGGCGATCTGTGGATGGGGATCTTGATAACGTACAATACTGTGCGAGTACAACAAGTGCCGCCTAAAGATCGTAAAAACATACCCACCGAAGGCTCTTGAACGGGTCTAGCTACCCCAAATAGGACTAGTATAATGAAATTACGGTAATAAGATTGGCACCCCTCCTCGCCTATTTGTATGGCTAGAGGTGTAAAATACGTGAAATAGGCGGTGTAGTGGTAAATAAAACAACACTAGACGACTTATAGTATAGTTCTGTTTTGACGATCTTTCGAGGGGGGGACATTGTATAGGGTACAAATGGTCAATCTCGGTTATGGCCTAGTAGTCGCCGCCCTGGTGGAGGTGCTCGGAACTGTCGGAAGGACTAGGCTTAGCTGGGTCAACTAAGGAAGATGGGGCCGGCGACCTGTTCTGTATAGTGCTAGTAGTAGGCTCCAGGTGTCAGTGTTTGCAGATGTTAACTAGAGTTTCCGAGTCATTGCCGGAAAGAAAAGAATTCGAGTCGACGCATGAGGTAGTATCTGCTAGTAGGTTAGTAAATCATGATCTGTGTTCTGTGAGGTGCGCCCTGAAAAACGGAGATAAAGCGGACGAAAGAACAGGTCGACAATAAATAAAGTGCAGCCGAGAATTCCGGACGAGGCTGTAAAAGGAAGGAAGGAGCGTGCATGGGATTGGTTCGTTTGGCAGGAACAACTCAGTGCAGTACCAATGCACTGCGGCATTAGGTATTTCGCAGAATGGAGTGTTTATTTCGCAGAACCGCTATCCCTGATTCAGGTAGGATCGTCGGTGTTGCCTATTTAGGTAATTTAAGGTGTTTATTTCGCAGAATGGCGCGTATAGACGCGTTAAGTGCCGTTGATATTATTGCTCGCCGCGCCTTAAACTATAGACGTCTAATTATATAGAAACTACTACTTTTTTACTATATACGCTATAGAATAATACTCTACTTTTAAGACGCTAGTACCGGACGTATTCGCCGACTATTAAGCCGACTATAATACTCTCGATACGTACCTATACGACGCTAGAATTTAGGACGATTCGGAGGAAGAAGATAATTCCGAGGACGATTTCGAGTCGGCGCTAGTTATTTAGTACGAGCGTACGTTCGATTCTTCTCCTTCTATTATCTATTCTAGCGAGTAAGCGTATTTTAAGGCGCTCGATAGGTAATCTATCTTCCGCGGATATAGTATACGTATTTATAAGCGATATAGGGATAGCGTAGGTAATATTAAGGCTATATATCTTAAGTACGACCGCGCCAGTATTCGTAGTTCGTATTAGATTACTTCGTTAGATAGAAAGAGGTTTAAAGAATATCTATTAATAGAGTATTAGTTTAAACTTATAATAGTACGAAATAAAGACGGCGAATACTTCGTTAAGACGTCTATAAATATCGAATATAATTATCGTTCTAATAAAGGCTCTAGTTATCTCTCTACGAGAAGAAGAGCGCGTAAGAGAGGCCTAAATAGACTAATTCGTAAGTATTTCGAAGAGGGTTTTAGTATCTAGAATACCGTATCGATAATTAATAATTATTCGTAAGATATTCCTATAACTACGTAGAATATAAAGAACGAGAGAAGTAGGATTTATTCGATAAACCTCGTAGATAGAATAGCTACTTAGGCGCTTATCGAGCGCGTTAGAGATCGATTCGTCTCGTACGTTGATATTAACGACTAACTAAGGTTACGCCGGCTCGTTCTCTTCTACTACGAGTCGCTCGATCTATAGCGCCGTTATTCTAAGATTATTTTAATCGACGTAACTTATAAAACTAATTGATTTAGAATATCGCTTATTAATATTATTAGCGTAATAGCTAATAACGAATTGTTTTTTATTAGCGCCGCGTTTATTGAGCTTGAGGCGATAGATTTATTTAAATTTATACTTAAGAAGTTAATACTTATTTATCGAGCGGTAGGAATCGAAAACGGATCTTCTATCGTTATTATAGATGACGATCTAGGTCTCGCTCTCGTCTTAAAATCGATCTATCCTTAGTCGCGTTACTTTCTATATATCTAGTATATAAATAGAGTAGTATAAGTATAGGTAAAGCGCTATTTTAGAGGGCTCTATTTACGCTATTAATCTCGCGAGGAAATTAAAGCTAAAAGAGATCGGATATAAGAAAAATAGCTTAATTTTAATAGATACTAGTAGGCTATAATATTTGTAAAGATACCTCTAGACTATGTACTTAATTAGAATACGCTTCGACTAAAGTTTAAAGAGAAGAATAAATCTCTTGTCGACTATCTCTAGTGTATCTAGTTTCTAAGAAAAGAGCTATTTATAAGAGTCTATATCGACGAATTTTAGTACTTTAGTAACGTAATAATCTCGCGACTAGAGGTAATATATCGAGCGTTAAAGAGACGTCTAAAATTGACGTAATTCGACGTCTTTATTATCGTTGACGCTCTCGAGAGATTGATTCGAGATAGTTATCTTAAGAGTCGGTATAACTTAGATATAGATCGAGTAAATCGACGCTCTTAATTCGGCTCTCGTTTATAGTCTTAAGTTGTTAGTTACGTCTTATTTTATACTCTATCTCTAGTTCGTAAAGCTATACTTAAAATAGGTGTCGATAAGGTTACGTCTATCTTAGGATAGATTAGAAACTTTCGAGCCTACTCGGGCGTTTTTACGCGTATTTACGGCCTACCGTATTCTTATCTCGTTACGTAACTACTACGCTAGGACGAAATCCTTAATCTCGACTACTTTACGCTTTACTAGAGACTTAATAGAATAGAAAACGTTAATAATATAAATCTCGCTAACGTAATATAGCTACTAATCGTTATCCCTCGATCTCGAGACTTTAACGATATCTCGTAACGAGAGTTATCGTAGTTTAAACGCGTCGAGCGTAAACTAGATCTATAGAACTCGTTAAATCTCGTACTAGTATCTACTAGGCGACTTTCTTCTACTCTAGGACCCTTCTAGCGATAACCTTCTCGGCGAGAGCGCTCGGCGTCTCTAGGAATACGAAATTCGATAGTTAGCGTAGGAAGAGGAGGATATATAACGGCTATAACGGTACTAGGAGGCGTAGAAAGAGTAGGATCTATAATAATACTAGGAGGCGTAGGACGAGGCTCTATAACGGTACTAATAAGAGTAATAACTAGCTCGATAAGAGGTCGAGAAAGAGGTTCGCTCCCTAGAATAAGTATATTTCGACTAGTATAGCGATTTAAGGTAAGAGCTCGTTTACTAGGTAAATATATAGTGAAAAGCTTAAGGCTCTAAGGATTTAGTAGCTCCCGCTATACTATATAGCTATAATAATATTACTTTTATACTCTATTATCTTAAAAATAGCTCGTAAATCGACTCTAATTCGAGCGTAACTCGTATAGCCTAAATAGCGCGCTATAATTAGCCTAGGCTTATTTATTAATATTTCTAGTAATATTACGCTCGATTAGGCTTAGCGCCGTTCGGCTTAAAGATCCGGCTAATTAGAGCCGAGTATTAAGTTTTCTACGAAATATACGCGGGGGCTACGCTAGCCGGCGAATCAAATTAAGGTGGGTCTAAATATTACCCGTTACGGTATAGCGGTTCTGCGAAATAAACACCCCATTCTGCGAAATACCTAATGCCATGCACTGCCCGTGCAAAGCATTACTACTACCTAGTATTACATTGTACAACTACAAAGCAGCATTGGTTACGATGTAGATGGCGAGTTTTTTGATATTGCCCTGGTTACTGAGTCAGGCACTCATCTTCGTGCTACTACAGTCTGGTCGAGATGCGAGTTTACCGTACCAAGTGTCCGGGGATCGATGTGCAACGGATTGGGCTGGACAAATTCTCGTTCAAGCCTCTGATGCGCGATGATGGCATGCTTTCAGTACATCCGAAGGAGCCTCGGCGAAAGGCTGTACAACAAATTGATGCGCTTCAAGTTACAGTTCACTTGACCTGCAACTCGTGTCGAATTCCATATGCTCGTAAGCACTTGATATCATAAGTTGGAATTTTAAACGAGGTGTTGATTCTGTGTGTTTGTTTTCCGATCTATTCAACTATTGCGTGTCCAGCTGCTGGCAGCCTTACGTCCCACCCTGCCATAAGCCTACCTTTGTGATTTAATCTAGTTTGGGCGTCCCATCCAACGACCTCACTCACGATATACTTATTTCTTACCTTATCATTGGCATTCACCTGAGCCTTCATTCACAGTGCTTCACCCCGAAGACTGACAACTCCAAGACCCTTCAGCTTCAGTGACATCTTGTTAGCATCAACACACGGCTTCTCTTCTACTGCAAGTCCCGCGCGGCCTAAAAGTACAGTAGTATTTTCTCGCCAACCGACATCCGCGCTCGGCCGAGACATCCGTTTGATCCACATCGCAGCCTCGTTGATCCTAGCGGTCCCGCGCGTTCGCAATACTGCAACGAGATTATATTGCAGTGGAGCACTATCATCGACGACGAGTCCGTTCGCTTTTTGGGGAAGCGACCTCTTCATCGTCGGCAGAGTCCACCCGCCTTCTGCGGCCTTCCTCTTCAGACGTCCAGCTGTCCTATCATGTCCATATCCGCCAGGGCTCCAAGCCAACCACCGGAAAATCTATAGCAGTATCTGTGCTCCGTCAGACCTTACGCCCTGGCCACCATCGAGATCTTTTCCGAGTATCCGTTCACCTTCACTCACCTCCCCGGGGGCAGCGGACTTCGCGCGGCGTCAGGCAAAAAGCAATAACAATAAATAATACAATACTACAGTGCATTATTGACCTGCCAACCGACCAAAACCGGCATTTGTCGGCCCATTTACAGTCGTACCAGTTATCACCTTACCTACTACGACTACACTACGACCACTGGGTATATACCATCGACTTTCCCGCCCACACTGCCCGCCATGAGTACCGACTTTCAGCAACATTCCTCCCTCGAACCTTTCCCTCTCTTCGTCGACTCGGCCCCGCCTAATTCCGCCAACTATTTCTCTTCCCCGATGGCCATGGCCGCTGTGCAGCTGCTGGCCTCGTCCAGCTCATCTCACTCCCGAAAACCGCGGATATCAATGCCGGCCAAAGTCTCCAACCAATTGCGCATGCGGTATTATCAGTATGAAGTCACCTTTGGCGTCTATGTCATGACGCCCACCGAAAAGATTGTCTTCAACACCATCGTCCTTGCCATCCTCTCCGCTTTCCTATACGCCTTATTCTGGGGCTTCCAGCCCTTTGTCGTCCACACTGTATGTCGCCTGATCTACTATATGACCGGCTCCTATTCCAGCGCGCCCGAGTTGTGTTCATGATGTTCGAGATATATGCGACCTGCCGTACACCAACCCTTTTCGCGCCGCACGGTCATTGGCCTGCAGAGTATGCCAGTCCCGGTTCGTTCGCGATGAACCTGCGGCTTCCATGCGCGGCAGCCGGCTGGCTGAAAGAATGAAAGGCGACACGGTTCCGGACTGCTTGTGTTTGAATGCGGATCGGTGCAGGGGAAGATAGAAGCCTTGTCATACCGGTGCTCAGCGCAAAATGGGTAGCTCTGAAAAGTCTGCCAGCAATGCCACGAGGCAGATGCTGCTCTTTTAAGGAGTCCAGACTCATTCTATCACTCATGGCAGCACCCCGCCTGCCACAGTGGCAGGAAGTCTATCTCATTTGTTCGGACAGCAGGACGTTCACCGACTCGGCCCAGGAAAAAGGGTCAAGTGTTGGAAACCCCGAATCCAATACCCTTTCCTTTGGAGAACGGCGGGAAATAAGTCCGTGAGGCGCACCTCGGCACACATCCACAATTTCGCAGATCCTAGTCACCACTGCCACTGGTGTAGCGGGAGCCTTTACATTCTGGCCTTCGACCAGACAGGTGTGCCCTTGCGGCCACCACTTATGAGACCCACGACCAGAACAAGTACATCGTACTTTGCTTATAGCGAGACAGTCGATTGCCGGCCAGGCCCGGTGATCCCTTGACATAATATAATATATACTACCCACCCTGGACGGGTAAAATACAGTACAAAAAATATTCTTTTCTGCCTGCAAGCGGAGTAGCCTAGCACACAACTCTTCCGCATTTCGCCTGTCGCCTGATAGTACGCACGATACTGTCATGCTGTAGTAATCTCTTCCACCTCAGCTTGAAAGCCTCCTGGAGTGGCACGTGATCTTCCTTGGTGCGTCTAAGAAACGCGGTACGGGCAAAAAGGTGCCGAGGTTCGGATTGGCATAGTCTTGACGAGGCAGGCAGGCAAGGGATTGAATGCTGAAAAGAAGGACCGGATCTATTACGTAGAGTATGTTCGCGGACCGAGCATGACTGTCGGTTGTTCGACCGCACTACCTAGTTATTAGTACTTCTGGTGGTAGGGTTGTTGCTTGTAGGCCTTCGGCCCATCGCGAAAGCAAGACAAGGATAAGAGAAGAACTTCAGCGGAGGACCGAAGGCGAGATTATGTACTGTCCCTCGTTTCAGGACAGGACAGTCTCCTGGATATCAGTCAATTTACCTATGGTTCTCAAACAATAATGTTGATCAGTTGTGGCAGATAAAGACTGGGTCCCTTCGCATAGCTGCGCATTATGCACAGCTTTGTAGACTCATCAGAGTCGATGGTAGTCGTGGCAGTTGTAGTGCAGACTCTCATGCAGGGGACCAGGAGATCAACTTTGACGCTTTCCTTGTTCCTGAACCCTGAAACATGCCGTAGAGATGGCCTAGTACTGTTTGGGAAAGGATCACGAATCAAGTGCCAACCACTTAGTCACTAAACGACGTTAGCGAAGCTCAGATCATGCTAAATCTGGCGGCTGAGCCTCAATGCAGCCTGAGTCCTATGATCGACTGGCTCCAAGTTTGGTTGGTGCAGTGTTAGTGGTTCCTGGCAGTGGCACAGCACAGCAGTGCAGCTCAAAGCCACCTCAGCTCGGGCTGCGCTCCTGCCACGTACAAAGCCCGAGTCAGCATCTGGTCTTTGACACGCGTAACACCACGCAGTCTGCTTGCGCACTCACTACTCTTACTACACCTTCATTCAGCTCTGTAAAAAATTCAACTCTCGCTTTCTGTCTTGCCGGATTCGCTTTCTTGCACGACCGCTGCCAGTGCGAAGCGAAGGAAATAGACAATTACACCCGAAACGGAATCCCTTGCATCTAATCTGCAACCCGGCAATCTGGCACCCTTCATCTCGCCGAGCCGTCCAGTTTGCTATCCGAAGACTCCCCTACTACGACCATCGCAGTTCATCCGCTGCCTCCTTCCTTGATCCAGGTCGGGTTCTCCTCCCTCGCTTTACCTGCATCTGCCCTGTGGGCGAGAGAAGCACTACATCGCACGGGAACTCCCTAAAGAACACTTCTCCGGGCTCGAACACGGTCTGCTTTAGAACTCACCTCAGGGATGAGCATCACTTCTGGAAACTAAACCAACTTCGGCCCTTCGTTGCTCTGGGCGTCCACAACAGTCATTTGAAGAGTCGATCAGCCTTTGTCCTTCATTTCGGTGTCGGTCGGTCGCAAAAATCTACATACTGGCACAGCATCGCCTGCGCTTTACCGGCTTCGACGTCTGTGCTCGATTGTTGTGTCTGCCAGCCAATCTTTTAACACCGCGAGTCGTCCTATACTTGGTCTTCAACAACACGCAAATGCATTGATACATATCTATCGCAACTAATCATTGAGTTCGGTCCGTCGCTAGTCGCCTGTCCCGTTCGGCTTCTCCCTCTCCGACACGATGGCGGCCAACGATTATTACAACGAGGCTTATATGGCGCAGTCGCAACAACCAAGACCTCAGTATAACAGACCAGTGTCTCACATCGCCTTTGCCTATAATTCCTCTCAGAATGATTCCACCTTCGATCTTGCCAATCGTCCGCAGCAGGCATATAGTCCGCAACAACCCCATGCAAACTACTATCATCAGCAAAACAACCCGCCCCAGAAATCGGCGTACTCCGACAACATACCTCTCAAGCACAACCCCAGACTTAATACAAACGCCGACGACTGGCGAAATCAGCCGACTCAGTATCCGCCCTCTCCCGAGTCGCCCTCACAGACTCAGTTACTCCAAAAAGGAGGGAAGAAAAAGGCTGGTTGGTTCTCTGGCAAAATACCCTGGGTAGTGTACACCCTGAGCCTGGTACAAATCACGGTCTTCATCGTTGAGATTATCAAAAACTGTAAGTATAACCACAAAACTTCGACGAGAGACATTGCTGACAAAATTAGCGATCATTACTGGATCTCCCATCATGATTCATCCCCAGTTTAACCCGATGATTGGCCCCTCGACCTATGTCCAAATTAATATGGGTGCGCGATTCGTCCCTTGTATGCGTGTTACCCCTGGAGTCCAAGACAGCTCGGAACCTATCAATTGGCCATGCCCGAACACGACCACATCCGATGCAAATGCAGCAAGCAATCATTGTGACCTCAAGGCCCTGTGCGGGTTTTCCGGCTTCAGCAACGAGCATCCAAATCAATGGTTCCGATTCATTGTGCCCATGTTTCTGCACGCTGGCCTCGTTCACATTGCTTTCAACCTTATGCTACAACTCACCATGGCGCGGGAGATGGAAAAGGCAATCGGCAGTATCCGATTCGCTTTGGTTTATTTCAGTTCAGGCATCTTTGGGTTTGTACTGGGCGGAAACTTCGCGGCCAGCGCTATCGCATCAACTGGAGCATCAGGTTGTCTGTTTGGTGTACTGGCGTTGACACTGCTGGACTTGATCTACGGCTGGAATGAACGACGGAGTCCCGTCCGGGAGCTGATGTGGATTCTCGTTGATGTTCTCATCTCTTTCGTTCTTGGGTTATTGCCGGGTTTGGACAATTTCTCGCACATCGGCGGGTTTCTCATGGGCCTTGCGATGGGTATCTGTATTCTTCATTCTCCCAACATCCTTCGCAAACGCAATGGGGAGGTCAGCGCGGCGCCTTACCGAAACGTGGGCTCCGAGCCCGATATCAGCAACCCCAAGAATCCTATGTTGGCCGCTTCGACGCCTACAACAGCACCTGCGGACGTTTCCGCATTCACCAAACATCCTCTGGGCTTTTTCAAGGCACGCAAACCGTTGTGGTGGGCGTGGTGGCTCTTTCGGGCGGGCGCTTTGATCGGTGTCCTGGTGGCATTTGTGGTGCTCCTGAACAACTTTTACAAGTACCACGACACGTGCTCGTGGTGTAAATACCTGAGTTGCTTGCCTATCAAGAATTGGTGCGACATTGGCAATCTGCAACTGAGCAATTCCACGAGCAGCAACAATTCGACTTCAAGCAAAAGGGATTTACTGGAAGTGGGGTCGATGCTGATGGGAGATTTATTCGCGGTCGATGGGATCTGATGAGCTTGATGAGACTGCTACAATAATGACGATATTGGAGTCTTGCGCTCGGAAACTTGATTTGCATACAATGGTGGGTGGAACTATGCATTAACGACTCAGCAATATATACCTGTAATCACCAGAATGTGAATTTATAATGCAACACATCATGATGTCCCAAGTATATACAGTACAATGTTGTACTTGTAGTTGTATAGTACTGCGCTCAGGCACAAAAGCGTATGGGCACACGTCTAAAAATGGTCACCGCCCGGCGTCCACCAACCGCACTGCAAGGTTGTGTTACTGGCAGTTGCAGGACGTCACCGGCGCTGCGACACCTAACTTTTTTTTTCTGCCGTGCAGTAGTGGGCAGCCCACTCACCACTGGCACCAGATCCGCTGTCCCTCCGCTGCCGCAGTGCAGGTGGGTTTCTCGAAGAATAGTAACTTTTTATTTTTTGGTTTTGCCAAAATCTCAGGCCTTGACCTTTGCTACTCACGCGACCGGTAGCTTGCTAGATACTAGTACGAGACCACGTCCCTTGTTTCTGGTGTTACCTTTTCCACATATACATTTTTTCCCTTCTTCTTTCTAGCAGAACCACGATCCCCGGATTCAAAATGGTCGAAAAGGTCTACGTCACATATAACCAGGTGAGTACCCGAGGGGAAACTGCGAAAGGCGAGGAAAGAGAGGAAAGGGAAGGATGTGAGGTGAAATAAAGTAAAGCCTGAGACTGACCCGGGAATCGAATCGTGTTTAGATCCACAAACTCTGCCAGAATGCGGCGCCCCGGATCCTCAGCGACTTCAAGCCGAACTTGATGATTGCGATCGGAGGAGGCGGTTATGTCCCTGCTAGAATCTTGAGGTATGAATATGATATTATTGTGATTCGTGATATAAAGATTCTGGATGCGAAAGGCCGAGCCTGAGGGTGAAGGGGAGGGAACTTGAAGGCTATATATGCATGCAATATACTGCAAACGGCAGACTGCAGACTGCATACGTATATGCGTACAAATATGCATATGCGTACCCACGAGCACTGCACTGCATTATGTTACTGTGGCCTGGCATGGCATGGCAACAGTACTGGAACGGCGGTGTTTGCATGCGCTGCATGTCGCGGTAGTACTGGTATGCAGAAAGAGGAGGATGCGTGTGACGATGGAAGGAAGCAGACGAGAGGAGAGGAGAGGAAGCAAGAGGAGCATCCTCCCCCAGAGCAAAGGGATCTATCAGTGCTATTTTTCCAACAACAGGATCAACTGACAGTTTCTCCCTCTTTTAGATCCTTCCTGAAAAAGCCCGGCGCGCCCAACATTCCCATCCAAGCCATCGGGCTCTCGCTGTACGAACAACTCTCGGACTCGGACGTGGTGGAAGAACCAGGCACGAAAGTGACGCGGACGCAATGGCTGGACCTGTCGTCGTTGGAGATGAACAATCTGATCGGCAAGAACGTGTTGATTGTGGACGAGGTGGACGACACACGCACCACGCTCGAATATGCCGTCAAGGAACTCGAAAAGGACGTTGAAACCGCTCGTAAGCAACAGGGTCGGACCGAACAGACCAAATTCTCCATCTTTGTCTTGCACAACAAGGACAAGCCGAAGAAGGGTCGTCTGCCCGACGACATGATCAATGACAACCGATACCTCGCCGCCGTCACCGTGCCCGACTGCTGGATCTGCTATCCTTGGGAAGCTACGGATATCGACGAGCATGATCGTCTGGCGGCCGAACATTCTGTGCAATGAGCGAAGTCTAATTTACACAAATGAAAAAAAAAAAAAAAAAAAAAAAAAAAAAAAAAAAAAAGAATAGAAGACGAAACGACCAAGCCATCCTTCAGATGAACGTTCAGGATCGAACGGGTACTCGATGCATGGACTGAC